GTAGACCCCGCAAATAGTGAGAATGTAGAACTAGTGTATTACCAACCTGGAATTTTGCACACTGTGATGAATCACTGTGATAAAAGTTATTGGCAGAACTTTCTAAAAATAGCTGATGACTACCCATTCCTAGACCCTACCTAGCTACCCTACCTATACCTATACCTAGTCACGTGCTACCCTACCTATACCTATACCCAGTCACGTGCTACCCTACCCAAACCGTTTGGGTAGGGTACCTCGTGTACCCTACCTAGTTCCTACCCATTAGTCACGTGACTATACCTATACCCTACCCTACCCTACCCATCCGCCAGCCTAGTCCAAGGTAGTCAACAGAGGTGACTATCAAGGCCTACTGTGTCTTACCGCCCTGTACACGTCCCCAACCTATGCACGATTTTTGGCCCTAACAAACATTTAAGAGTTAATATTTAGTATAACATGTTTTACAAGCGAGCGGGCCATACAAGCGAGCGGGCCACCCTACCAACTTTGCGCACCTCTACAAGCGTATATCTCAACAACGTGATAACATAGTATATAGATGTTTGTAGAGTAAATTAAGCAATATCTAATGTATCTTTTCTACACGTACGTGAGTTATGCCCAGTCTCTCTGCACCTTGTGCAGCGCGCGAGAGCCTGGCGGCTAAGGCCTGATCATGCTCCTCCTTGACGCTCTTCACAAGAAATCTGCTGCTCAACCTCACGTTGAGCGAGTATATCCTCTCCCTCTCCCTTTGTTAAGGTCCCTCGCTTCTGTATACGCTTTTTCTTCCATTGCTTACGCGCTGACGCTGCCTTGTTGGCTCGCTCAAGGCTGGTGATCTGATCGCGCATCAGCTCAGCAGAGAGTATTATCACCTCAGCGCCCTTCTTTAGCTGGTTAATTGCTTTAATAATAGAAGCTGGTGACGAGCTCTTATGCTGGCGTACGCGCTCACGTATAAGAGTTGATTGAGCCTCAAGCTCGCGTACGTTGCTCGGTGTACGAGCCTCCCAGGGAGCCTCTAGTAGAGCAGCAGCTGGAGACGGCGTACGCAGCTGCACGTCTAGCTTTGATAGAACAGCGTCTGGCTGGAGAGGAACAAGGCCTGCGCCTCGAAAAGCTGAGCAGATATTGGCTAAGGTGAGCGATTGATTGAATGCTGCCTTAAACGCTGGCAGAAACTCGAGCTTAGTGATGTGGTTGATGTGGTGGCGGATCAGGCTCTCAACCTCACGACTGTACGCGCGCATCAATAGCAAGAAGCAGCCAACATTAAGCAGCTGCAGCAGGTGGGATAAGTGAGGTGGCATGCAGAGCGTGTAGATATTATTCTCCTTGCAAAGCTCTTAAAACTTAAGAGAGTGGTGGCTCACGTACCGGTAGCTGTCAAGGACGAGCAGGTGGCGCGCACTAACAACGCAAGTCTTCATGTAAGTATTAAAGTGCTTCAGCCACTCTACGCCTAGCTTGTTATTTGTCTAGCTATTGTTGCTAACTGCAATTGCCTAGTTGCGTGGGATATCCTCCTCGTACTAGGCAGAGAGGTGGTACTTGCCAGCAAAGATAAGGAATGGTGGGACTGACCAGCCAGCTGCGTTAATTGCAGCAATCAACGTCACCCACTCACAATTGCCTAGCTAGATAGCCTTTGGCCTGCCTCTCCTCTCTGAACCTGTCACAACAAGCTAAGTCATGATCTTGCCTATTATAAAGCCAGCCTTGTTAAAGTTGTAGACGTCATTATTGCAGATGCTGTACTTAGCCTTTGTCTCCTCTACAAGCTTAAACCAGCTCCTAATTAGGACTAGATCCTCACACTGGGCTCTCTGTATATCGTACGCTCGATTGAAACGCGTTGTGAGACTGTCTGTACGCTTGACAAAGTTGCGCGGCCAGTGGACGCCTACCTGACCAGCGCCGCGCGCAGCCAGCAGCTTATCAGCCATATCACGTACAGCATCGTACGTAGGCGCAAATCCACGTGTATCCAAGTCGAGTATATGTCTGATAATCACCTGCTCCTCTAGCTTGGTGAGCTTCTTTAAGTTGGGCTGGCAATCGCGTCAGGCGCGCGTCCCAGCGCGTTGGTGTTGGAGGGTAGTTCAAGAGACTCTGTACGTATAGGCAGCAGATCTCTTAGTTGATATTTAGCGTTGATAAGAGCTAAGATTGCGAGGTTTACATCAGCCTCATGAGAGCTGTTTTGGCTGTGGTGGGAGGGGGCTATGGTTGATCGAAGTATACACGTTGCGCAAAGTTAGTGGGGTGGCCCGCTTGCTTGTAAAACATGTTAACTTCATAGTATTACACTACTCTTAGCAGTACCGACAAAGGCATTTAGGGTAGTAGGGCCGCAATTATTCGAAATCTCGAGAATACCAGTACTTCTAAAGACATCGCCGCTACTACGGGCAAGGCTAAAGGTTTGCTTGCCAACCCCCATATCGATCTCGTAAGCACTGGCGCCTGCAGCTGCTTCGAATGTCTTGGTGTTTCCGCCCGAAGTAACAGTGATGGTACCAGCGCTCTTGGGCAGAGCCACAACGAAAACGGAGTCCTGGAGCGTCTCGATGCCATCAAAGGCGCCACATGTGGCCCTAGGACTTTGGTGGTACCAGTAGACAAGCTTCTCGTCGGTGATGGTCGGCACTTTCGTGCCAGCCTTGAATGCAGCTATGTAAGGCTCCGCCATCTCAAGCCAACCACCGTGTGGCATGTTGTTGGCATAGGCGCTCGAACTATCGTCAGTGTGTTTGTCAGTCTCTGAACCAGCACCGATGTAATGCGACTCGCCATTGTCGTTCCAAATGACAATCTCGATCATGGGAGGTGCAAGCTCGAGAATCTCATTCCAACGATTGAATCAAAGCAGGTCCCCTGGGAAGTTCCATGCCTTGGAAGGCAAGTTCGCGAAAAACCAGGGAGATACTGGGGCCATGTATGCCTTGTCCCCAAGCCACTCGGTGTATGCAGCGTCGTCCTGCGAAGTGGTAATATTTACGCCACCACTTGGAGCCCTGTTCGCGCCGTTGCTGTCCCAGCCCATCCAGTTAGAAGCCTCATCGAAATCGTTCACAGTAGATTAGGCTGCAGCGGTGTTGTGAGGTGACAGGATGGGCACCAGATAAAGGTCAGTACCGGTGGCGGTACGGATAGTCTTTGCGTCAAAAACTTGGATGGCTCATTGTCACCGTTCAAACTTGACACAAAGCACTTATTGTCAATGTTGAGTTGACCAGGTTTGCTGTAATACTGCCCAAGCTTCTTTCCGACATCCTCGTTCTCTCCAGTCGTGAAGTAATTGTAGTCGAAAGAAAGAAAACCCTTCATATTGTTGTTGGCGTCACTTTCATATGCGTAGTTGAGCTGGGCGTCGGTGTATGTGTCCTTCACGATGTTGACAAGTTGTTGCATAAATCATTAAGTTGCAATTATTAACACACGCAGAGGTAAGTAAGTATAGTTAGCTATTCAGGCAAAAGACTTAAGGCGATCTTCCCTCTTCATCAGTTTTCAACTCCGTAAGCTCAAGCCGGACTGGCCTTAAAACTCTTCACATCTTCACCAAGTACGCCTGGGATCCAGCTGACGCGATCCTTGGTGAAAATTTCTGTCCTTGGTTTGAGTTTTGTCTCCGCGAGATTGAAATCATCTACAGTGCCTAATCTCAAGAGACTGCGTCTAGGGAGCCTTTCAGCAATACGATACATTAAAGTTCCACAGGTGTCGCAGAAGTAGTTCGTCATAAGAGTCTGACTGGCAATAGAGGCGTTTTGTGCAAAGGTCTTGAGGTTGGCGCGGCCACGGAGGTGCTTGAGATACTCATCGTTTGTGATGAATGAGGTGAACATCGCAACGGTAAGTTTGCGGCAATCGGCATAATTACAGACGAATGAGTCTACGAGGCCAGGCGCGTTTGTTGGCTAAGATGTGTGAGTATGTTTCACAAATGGTATGCTACGAAGATTAGTGACTGGAAGAAGAGGAGACGAATCGTAGATAGCCACTCGAGCAGCTAGGAAATGCTGGATTAAAAAAGAACACTTACAAAAGCAAGCCGAATAGTGCCACAAAAGCATGTCGCTGTTGCTTCGCCCTCTTCAGACCAGCCATCAGTGGAAATTCCGGCGCGCGGAATATAAGGCCTCGATTTGTCAGAATCACGAACAGACAACAATGGTGTCGCATTGCCCAAATCTGCTGACTTCTGTATCTGAGAACTGTAGTCCAGGGCCATGTTTGAAAGGGATTTGGAATTGCCGAACAGTAAGAGATTCTACGTAGCAATGTTACTGAACTTATGAGGGAAACTCCAGGTCCAATTACATAGTTTCCTGTGTCTACACCAGCTGTCCTGTCATCTAGGGCCGAGACGAAACACGACCGACAAAAGTACCTTACGAACTGCACAATTGGCTGGGATGATGTCATCGTTCAGTCCCGGAAGCGGCGACGACGGCCCAGCCAGGGCTCAGTCATGATGGCACCTATTGCCGATGCGTTTGCAGCAGTCAAAGCGCCGACACCAGAAATCAAGAGGAAAGTCTTGTCAATCAGAGATCTGCTGATCAATCTGGTGTTGATTATTGCACAACTTTAGCGCGGAGACATGAGCGCGTTCAGGCACCCGCATAAGCCATGTCCGTATCTCGTAGTCAGACTCCCCCCTTAGCAACCCTCTAATAAGCCTTATTGGAAGTCTGTCAGAGATACACATACCTCTGCACTGATTAAAGCTCAGAACGATCGGTTGGGTAGCGGCTTAGCATAATCTTGTCAATTCAATGTCATTGCAGAGGTCGAGGTCGATACCGGTAGAGGCACGAGACAGAATCAGAAAACCAGTTTGTAAATTATGATCGTTGTTCATTCAGGAAGTGGAAGCTGATGTTGAATGATATAAAGGTCTCGAATTATGCAATTATCAGCATTCGTAGAGGCCATCGAAGCAGCTTCAGCAACCCAGCAAGCACTTCCAGCGTCGTTGGCACTGGTCTACGAAGGGCTTGCACTTACAACGCATACCTGAAGTGTTTTGCCTGCATATCCGTCTGGTCCTTGAACCCATCCCTGATAGCCTGCTCGTCCTCACCGACACCATATCTCCTATCCCTCCTCTTATTCTCCCAGGACATGTACTGCCTTAGAAACATGGCAACAGCAAACATACCGCAATAGCACACAATCAGCCCCGTCAGCGCGGAGAAATATCTCGGCTTCTCCCGTGCAAAGAAGATATTCGCACCCACGATGTTGCCCGCGGCGTAGAAGACAAACCACAACCCATTCGCCGTGCTCCGCTTCGTATGTCCCGCGATGTTGCTGGTAAGGAGGTTCCAGGACAGGATCACCGGCGCCCCGACGATGTACTGCAGCCATGTGCATCCGACTAGACTCCACCGCTCGCTGAGCGGCGTAAGTCGGATACCCAGCAGCCCGCCCAGCGGCGGCAGGCAGATGAAGGCCAGGATCAGACAGCGCGTGTTTTTGAAGTAGCCAGCAGCGAGCCCGCACAAGGGGACGACGACGAACTCGATTGCGCCCGTGGGGAGTTGCAGCAGCGTGGCGTAGATGCCGTCGAAGCCGAAGCCGCGGATCAAACTGGATGCGAAGTTGGACACGCCGCCGTTGATGACGCCGCAGCCCAGGCCGATCAGCATCAGGCAATGCACTTTGATATCCAGCAGCGCCTCGAGCGCCTGGCTGGTCTGGAATTGCTTCGTCTTGACTCCGATCATGTTGCCTGCGATGCGGTCGATGGCCACGATGCGCTGCTTGTGCGTGAGAAACTTGGCCGTCGCAGGGCTATCGGGCATGATCCATAAGAAGATGATGGACCAAACGAAGTTCACGAGTCCGATGACAAGGAAGATCAGCTGCCATGTCTTGATGTGTGGGGAGTGGGCGTGGCCGAGCCCGTAACCCAGCAAGGCGCCGACCATGGTCGCCATGCCGTTGAAGGCGAGGAACACACACATCCGTAGTGGCTGCTCGGAGCGTGTGTAGAACATGCTGACGATGTTCATGATGGCGGGGGAGATGCTGGGACGCTTCAGTATGGGGGATGTTGCAGCGGGGTTGGGAGACGACTCACGAGGCTTCAAACATGCCCAGGAGGAAGCGCAGGACCAGCATGCCAGCATAGTTCTTAGCCGCTACATGGCAGCAGAGCAAGATCGACCAGATGAGTATCATGGTCCCGGTGTACTTGCTCACGGGCAATCTTTGGATGAGATAATTCGCCGGCAAGGCCCAGAACAAATACCCAAAATTGAAGATAGCAGCCACCCAAGAGTACCGCTGGCCCTCGAGCCCCAGATCTGGGATAAGAGAGTACGCCGAAGCGTAGTTGAGAGACAATTTGTCGAGAAATTGAATCATGTAGGTCATACAGATCTAGTCATGTCAGCGTTGAGTGGAGAGTGTAAGAGAGGCCTGCATCGTACCATTGGCATGATTACCCAGTCTATCTTGCGCAAGACAATCTTCCTCTCTGCGTCGAGCTCTTCCCGCGTATACTGCTGGACTTCGAGATATAGGTCGGCGCCGATGTCGCGCATCTGCTTTTCGGCGGCCATTTGCCCTTCCTCGATGCTGGGCGCTGTGGCGATGCCATCTTTCTTCTCTTTCGACATTTCGATTTGTGCTATGCCTGGTCCTCGTCGAGTATGCGATTAAAGTTGAAGGTTGCTGAGCGGTGGCATACGTATGAACTTATCGTTGGGTATATCGTTGAACCAACGCGAGCGACGTCTGATGTATCGCTGTCGCGGGGCCATCCCATCTTATCATGGTAAACCTGTGAGTCGTCTGCCCACTCTTGGCATGGAGGATCAAGGGTTATGCATATTGCTAGTTATCATGGCACCGTTGAGTGCTTATCGTGGTTTGCCAAGCCGACCTATCATTACCGCATGCTGTTGTGTGTGCTTCCGGATGGCTGAATTGGGCAATTCTCGGTTGTGCATGCCCTGGCTGGCATAGCCGGCATTTACTATAGGATGCCGTTAGCCGCAATCTTGAGCTTGCCAGCATAGCTCTATCTGTATCCCGACTTCGCGAAAGTCAGCAATGCACGCAGCACCTGTGGAGATGGAGATGAGTGTTGTGCATGTAGGCGTTGTATTGAGTGTTCTGGCTCGAGGACTGCAGCAAAAGGGTGGATATGCCAATGCACAGATCCTGCACGCTCGACATAACTCGTTCACCGCCAGAGACCGTACGCGCCTTTGGTATATTTCCAAAGCTTGACAGTGCCATCTTCACTGCCTGTCGCGTATAGCTTGCCATCCGGCGAAAAGCTTGCCGACCAGACCGGGCCGTGATGACCCTTGTTCGTCTCCAGTTCCTTCTCCTCGTCAAAATCCCATAGCCTGACCCAGGTATCGTTCTGGTTGCTGCCACCGGTGATGAACCTGCGCGCGCCGCTATGCAGCGCTACACTCGCGATGTCGTACGGCGTCTTGATCGTCTTGATCAGCGACCCTGGCTGGAGGCTGTTGAAGAAGTAGACGCTGTTTCCAGCAGCCACGCTCAGCACGCCGTCTGGAGAGGTGTTATCCAACTCGCAGGTGCCCACTGCGCCCTCAACAGCGTACTCGCCAGTCATCGACTGTGTTCGCAGATCCCACCACCTAATTTTCTTGTCCTCTGCTGCTGTGATCAAGATGTTCGGGTCCGATGTCCACACGATCGACTTGATCGTTCCAGTGTGTACGCCTGCGCCGATCTCATAGCTCGGCGCCGAGTCACCACCCTGTGAAAGGTCGAAAATGCGCAGCTTCTTCTCCATGCCACCGGTCGCCAGGATTTGCGGATTCGGTTGGTTTGGGAACGCGACAGCGCGGACGATGTGGCTGTGCGAAAGAGTGTGGAGGGCCTCCCCGGTGTGTGTGTCCCACACTTTCCTGCAGCGTGTTAGACAGAGCGCCAAAGGGTTCGCAGAGCTTGGCCTACGCAGAAAAGTCGGCAGAAGCGGTCGCGGCCAGCGAAGCGTCTGAAGAAAGCCTCGCTTGCCAGACTGCGCCCTTGTGGCCCAAGAAGGTTCCTATCCAGTCGCCCGTCACGCCGTCGCGCAGCATTGGGTTGCCGTCTTTGCATGCCGAGATGATGTAAAACTGGTCCTCGTCCACGATCGAGGAGAAGTGGATATGTGGGACCGGGCGCGAATGCCCGTGGCACGTGAGGGGCACGACTTTGGTGGTCTCGGGCATGTTTACAGGTAACGAGTGTCGGTCGCGTTAAGAAGAAGAGCCCGGTGTGTGCAGCAAAAGTCTGTGGGAACGGCGGAACGCGTCGTGATCGAGTCTTGCGGGCGGTGAGACTAGGAAACGCGGGCGTGGAATCTATCGCAGGGAACTGTGGCTATGCGCGGGCGGGGTGCTGGTTCAGCGATGATGTGACAGCAGCAGGGCAAGTCGGGGCAAGTCGGCACGGTGCCAGACAACAGAAAGAGGAGCAGACAGGAGAGTCGTTACGGTCGTGAGGTTGGTGAGGAGCGGTTTGCGCTGCAGGCGAAATCGCAAGGGGACTTCGAGGGGTACAGCATGAAACGTCTCGCACGACTCAGGCCGGCACTAGCGTCGAAGCCATATTTCACGTCGCGGAGAGAGCTGCATATAGTAATAACACGATTGGTTCTAGTCTCCAGAAAGCCCCACGACACACATCTCCTGCAAAACATGTCTACATCATGCCCAGACGCAGGGACCGCGGCGTAGCGCGATGAGCTCGGCAGGAATAGACCAGCCGGGCATCTATGAGCAAAATAAATTCAGCATCCGGTAGCAATGGCTTCTGGTCAATCAACAGGCATGGGCAAGTCCAACAGCGGTATTAACACAGTTGCGTAAGGTAGTCTGCAACCAATCCATAAACTCCAAGTCGCGTCCAGGTATCCCGGGCTTGCCCAAAGTCATGCATAAGCGTCCCCAAAGAATCGTGTCGCGTCTCTTTTCACTGTCTCCCGTCCACACCTCGTGCCCCACCCAGTACCCCAGTCCCCTAGTACCCGGTCGCGCCAGGCGCCTTGTCGTCCTTCTTCAGGCTGATCAGCAGCTCCCTGAAGCGTGCCTTCTCGCTGCCCGACGCTCCGCCCTTTGTGCCCTTGCCGCTCAGATCAACCAGCTTGGCAATGCGCTCCCAGCTGGTTCCTCCGGCGGTTGTGTCGTCGCGGTTGGCAAGAAACTCCTCAGCCTCCTTCCGTGTCTTGGCAATCTCCTTGTCCTTCTTGTTGTTGTAGTTCTCGTAGAAGTCGTCGATGTTCTGCTGCGCCTCCTGGATCGTCTTGCTCTTGCGCTCGGCAGACACCTCGTCGCGGTGCTGGATCTGGAGGTCACGGCGCTCGCGCCATTCTCGGACGACATCGGGCTCTGGCGAGTCGGAGCGCTGGGGTGTGAACGAAGGTGCGGGCTGGCCGGGGAGGAAGGGCAGCGAGGAGCCTGTGATTGTGCCGCCGGGGGCCATGTGCTGCTGCAGTCAGCGCCGTTCGAGTGTATGTATGCACACGGATTTGCCTCTCAGACGCCAGCTGTCTCCGCGCAGCCGGCGCATCGGGGCCAGGAGCAGCGCATGCCTACCTCGTTGGTTGTGTCGATGGCGGGGAATGAGCTCTCGAAGCCGCTCATCTCCTGCGAGCCGACGTTGGCCTGGCCGCCAAAGTCTCCGCCAAGTAGGTCGTCCTCGCCGTCCTCTACTGTTGCCAGCTTGTCGTTCTCCGAGGCAAACTGGTCCGCGTCGTCGCCGAGCAGTGCGCGCTCGCGTGAGAGGAAGTCGTCGCCCGCATCGTCACCGAGGGCGTCGAAGCTGGTCGCATCGCCGCGTGCTTCGCTCTGACCTGCAGTAGTTCAGCTTCGGCATATAGGCTAGAGCTCGTTCGAGGTGCAATGGTGGAGCCTACCAGCGTCGAATTCGTCTAACGAGGGAAATCGGTCCGCCATGGTGCGTGTGGCGTGTGTCTAAATCTAAAGGAGAGGGGAGATGACGGGGATAGCAGCAATTGATTGTTTGCGTCGCTGTCGACGACCATGGGCAACTCTCGCTGCTGACCGCACAGGAGTCGGAGGCCCGGCCACGTATCGCCGACGTTAGCTCACCCTAGCGCCCGCAGCCTCACCTCGAGCTCCTCGCATTCAATCCGTCCACCACACGTCATCGGGGCATTTGTGCAGCAGACACAGGCAGTTGTTGCAGACTACTGAAATACTTACTGCACGTGAGCTCCCACACAACACGAGCCATCGTCAGAGCATCCTGTTTGTGAAGGTGCTCGCGTGGGCGCTTGTCTCTCAGTAGTGATTGTTGTCGACGCGTGATTCCCTCATCATGGCCTTTACAGAGGACAGCCTGAAGGCGAAGCTTTCGTCTCTCAATGAGACGCAAGACTCCATCTCGACTGTCGGCCAGTGGATCCTCTTTCACAGGTAAAGCCCCATCTACACCGCACTTTCGCACGACCACGGCGTGAAGATGCACCCAGCCCATGTCGAAAGTGCGAGCACCCACGCAACACACGAACATCACGCGCCGAGCACTGCTGACCCAACAACTGCACAGACGACACGCCGAACGCATTGCCGCAGTATGGCTGCAGCGCATGAAAGAGTCGACGCCGAACAAGAAGCTGGTCCTGGTCTACCTCGCCAACGAAATCACTCAGACGTCCAAGATGCGCAAGAAGGAAGAGTTTCTCAGAGCCTACGAGCCCATTATTGCCGAGGCCACATCGGCAGCCTACAAAGGCTCGCCCAGCGACGTCCAGAACAAGATCCGCCGCGTCGTCGAAGTATGGCGCCAGCGCGCCATCTTCGCCCAGCCTGTGCAGCAGAACATCGAGAAAGTCATGAACGACATCGACTCGTCCAAGTCAATCGGCCGCAAGCCGGCTCTGGGCGGCAGTCTGTTCTCGGGCTCCACGGTCCCGGCTGAGCTCACGCCCGTCGCTCCCCTCGCCACGTCCGTCAACAAGGCAGATCTCACAGCCAAACCCGCCGTCGGCGCTGCAAACCAGGAATACGAAAAGGTCACTAATCCAGACTACACCATCCCCTCTGCACCCGTCCACGCCGCGGGCCTCTCCACGCTCGTCAAGAAGCTCGCAGTCGCCGAGGGCGCAGTCGCAGAGAGCATCAAAGCGCGACAAGCCCTCATAACCGGCCTGGAGACGCTCCTCGCGACGCAAAAGCACAAGCTCTCCGCTGACCGCACCGCCGCCGCCGATCTGAAGACGCGCAGAGACGCCATAGAGTCGCGCAAGCGCGCCGTCGAAGACGCAATCCTGCAGGGCCTCTCCGCGATAGAAACAAACCGCATATCCGCCGCGCCACTCCCCGTCGCTCCATCTCCGCCTCTCGGGGCGCAGAAGCCGGAGATTGAGGACCTCACGCCCCCGCCCATGGAGTCGTTCACGCCCGTCGGCTCGCCTGCGAATGCCGCCGCGCAGCCCGTCGAGCCTGTGCCCGACATGGGCGACGACGTGCTGCCTGCACCCGTCTCCCAACCTGTCGTGCCGGAAACTACGCCTGCGCTTGGCAACACCAGCTCGCTGACTAGCTTTCAGACGGCGTTCAGCGCCCATGTGAACGTGCCGCATGATCTGCTGAAGAGTCTGCAGCACGCCCGGCCCGGTCAGGAGGGCGGTGTGCATGGACAACTTGCGCACGAGCAGGCGGCGAAGAAGAGGAAGATGTCAAGGGGTGGGGAGGATGAGTGGGCGGCGTTCCAGGGCGATGGGGATATGGATGGGATTGATGGGCAGCTGCAGGAGCTGATTTAGGGTTTGGGACAGCGGAAGCGTGCAGACGGGTATAGAGAGAACTCGAGGGAGCGTCAATAACAACAGCCGTATTGTGTGCGAAGGCTGATGAAGTCATGATGCATGATTCGTGGAGACCATCATCTCGGCATTGTATCGTACAGTATCCATCCATCCACATACTTGTGAAACCGTTACGGAGCACATCCATACCACGCGCTTTACGCGGGATCCCCAGTCTCAGGATCCACCTCGTCGCTCACTTTATCTCCAGGCATCCGCCTACTCCTCTCAATCTCCTCAAACGTCCTCTGCCCCTCCTCGGTCGTCGCGTCAATGACGCCCTGCTCGACGCTCAACATGCCACCCTCGCCCAGCTTCTCGACCACCTCCTCCGCCTCCTCAACGCTCATCTTCGCAAGCACCTTGTTGATCTCCTCCAGCTTGCCCGTCTCCAGCGCGCGCTGTAGGCCCGGGGGAAATGTCTCGAAGATGTCGCGGGCCATCGTCTCGATCTCGCGCTCCTGCGGATCCGTCGCCGTTGATTTCGCGGACGGAACTTGGATCCTGATCTCCGTCCCCGGGTCGACGGCGTGGAGTTGGATCTGCTCGATGCCCTCACCCTCGGGGTTGGCTTCGCGCTCTTTCAGGATCTCAGCCGCGCGCGTCTTGATGCGGTGATACGTCTGATCGACGTCGTCGTTGAACATCTTGCTCGCCTGGTGGTCGCGGCTCTGGATGCGCTTGAAGAACAGCTCCACGCCCTGCCGCCCGCCGAGCTGGCGACAGTACTGCAGCAGCAAGCCTTGGTGCACGCACTGTCGGGCGTGTTTGGGCTTGCCGTCGAGCTGCGAGTTGAATGCTTCGACAAGGAGGCCGTCGGTTTCGGATTCTTTTAGGATTTCCGAATGCGCCATTAGGAACTGGAGACATGCGTACCAGTCGCCGGCTTTTATAGCGGCAAATTTCTTGGCGAGCGGTGAGGCTTCGACGTTATCGTCGTCGTCGACGGCGGTGCCTTCTTCAATGTCGGCGTCAGCACCTGAGTCGGCGGTGTCGGTGCGTGTGGCTCCGGGCCGCTTGGGGGCGTTGAGGAGCTCGACGGTCTCGGTCTTGGATGTGGAGGGGGTGGGCGTGGGTTTCTTCTGGTCTTCCTTCTTGACGGCTGAGTAGCTAAAGCCCTCCTTCATATCTTCACTCGTGATGTGCCTCTTCTCTTCCTTCTCGAGCTCGGCCAGCTTCGCCAGGAGCTGCTTCTGGAGGTCCTCTACGCGGCCCTTCTCCTTTTGTAGCCCGGAGATGAACTGCTCGTACCGCGAGTCTGTGCTGTTGCTTGCGTCGATCTCCTTCTTCACGATGTCCACCATGCTAGCCATCATCTGCGGGTATGTTGGCTTGTCCTTGATGTGCTCGTGCACGCCCTCCGGTGGCGGCGGCGGGGCGTTCTCCTTCTGGCCCATCATGCCCTCCATCATGGCCTGGAACACCAGCTGGTCCTCATTGCCGCCGTCTGCAAGCTTGTCCTTGTGCGACTTCAGCGCTGTGAGCAGGCTGTCGATGCGCGCGATGAGGCCGTCGTTTATGATGCGCTCATACTTGAGCGTCTTGATTTGGTGCTTCCTGTGGTCGCGCTCCTGGTGGATCTGCGCCTGCTTTGCGCGGATGAAAGACTTCTTGTCGACATTCGGGTGCACTTCGATGTCGCTGTCGTCCGAGAGCTCGAGAGCGTCCTGCGCGCGTCAGTAGCTGTGTTGCAGGGGGCGAGACTTTTTCTCCGTACCCATTTACTGTAGTTGATCACCATCTTTTCGGGTCGCTACACTTTGTGTGGTGTGTGTTGCTATGCGGCAATCCCAGGCTGCACAATGTTTGGATTATTCGCGGGGTGGAGGATGTTCACCATGTGGGGCAGCCTCCGTCACAGTTCCAAGGTTGGAAGCTTCGAGCCGCTTCAGCAAGTTCCGTGCTCGACACAACACTCCTCTAGAATTGCAAGTCGTGAATTGCTTCTCTCGTCCGAAGTGATGCTCTCTAGTCTCGCTCTGCTTCGACGCTTATCATTTATCTTGACCCTCCTTGTTTGCTTCGACACTTCTGCCTCTCAGCTGTTATCGCCTGTATCTTCTGCACTATCTCATCGTTCTACCCCGTCTCGCCCAGTACCCATTGATATACCGTATATCCGTCTCTCTTGCAGCCCTCATGTCCCAAACCATAGAGCACGTCGTACTCCTGTTCTGCACAATAACCTCCATCACAGTAGCCTCGAGTCCTTTCGCGGATAAGCGCTCCTGTACACCCGGCACACTCTGAAGCTCGGGTAGTTCAAAGATCACAGAGGACATCTCGTGCATGAGTGCGCTGCGGACTTCAGGTATACTGAAGAAATACTCGACTGTCGAGTCGGCCAGAGCCGTCAGGGGGTTGCTGAATGCATTTACCGCGAGTTTTTCTAGCTGCCGCTGCAGAATATCGAGCCACCCGTATGACTGACAGTTTAGGCGTGGAGCTCGAGATAGCGCCCCTAAAAGGAAGGCGGCTGAGGGTGATATTGTTTGATCGATACCATCGCCACGCGGGACAGGCCCAAGAGAAGTGGCAGCAGGGCCAGTGTGCTTGATGTCGAACGGGCCTTTGAGCGTCACGCCATGCGAGATGACGCGGTTATATAGCTGGGTCGTGTCTTTGGGTTCGGCCATATATCCTCATTGACGTCTTCAATCATGCCAGCACCATTTTGGAGGAGCAGGATTGACGGTGCGGGCGTAAGCCGGGGTACCAGAGGGCGTAAGGCTGTAACGGTCTGAGTAGACTTGACGCACACGATCAGATGATCGATTGTATTCTTGACATAGCTGGGTGTTGTCTGCACAGCAGACCTAGTTGCGGTATAGTCTAAAACGACCGCTTCGAATTCGTAGCCCGAATGCTCAACAAGCTCGCCTTCACGAGTCTCTAGTGTGATCCGGTTGCCTCTCCGATTGTAATCATCCCTCATATACTGCCGATAGAGCAACAGTTTCACTGCAGGTCTTGTTGGAATGTCGGTAAGAGTGTGTGCTGCAAAGGTGCCAATACCTCCCAATCCAAGAACGTGTATTTGTGCCGAGGGGGTTGTTGTGATGGTCGCTATGCTCCTGTGGATGTGTTGACAGTTTGGGCATTGCTTACGCAGATTCCAGGCGCATTGTTGCAAGGCTCGTAGAGATCCAGTACAAGACCTTTGAAGCATGATCGTGGTACAGACCCGGCGCTATCGTACCTCATTCGAAGATACGGTCTGCCGTCTACAGTTTGCGCGAAAGGGTTGCAATACAGCTTACAATAGCAGCAAGACCATCCACTCACAATGGCAGTGACTCCATCGGTCGTTCAATCTGCGCTATACAGCTTGTAGGGCGTTCTAGATGGAACATGTCTAGGTAGATCGCTGTGCGAAAACTCCACAGGACCTGAAACCGAATCACCGTTGCGACTCAGCGTTGAGCTGCCAGTGCCGGACCCATGTCATCGCGTAGGTGACCTTGACCTGCCGGTACTGCTTACACCCAAGCTCTGTCATTATTCCTTCTGCATCGAGTTCCGCTACATTTGCGCACCTCTATTCCCTTCGCGATTTGACTGTGCAACGCACTGTCTGACTAGTTGCAACATGGACATCCAGCACTTGTAGAGCTCTACCATCGTCACTGCCTCGAATGTCGCAAAAGATCGGCGAGCGCCCTCGACACATCTGCTATCTAACTCTTGTTCTCGAGCTGCCTGAAAGATCAATCGACCACGCACTTCGGTCGTTCCTGTGGACTTGTAGAAGGTGGCGAATGCAGCGAGGCATCTTCTGCAAAAGGCAGCCGCAGCCGCATCATGCACATGTGCATTTTGAAGAGTGTAATACAAACGTAATAACTATCAAGGGTGGTCCGCTAGAGGATCTAGATTTGGGGATGTGTTCATCTGGTCCGCAGGAGTGCGGTCGTGCCCGTCCCTGAACGTCCAAAGAGGTTCGAGGCAAAACCTGTCGACTGATCCACGCAATAGAAACGAGCAAAGGTGAAGACAAAAGAAAGCTTGCTAAGATTGAGTCGTCTTGTCGAGTACAACATCTTCTTGGGGTGGCTTGAAACGCAACAGTCAGAATCGACGTAAGTAACATTGAGCGAGTTTGCGTGCTTTTCAACCGGCGGACTCGATCGATGGAACATATATTAGGAGCCCTCCCTCTAGTTTCATGGCTTTGCTTTTGACACAATGGCCAGTACTCCAGGTCCGCGGCGCTACGGCAGCCCTCGACTCATGACGTCACTCTCGGCTGAGACCTCTGGCAGTGTAATTAAACTGCCCTGCAATCGCTGGCGACGCCGGAGCTACGACTCACCATTTCCCAGGTATCAGGCCGCAGGATTTGGCTCTTGTGACCTGAACCAATTACTGACTGTCGTTACCAGCATTACATCAAGACCATGTGGGGTGACCTCCGATATGAAGTCAATCTATTCTCCGGCACGGCTCCCGGCAGACTCTAAACGATGTCACGTGTGATTGACGACTTGAGACGTCTTACAAGCATTGAGGACGAACCACCAATAATGACAACTGTCAAGGATTAACCCCCCACGAGTCTATGCGTTGTTTCAAACTCTGCCGCGTTTTGACAACAGCTGCTGTTATGAACATCATGAGGCGTTCGTCCAACATGATGAGCAGAGCTCCACACGCACTGATGGCAGCTGTCAGACTTGGATATCGTAAGTGACCCGCGAACGCATTCAACAAAGCTTGATATAGCGCACGATCTCTTCCGTCACGGAGTGCATGTTTGAACGCCTTCACAAGTTGTGGGTACACCAAGACACATCTGCCGTTAGCGCGTTTCGCCCAATCTAACCGCTGTCCCTCCTAATCACCAACAGACATAAACAACAAGGAAGTTTCAAAAATCGTGATACATGGCGTTAACTTGACTCCTGGAATAAGAAGATGAACACTATAAGTTGACAGCCTCTGGCAATCTATTCCGGCACTCCAGGTCATCCAGCACCGAAGCATCACATTCATTCGTTTCTTTTTAAGCCTTCCCAGCTTATATTCATTCGTTTCTTCACTCGCTACCAATTCTTCATACGCAGGATCGTACATTTTCCCATAACTTTCACAATGAAGTACATCGCTGCTGCTCTCGCTTTCGCCACCGCAGTTGCCGGTCATGGCTATGTCAACAATGCCACCATCGGCAGCAAGGCATACACTTTCTACCAGCCTTACCAGGACCCGTACACGAGCCCCGCTCCCCAGCGTATCTCTCGCGAGATTCAGGGCAACGGCCCAGTCCAGGACGTGACCTCTGCCGATCTCCAGTGCGGTGGCTACACCGAAGGTGGCATCGTTGGCTCAAAGCCTGCTGCGCTTGAAGCTGAGGTTGCTGCTGGCTCTGAAGTCGACCTCTACTGGACCCTCTGGCCTGACTCCCACGTCGGCCCTACTGTCACCTACATGGCCAAGTGCCCTGACACCGGCTGCACCGCCTACATGCCCAACACCAGGTACGACCCCTGCACCATGCATGAAATCACCCTTACTAACACACTACAGCGCCGTGTGGTTCAAGGTCCAGCAAAACGGCCGCGACGGTACCTCCAACACCTGGGGCGCCACACCGCTGATGAAGGCCGGCGGCGTCGTCACCTACACCATACCCAAGTGCATTCCCTCCGGCAGCTACCTCGTGCGCCACGAGATCATCGCGCTGCATGCCGCCTACTCGTACCCCGGCGCCCAGTTCTACCCGGGCTGCCACCAGGTTAAGGTCACCGGTGGCGGTAGCAAGACGCCTACTGGACTTGTTGCCTTCCCCGGTGCGTACAAGGCCACTGATGCGGGAATCACGTATGATGCGTACAAGGCGCAGGCTTACACTGTTCCGGGACCGGCGCTGTTCACTTGCTAAATGTAGTATGACTAGAACGGCAGGTGGTGGAGGAGTGGAGAGGAGAATGAACTTCGCTGTAGATATAAGCTTCGTATATACTTCTTGACCTGAATGCGATGTACGCAGCCTGCATCCGCAACGCCAGTCTTCACCCGTTGCTATTTCTGTGACCCCAAGTGAACGCTCCTGCTTGCTCGCAATGTCATTTGCTTCATGCTGCTTCCATCGTGGCCAACCTCGGAGGTAATCTACAACAAGCAAACACAGAAAAGCCCCACTCACTTCCTTCACGCGCACAAATAGACAGTTCTAGTACTGCTGCGCTTCTCAATACCACCCCTTCACGTGTGTTTATGCGAGCTTCCTTTATAAGAAATAGGCTGCCTTCCTCTTGACGAAACTTGGAGATTCTCGACACAGGCCTCCTTCGTAATCGGTTAACACATCATGTCCTCCATTACCCCGAGCAGGCCAGACATGCCGCTGAAAGATTTCACTAACGAGAACAGAGGCATGCGTAACCTAGTAGGGGAATCTCTGTACAAGCCAGGACTCTAGGCGTGAGCGCTTGTCCAATTATTGCAACTGCCTGCGACTAACATCATCCGCAGCTAGATTGACAGCCAAGCACTGTCAGATGTAGCAGTGAAGTACGGTGACTGAGATGAGAACATATCCCACGGTCATCGTTCCATTCTCGCAAGTGCGTCTGGGTGGTTCAGAAGCGAGTTCCAGGCAGATTTCAACGTAAGCAAGCTCTCAGTCCCACCATTGTTGCGATAAAGGCGGTGACAGCAGGCAGGAGGCACTTACCATGTTGCACGATAACCAGCCAGACCTACTCAAGACCACACTAACAGTATGCTACATGCCTGACTGCAAATACGAGCCTCCTTTCGGCACAACTCCGCCTAATTTCCACATCTCAGTCTACGTTCTCGCACACAAGTATGATGCTCCTCGCATCCAATACTGGGCATTGAGACACGCCGCTGCCCATCTGAGACGGGTTCTGGACTCCATGCAATCCCACGTGCAAGAAGCCAAAAACCCATCGCGGCAGGTCCTAGCCAGCACAGTCAAAGCGGCGTACGACGTCAATGTCACGGACCGGAGTCAGGGATTCGACATGCTGCAGAACGCCATCATTGGTGTCGTCCTCAATCACCCTGCGACCACATCGTTTGGAGAGCCGAAGATGCGTGCATGGGACGTGAAACGCATCGCCAGTCTGGTTCGGGGGAGATTTGTTTTTGGTCATGCCGAGCGTGCATGTGCCCAATCGTCACCAATTTGCAGGTTGTGGACCCAATTAAATGCTCTGGCTATGGCTTCTAGCAATAGTTGGCATGAGGCGATGCTAGAGGAAGGTGTGGAAGTTGTGGTGCTGCGCAAAACTCGAAGATTTGCGTAGTGATATAGTAGATTCTCCCTACCGCTGATAGTCAAGTTCAGTCCTACATCTAGGGCAGGGAGGCTGATTCTGGAGCCGCGCGTCCCCAGAATTTAAGTCCACTGTGTGAAATCTCGTTTAGGAGCAGAGTCGAACTGTTGAAGGGGGTATGATTCATTGCTAGGTCCTATCTACCGTGAGCTGTTCGCTGGGACAGTACCTAGATATGCTGAACGTGCTATGAGAACACGCATATGGAGCATCTCGCCGGACCGCCACATACCATGTCGTTACAATAGTGAAAGGAGAACAAGATGGATATCAGTCTAATGCAAAGGACGAACAAGTCGGCTCGGCAAATGACGATCACGCTTCGGCCTCCTTAGTGCGGATAGGCAGGTCTTGGCTCTGCTTGTTCTTCTGTTGCTGCTCGACCGCCTGCGAAGGGTCTGACTCTTTGTCCTTGCTGGGGGCAGTATCTTCCTTAACGTCTGCGGTGCCTACGGTGCTATCGTCGGCGACGGCAGAAGTGTCCTCGACCTTGGGAGTATTGAAGCGCACCTTGCGGTCTGCAGTCTCGGAGATCCTCCTAAGCTCCTTGACGAACGACTCGCCCCACCATGCGCTGGTGTACTTCCTGACATATTTGGACAGCTTCTGGTAGTTGAGGTTGCGCTGCTCGTCGCCCATGGTGACCGCGTCGTGGATGGAATCGGCCAGCTCCTCGGTGTTCCAGGGGTTGACTATGAGACTGCCGTTCAAGCTCTGGGCAGCACCTGTGAACTCAGACAGAATCATGACACCATGGCGCTTCTCTTGCGTCGCAATGTACTCGTAGGATACCAAATTCATGCCATCTCTTGTCGAAGAGACAAGGCAGACGTCGGAAACGGAGTAGAGAGCAATAAGTTCGTCGAAAGAAACCGACTTGTGCATGAAGTGGATAGGCATAAATTCGATAGTGCCGAATTTGCCGTTGATGCGGCCGACGAGCTCGTTGACAACGGCGCGAAGGTTCTGGTACTCTTCAACATCCTGGCGCGAGGGAACAGCGACTTGGACAAGGACCACCTTGCCGATCCACTCGGGGTGCTCGGTGAGGAAGACCTCAAGGGCGTGCAGCTTCTGTGGCACACCCTTGATGTAGTCCAGGCGGTCGACACCGACAATCAGCTTGACGCCCTGAAACTTCTTCTCGAGCGCCGCAATGCGCTCCTGGACCTTAGGCTTCTGGAGACCCTCGTCGAACTTCTCAGGGTCAATACCAATGGGGAACGCGCCAACCGTAACAACCTTGCCCTGGAACTCGACACCGTTTGGTGTGGTAGCGAGACCCCTGCTCTGATCAGCTTATGTACTAGAATCCTTGGTTGAATCGACTTACAATATGCGCGAGCAGCTGCTCAGGAAGTGGCGAGCGTAATCATATGTGTGGAAACCGATCAAATCGCAGTGAAGTACACCAAGGAGGATCTCATTACGGACAGGCAGAATACGATAGATCTCCGAGGATGGGAAAGGTGTGTGGAGAAAGAAGCCAATCTTGACGTTCTTCTTCGTGTTGCCAATCTCTTCACGCAACATGGCAGGCATGAGCATAAGGTGGTAGTCGTGGACCCAGACCATATCGTTGTCTTGTACATCCTTAGCGACTGCCTTTGCGAAAAGACGGTTGGCCTCGGTGTAGCCCTCCCAGGCCGACTCGTCGAAAGTGATCTCTCCAGGGTGGTAGTGGAAGAGCGGCCACATGATGGCGTCTGCGGTTGGTCGTTAGCGTTGCTGAATACCCGGGGGTAATCTTCGCAAGGTTACTGACTGGAGAATCCGTTGTAGTGGCGGTCTGCGAGCTCGTCGTCGAGCATGATGGGGACGGCGTTGTACTCGCTCTTCAGCTGGTCCTTGAGGCCGCTAACCTCGTCCTCTGGAACTTCGAGACCGGGCCACCCATACCACTGGAAGGTGGTGGTCTTTGAAAGTCCGCTCAGACCGCTCACCAGTCCTCCAGAGGACATGGACATCTCGTACTTGCCCTCATCTGCGCGCTTGATGGTGATGGGCAGACGGTTGGAGACAAGGAGCAGGCGGCCCTCGTTTTGCTTTTCGCTCACGAGTTTTGTCGGGGTGTCTGAAGACATCTTGTGTCTTGTATGTAGTGTTCGCCGCGACGTGGGGTATTTAGGTAAGGTAGTCGCGGGGGTGACGGCGCGTTTTCGATCGGTGTGCGGCCAACGAGTACAGAGCGCGGATAGGCGGTGGAATGTCGATCGCGGACTTCCAAGTGATGAAAGGCACCGGAAGGAGGAAGTTTTCGGTGAAGCCCGAAGGTGACGAAAGAATGATTTTGGTTGTAGGAGGGACCCGCTCGACGCAGGAAGTGGGTTCTAGCAGAATCGACGATTCGCCTGAGGGATAACAATCAAGCAGCCCGCACTGCAGTCAGATGTAGGAAGCGGCTAGGCTAATCTAATATTCGAGGAGCCCAGGCTCGGTGGCTTGCAGCGAGTGATATTTGGTGGGTTATTGAAGATATGGCAGAGCTGCAGCGCAAACTCGCAAAATAGCTGTGACGTCGATTGAGCTCCCCGCGGTGGGCATCGGTGGGCACGGTGGGCACCAACTAGGTCGAAGTAACTTCACACGGGGCGGTGAGGGGCCAGGTGATCGAGTCCGCTCTTCCCATTTGCCCATCAGCATTTGCACAAGCCCCATGGTAAAAGCAAACTTCGGGCTCTCAAATGAGAACGCGCAGTTGGTATCGGCCCCGTTATGCTTGTGGCACTGTGGCTTGTGAAGCACGCAGTTGGACAACCCTCGCGGCGCTAGAATGAAGCTACCGCATGTTGGGTGTTCTTGCCGGACCTGCCCTAATTTCTTCCCGGGGCAGGCGCTAGTGAGGTGAACCGTCATCACGGCGCGTCACGCGTTTGAAGCAAACAACACTCGATTTCGCGCCAAATATGTCCGATTCAGAGCAGCCTTCCGATGCAGTGATCTTGAAGAAGCTTCAGGATGTTGTCATCTCACTGTACAAAGCAGGCAACACAGATGACTTGACTGTGAAGCGCGTACGGACGCGTGCAGAGCAAGCTCTTGGCTTACCAGATGGTCTGCTTAAAGGCGCCGACTGGAAGCAAAAGAGCCAACGTGCTATTATGGAGGCAGTTGTGAGTTCACTGGGTCTTGGAGGCCACTTGGACATGACCACTGACTGTGTTACAGGACAAATACTGCGGTGATGAACCCGAGCCTGGGCCTATGAAGCCCGCGCCGAAAACCTCGAACCCAAAGGCATCAACCAAAAAGGTCGAACCGAAAGCTGAGAGCAAGCAAGGCGCGAAGCGGAAGGCAGCAGCTCCAAAGAAGCAATCACAGAAGCGAAGGAAGACAGCGTCTTCAGAAGATGAGCTGTCAGACGAGCTTTCAGACGCAGAAAGCGCGCCTGCAAAGAAGCCGGCTCGAAGGACTAAGAACGTGGTTGAAGCAGAATCAGATGAGGAGGACGAGGTACCGCAAAAGCCCACGAGGAAAGCAAAACCAGTCGTCGAGGACGAAGACGACAGCGACGCCGAACCCGCAGCTACGCCAGCGAAGAAGGCAAAGACACCACCTCCGGCAGATGAGAGGGACATCTCAGAGAGCGAGCTGTCGAGTCTGCTAGACGAGTCGCCTGCTAAGAGCAAACGGCAGAAGAAAGCACCGGCAAGGAAAAAGAAGGAGCCTGCGAAACCCAAAGCCAAGGCCGCGCCAATGGCTGCCGACGATCCAGACACAGCAGAGACCAAGCGACTCCAAAGCTGGCTGGTCAAGTGCGGCATTCGTAAGGTCTGGTCAAAAGAGCTTGCCAAGTTCGACACGTCGAACGAGAAGATCCGACACCTCAAGGGCATGCTATCAGATGCTGGTATGGACGGCAGGTACTCAGATGAGAAGGCAGCTAAGATCAAAGAGAAGCGCGAGTTCGAGAAGGATCTGGAGGCCATACAGGAGGGTGAGGCTTCCTGGGGCACGGCTGAGGATATTGGTGGCAGGCCGAGACGCAGAACTGCCGCTCGAGCTGCGCCTGTGCCGAAGATCGAGTTCAGCGACGATGATGAGGAGAGCGAGGAACACAACGACGACATAGATGAGTCCAGTGAGGATGATCAGGACGATGACGAAGAAAACAGTAGCAAGGGCGCGTCTAATGATGATAGTGGCGAGGATGATTCCGAGTAGAGAATTGCAGTGCAGTTATTCTCGGCGTTTTGTTCAATTACCAGGGTGCCCACTTTGTCAGGTATATTCGATAGTCCTTCATGTAGTCCCCACCGGACGGCTCCGCGCGTGACACCAGGCACCAGACTGGGGATCGCGGATATGTCACCACCCTCCCTTGCTATCAATGTCTGAGCATGAGACCTGTCACCAACGAGCAAACAACACTGTCCCGCACTTCTTGCCTACGATATTGATTGACGTCACTGGAAATCCGCGACTGGTTGTCAGCTCGCAAGATGGTCACCGGGAGAGGTTCATGAAATACACTACTATTAGCCACAGATGGGGTCAAGTCGAGGTGCCACTACTTCGAGGCAATATCGATGAACTTCAAGCTCACATCCGTGGAGATCGTTTGACGCCTGCTTTTCGAGTTGCGATAGTTCGCGCTGAGAGGGACTGTGAGGAAGACACTGAGTATGGCCATGCAATCGTTGCCCAATCTCGAAACAATCGTCATCACTTTCATGTCTTGGATTGTCTTAAAACCGCTCTGGACCGAACGATACATTGCTTGTGGTCGATTTAATTGCTTTTCGGCGCCCGGAAAGTCGAGATTCAAAATCGGGAACAAGGGTATGGGTATGTACTTCAATCAAGGCCCGGTATTTCGGCTGGCTCTACCTCTCATCACGGAGATGTCCCTTCAGAGTAAGCCGCACGTCTACCTCGATTCCGTCCGATCTCTAGAAGGAGAAAATGACAAGGTCCGCTTCTTCTCCATCAATGAACCCTTGTGCCACGAGGTCCTCCGCTGTCACGCCATCTCCATCCAATCTGAAGGCACGATAAATACTGTGCGGCTGGACACTACTGCATACAGTCACGGATCTTCGGGAACCCAAGTTATCAAAGGTGAAGCATCTGCGCACTTCCTATATCCAGACACTGCCGACTCTTAGTCTCGCCCCTTGAGGGGACTGTTGCATTGGATAAGCCTTGGATCTCTCAATCTCTCTGGCGTCGTCTTCGATCAACATAACTTCATTTCTTGCATCTGTGCAGGCCAGGATACTCTCCGCACCGTGGATTTGAATTACGTTGTTGTCACTGATGGGACCTGGCGTGAGATACTCGAAGAATTTGTAGGCATGGAAAACTTACGGGTTGTCAACGGTAAAGGAATTGTCTTCCGCAGCAGGAAGAAAGCGGGCAATACGGAGATGAGTTTTGCGCATGCACATATTTGTGAATGAGTCTGTCTACGATCTTCTGCCATTTCAGATTGTTGTCCTCGTGGGGACAATGAATAAATTTATTGTTTGATGATAGTTTCTGAGCTATTCTATGCATAATGTCGCGATGGCTGATTGGCTGAATAGAGCAATGCCCGCCCTACGGCGTCTATAGTGTATCGGTGTCTTTCGAAGATGTACGTTTCTTGGATTCCTCGAAGCTCTAGGTTGACTCAGAGTCGACGCGCCTCTTACCGTGGCGGAAGGCCGCGAATGGAGGAAAGAAGAATCCGGGGTGGAAAACGGTGAGGCAGACGCATGCAATGCCAATCATCCTATGTTCGTTAGTAAAGTGCTCTAACTGATCGAGGTACCACTAGACTTACATTCCGTCGAGCAACAGGAATTCTTTCTCATTGCGCATCAGCGGATTGCCCCAGCCACCAGCCATCTCTGGTAGACGGTAGATGCAGCGAATGAGCACCGTGAAGTAGGACAGAGAAACCACTGCAGCGAACAGCTTGATCTTGCCAAGCGAGACGGTACCTTGCTCCTTGTTGAGCTGGTAGTTGCTCTTCTCGTTGAGCTGACCTCTCAGAACGGCACCCTTGCGGTATCGCCAGATGTAAAAGAGAACCAACAACCCACAACAAGCCATAGTGGCAACCTGAAAAGCGATACCAGCGATGATAAGGTTGTTGCCAGCATTGAGCAGCTTGATGTCGCTGTTTCCACCTGCGGCGGCGATACCACCACCGCAAGCCTGTAGAACGATTGACCCAATGTCGCAACCGATGAAGACCCAGGGGTATAGGCGTGGCTTGAGTGGAGAGTACTGTGGACCACAGTACAGCACAAAGTGCTTCAGTGTCAGGTAGATTGCGGCAGCGACCAGTGATGGACCCAGAATCAAGCAGACGATCTGCAGGCGGAATCCGGAGTCACTCCACGGGTTTCCATTCAAAAGAATGCGTCCAGCATATCCAGCAGTCTCGAGTAGTGTCCCAATACCGAGTGCGATCGTGTACGTCCATGTCTTTGTCCAGACACCAATGACCAGGGATGCAAGGCAACATAGACCGAAGAGTGCGAGGAAGAAGGCGTTGACGCTCAAGATAGGATAGTATCCATATGTTGTGGCGATGGCCGGGCATTGGGGGGTGACTTCTGTGCATTGCCTGAAGTTTCCTCTGGGCCTATCTTCTGCCGCAAGCGCAAGGGTGGTGAGTCCGGCAAGAATGGCGAGCGTTGTGAGACGTTTGGAACCCATGATCGGCAATCAATCGAACCGAGCCGGGGCTTGAGATCTAGGATGGAGATCTAGAAATTGTTCTGGGATGCGCCAAACGTGGGAAAATCGTTGGGGTTTGCACTGCTTTTGAATATCTAGGCACCGTATGATGAATCGTAGCCAGACATCTCTCATTCGCTTAGGTTAGTCCTTGCCGTACTGGCCGTATCGGTTAGAGGCGATGCTCGTTCTCGCTCCCAACTCATTCTCATTGGTGCACAGTCCCATCTGACTGTGTCGCTTGCAGCAGAACACAATGGCTCAACTTGGCCTGGTGGGCTTGGCCTGCGGATTCTCGATGCTGGTGGCATGTCGGAGACAGATGTCTACGATGCTTGCAAAGCTGAAGGACTCTGGTCGACAGTCATGCGCTGTTGTGAAACCGATGACTTTTGACAGCCAATGAGATGAGATGACGTAGTGGCGGGTGGCTTCACCCAACCGGCTGCTCCTTTTCCCGACGGGCTGACCCGGAATTCAGGAAAAGACCTTGATGGAACACGTTTTAGAACATGCATATCTTCCGTGCCAGGGTACAGCCGCGCAAAGTCATTTGATCTTAAAGCGATCCAGGCAAGCTCTGAAAAAGCGGGAGCTCTGAAAAAGCGGGAGCTCTGTGGTGAGTGCCATCCTTGATTGGACCAGCATATCAGAGCGTTGAGGCCTTTCCGCGCCACGTAAATACGCAATAACTGCCTCTTCACAAGTCACTTCCCAGCCCTTACGTCTGTCAGATGGGTTGATGGCGCTCATATGATGCGCGTGACGGTCATGTATTGGCAGGAGTATCACGTGGGTCTGGTCTGAATTGCCGTTCTGGGATGCGGGGTCTCGTGGACCAGGTAGCATCTCGAGATAACTTAAGATAGCACAGCAGCTCTTGAATTCAGTTTTTACGTAGCGGCCTCGGATCAGGATTTCTTTCCGCTACAGGTTTCGACTTCATACCCAGGTCCTTCTTATGGACCATGGCACCTTCACCGACCGAGGTCACTATCGAGCAAGAACCACCTCAGACACTGCTGCCAAAGGCTCCAAGCCGTGCTGAAGACTCGAAGCACAGATTTTTGAAGAGTCGCAATGGCATGTTCGTCTTCGTCTGCTCTTTCGAAGCCATCTTGAGCTTCATTTGCTATGCCACTTACAACAACGACTGACTCCTTGAGCTCACAGGATGCGTCACATGCAAGTCACGAAGAGTGAAGTGCGATGAGACAAAGCCGTCATGTAACCAATGTGCTCGTCGCCGCATAGAATGCGGTGGCTACAGGATGAATGTCAGGTTCAAGACAGCAGGAGAGCCGAAGAAGAAGAGCGCGATCGTCAAGAGCCCAAAGCAGTCTTCGTTCTCAGCAAACCGATCAAGAGCAGCGAGTAAAGAATCTCAGAATATAAGGGGTGGTACTGTGGCCGCTGCTCCAGTCATTGATACTGATGGCACAAACCAATGTCGATTTGAGAATACAGTAATGGGGCGTTCGCATTCCGAAGACTTGATGCATCTTAACTTTCTCAATTTTCTCGATCCAGATGTGTTGACAGCTCGGAGCATGCCAACACCCCAATCTACGGAGCTGCCGAACTTGCCCAATGTCAACCTTCACACATCATCACCTTTGATGCAAGATGATCTACTAGACTCCAACTTCCCACTCCAGGGACTTGGACAGCTCTCTGCGGAGGTCAATGCGCAATCATATTCACAAGAGTACGGACCACCATTCTGGGACATCAACTATTTTCTGGAGGACTACGTGAACTCGCTACCTACTACTCCTATCATGCTAGCGGATCTGGGATTCTCCCTTGGTGCATCTGTGCAAAACAATTCCGCCAACCCACAGGTCTCAAAGAACGAAAGAGAAAAGATAGCTATGTTGTTCCTCAAAACAACGTGCCACAACCTGTCGATTGAAGAAGACTCTGAAAAGAACCCTTGGAAAACCGTCATCTGGCCAATGGCTCAGCAATATCCAGCGTTGTACCATGCTCTCGCAGCCTTGACCTGCTTCCATACCAGTAAGGTGCAGCCTCAATTACGTGTCGATGGCCAGCGACATCTGCACACCAGTGCGCATCTCCTCTCGGGTGGTATCAATAAGAGTGAGATACCCTTGGATGCCGCATTGGCAGCGACCTTAGCATTGGGTTTTGCTGAAACGTGGGACAACGAATCGGCAGCAACTGGAATGACACATATCACTAACGCTGGCATTCTGCTGCATCAAATGATTCAGAACCGAAATACCGAAGTTTACACACAGCAAGAAGAGGCGCGTCTTGAATTTCTGTACAATACATGGACCTACATGGATGTGATCGCCAGATTCACTTGCCTGGATTTGTGCCCGCCAGTTCCTGACAGCCTCGTGGCAGCCACTATCGGTCGCTTGAACTTCAACACATCGAAACTCGATCCTCTGATGGGGTACGCAACCAAGCTCTTTCCTATTATGAGACGCGTTGCGGATCTCGTTTGCAGAGTCCGCGTGAAGAATGCACCTCGCAACTCACCAGTGATCATATCTCAGGCACTAGAGTTGAAGCGAAGTATTGAGGACTGGATTCCGCCAGTTGATATCGAGCTTCTTGAGGACCACTCTCAGTTGATGACCGATGCCATCCAAACCGCGGAAGCCTATCGGTGGTCTGTACTAAGCCTGTTGTATCAAGCTGTACCTGAACTCCCAAGTCAGACTTCCTATGGAGAGCTCGCACAGAAGATACTGGTGTATATCGCAACTATTCCACTATCGTCGCCCACAATCATTGTACACATCCTGCCACTCATCATCGCCGGTAACGATGCCGTCGAGGAGGAAGATCGCGACTTTGTGCGCGACAGGTGGAGGGCCATGTCCAACCGCCTAGTGACCGGCATCTTCGAGCGTGCTCTAGAGATCACTGAAGAGGTCTGGAAACGACGAGATCATTACTGGCAAGCACGACGACTGTCACGCGGGTTTGAAGATGCTGGGCCGGCTGAAAGTACCAGCCCTACCAATAATGCGAACTATGGCACCGGACCCGGAGCCGGGTCACCAGATTCGGGAGGACATCCCATGAACGCGATTAAGATTAGACCGCAAAATCGCAAAGTCAATCTGTTTCCAATATCTGCCGCGTTCAAGAAAGGCGTTGACACTATTACACGGTCGGGAAGTATTGACTACACCGTGCGTGGGAGTTTACACTGGCTAGGCGTCATGAAGGACTGGCAATGGCAAGGTAAGGATACACTTTTAAGATGTTGCCGACTTGCCACTGACAACAATCCTAGTTCTTCTGGGCTAATGTTCCGCAAGTGGCACCTTGATTTCATCATACTGAAGCATACTCGTCCTCATGGTACACCTCGAGCGCATGACTGGCGTTGGCTCTAATTTCTGCCATCGTATCGATCGACGAACTTTCATCCCGGAAAAAATGCAAACACTCTATGAATCTCAGTTTGAATACATCAGATCTTCGAGTTCCGACGCTTCGTGCTTTACAACGCCAGATTACTCTTTCAAGACCAAAACAAACGTCGTAGGGCTGATGCGGCTGAAGAAACGGCCCCACCACCGCACTAGTGAAAGCCCTTATCGATACCCCACTATGACGCCAGCCTCACTGTAAAAGTTGAGGGCTCTGGGATTTGCTCCAACTCGACAGCAAACCTGAAGCCGCAGCAGACGAAGAGACCATTACCTCTTGTCCTGGAGACCAGATAAATTGAAACCACACAGAGCCGGACACCATGGCCCAATCCACATCTCTAAGCGCACACCTGTCATCCCTCATCTCGGGTCACCCGAACCGAACAGCACTGGCCCAAGACGTAATCCCCTCACTCCTCAAGACGCTGCCATCCATCGCTCAAGCTCTACGGACAACATCCGTCTCGCAAGCCGGCAGCGCCAACACCTTCGGCGACGACCAACTAAACGTCGACGTGCTCGCCGAATCCCTGATCCGGTCCGCCATTGCCTCCGTGCCCTCAATCACCACCGCCAGCAGCGAAGAAGACCCCGTCGAGAAAGCCGCATACCAAGGAACATCGAGCTCAGAGCAAAGAGAGAAGTACACCATTGCCTTTGATCCGCTGGACGGGAGCAGTATCATCGGGCCGAATTGGACCGTGGGCACGATCATCGGAATCTGGGACGGGGAGACGGCGCTGTCGGATACGCGGACGCCGCGGGAGAGGCAGGTGGTGTCTATCCTTGGTGTTTTGGGGCCGCGGACGAGCGCGGTGGTTGCAGTGAGACTGCCTGGGACGGAAGGGAGTGTGTTTGAAGTCAGTCTGACGGACGACGGGGCGGTGGAGGTTCTAAGGCTGAGCGTAAGGCTGAACGATAGTCCGAAGACGAGATACTTTGCGCCTGCAAACCTGCGGTGTGCGGCAGAGAACGAGAGGTATGCGGCGCTGGTGAATCATTATATTCAGCAGAAGTATACGCTAAGATATAGTGGTGGGCTGGTGCCAGATGTGTATCACGCGCTGGTCAAGGGGCATGGGATTTACACATCGCCGGTGACGGAGAAGAGTCCGGCGAAGTTGAGGAGGCTGTACGAGCTGACGCCCATTGCGCTGCTGATTGAGTGCGCTGGAGGCGTAGCGCTGGACTCGGTGGATGGGACGCATGTGCTGGATAGGCCGGTGAAGGACACAGATGAGAGAGGTGGACTGGTGTGCGGAAACAAGGAAGATGTCGAATTTGTCAGGGGCCAGTTGCTTGCGTGATTGGTACATGGATCATCACAGTTGAGATGATCCGTGGAGTCAAGAGAAGGGAGCTTCATGTATGGCACAGCCAGATTCCCGTCAACCTGAGTGGCGCTCAAATCTACCCAATGCCACGGGGTGACATTCCAAAAATTCGAAAATCATCAGCCAATATGACGAGCAAGTAGGCATCACATATTGAGGTTGTGATATGTTGATTCGGTGGGGGTTGAGGCTCACATGCAGCATGCTACATGCCCTCACCTTGACTGCTTGTCACAATGCTGCCTTAGGACCTGATTGTTCGAAAGTCTCGCCGTACAGTGGCAGTACCCTATCGTTCTTATTTTCTGCGCATCGCCAGGCCCGCCTTGAGAAACCCAATCTTTGGGGGTATGAGTGGACCGGCAGTACAGTTGCTGCCATGATCCGTGTCAGTATGGTATTGTAGTATGATATCTCCAGTACAGCGTTGCCAGTACAGCGTTGCCAGTATAGCGTTGTCAATACAGTGTTGTCAATACAGTGTTGTCAGCATGACTTTCTCAATATGTTATTGTCCATAAAGTGTTGCTAATCTCTTCGCAGTAGTGGTCTGCACAAGAATTATTTACCAGCGTCTAATCAGAACCAGTTCGCATCGACGTCCTCCCCGTCCTCGCCGTCCAGCCACAGAGCAGAAACACTGACATTGTTAAAATGCGCTCAATCGACCTCACTCGCATCCCCTTGCTCCAGCAGTCGCCCGTGTTGTGGCGTTCGGAATCGCGCGGCACGGTCCGGCATGCCAGGCATTGCTGCATATGACCTGGCGTTGATGGCACCGCGCTGTGTGGATGTAGTCTGTTCTCTGGCAGCTAGCAGGTCCGTATCAGCGTCGGTAAGGTCCCGCTCAAGAGCTGCGGCCTGCTTATCGTGCTTGGAACCGATGTCGCTGAACTGCTGCTTGATATTTCGCCCGGGACGTTGACAGACCCCAGAGCTTGCCGTGTACAATCGTACCCATATTCATGCTACATGTCACTTCTTCAGTTATTCACGTCTCTTACTACATCTGTGCATGAACCGTTGCGGGGACTAGTATCCAAACATCTCGATTAGAAATTATGTACAATCATCTTCCCAGCAGATCTCCCCCGCATCTCCTGACATCTAATCAAACATGTATCAGTCCAAGCGAAAGTGGCGCGTCAATACGCATCAATGTTGCTCATCCAGTGGTATCTTTTGCAAGCCAAGACAGGGACCGCTCCATTCGAAGTGACCGAGAAAAGGAAATGTGCATAGGCGTGGTGTAACAAGAAAATTCAAAAGTCGTAAGAGTGTCGTGCAATTTTCTGCGTGTCGAGCTCGGCTGTGGAAGATGGACGTTAACATCCACCCACAACGACCGAAACGTGGACGAGAGGGCTGACTGATCGGCTCGACGTTGCTGAAGATAAGGAGCGTTTGTGTACCCGAGCGTGAAGGTGATCTCCCCGCGGAGTACTGCAAACGATTAGCTGTGTCTCGCGACCTAGTTATTGATTCCAAAGGCCCGCCTAAGGCCCTGAAACTTCTTCTTCTTGCCAGTCCTGCCGAAGCTCACGGACCGACCCTGTGCGTCGAGGACCGGGGAAGTGGCAGTAGTGGCGGTGGAGAACTGGCTCGACTGTCGCTTGCCGAAACGCGGTCTACGTGCAGCACCATCTGAACTCATGGGACGCTGCTCGCCGGTGACGGGCGGAGGTGGTGCAAGGGGCCAATCAGGCGTTGAACGGCGTTGAAGCTTAGGGGATCTGGGCGACTGTTTGACCTGCGGTGAAGCGGTGACGGCTGGGGAGGCGCTAAGTTGCTTATCATCATCCTCACCGATAGGCGTCAGTGGCCCACCAACCTCACGGTTGCGTTGCTGTGGCGGCAAAGGAACATCTGGGGTTGGTGATGTTGGCTGTGGTGCTTGCGAAGTCTGCGCTGGCGCAGGTGCTGGTGTAACAGCACCCTTCTTCTTCTTACCCATACCGAAAAAACCTCGCTTCGCTTTGGTGGCCGGCGACGACGGGGCATGCTTACTGTCGCGCAGTGATCCAGCGGCTAAGGCTGTGCCTTGGGTAGTTACAGCGCCATTGGCGTGCCCGTTGGGAACATCGGTAATAGGGGGAGCCGATGTTGATGGCTTCGAGGCTTCCATCTCCTCCTCGAGATCTGTGGAATCGCCATCTTCTTCGCCAGCCTTGCGTGGAATGCCACGTACGGGCGCTAAGCCAGGGGGTAGCTCGTATGGCTCCGGTTCAGAGTCAGAGTCCGCAAAGCGACTTGCGAAACGCCTTGGGCGCTCCTCGTCCTCGTCACTAGAATCGGCGAAACGGCTCTGGAAGGCTCGCGACTTGGCTGGGGCGGGCGCCGGCGCCTTTCCTTTCGGTTCCGGCATGGATCTAGGGCTAGGTAAGGAAGGAACAGGTGGCACGTCCTTGGGCTTCTTGCGGAACCGTCCGGCAGGCGACAAGGATCTGATGCTGAACCTAGACGACTTTACAGGCTCGGGAGAGGACGATCGCATAGATGGACGGAAACTGGACTGAGCAGGCTTGGGTGGCGAAATAGATCGAACCTGTGCCGGAGCAGGCGCTGAAGCTCGCATGGTGTGACCAGCAGGTCCACCTCGCATGGAGGTTCTGGAGAAGCCGCCGCCACTGTTTCGGCGGGCACGGCTACGATGGAAGCTGCTCGCTGATGCGTCTGAGTCGCTGTCGTAGGTTGGTGCGGGAGCAGCCATTTGTTTTCTGGGCGCAGCAGCTGGTATACTCTGTGGTCGAGCCTGTGATGCAGCTACAGCGGCCGGAATGTGCTTCTTCTGCAGTGCTCCCCTTGGAGCCTTGGTATCGACGGGTGCACTCTGACGGGATGCAGCGAGAGCCATGTTGGTTGCGGGTGCAGCGTCGCCACGCATACTAGTGCGTATCTGGGATGCAGCTCTAGGTCCAGGGCTTGCGTTTCCGCGCATGGTGGTCCTCATCTGCGATTGCCCCGAGGATGCAGCCCTAGGAGAAGCACTTCGCATGCTCATTCTCATCTTAGGTACACCGGAGCCAGGTGTCTGTGCAGGCGCAGGGGAAGGCGTAGTTTTCTTGAGAGCAGACTTGAGAGGCTTGTTTGGCGTTTGCAAGGGCTGGGACGACATCGACGCTCTTGATGGCGCTTCCAACATGGAGACCTGCGGCGTTGTTTGCGGGGCTGCCTTCGGCGAGGCTTGCACCGCAGGCTTGCGTTCGGTACGAAGCTCCGCCTCTTGCACCGGAGCTTGCAGTACCCGCGCAGCAACAGTCTGTCTATGCGTATCTGTCTGTACAGCAGGTCTATCGTCGTGGTCTCGAGGCCGGTTGATACCGCTCCAGTGTGCCCTTGCAGCTTCCCACTCGCTTGTCGACGTATCCACAAGCTTGTCCTTATCGACAGTCGATGTATTGCTCTTGGAGCGAGGAGTTGGACTCTCGGTGACGCTCTTGTCAGCCCACTTGGAAGCCATCAGTCCAGGGCTTGGTCCAGCTACCGGGCTCTCAACGATCGCATTAATACTGCCAAAGCCACCATCCTTATCAGAGATGTCCTCGTACGCGTCACTGTACACACTGCTATTGTCCGTATCGTCGTCGTCTGGATTCGTGGTGCTCGGTGGCTCATTTAGCTGCTGCTGCTGCTGAATCGAAGCTGGAGTCTCGATTGGCGCGAATTGCACGGCTGCATACGAGGTTGTTGGAGGCTGCTGCTCCTCTTCTTCAGTCCAGCCGCCGGGCGCAGACATGCTCTGGAACTTTGGCTCGGGGTGCTCGTAAGGGCTCGGTGTCGCAGGGAGAACGGCAATGTTGGGCACTTCGGCAATCTGCTCCGAGATAGCAGGTATTGTAGAGGGCGTCTCTGCGGTTGGCTTCGTCAAAGACTTGGGCTCGCGGACCGGCAATGTTTCCGTTGTTATTGGATCGGCGTGTTTGCGTACACTCGACTCGCCATCTGTAGAGTAGTTCGAGTCAGACACATAACCGCTGCCTTCAACAGAAGTGGCTTGTGGGGGCAGAGGATCGTCAGTAGCGCTCTGCTTGGAAGCAAAGTCCTGAGCGACCGTATGGCCTAGGCCAAGGTCGGTAGAAGCCTCCATTGAATCTCCTACTGACGCCACCGATGCTGACATGGGAGTAGAGACGGTCTCAGTGACCTTTTGGGGAATGTCTTCTTCGTCGCGTTGTCGAGTCTTGTCGCGCACGCTGCCGAAAGACGGCAAAGCTGGGCGGGGCTTCATGAAGTCGTCGAACTCTTCCTGGACCGCGGGAGTCGGTTTCGAAGGTTTTGGGCCAGCGGGCGAGACTGGCGTGTCCATGTCTCCATATGCAGCGTAGCCAGCAACAGTAGGCTCTTGCTCGAAGCTGACCCGTACTGTCTTCTTCTTCTTTCCATACCCACTCTCAGAAGCGGTGTCAGACGCGCCACTGACCGAGGCTGCCTTGCTGTATACACGCTGATTCGGTCCAAGCGGTGAATTGCTGCGTCTGGACACTGAGGGAGATGACTTGAGGGCGGACTTCGCAGGTGACACAGATCGTGGCAGAGGCTCATGCTTCAAGCCAGCAAGCACACTCGTGTTTGGCGCAAAAGTAGCGTGACGAGCGGGACTCAGGGAAGCCTGTCTTTCGGTCTTGACGGTATCGCGGACTTGTTCAACAGGTATGTTCGATGCTGTCTTCGCCGGTGTACCGATGCGTGGATATGAGCTGTCCAGGGTTTGCACAAACTGTGATGACAGTTCAGTCTGAGGTTGTTGAGCTGTGTTGGCTCCACCCTTGTCAATGGGGATAAAGGCGACCGGCTCAATGTCAGCGTTTGCATAGTCCTTCGAATGCTGCCTGGCGACGGTGGCTCCAGACGAGCTTGGCTGTGAGGACGGAGGTGTCACTGGGCGGTCTTCGAATTTCCGCGTCTCCGCGGCGTCGGTTTTGGGCAGCAGAGGCTGTGCCACGGAACGAGGAGGCGACTGCTCTGGCCGCACAGAGTGCCGAAGCGGGCTGGGCGTGCGGCCACGACCGGATTGCAGCGGTGCGGCAGACCGGAGGTGCTGGGAGACGTAGTGCTGCGCAGGCTCTTCCGGTTGCTCGTGCTGCTCGCGATGGATGTTCATAGCATCTTGCTTGTGGATGAAGGTTCTTGTAGACGGATCGTAGACAGCGTCCGGCGACTTGGGGTCTACTTGCCGTGGCGACTGCGTGCTTGCTGGCAGGAAAGACCTCGACTGCACAGCTGTGCCGGAAGGCTTTGCGCGCATGCCGCCACTCGAGAGGCGCATGCCCTCCTGTCCGCCCTGCACATAATGAAGGCTGACGGGACGACCGGCGGCGTTCGCCACTGCTTGTGCTGTGTTGGTGGCGTAGGGCGCGCCTACGGATTTTGGTCGCCCTGTTGATGCCATGCGCTGGACTGCCTCCTGGTTGACAACGGGGCCGCCGAACCAGCCAGAGCTGCTCGACGGCCCGCCCGAAAGCCCCGGCGACATTGGGCGTGAGAAGTTGACCGACTGTCGCTGATCGTGTCCCTCTTCTGAGACCTGGGCGAGGGGACTGCCGACACGCTGCGGGCGGTGTGCTGACGGCCCTGGGCCTCTGTCCAGGCTCACGCCTCGGCCTCCTCCCCGTTGAGTCGGCGATGCGCCGCGGCTGGCCGGCTCGAGGCTGGATGCGCGTCGATGAACGCTGCCGCCGGATCCAGGGATGTTCTGGGGCACGGCGGGAACGGGCGGAACAGCCGCGTTGCCTCCGTTTGGGGACGGATTTCGAAAGGAGCGCTCGGTCATTGACCCCGTGCTCGACTGGCGATGCAGGCCCTGCGGTCTCTGGCTGCCCTGCGACGATGTCGAGCCGCGGCGCGCCATGCGCTTCGTCACCAGTTCGCCGACAGGGGTCGGGCTGGACGTGTGGGAGCGCAGCGCGGCGGCGGCAGCGGCATTGGAGAGGGTCGCATCAGACGCCTGGTTCTTGACGAAGGCCTTGGTGGCTGCGAGCGATGCGGACGTGCTGGGCGGCGGCGCTGCTCTCGGGGGCTGCATTGCGCGCGGCGGTTAGCATCGCGTTGTCGTCACGGCCGTCCGACGACCACCGTTGCTGGGTTCTTATCTTACCGGATTGGAAGCTGCCCTCCGTCTTTTGGAGAACATGGTGGGGACGGCGGATTATTGATTATAAATTATGGGCGGGCGCGACTGCTCTGCATCGCCCAGCCGTGGAATGCGCCGAGGTGTGAGTGTGAATGTTTTGCGCGTGGTGACGTATGTGCCGGAGAAACAGCAGAGAGAGCGGTGGACCAGCGCACAAACAGCGTGGTGACACGGCAGCAGGAGGGGCGAGGACGTGAGGGAGCGGCGATCAGATGGGGCTTCAAGGCGATGCGTTGATGTTTATTTAGTTGGCAGAATGCGGCCGTGAGCTGGCTTTGATCGTCACCATGCGTGTCCGCTAATCGTCTAGAGCGGAGGACCGTGAGGCGTGGCTCCACGGTACTGCAGGCCTCAAACAGCCCTGACAGGAGCGATTCGCTGAGACCGCGGACACAGGCTCAAACAACGCGTCGTCTCATCACGAGAAGCGTCTTCACGATTCAAGTGGACGCTCGAGCGTGTGCCTGTTCAGGCGTCGAGGGTGCCGCTGCTGCCAAACTGGGATTGATAGAGCTGCTCGACGTCGAAACACCCAGGCTTCAATTTTGGCTCGCTCTCACTGCGACACGCCATACGCCCAGCGGCCACTTCGCCTTCACTTGCATCTCTTGCACTGTTGTTTACCATTGAACATGCGGCGACATGCATCAATCGACACACGGGCCCCTGATTTACGTTGCAGCGAACCATAGCGACCCGCTTTGATCTGCCAGAAGCGCCGACGCCTGGAGCGCGGACTCGCTAACGACAGAGAGTCTAGTGCGTGATGACGTAGTTTGAATTCTGGCCAACTTCCAGTTCCCGGATCCAGTTTTTCGGGCACGCTCAGACGGAAGATTGACGAGAGCTTTGACAGACCGTCTTGCGGGTGTCGGTGTTGACAAGTCAAGGCCAGATGCAGCAGTGGACACGATTTAGCCGACTTGCAGACACCTGCACTGGAGCTGGCAACAACCAGTTCACCCAGTCTTTGCAGCACAATGAACGTCAGGAAATCGTCTGGTCACTCTGTACTGGGTCACTGTGACGGAGGGTACGTGATGTAAGTTTGGTAAGGGTTACGCGACCCCTACAGCTGTACCTCCACTTAAGCTTTTCCCGAGGACCCGCGGATATGTAGCCGATGCATATGTAATATGTACCACACCCCGCACGTACAAGCCTCAGATCGTGGCTCGCATGTGGTACCAGATCTGCAACGCAATTTCCAACTCCAGACATCACGAGGCCCAAAGCACGATTCATACACAGTAGGGTTGACCATCAAGGCGCTGACCCTAACCACTGTTACCATGTCTTCTTCAGCAGACCTTCCGCCACTGCCTCTACCTGCGGGCGTGACCGAGAACTACGTTCACTGCCCGTCGAACGGCCTGACGTTCCACATCCTGGAAGCAGGTCATACACCCGAACGTGACCGCCCGCTCATCGTACTGACCCATGGATATCCTGAGCTCGCCTTCTCATGGAGGAAGATCATGGGCCCACTGGCTGACGCAGGTTACTATGTCGTTGCCTTCGACCAACGGGGTTACGGACGCACCACAGGCTGGGACAACTCGTCGTTTGACAAAACAGATATGTCTCAATTCACTTTAACGACCATTGTCCGCGACGTCGTTGCCCTCGTTCATGCACTGGGCTATCGCCATGTCAAATGTATTACAGGACATGATTTCGGTGCAGTCACGGCAAGTTTGGCTGCTCTTGTCCGGCCGGATCTGTTCAGGAGCTGTATCATGATGAGCCACCCCTTCAAAGCACCAGCTTCGCTACCCTTCAATCTTCGCAATGGAGACGGGCCGCCAGCAGCACCAATGGACATCCAAGCAGAGCTTTCCAAGCTGCCAGAGCCGAGGAAGCACTACAAGTGGTACAACAGTACGAGCGAAGCTGCCCCACAATGGAACAAGCCTCCGCAAGGGATGGAAGCATATCTTCGAGGTTACTTACACGTAAAATCTGCCGACTGGAGCAACAACAACCCTACAGCACTCAAGGAGTGGTCTGCAGAAGAACTGGCGAAGATGCCTCACTACTACATCATGCCCCGCGATAAGTCAATGCCGGAAACTATTGCCGACATGATGGAGACTGAAGACACATCTGCAACCAAGCGATGGATGTCTGACGAGGACTTGGGTGTGTATGTCCAGGAGTGGTCGAGGACTGGCTTCCAGGGCGGACTCAACTTCTACCGCACAACAACGGATCCAGCGAAGAAAAAGGACCTCGAGATGTATGCTGGCAGAAAAATTGAATGTCCAAGCGCCTTCATCTCCGGCAAGCAAGACTGGGGTAATTTTCAAGAGCCCGGCGCTATCGAGGACTACCCCAAGTCATGTTCGGATTTCCGTGGTGCCAGGTTCATCGATGGCGCGGGCCATTGGCCACAGCAAGAACAGCCAGAGAAGGTTGTCGAAGAAATGTTGCAGTTCCTCGGCAGCCTTTGAGCTCACATCGTTCTAGCTTGAGTTTACAGGCCATCCCTCGAGGGCATCGTCCGTTTGCGTACATGAAACACACCTTCTCTCATCATCGGCCCGCTGCGAAACCTGTGATTGCAGTTCTAGTAGTGTACCGCTAGTTGGGGCCTTTCAGTGTACATGCTACTTGCACAGGTGGCGCCCACCGCTGCGAACCGCAAGGCCATGCCGTCTACTACCTTCACTTTCAATTGTCTTGGCACATCTGGATCCCATTCCGTAACCACAGATGGCGTCATATACAAGCCCAGTCTCTTGCACTGAAATCGCTACCGTCGGCTTCAACCAATTGTGTTTGTTTCAAGTGAAGGCCACACTACGCGCGTTGTGCAGGCACTGCACAGTCATCATGGTCGACGACCCACAACACCTTTCACTGGTTTGTCCCACCTTTATTTCGAATACCTCTCTACACAGAGCTTTACCCTTGACGCGTCGATTATCTCAGTTGCCGTGGAGAGATCGCTAGACTTCCCCCAACTCTGCGGCCGCGCAATCACTGCGGCCACCAATCAAAACCCCGCAACAGACCCGATCGATTCCGCAATTTCCGCAGCGCCCCAGCCCGATATAACGGACAACGACAGACATCATCTCGGTCTGTGACCGCACCGACATGAATCTGCCTGGTGGGCAGCTGGCTCATGCAGAGCGCAACCGCCCGCGCTGTGGAACAAATGAGACCTTCGATTCGACATCGACCTTCATAGGCTCCGAAAGGTGTGATAAATGGACGGAGGTGAAGGCGTTCGAATACCAGCTCAGTGCAGACGATTCACTTTCATCACATCCAGCGTCCGCCACTGGAGACGAAACAGGACAGCCGTTTCACGAGCAAGCAACACCCCGGCGGTGGCAAAGCTTTTGTCTACATTGGCTTACAGCGTATCGAGTGTTGATCTTCGTTATCATTTTGATCAATGTAGGAACGATGATCGCACAGCTGGTCGCCAATCCAGCAGTAGAGGCGTCCCTTACGGCCGCAGCTGTCAACATTATGACCGCTGTCGTGTTGCGGCAAGAGGACCTCATCAACTTCAGCTTCAAGCTCATCTCCAAGCTACCACCAAGCCTGCCACTGTCCATTCGTAAGACGGTCAGTGACTTTCACCACTACGGAGGCGCGCACATTGGGTGCGCACTATCAGCAATGCTCTGGTACATCATGTTCACTCGTTTGAATACCGGTCGCGTCCTCGGCCTCCTTTCACTGGGCCACATGACCGCACTGCTGTACATCGACATCGTCACATCGTACACTGTCTTACTCGCCATCCTCGTCGTCTGCCTCACAGCCATCCCGCGATTCCGCGCCCGCTTCCACAACACCTTCGAAGCCACCCACCGCTTCGGAGGCTGGGCCACCCTCATCATCCTCTGGATGCACGCCGGCATCACCACCCTCACCCCAGACGCCTCCGTACCGCTCTACGCGCACCCCTCCCTCTGGCTCCTGGCCCTCACAACGCTCCTCCTCGTCCTCCCATGGCTACGCATACGCAGCGTTCCCATCACCGCGCACCGCCTCTCCGCACGAGAACTCGAACTCTCATTCCCCCACGCCCGCATGCCGCACACATGCACGCTCCGCTTCTCCAGCGCGCCGCTCACGGAATGGCACGCCTTCGCCACCATCCCCGCCAGCGGTTCGACGAGCAAGATCATCGTCTCAAAGGCGGGCGACTGGACAGCACGCGTGTTCGCGAATCCGCCCGAGCGGCTCTGGATCCGCGACCCGCCGACGCTCAATTTCCTCGCTTTCGTCCCGTTGTTTAAGGCGGTGCTGCTCGTTGCGACTGGCGCGGGGATTGCGCCGGTGCTGTCCCTGCTCTGTTCGCCGGCCATGCAGCGTATGAATGCTGAGCGTCGCAAGGTACGTGTTATGTGGTGTGTCGCTGATCCGTATGCGGCGCACTGGAGCTTTGCGATGGAAGCGATCAAGGGTGTTGATAAGCAGGCGGTGGTCTTCGATAGTAGGGTTGCGCGGCCGGATGTTGCGTTTGAGACGCGCTGGCTGGCGGAGAGAGCGAATGTGGAGGCGGTGTTTGTCGTTAGTAATCCAAGGGTTACGAATGAGGTGGTGCGGGAGTGCAAGGTGGGTGGGTTGGCGGCGTATGGGGCGGTGTTCGATTCCTGAGCGGCGGGTCCGCCGCGTGTCTGGTGGGCTTCGAGATGAGCTTGTTGGATATGTTACAACAGTTACCGGCGAAACACGACGTCATCACGATGGTGGGGTATCCGCGGGTTCAGATACACCCATGCAAGAAGAGCTGGAAAGCACGATGTTCGTCGCCATCCTGGCATTGCGTGTGCAAGGACATGTTCGTAGACAGTCGAGTACAGGCACTTGGTAATGTTGAAGATCAAATGGACTATACAGAGTTGTTTCACCGATAGTGATGACTGCAGCGGTAGTCTGGCTAGTATGCAGCATCGTACACGTAAGGCTCAGCAATGATCGCTCCTTTCTCTCCAACTCTATTTTCGATGAGTGATGTAGCACGATGAACCCGAGCCTGGCGCACTTATATCCTATCGTTTTATTAATAACGGTTCAAAGCGCCTGTGTCGGGCTTTTTACGCTGACTTCGGAGGCGTTCAGATCCTGCTCTTCTATCGTCACGATGGGCATTGTAAGTCTCGGGTCACGATGAAGGCTACAGAGCTCCCTTATTATCAGACTGCACACTGTTTCACACAACTCTGCCTGTGATCAGGCGATACGGCCTCACCAACGCCGTCTTACATGCGGGAGTGTGGACTCGGAACAAAAAAAGTTTGCAATTCTGCTGAGCGATGTCTCATCGAGCGGCGGAAGAAATGTCCGCATTACTACGCGCTTCACGAGAACAGTGGCCTTGAACCATACTCAAAAGTACGAGAACCTGACATACGAGGTATGCGAAGCGGGTCCTTCGTCGCCCTTTGAATCATGACCAAACCAGGTTTGGGCAAATAACCTAATTCACTGTCCCGAGGCGCGATCTGAGGAGATTTGAGAGATGGCGCAACCGGAACATGAATAACGTCGACAGAATCTTCGACCGATACGACAGCTGGAGTCGTTCGGACAGACGCGATCGTACTGTCTGACACTAACCAGATATCACGAATTGAGTCTGCGTAGCTGTTGATAGCTAAACTCCTCACATGGCGGAGAGCGACGAAGAATCACCAGGTCAGACGCGGGCTATATCATCAATATCACATACCCAGGAACGCCCAAAATTCCTCATGCTCGTCGAGTCAAACAACTCGGAGTGTGACCAACTACCCCTGGCCTAACAAAACAGAAGGCGCCATTGCCAATATTGCAGGTGTAGATGTAGACTTGCTCAGAGAGAAACCCCAATCTCCCTACGGAGCGCCACCATTGACCAGGCCGCAAGTGCAATGCTCTCAGAACTATTGAAGATGTTGTCGCCTCGCTAGTTTACACGCCAAGGCTAACGCAGGAGGAAATGAGCGTGCGGGACGTAGCACGTTGTATAGCGCCCAGCTAGCTAACTTTACCTCTTGGGACCACACTGAATCTCCACACCTGCGCATTGCGTCGCATCGATCAAAGCCAGCAAATCGATTCGAGCAAGGCACTGAAGAGCAAGGCACTCAAGGAAACAGGAGGTCGGCGAAGGCATGTTTGCAAGTTGACGATCATTATTATTACTTCTCCTTTGCTTCGGCAAACGACAATGTACTCAATACACACATACCACTCAACCAGCGCCTAAGAAGGGTATATACAACTTAATCTCCCGCTCCATTGTGTGCCTCATACCAGGTGCTTCCTCAGTCTTACAACATGTAAACGGCAAACCCAGCAACCGCCGCCAGGGCGCCAGAGATAGCGGTCTTGCCCGCAGCACCAGTGAACTCTGCCGGCGCACCGGTGCGTGTGCTCGTAGCATTACCGCTTCCAGATGCACCTCCAGATGCACCTCCCATCCCGCTTCCCATTCCGTAGCCAGGCATCGAGACGATGGATGGCTTGGTGGCGTTGTTGCCTGCCTCGCATGAGGGAACGGGCGCGTTGGAGCGTGTCACCATGACGTCGGCTGCAGGACCGGTTGGGCAGCCTGCCTTGGCGGTGATGGTAGTCGTCACTGAGGCAGCGGGTGCGGACGAGACGGCGGGCATGGCGGACATGCTGCCTGGGGATTCCATAGAGACGGAGCTGGCTGAGTATTGGCTGTGGTATGTTAGTGGATGATGTTGGTAAGTAGGAGGATGATCAGAGTGATGGGAAAGAAGTTCAGAAGAGTAAAATTAGAAGAGAATATGTTGTGACAAGCCATATATGTTGATATACGATGGTGGGAATAAGAGTACGAGATCTTGTCTGACTTACGCGGAGACGCCAGCGGCGAGCGCAACGGCGGTGATGAGAGTGAATGACTTCATGTTGAAGATGATGTGTTGATTGACGAGTCTAAAGTATGGAGGTTTGAGATGACTTTGATTGAACGAGTGACTTCGAAAGACTGGACAACAATGTAAAGGAGACTTCGCCTTCGTTCTTTATATTGATCGGCGCCAACATTGACCCTTAACCATCCAAGACTCTAGCCAGCGGGATTCAAAACCAGGGCTGAATTCAGCCAATTCGCCGCTTCTACGGCGTGTGGATTGAGTTTGTCAAGTGCCGATGCCGCTTTCGATCAAGAGAGGGCGCAGCCAACGGCGAGGCTGCTCATTTCCGGCACCTCAACTTACCGTTCTTCTGCCGTGCACGACTACAAAAAAATATCCAAATCCGTAAGATGAGCAAGGGAAGTGCCGTCTCTAGGCGCATCGTAGTCAACGGTAGTGTTGGTGTAGAGGTCTGAGTCCGGAAAGCTCAAGTTCCAGCCAGCCCACTATACGCTTTCGGGCGTAGCATTCCACGCCAGCCCCGGGCTCAACCAATCAACGACATGTTCCTCCTGACCTCACACCGCGTTAGTGCCCGACGTCACCACGATGAGTGCATTCTGTCCGGAAGCGTGCGTTCCGTGGAAGAGGTGCGTTCATCTTTTGCAGGGACTGGGGAGGCCACTCACCTCCAGACTACCCTTTCGAGAAGCCTCGAGTGCCTATTTCAAATGCCCCTTTCCGGATTCAGATGGGCTGAGCGCGGGAGCCTGTGTATTGTTTGCAGTAGGGCGATGCTCGAAATTTCCGTGAGTCCCCGGATGTTGATGGGACCGCACTATTGTAGGTCATTGCCAAAGACGGTAAGAATGATGATGGCTGTGGACTGGCGATGAAAGCGTGGATGAGAGAGAAGCCGTCTGCGCAACGGACCATGGATCGAGAGCTCCGGGGTGGTATAAGTTAAGAAGAACTCGCCTTGCAAATAATCATCATCAGACAATTTAACAGCAGTCTTCAGCCTCACTCACTTCTTCATCCTTCCATCTTCAACAGGTTTATACCTTCACATCCTCCATCACAATGAAGTCCACATTCGCTGTCGCTGCTCTGGCCGCCATTGCTTCTGCCGCTCCCACCAAGCGTCAAGCTACTGGTCCTACCGATGATGTTATCCTCAACTACGCTCTGACCCTCGAGCACCTTGAGAACACCTTTTACCGCGAGGGTCTTGCCAACTTCACCGAGGCCGACTTCCAGGCTGCCGGCTTTGGCTCTGATGTCTACAACCGCATCAAGACCATTGGCTCCGACGAGGCTGAGCACGTCAGCTTCCTCTCTGGTGCTCTGACCGCCGCCGGTGCGAAGCCCGTCCAGGAGTGCACCTACGCTTTCGGTGTCACCAGCGTGCAGAGCTTCCTGGCCACCGCCTCCGTCCTTGAGGGCGTTGGTGTCAGCGCCTACCTCGGTGCCGCTGCTGACATCATGTCGAAGACCTACCTCACAGCTGCCGGCTCCATTTTGACCGTTGAGGCCCGCCACAGCGCCTACATCCGCAATGTCAACAAGCAGAGCCCCTTCCCCCAGCCCTTCGATGCTCCCCTCTCTTACAACGAGGTCTTCACCCTCGCAGCTGGTTTCATCACGGGCTGCCCCGCTGACAACCCTGCTCTTCCCGTCAAGGCCTTCCCCAGCCTGTCGACCTCCAGCAAGGACATGCCGATCAAGACCGGCTCGACCATCACGCTCGGCACCGCTGGCTACAAGATCGAGGGCACCGTCTATGCTGCCTTCATCGCCGTCACCGGTCCCACTTTCGTCGAGACAAAGGCTGTCAACGGCGGCTTCGAGGTTGTCGTCCCCAAGGGCTTCGCCGGCCAGAGCTACGTCGTCCTCACCAGCTGCAACACTGCTGCCACCGACGACACCATTCTTGCCGGCCCTGCCGTCGTTGAGATCTCCTCTTAAGCGTTGGTCGCTGGGAAAGACTGGTTGTCAATAAGTACGAGGCCGCGATGTATATACCTATTCTACCTAACTTGTAATGTTTGATAACAAAATGGAAGTCATGTGTTTGTACCCACCCTCGTACTCCCCTTTCTACGAAAAGTGATGATTGATACAGCTCTTGTGGCCATCAACGATTTCCGTTGGCCTTGCGATGCGCAGAAAATCCTCTTGCATTCAATAGCGGGGTCTCGCTGGTTGTAATACAACCAACGGCCGAGTCGGTAGAAGGTGATTAGCGGTCTTCTGCCGAGTACGGGTCGAATGGTTGCTGACCGCATCTCCGACCTCAAGGCTTCTAAAGCCCGGACCGCAAGGTGGTGAATGGCAGAGATCGCTGGTATTGAGGTGATAAGCGCGCGTTGCGGGTAGCGATGATGGCGCAAGGGCTTTCCGCGAGCAAGTGCGATATCGAGGCGGGGGCGAACGGTAGTTCATGAGCAGCGGGTGCAGCGCAGCAACAACAACAACAACGATAACAACTCCGGACATCGCACAGTGGCAGCTCATGCCGATACAAACTGTTCAGGCGTCTTGAGCGCTCCCAACCGTGTTTTGGCGCACATTGCAATTTGCGTTCTGTCCCTTAGAGGTTTGAGGAGGCCTGGATTCTGGACTGCTGTACCTCTGTACCTCCGGGCTGTGTCGAAGTAGCTTCCCCTGTAAGCTTGGTGTCTTACACAGTCAGATCGAATGCACGTCTCGCCTTGCATGGCGGGAGGCGTTGTGCGATGCACGACATCGGAGCTTGTGCCTGTGAGATCCGCCCGTGAGACCAGACCCTGCAGGCGTTGTCAGCTGCAAGGGTGACAGCAGACGTCTTTGCTGCAGACTTTCTGTCAAATTATAAGTCGATATTGCGCATCTAGGTGTCATAGTGGCGCGTCTGCGGTGAAGGACAACACTTGCATGTAGCTCGTGGTGTGTGTTGTGGGTCCAGCGTCAAACGGTACGCGTCAGTCTCGAGGCAACGCGGCCTGGATGAGGTATATATCTTGCCATTCGTAACCATGCACATTATGCACTTCCGTTGCTATCCATCTACACATCCCAGCGCGCTCAAGCTGCACCGTCGTGTGCCCTCGAATCTATGCCTTCCGTACATCGTCCCCACGACACCGCGGCCGCCCTATCATATACACAGCCTTGTCCTCCACTGCCGCCTATCGTGTCAAACAAGCCCCAATGCTGAACGCCATAACGCAAAAGACCAGCCATGCTTGTGTATTCCTGAAACAGATTCGCCAAAGATTCGAAGCGGGCAGGTGTTGTCGCCGCCAACATGTTAAAAACTTTCGTACCGATGCGCCGCCGAACGCCCAGCTGTCATGCAGAGCCGAGTGCTCAATTAATGTGAGTCGCTAAAATATCGAACATCGAAGCGAAGCGAGAATTATTCGAAGGTGGGCAGAGCTGCACCGCCGCAGTCGGGGATCTGGACACCGGACTTGAGGTTGCGGTTTACATCCATGAGGCCCCACTTGTCTTCCCACTCTTTGCCCTTCTCGTTGTACTGAATTTTCCATGGCTCGTCGAATGCCGAGAACCTACAATGATGTCATTAGATGCACATCAACGTCTACTGTAGCATGTCACTTACCAGAAGTACTCGGTCTGATTTTTTAGACTGGGACAGACCCAGTCCTCCATGAATCGGTTCAGCTCGTCGATGCCAGCAACAGATCCATCGGTACATGTGTCAGCTGCACCGCAATTGGTTCCGCCGCCAGTCGGCCAGCCAACTTCGGCGATGACTTGCTTGATGTCGTTGTTGCTCGCTGTCAACGCGACGTCCTTTGTTTGCCAGAAATTCCATGTCCAAGCTGCAGCTTTGTCTGCTGGGGTACCAGAGAAGAAAGGATGCACGTTGGACATGACAATGTCTACCTTAGTAGCCATGTCGGCGGTCCAGTTGTCACCGAGATCAGCCATAGCGACTGGGAGATCACACTTGTGGCTGGTGATGTTCTGCCTGAAGATTGTGATCTGGTCGATGAGCTGGGCCACTGTGAGGTCCTTGCGGTAAAGCACCTCGTTGCCGATGATGATGCCTTTGAAGTAGTCACAGCCATACTCGTCGAGGATGTCCCACGTCTGGGCAATTTGACGCTTGTTGGTGGAGTTGTTGTCATCGAGCCAAACACCGAGCCAGATCTTCATATCTGTCAGTTCAAGACGCTGGATAGCGTGGATGACCATTTGTGTTTGGTTGCAATCGGTTCCATAGAGTCTGATGGCGTTGGTCAACTGCGACATGACGGCGACATCGCGAGTAATGTTATTCTGCGACGGTGGCACTGTATCGCACCCCGGCTTTTGCGAGTTCAGAGGAGTGTAGTCCATTCCAGGGAAGACCTTGTGCAAATTCGCGTTGTTCATGAGCGCCTTGATCTCACTTGAGTCCTTGTTGAGATCGTCCTTGTTGTCACTCGCTACGTCGCCAGCGCTGACGGAGCCGTGCTGACCATCATGGCCGCCGCCCTTGTTGAGCAGCGCACCGAGGACACCACCGAGGATGGCGCCCAGCACGATGACAGCAATGATAGCAATGGCGATCCACATTCTCTTCTTGCGTTTAGCGTGGTCTCGCTTCAGCCATTCTGACTTCTCGGCGAGCAGCTCGGGATGACTACCAATGATGTGGCTTCCACTGCCGTTGGCACTTCCAGCACCGTTGATGTTGGAGACGGCGTTGTACTTGCCGCTTCCATCACGGCTGGCAAGTGCACCAGCAGCAGCAGCTCCTGCGCCAGCACCTGCGACGCCGCCTGCTATCGACGACTCTGGAGAGCCGTTCCTGCTGCCGTCTCGAGATGCACCGAATACAGGTACGAAGGATCGGCGCTTGGCATGTGGTGTCTCTGGTCCCATGCCCCAGTCATCGTCATCGGCGAGCTCATTGGGGTCGATCTGGCCCATGGCGTAGGCGTTGTTCATCGGCGTGGTGGAGTAGCGGTTGTAGGGATTGTCGGTGAAGGGCGAGCTGTGGGGTGGCGAGCTCATGCTGTGCAGCGAGTTGTTGCTCGAGTACATGCCCGGGCCGGCCAAGGGGGCTTGGGAGCCGTACGAGTGGTTCGAGTACATGGAGCGCGGCGCCAGGCCGCCATCGTAGGCGTAGTGGTCGTTGGAGGGTGTGGCGTTGGGGCTCCTGCTGGGCACGCCCATGGGGGCTCCGCGAGTCTCGCCGCTGCCGGGCGCGGAGAGGTCCGAGTAATTGTTTGGGTCCTGCTGGAACGAGGGGCGCGGCTGCTGGAAGTGCTGGCTGTCGGCATGCACGCCCACAGGCACGCGATGGGCAGGCGGCGGTGGTGGGAAGTCGAGGTCAGGGCCGTCGACCGACGAGGCGTCGCCCCGCTGGCCCAGGAAGGGCTGCGCTGACTGCGGGTGTGCCATTGCGGGCGTGAGCGGTGGTTGTGGGGAGAGAGGCGGGCGGACAGCGCAGGAGCGGGCAGGCTTGGGTGTCGAGGTCAACAGCGGCGCGCCGCTCGAGGGTGGGTCGGCGCTCGCAGGCGGGCTCCGGGCAGCGTCGAGCGTTTGCGGAAGCGTTCAGCGGGCTGTGTCTTTGTGGTGGCGGAGGAAAAGCACAGGTGCGTGCCTAGAGATAATGGCGGGAGGGTTGGGGGTGTGCAGTGTCGCAGCAACGGGTGTGGAGAGTGGAGAGGGCCGCCGCAGTGGCAGGCTTTCCAAGGTTGCAGCACCACGGCAGCAGGCTAGCGGGCAGCAAAGGACGCGGCTGGTGTCAGCCTCTGCACTGGAGCCGATTGTCTTGGAAACGAGCGAGCGCCTCCAAAAGGCCTCCGCCCCTGCACGCTACGAGGGCTCCCAAGCGCTTTGGGTCTGGCGCTGGAGACACATACGTCAATGCCCATGTTCGTTGTAGGCGGGCAGCCCCAACAAGCAGTGCAGTCTAGGTGCACAACGACGTGCAGCTTCGAAGGAGCTTTCTTGCTGCTGCTTGTCGCAGAGAGCCGCTGCTGCGTCTTGCACTGTGGACCCTTTTCGCGATCTCCTCCTGTCACTACTGCTGCCCTGCCGTCAGCCCGTGTCGCCGCAACGCCACCGGGACCCGGCACATGTGAACTGATCAGGGAACTGAGCACATCCCTCTGTGCAAGGTCCAACGGCTGGCTTCAACCGCAATTTCTCGTATCTATCGAAAATCTACATGCGACCTGTTGACCTCCGCACCATACGAAGTACTGCCTATCTCGTTTGCACCTCGAAGATCGTCATCGCGAGATGGAGAGCTGCGTTCGCAAGCCCGCGGGCGGAGTGTGCGTCACCTCGGTCGCCGCGCACCGTCGTAAACAGCCCCCAATACGAATGGCCGCGTTAGCTTCGTATACATGCGGCAATCGTCTGCTCTTTGTTGCCGTTTGCTGTCCTGCGACGCCTCCCAGCTGCAGCTTCGCTCTTGTGTCGCCATGTCGTCGTCGCAGGGTCCTCATTCAACCTCGATCATGATGGGCCAATCTCACGGAGGTGAAACACGATACCACCGATCATCGTCGCACACGCTGCCTGAGACCCACTGTGCGTCTTATCTTATCAGCAGTCATGCCAAGACCAGCATCGAGTCGTTGCAGCATGCGTCCTTACGACGTTTAAGTTGAGTCGAAATTTAGGGTCATGTATGGCAAATGCGCCATCTGGCTTAATTACCATCTGTAAACACTGTTGTTCGTATAGATGCTAATTATGTCGCTGCTGTCCTGGGGACCAGCAGCCGTTGCCAAGTATAAGTACAGCCGGCGCCTTCCTGCTCCAAGGCCGCGACTGCAATTCCTGATTTGGTCGCACACCAACAATTGTACAACGTTAGCATCGCTCCTCGCATGAAAAGTAGCATCAAGGCTAAGTTATCGTAGCCTTGAGAAGTATGCTGTATCTGCCGAGAATTTGCAGACAAACTTCGACTACTGGTCGGATTCCCAAGCTCTCAAGACTGCAGCGTCTTTCTGCGACCCGAGTGACACGGCGCCCGAGTAGCCTCCGGCCAAGATGCATGATGCAGCCCTTTTGACCAGCTTCACGCTCGCCATCCATAATTCTCAAGTGAGTAGTGCTCTTCACAGCAAGGTGACAACGAGGTATTGCATATCGTTTCATCACAAAAGCGGCGACAGCAACACATGTCACTGCATGTCACTGCAAGTGACGGCACCAGCACGGTGTTCACGGCTCTCGTCCACTGTTCCCTCACAAGTCGGACGCCTGAGACATGTTCGCGTGGAGCCTTGGTTCTGATAGTCTACTCCAACAAACACGATCCCGTTCCAGCAAACTTATAGCAGGGTCATACTCCAGCATAAGATACGATAGACAGAAATCCAGCAGCTCAGAGCGACGGAGAAGCAGTGATTCTGCCAACCAAATTAGGACAAGAACTAATTAGTACTGGGCTCTGTACACTGGGGCACGAAGTACGAAAGGGCACAACGAGACGACAGAGCACTCCAACTGCTACTCGACATCATTAATCCTAGTGTTTGCGTAGCTCGCCTGCAGGACTACTCATTGAATGCAAGTCTGCAAAGCATGCTCGTTGACAAAATAGGAGACTGCAAGCAGATGTTGTCCGTAAGGTTGGACTGGACGAAGCGTCAGTTCGTGTATAGCACGTGTAAGAATCTCCAGTCTCGTAGGGCTTTCCAAGAGCCCGATTGAGTCGTCTTGCAAACCGCGATCAAGAGGCTGCACCGAAATGTGGACCTGCAATATGAAGGCAGTGTCGAGCTCAGCCGGAGGACCCTGGTTCCCTGATTCTTCGCTTCCAGTAGCGCGTCACGCATGTGCCGAAACGCGAACTTCATCGTGAGCTCGCGTCAGCTTGCAGGCGCAAACTACGGCGGGGTTGCGCCAACACCCCCAGCTCCCGCCATGCATGTTCGTTGCTAGCGATGGGTGTTTCCTCCTCTCAGCCCATACCTAGCTCGCAAGTCAACAATCTAAATCCCAAATTGTCAACGCCTACCGCGACACCGAACCGCGCCATACGCGAGCCCATCCACAGTGAGTACGCATTCTGCTCTCTGCGTGTTACCCGTGCGCCCCGGCTGGCAGTAGCGCGTTGGAACGCTGGCTGACGCATTGAATCTGCAGCCCCGACCATGGACGACGAGGCAGCATCGCAGCAACTCATGAGTGAGGCTGGCGCAGCCCACTACACCAACCATAACGACAGAGCCATCCCGCTGAGCCTCAACGGCGCAAACGCCCCCAATTCCAGCAAGAAGAAGTCGAAGAAGTCAAAGAAGCGGGAGAAGGCGAACAAACCGGACAAGTCGGAGAGACGACATCTCGCAGGATTGCAAGCCCGCTCCTCGCAAATTCCCACGTTCGCCCCCGCAGACCTGCAAGCCTCCGTAAGCGAGACACCGTTGAACAGCGAGCTTGTTCCCTCGACTGCACCGTTAGCGCAGGTCGAGGTACCCGATACTCAGATGTCCAACGGCCCCTCGCCAGACACAGCGCGAAGCAAGCTTACGAAGAGCAAGAGAAAGAGGGAAGTCGAGGTCGAGACCGACCCCCAGGAGAGGAGCGTGCCAGCGACACCTTATGAGGCTGCGGATGAGGGTCGGTCTAATCAGAAGCACCGTAAGAAGCGCCACTTGCAAGCGTCCATACACGGCGTCAACGGCGATGCGACAGAGGTTGGCGCGACACCAGGAGCCACCCAAGACGTCTCTGACCAACCAGATTCTCGCGAGGAGCTGGATGGCGCACCGCCTGCACCCTTGACTCCCAAAGTTCTGCTTCAAGACCTGAAGGCTGAACATTCGCAGAGATCGCAGGGGTCACAACCGAAATCCCGTAAATACCCTCCAACGTCCGCTCAGCGGAAGCAAGAGGCAACAGAGACGACGCATGCGGATGTAGGCGTCGAACAGCACGCGGTAGACGTTGATGGAGAGCTCCCAGAAGCTACAGTCACCGAGACTGCAGGAAGGGCACTGGGTGCCAATCATAGTCTCAGCAACAAGAAGAGGATGAAGAAGAACAAGAACATCCTCGAAGCGAGAATGAAGAAAAACAAGAACACCCTCGAAGCACCCAAACTCGACTGGGACGCGCCGGTGCGAAACCTCGACGATACCCCATCCCAGTCCTTCCCTGACGACGATATCGATGCGACAGAAACGATCGAGTCACACCTCAAGGAGAAGAAGAGGAGGAGAAATTCGGCCAAATCATCCCGATACAGCGTCGGTGGTCTTGCGAGGTCACCCACCAAAAGGCCTCCGAAGCACGACCCGAACAAGAATTACGAGCGTGCTCGTGACGAGGACGACCGCACGGCTGCTGACAGGGCACTGGAGTCGACGAAGGAGCTGGGTCATCCAGCGGAGCTACGCATGAGCGGCGATTACAGCCCTGATGAAAACGAATTGCTTCGTCGTGCCATCAGGGACTTCCAACAACGCGAAAATATCGACACCGCCGACCTTGTTAGGATCATCCAATTTGTTCCTACCCGTAAAGACGCTACAGAAAGACACACTACAGAGCAGGTCGAGACAGACCTCAAAAAGCAGAGCGCCGCTTTCTGGGAAGAAGTAAAAGGTACTGGTCTCCGGCGCAATATGAAGAATGTCAAAGAGCACGTGCGCGCGACCTACCACATATACCAACGCGGACCATGGTCTGCGGACGAAGACGAGCAACTCCGTAGACTTGTCGACCTTTACCCAAATCAGTGGAAGCTCATCGCCTCAATGCTGAATCGTCTGAGAAGAGAAGTCTTCAACCGCTGGAACGACTACGTACAACACGGCGAGGGCCGAGTGACAAAACGCTGGAGTCAGGAAGAGGAAGAGAAGTTCGTCAAGGTGCTCTCTACAGCGTGTCAGAGGATCGAGGATCACCGAGCGGAGACCGGCCAGCCGCCTCTCGACGACTACCTTTCTGTGGTCAACTGGTCCGAAGTCTGCAAAGAGATGGGAGACACGCGCAGTCGGCTCCAATGCCAATACAAGCTGAAGCAGATGAGAGCCCGCGTTCCGCCGCCCACCTTCGCCTTGGACGTCAAGCCGAGACAGACTCCACCTCCTGGCGAAGTCGACGCAGAGCCCAAGCACGACGACCAGGCCAACGGGGAGGATGCATCACAAGTGAACTTGAGCAAGAAGAAGAAGAAGAAGAAGAAAAGACAGAGCGGTGCAGGTTCGGTCACAAAGCAGACCGAGGAACAGGCCCAAAAGCAGGCCGAGAAGCAGGCCCAAAAGCAGGCTAAGAAGCAAGCTAAAAAGCAAGCCAAGAGGGATAACTTCAAGTCGAAGGAGTTAGTCACCGAAAGCGACAACGCCGAAAGCGAGCAGGAGGGTTGACATGACTTTCCGTCGTGCTGCAGACGCGGAGCATTTGACAGGAGGAACTTGGTCATTGCACGTCGAATGCAGTGAATACGGGTTCCACGACGGCAGATATGAGATGACGGACACGAGCCGCTGTTGTGCAGGCCTGAATTGTGGACATACAAGTATCTCTACCAATACAAATATCTGCACCACGCGCACACCCACGCAGTACAAGCGACCACTGCACCTCCCCCCTCTCAGACGATGATACAGCACGACCACAGATCCAGACTCGTCGGTACCAACAAGCAAGTCCTTCCCCTTCCCGCTGCCTGAGCTTCGTCGCTGTGACTCGCCACCGCATGGCAGACTACTGATTCAACGAGGCTTTGTCGCCCTCGGTCATCATGCTCGTACTCGCACCGCACGGCTGCGACTTCTCCCACGCCGGTCGAGAAGTGGAATGATTAGCGGCTTCGTTATCGACGGGCGTGAGTAAGTGGCAGATGTAAGCGGGTGGGAGGGGGATGGAGTGCGCGCGCTGCTCGGGCAGATGTGAGAGGAAGTTGCAGATTAACCAACATCCGCATTATTTTCTTTTGATCTTTATATCTGCTCTCAGTCTGCTGAGCTGTGGGGTCGGCCTTGCAGGGGGGCAAGGGAAGCTTGTGCAGCAGACAGAGTTGGGAGTGAGCACGTCCTCCGTTCCTATTGGAGAGTCGGTGATTAGATACTTGTACATGTAGCATTTGCGGAGCTCCGTTTCTGTTATGAGAGACCCGGTTGTTGGATCCATGTGAATCTGACGTTTGCAAACCCTGGGCGAAAAACGGGACGAGAGTAAACACGGTACGAAATAGTCCCTCACGCCCCCACGACTCGTGTGCTCATCGCAATGTAAGTGGGGCGTTTGCAATGAAGATCAAACCCGCAGACGCGTCTCCAGCAGGTCATGCACGTAGACAAAGACAGACGCAATCTAGGCGAAACGCGTGTTTGGACGGGTGAATCAACTCGAGGGCTGCGGAGTCTGGACGTCTTGACCACTACTGGCGTGAACCCCTGACGGGCGCAGCAGTGCCGGCAGGGATGCGTGTGTCCGGGTGCGGCGGACATGCCCCTGCATCCACAGGCAATGGCAACGTCACGCCAAGCTTTGCAAGTCGCCAAGTGGCCCTGGGAGGCGTCTGGTGGCTGCGATATTGGAACGAGTCTATTCGGAGTCCGGCACGCAGGAGTTCTGGACAGCGTGCCATTCCCAGGAGCTGTGATGCAGGGAGCGGAATTGCTTGGCTTCGACACTGCATGGTATTGGTGCTACGTGCCAGCAGCAGTGAGGGGAAGTAGTCCGCGCTGGCCGGTCACGATTGGAGTAGCTAGCAAGCTGTCGACGACTGTCAGAAGGATGGTTAGAAGAACGACTGGTCACTGTTTTTCGCGGGTGCACACAATAGGCTCGCTAGCACCCATCAATGCGCTGCCGTCACTGGACTGGTCCTGCGCCATCCGGCGGCACCATGCATTGAGCATTCCCCGCCAGGTGGTAAGGGTTGGGTCGCTTACCGTTGCTGAAGGGAGGTCGAGCTACGCTCCTACTTCTGAGACCTTGGCACTGCGTCGCAAGCCTTCGATGCCGGTGGGGACGGGCCCTGGGGACAAAACCCATATCTGGCGCCGTCCGCGCTCCCTGCCGCTCTTTTGCCTGCTGTCGCTTGGTTGACTTTCTCCCTGCTGTCGGTTGATTGACTTCTGTCGCTTGGTTATTGACTTTCTGCCAGCTGTTGCCATTCTTTGTCCGTCGCCCGGTCCCTATCTGTAGCGGCCCTCGTATTCCGCATCCAGCACCCAGCACCCAGGCTCAGACTCGCGTCTTGCGGCAGCAGCACGAGAGACGTGCGCCGGCGATGCAGACGGCTTGATCTCGTGACACGACTCTCCTTTTGCTCTCTGGACATTCCCGACTACCCTACGCTCCTTGCTCCCCCCGCCCGCTGGCACGATGCCCCCCCGCGACGCCAACTGGATAGATGTGCGTAGTCGAGCACCCCAAGATGCTCTCCTGCCCGGGTCTCTGTGTCACTGCGGCTAACATGGTCTCCTCAGGGCCTGCGCGGCATTGCCTCGTTCATGGTCGTGAGCGGCCACCTGTGCACCGCGCTGGTGCCCTGGCTGCACGCGCCTGCAAACGACCCAAAGACTGCGCCGCACCTGTTTCAGCTGCCCTTCTTCCGCCTCGCCGTCGGCGGCCGCAGCGCCGTCGCCATCTTCTTCCTCGTGACGGGCTATGTCAACTCGATCGGGCCCATCGGCAAGTCGCGGGCCGGCAACCACGACGCCGCCTTCACGGGCATTGCGCGCTCTGCTCTCGCGCGCTCCGGCCGCCTTGTCCTGCCCACAATGGCTGCGACCTTCATCACCTGGTTCATGGCGAACACGAACGCATACCACATGACAAAGCACGTTGATTCGACGTGGATCCGCCAGGGCTGGCACAGGCAGGAGCCGACGGTGTGGGCCGCCTTCAAGTCGCTGGTCAAGGTCGAGACCGAGACGTGGACGATTGGGTGGAATGAGTACGACGGCACACAGTGGACCCTGCACTTGTTCCTGGAGGGCAGCATGCTGGTCTACACGACCATGTTTGCGACCGTCATGGTCAAGCCCAAGGCGCGCCTGCTGGTCTACGCTGTGCTGTACGTCTACTTCTGGCAGATGGGCGAGGGTGAGTTCAGCGCTGACGAGCTGGGTTGGACTATCACGACTGACGCGCGCAGGTCTCGCAGTCGGTGCTCTCAAGGGACTAAACATTGTCACGGGCATGTTCGTCGCCGAACTGCACAGCCACTACAGGGACTCCGCAACCTCGGTCCTCCCCGCGCCTGTGCCCGCCATGATGATCATCTTCGGTATGTTCCTCGCCGGGTACCCTCAGGACAGCCCTCAGAACGCCCACTGGTCGCACGTCATGCAGCGAATGATGCACAGCATCACACCTGACAAGTCGGACATCCGTCGTTACTGGGATCACCTGGGCGCATCCACCGTGCTCCTGGGAATCTTCTTCTCTGCTAGAGCACGCAAGGTACTCACATCTCCCGTCTTCAACTTCCTTGGCCGCGTCAGTTTCCCCGTGTACCTGCTCCACAACACATTCATAAAGTCCGTGCTCACTTGGATGATCTATCTCCCATCCGCCATGAATCCGCCCCGCAACGAGAAGGGCGAGCAGCTCGACCTTCAGCGCGGATCCACAACACACATCTTCATCGCCGTAGCGGTTTTCTACTACATACTGTACCGTACAGCAGCCCTCTGGATTAAACACGTCGACCCAGTATGCGCAAACATGGTCAACGCCGCAACAAAATGGGCCTACGGCGAGCCCCAGCAGCGCGAGTCACGCCCCATTCTCGGAAACGGGAGCGCGTCTCCCAAGCAGATGTCCGTCCTGCCATCATGAGACACCCATCTCTCCCAGAGTGTTACTGGCACTCACATCTATTCTTGTGCATAGCGGAGCATGGTTCTCTGCGCCTTCACACTAGCGTATCACATTTAGTACCGTCCATCTCCTATGTCACTGTATAACGATCGGCATTCTGAGCGAGCGTGGTAAGCCGAGCCGAGTCCGAACTTCCTTATTTCTAGCATACCCAAAATCGCGGCGTTGAAGAGCATCTGGATCAGCATTTGGTTGGAAGCTTTGCATATACTGTACACGCAGCGTCAAGTGTTTGAACAGCTTGTTGACATGCAAAGGTAAGATGAATCATATGGATGTGGCTGTAGAGTAGGTAGAGTAGAGGTGGAGGAGGATGAGCGAATACACAAGATATTACTCATTGTGCTGTGCTGTGTTGCTGCTAAGGGGATGAGTGAGGTCTACTGTCCATGTTTGTCCATTTGACGATCGCACTGTGTTTTGCCTGGAGACCTTGGTGTGCAGCGGACGAAGAATAATGGAAATCGCAATATCTTCAACACTCGTGCTGAACCTACCTTCGAATCGATAGCCTGAGTAACTTCCTTGTCTATAAGCGATATGTGCGCTGCATGGCACAAGTGGCAACAGTGAATAAACGCCAATGCAACTAGCAGGCCACTCTGGCCGTAGCTCCCAGCGCGACATCGCTTCTTACCACTGGTAGGCCCCTGCTTCGAGAAACGCCCTCGGAGTTGGACATGTTGTTTGCTGGAAAAAGAGCTTCTGGGTCGCGGGTTGCAGCTGTCTTGCTGGAAGATATCCGCAGACAACCACTGCATCCCCGGCTTCCACGGCTTCTCGGGCACAGCTCGATGTCAGGACGATTTGGGGAGGGCGGCACTGCTATGCCAGAGACGTTGGTGCCACGGGACGCAGCAGGTGAGATACCTAATGGCAGCGGCGGTACGGGTGCCAGCGGTGCTTCTACGCCGCTTCACGGAAATATCTCAGGGCGTGAGATGCGATTCACGCCGATGGGAGAGTAGAGTAAGCACCCGGTGAGCCATCGGGTCAGTCGAATATTGGCTCGTTGAGGCGGTGCAGCGACTTCACAAAGCGACGTTCGTATCTGTGCATGTAGCGCACCGATCAAGCGCCAATAATGCGAGCAGTACGGTCTTGGACATCTTGGGGATGCACACATGTCCACCACTGTGCACGTGGCGGACCCCAGGCAGATTCCAGCAGTGATCGTGGAGTCGTTCTGTGCGTCGACGCCGAGCGTGGGGATAACGACACTCATTCTTACCACATCAGGCGCGCCAGCACAAACGCCCGGCGGCATTCTATCCAGACAGCGCAGGCCTTGCCATGTCTGACGCCGCAAGCCCGAAGTCCACAGACATGAGCCTCGCACGCTTCCCTGATGATTCCAGAATCGCGACGCTACGCCACCGGCAAGGCTGAGCCGAGTCAACGCCAGCCAGGGTGTGCCAAAGCCACGGCGCCTTGCAGCGCGTGATCTGCTCGGTGTGCCGAAAGCGCAAGCTCTTGACGTATTGACATTGGATGCGCTGCGCGAACGTCTGCTAGACGGTCTGTGCATGGAGGGTACAAAATCTCCTGGAGCCACTAAGGCGGACTCGCAATACACTCGGCTACGTCACGAGCACACAGGTTTGGAATCATTGAGGCACCCGTGTTAACCGACTTGAGGGCTGCTTGGGAGCTGCGGACGGGAGGCCTTGAGGTGGTGCTGTGCCGATCTCACACGGCGCTCGGACGTGTGAGCTATCTCGAAGCCGTGAAGCGTTCTGAGTTTGACATGGATGCGAAAGGCGGGTGAGGGTTGAGAGGCTGTTAACAGTGGCATGTCAAGAATTACGCGTTGTTGTGCTTCATTTTAATACCAGACAGCGGCAAGTGGGATGCAGTGCGAATGCTGTTACTGTGGTGATTTGTAGATTCTTTGATGATGTTGTCCCAGCACAGCCTCCAAGCAGTGGCCAAGAGCAATAGCGTGCAAGGCAGATGCAGGTGCAAGGTTACCGAGATCTAGCTTCCCCGCAGCTTCTTGTAGCTCAAGTGTCAGATGTATAAAGCAGCGACAACCATCCACCATGGTGCCCACTCATATGCACGATTCGCGCACGATTGCTGAATCAACCACATCTTCATCGCGACCCATCTTGGAACGACCGAGCATTTCTACGACCACCGCGACCATGGATGACAACGGCAAAGCCCCAATGCCCACCAACAGCACCAACGGTGCTCACGCAGCGCGCCGCGCTGATGAGCCCATCGTGAAGGTCCAACCTCCACGCCGCGAGGACTTGCAGCCCAGCTATGCCCGCGTTATCGAGCCAGATGATGCTGACGCTGACACCCACGGCTGGTATGGTGGAATGGTAAGTTGAACGCCCGTTCACTGTCGCTGCACCGCTCACGCCACCTAGGTCAACGCACTCGGTGGCATCATTGGAACCCTCGGCGCTGTGCCTTGCTGCATCTGCTGCCCGAACCCTTACCAGCCCGTGAACCAAGGAAACGTCGGTCTCGTCACCAAGTTTGGGCGGTTCGCGCGCGCCGTCGACCCCGGTCTTGTCTACATCAACCCTCTGTCCGAGAAGCTCGTTCAGGTCGATGTCAAGATCCAGATCGTCGAAGTGCCCAAGCAGGTCTGCATGACCAAGGACAACGTCTCCCTGCAGCTCACCTCGGTCATCTACTACCGCATTACTTCGCCACACAAGGCCGCCTTCAGCATCTCCAATATCCGCCAAGCTCTCGTCGAGCGAACTCAGACTACGCTTCGCCACGTCGTCGGCGCCCGTGTTCTCCAAGACGTCATCGAGCGCCGTGAGGAGATTGCGCAGTCGATCCGCGAGATCATTGAAGAGACGTCCGCTGGTTGGGGTGTCGAAGTCGAGTCTATGCTAATCAAGGATTTGATCTTCAACCAGGATTTGCAAGACTCGCTCTCCATGGCTGCCCAGTCCAAGCGTACTGGTGAGGCCAAGGTCATCGCCGCCCGCGCCGAAGTCGAGAGCGCAAAGGTAAGCTCATCCTGCATTCTATCACATTTACTTTGGCTAACACAAACACCAGCTCATGCGTCAAGGTAAGATTATTCTGCATGCCATCACATTGACTTTGGCTAACTCACTGACCAAACAGCTGCGGACATCTTGTCTTCTGCCCCTGCTATGCAGATCAGATATCTCGAGGCCATGCAAGCTATGGCCAGATCTGCGAACTCAAAAGTCATTTTCATGCCAGGTCCGAGCGATTCGGGCAATATAGTGGCCAAAGCGATTGAAGATGATGGCCATTCGGCAATTCCATCCGGATCCTCATACGGCCAACAGCCTGGTGGAATCCAGCAGACGGTCAATGCCCGGGTTCTTGAGGATCTTTAGGTGGCCAAGGTAATTTTCCTGCCCGCGCGGAACCAAACTGTCCAGAGCGCGCTGGCACAAGCCGATGCCGCTGGCGAAGGCTCATCAACTACAACGCCGACTTCAGCATGGGGATTCAGAGTTTTACCGAGCAGGAGTACGGCTCGGGTAACTATAGCTTTCAGAGTACAGTCAACTCAAGAAACATCGAGCAGATGTAGACCTGATAAGTCTATATCTGTAGGTGAAGAGCGAGCATGACAATGGATGATGGATGGCGGGTGTTGAGCGGATTACTTTTGGGACGTTTGATACCAGGATGGATTGCGTTTTCTTGATACCCTACGATATTGCTCAGTCATTCGCTATGTGCGTAATCTAATTATAATGCTATTTATACGGAAAACGTCCTGATCGTGAGTTTGTTAACTCGCAGTCGACACTGCGCATTTGTTCGTGGCCAGTTTCCTTCCGCATGCCTCTCTTCCTTCCAAATCCCTCCACAATGCACGACGACTAGGATATACGAGCTCGTCTTTGGAACGCTGGGTTGCCAATCACATGTACAGCGGCTAGCATATACCGGCTTGTTGGTTGAGTAGCTCTCAAGCACTCCAAAATAGCGTAGTGAAGAGACAGAGATCTTATACTATATGGTATCCCTGCTGAAGCCATCTGAGTCAGAGCGTATAGCCATCGAATGCTCCCGGTAGCTAATGTGCCTTCCTGACCTACCAAGAGCTCTGACACGAATGAAGCTCCGAGAGGGAGATGCCCGGTCCGGGGGTGGTAGCGCGCAGCAGTACATATTCAGACCGACGCTCTACTTCCAATCCAATCGGGAAGCAGGTGCGTGAGGATGGACTTGATAAGCGCAGCGGCTCTGGAGACTCAACGGCATCACTAGTCTTCCCTTATCCTACTCCTGGTCAGCACGACACTCTTGACACGTGAAAGACTTGCACTGCGCAGGCTTGCGCCATAAAGACTTCAACTGCAAGGCTTACGCACCATTTCCTGAACTTCACCGCATACACTCCCTCCGCAGCCTTGGTCTGTCGCGCTCTCCTCACGCTGCCCATGCATGCTCCCCACGTAAGCACGACGCTGACATTGCAGGCTATAAACAGCGCGGGGTTCTTGGGCGCGCGTTTAAGAAGGTTGTCGACCATTTTGATGTGTAGACAGATCGATCGTCCGTGGTCATAAGAGCAGTTGGAGATGAGTGGGATATAGACGGAGGATGTGAGGAGGTGTGAGTGACGAGGTGAGGCTACTGGTAGTGCGCTAATGCAGGGCCGCTGACCTCATTGAGGTCCGCGGAGGCGGTACAGGGAGGGTATCGTTGACAACCCTCGCGCTTTCGATCAATGGAATTGACCTTCCAAAACTTTCGGGTTAACAAGTAGGTATCTACCTTAGCTTTGCGTGTTTTCTAGGTCAGCAGCACCTATGGCCTCGCGAGGAAGCCTGCAAGAAGCTTGGAGGGCTATGGTTGGTACCTGAGACTCCCCATGGCTAGGCCTGTTTGATGAACTCGAGATCGGTGTCGACACGTGCCAGTCGACTTTCTTTCTACCCATCTGGATTGTTCGCATGTATTTTTGACATACCTCGAGCCCCGATATTGTATTGTCGAGCCAATGAGGCAGTGTTCAATACCACAGATCCCCGAATCCCGGCGCGAAGCCAGGTTGGGCCAGTCACAATAGCAACAGAAGGTCCTTCCAACATGGCCATGATCCGAACCATTTTGTACATTAAGTATCTCACAATTTCCTGTTGCTTGTTCCGCGGCGTTGCGATCTCAACACAATGCTCTCCATCTTCTGGTTCGCCATCCAATTCCTTGTCTTACTCCGAACAATCTCCGCCTCTCCACTTCCCCATCATCAGAATCATGCCAAGCGCAGCGTATCAGGCCAGAATGTCGGTAGCGGATTTGCGATAGCAATCTGTGTCTTATTCCTCGCTACGACCTTCTACTACCTCGGCACGCGCCACGAGCGCACAAAAGCATGGTTCATCAAGCGCAATGCGCCCGCCCAACCTGAGCACTCAAGTGGATCCGGTGTCGTTTCAGAAGCGCAAAGACATAGAAGGCAGATCAGCTGCCCGCTCGCGGTGTCGTCCTCAGCGCCTATCAAGCCATACGACGATCCTATTGAGGTACCAACGCCGAGCCTGCGATACTACGAGATGCCTGTCGAGGAGATATATGAGATGGGTCCACCTAGTCCGATAAAGCCTCCATCGCGTGCAAGACTGTCGCTTGATCGCAAGCCTTGGTGGCTAAAACACTCTGAGGACCAGGAACAAGGACGCAGTGAAGGCGCAATTAGGAGCAAGAGCATACACAGCTGGTTCAAGAGCGTCAGAGGCAGCAGCAACATAGAAGCAATAGCTTCGCCACTTGATATAACCCATAGTTGTTCCGCGGAAACTTGCCGTGCAGTGCTAGATAACATGGAAAGAGCGAGCGGTGGAAGTAGCCTCTTAGACTGGAGTGGCCTGGACCATGTACGCAGATTATATGTTGAGCGCAGAAGCAGAATTGGATTGTAACACTGAACGGGCTAATAGATACGTGGCAAGTATTTCCGTGCTCTAGGGGATGCCTTTGTCTCTCGTCATCGACCCAGTGCAGCACTACACCAAGAAGCGGGGTGTAAGTTCGGCGCAGCGTCTTCGGCATTGGCAGATATAAGTAAAATATGCATTATTACCCCGGATTGCACTAGTCTACAAGTTGTTTTTAAATGAGCAGTCAGTGTCGCCTGAATTCAAGGATCAGTCTACATCAAGACTTCTGAGGACCATGTCACTCCACCAAGTAAGCCAAATGCTCCTCTCAATCTCGTCTCGCTCGACCAATGAGTGTATGTTACGCATAAATAAACCATGTCCGACACCAAACACCGAAGCAACCTACAGCTGACCGGCCGACTATCATACAGCGATTCCGTCGGGGCCGGACATATCGAACGACTCTGAAAGGCGCCGCAGCTTCAAAGGCTGCGGCAATTCGATGATTGCAGGCGAATACAAAGGATCGAGATCCTCACTACAGCTTGTCAATTCAATCTTGCATGTGCGGTGATGAGGGGAATACTTACATGTGCAACATCTCGCTTTCATTGCCCTGCTCAGGTTCCTTCTTCCGACTACTGCCCATGTCGAATGCGAAATAATCCGGATTCTCTTTGAACGGATTGCTCATGTCAGGTGTCCCCATGTCAATGACTGCTGGCGTTGGAGGTATAGTCGTCAATATGGTGTGTGGATGGTCGCCAAGTTTGGGCATCTTGGTGGGACACGCGGCACTGATGCTTGCGCGGAAGCCCCTGGAGTTGGGGTCGGGCAGTGGCAGATTGCCATTGCTGTCGATGCTGCTGCGTGCGGTTTTCGCGGGCGGCGGCCCAGACGGTGCGCTTACGCTGAACGCACGCTTGATCATGCTGAATGCCGATGCGGTGGATGGATTACGGCTGCGCGTGGCTGCGGCTCCACCGTGGTCTTGACTGCTAACCGAAGAGACACTGAGATTGCGGTCCTCGATTGGAGCGGCGGGTTGGGATGTCGTAGTCATAAGACTGAAGATGCCGCGCAAAGCAGAGACGGCGGCATCGACAGATGATTGGATACTGTTCCAGGAGTACTCCAGACTGATAAAGTCGTCAAGGTGGTCTTCGAGACCGTTCATCTCGTTCAAGCACACACAGACTGCATCGGCCATGATGGTCGCGCCAGTGATCCACGTATTTGCCACTGCGTCCTGGCAGTGAACCGGCTGCGCTTGTATAAGATTTATGGCGGAGTTGGTGGTCTTGTCGATAGCGTGGTCAGCCATGTCGCGTTGCTGGCAAATATCCACTCGGAGCAGTGATCTTCGACTGGCCAACAAGCCCTCCCCGGTGTACATGTTGTTCTTGGCGCTGTCGTAGACGGCTTTGAACGCGTCTTGATGCACGTACGCTATGCCGGCGTTGAGATTGTCCAGTGTTGAAAGAACGCTATCAGCACTGTCGCCCAGTCTCTGGTTGAGCAGAGCGACATGGTCGGTGCCCTCAATAAGAGCATGAGCCTGCAGTGACTTGAAGAAGCTGAAGTCGCCCGTCCGTCGAGCTGCGTGTAAGTTGTGGCGTACGAGAGCGATACGTTGCGTCCAGTGCAACTTCTGTACCCTTTCGGACATCATGCTGCAATCTTGAGACCGGTCACCGGTATTCGTGTGTAGTATTGAAAGCTCTCTTTGAAGATTTACGTTTCCAGTTGCTGGGCATGATTGGGTATTTGACGGTTAGCCGGTCCGTCAGCTACTCCAACGTTCATAGACGGGGTCGCCGAAACATGGTCACATCTACGATGAAAGACTTGCAGTGACGGAATCGACCATCGTACCTTTAACTCGGGTTCAAAGAGGATACACGGATGCTTACCAACTGAGATCCGCGGAGGGAACATAACCTGTGATACCCTTCCATGTGGAGGCAAGGTCAGATTGCGTAGCATGTCTTCCGCATTGTTGACGTGAACCATGTCGAATCATGCAGGTCCAGCACCGGGATCTAGCCTTTTCAAGGCCAAGTCAGCGACTACATGCACTAAGACATCCCCGGATCCATATCTGACGGGTCCTTTGGGGTGCTATAGGCGAGCCTGTCTCAGTATGTTTGTTGCACAAAACGTTCTGGACGTGCGTAGGGCTGAGACATCGAAGCCTAGGCAAAGCTGACTTCTGGCTCTGACGCGTTGCGGGGCCCGGTGAACATCTGTAAAGTACAGCAGAAGCTTTATGCTGGGATCGATGGCGATCAATGTAGTCATTCTGACTTTCCTAACACTGGCTGGCCCAAACGACTCATATCGACAGGTGTTTGCGGTCGGACTAGAAGCTGTTAAACAACGAGCACGCATCTCTGATCCCAAGTAGTTGCAATCGAGCCGACCGAGAACCATCGTGGAGGTTAGGATTACATAGCAGCATGATCAGGCTTGACTGTGCCACAAACATACGCCTGCTGATGCCTGCCTGGCTAAGCACTCCATTGTGGGCTGCCTCTTCCGGCTCAGCGACCGGTCTTGTAAGGTTACGTAGGGTCGTTGCGGTATATATCGCTCGTTAGTCGTGCACGCACTGTGGCATAACGTGCGACTGTGAACGACTCCCCCGAGTGCTTTACCGGTAGAGTTACGACGTCGCGCTCTGAGGATCTATGTGGGGAGCGAACCCGCTCTGCATCTGCGGTATCAGTTTTAGTCAAAAGCTATACTCATAAATCGAATCAGTTCGGACGCAACAAAAGTCTGTGTAAGGAGTTAGGGGACGGGTGGAGCGGCTCGTGATGCGTGATTCGATGCCCAGAGCTTATTTCCAGCCGCCGGGGAAGGAACGAGCCGCCGCTATTCCCAACCCTCCAACTTCCGCCACTGACGGAACCGAAAACGAATGCTAGAGTGCAGACTTTTCCTTACCACAAGTCCTTTGGCGCCAACCATGCGGCGCGGTAACATCGCGCTTGCCTGTGTCGTGCAAGTTCATGCGAACGAGCGCGATGACCCGCCCATACCCGATTGTGTCCTTGCTCAAAATTTGCGCTCGCCGCGAATCACCATGTGGTCACGGATCACCTTCGGCAACCGGCGCGGCGAGGTTGGCCTCTGCTTGTCAAGTGGACCACCACGAAAATTTCTGAGGTCGATGCGACGACCAGAGCGTGGAGTTGGCCGACGGGTGACATCCAGGCGTACACTATGGCTCCACAAAATCGTTCGAGCACGATTGAAATACTCTTGATTCCCAGTTGCTGCGTGCTTGACCCATTGTTCAGTGACTCCACGATCTTGTCCAACAGACTTCACGTCCCACGCCAGGGCTCATTTCCATTACCGTCAAGATGACGACCACTCAAGGATCTGATGACATCGTGCCCAAGATGGACAACCATTCGACCAAGTCGGTTGCCAACTCGGCGAGCGATCTGGAGAAGCAGCAAACACCTAAGGGTGATGAGCTTCAAAGGAAACTTTCTAGTCGTCACTTGCAGTTCGTCGCTATCGGTACGTTACTTGCCTTCATTATGGTAAGAAGAAAACGCTGACTTGCTTAAGGCGGGACCGTCGGTACTGGTGTTTTCATCGCGAGTGGAAGCTCCATCAACACCGCTGGGCCAGTGGGCGCGCTGCTTGCTTACGTCTTCGTCGGCACCCTCGTCTACTCGGTTATGATGTCTCTCGCCGAGATGGCTACCTATCTGCCCATCGCCGGTGCCTTCACGCAATACGCTTCTCGTTTCGTCGATCCCAGTCTCGGTTTTGCAATGGGTTGGATCTACTGGTTCTCCTGGGCAATTACCTACGCGCTGGAGTTATCGGCAGCCGGACTGATCATCCAGTGGTGGAACCAGGACTTGAACATTGCCATCTTCATCACCGTATTCTGGGTCCCGATTACAGCTGTCAACTTCCTTCCTGTTGACATCTTCGGCGAATTCGAATTCTGGTTCGCTTCCATCAAGGTTGTTGCCCTGATCGGCTTCTGGATCTTCGCTATCATCATGAACGCCGGTGGGGTTGGACCTCAGGGATACATTGGCTTCAAGTACTGGGACTCACCCGGTGCTTTTGCCCCTTACCTTGCCGACAACGTTGCCATCGCCAAATTTGTCGGGTTCTGGGCTGTTCTGATCAAGGCCGGTTTCGCCTTTCAGGGTACCGAGCTTTGTGCTATTGGTGCTGGGGAGTCCGCCAATCCTCGAGTGACGATGCCAAGGGCCATTCGCAACACTTTCTGGAGCATTTTCACCTTGTTCATCTTCACCATCTTCTTCGTCGGCATTCTGGTTCCTTACGACAATGAGTCCATCGCCATCGGCAACACTAACGCTGGGTCATCTCCTTTGGTCATTGCCATTCAGCTTGCTGGCGTCAAGGCACTTCCGGACATCTTCAACGCCGTCCTTTTGACAGTTGTCCTGTCTGCCGCTAGCTCAAACGTGTACTCTGGAAGTCGTATCCTTGTTGGTCTTGCCGAGAATGGCTGCGGCCCTGCTCTGCTCAAGAAAACCACAAAGAGCGGTGTACCATACTGGGCTACTGCAATTACCAGTGCAATGGGCCTTCTCGGCTACATGAATTGCTCTGCTAGCGGCACAGAAGCTTTCAACTGGCTTCTCAACATCGTCTCCGTTGCTGGCTTTATTGCCTGGTCTTGCGTGTGCATTTGCCACATCGCCTTCATGAGGGCCCTCAAAGCGCAGAACATCGATCGCGATACTCTGCCCTTCAAGTCGTGGGGCGGAGCTCCCATGGCCTGGTACGGTCTGGGTTTCAACGCTCTTATCACTATCACCCAAGGCTTCACCGCTTTTGTTCCCTGGAACGTCGAGGACTTCTTCATCGCGTACATCAGTCTCATCCTCTTTGCTGTCTTGTACATCGGACACAAGATTGTGTACAGGCCCGCCCTCGTCAACCCTGCTGAGGCTGACCTGGTCACTGGCCAATTCGTTGAGGAAATCTCTGAGACCTGGGAGGAAAGCTCGAGGTCGACATGGAAGAAGATGTTGAACAAAGTCAACATGTCATGAGTCTCCTTTTATAGTGCATTGGATGCGGGTCTTCAAAAGTGGGTACGTTCGCATGGCATGGTATTGATATAGCGTCGCATTGCAAGGCGTTAAAATTAGTTTCCTGATATCTCGAAGCATTATACCACCGTTAATGTTTACATGTTTAAACCCGAAACTCTGCCCACGTGCACGGTATGACCAATTCTCGTGTCAGCAGGATACAACTATGCATCATGGTACTGTTCTAGGGTCTCGTGGACTATCGGGCCTCGTACAAATCGATACTGAACACGTCATCTTTTTCAAGACTTCAAAGCGTACCTAGTCTCTCCCACGACATACGAGCGCGCTGCCACCACAGGACTGTAACAACGCAGGAACGCACGCACACGGATAGCGCCTTCTTGTGTGAACTTGAATTTGACGGAAGACTGATGCCAGTGCCTAGTCTCAATTCTCGCGTAAATAATGCCATTTCAGAATATGCATCAACAAAACATGCATCAACAATAGCAGATATTCTATAGTCTCGCGTGGGAAAAGGACCGTCGCCTCAGCGCGCTATTGGAAGCGAGGCAGAGAACACGCGCTGGAGCGACCAGCACACGATTTTCATTGGCTGTATTTGGGAAATGACGAGGCGTGTTGTCGTGTAGTAACTAGGGATTGTCGCAGGCTTCAGACCGGCACCAAAATCGCAACTGCCGTAAAGTGACGTAGATGGACATGAAAGCAGGTCGGCATACCTCCCGAAGAGGAAAGGTCGCGTGAATACAACGGCCAAGGCAACGGCTGTGCGGCGCCCCGCGCTCCCTCGACTCTGAAACAACCACGTTCTTCGAACTGCGCTGAGCAGCTGAGCTTTGCACAGCCAATTGCAAGGCTGTGATGTGCCACACAAATCAACAGACAGGCTATATACACTCAGACGATCAAAACAATAATTGTGTTAACGCCTTGAACCACTGGAGCGACGGTGACATTGAACAGGTGAGTGACTATATCTTCAACCTTGTGCTATAGCATCCACTAACCGAGCAGGTTTACTCGAATATGTTGGTCTTCAAGGCCCCTTTCCACTTGATTCGTCCCGCAAGATGCTCCTCCCCTAGCTCAAGTTTTCGATCGTCACCCCTTTTCCATCCCGCCCTGTCACGGCTGTCCACATGGCACAACGGCCACTGACACATCTTCGCCACTTCAAACGGGAAAGTTACTTACGCTTTCTTGTCTTACCACCAGGTCTGATTATGCTAGGGGGTGATTGTCAATTGTAAGAGGTGCCTTTACGTGCGCTATCGAACGTGGCAGTGCGGCAGCGCGGCTCCTTGGCGGCGACGCCTTCTAATACCACGCCACACATTGATGCGTATTTAGCTGATGCTACCTTACTCGCCTGGAAGCACCTCCTGAAGTTGAATCAGGTAAGATGAGAATTTACGCAAGCATGCATGCTGCCACATGCGACGCTGCTGCTGAAGCTTCGAAACGTCACAGACTCTAGGTCTTGAAGCTCCTCCAGATCGAAGCTCAGTCTGGTTACAATGGACTATCAGTAAATACTGTGTCATTGTGATGAATTACAATGTGAGACTATGTCTTGGGAACGAGGGTAGGGGAAGAATTATCCTACACAAGACGATCGTCTATTGCGAGGAATTGCCTCCATGTGCCACATCGTCTTGATACGGTGGAGCCTGCGGTGTCAGTTTGCAGGGATACCAACCAAGAGCCGATGTTGCGGGAACTCCACTCTTGCCATTTCAGCCACAAGCGGCTCCAACAGTCTGCCCGTTGCTTCGTTGACCCACTAGGAACCAGGGCAACTGGGGTATCGGAAGATGAAAATACCCCACCAACGTCACTCTCCCCTAAGCTTGGACCCGAAATGGCAAAGGAAAATCCACATTGACTCTGTCCTGGAGCTCAAGCTACGTGATTGGCATGCCAGGTATAGTACCCCCGTTGAGCTATGACGATCGTCTCATTGTGCTCGGTCTTCAATGACGAAGAGGTGAGTTCCCTTCTGCGCTTAGCTATGCTATCCTTGGACCTAGATGTGAAATGCAGCATCGAGGGAAGTATAAGTAGTGCCCGTCAATGGCGGCATTAACTACTATCAAATATCATCCAGCTCAGTTCAACTTCAGCTTTACCTGTCCACCATCTTCCCAGCCTACAACAAGCACCAAATATCAACAGCAGTCAAGATGCAGTACTTCACCATTCTTGCGCTTACCGCTGCTGCCTTCGCTGCTCCCCTTGAGGAGCGCCAAGCTGGTCTCTGCTCATCAGGCTCTCCCCTCTGTTGCGCGACCGATATCCTCAATCTCGCCATTCTGGACTGCCAGACTCGTACGATTTCCCCAACCGTACCTCCTATGACTGAGGACGTTGCCAATCTTCGCTAATGCTTGCTACAGCTCCCACCACACCCACTGGCATCAACAACTTCATCGACATCTGCTCCGCCGGAGGTCAGCAGGCCAAGTGCTGCTTGCTTCCAATTCTTGAGCAAGGCCTGATTTGCACCGATGTGAATCGCCAGGCTGAGTAAGAGTTCAACTATTTTTGCTGCCCAAGCAACTTACACATGCACGCTCCATAGTGGGCTTTGGATGTAACTTCGAGTAGCATGTAATGAATATAATTACTTTAGATTGATCTCAATAGACAGTCTTACTTGTTTTCAAAGATAAAACTCAAGCGGCGACTTCATTAGTTATGCCAAATGTTATCATTGAGGCCAGCTAACCTCCTAGTAATCGTTGAAGTAGAACACGACAGCAACGCCGTCCACGGTTCGCGAATGCGTGTTCACTTTGACGAATTCCCCGTGAGTCATCCATAATACCATATTAATTAACTGCAAGTTCATAGACAAGCATGTTCTCTTTCGTCATCTCCTGTAATCCAAGGCTCCGTCAGATTGAGCTCAGCGAAAAGCACACCGGCCGACTCAGTCACACAAATGAGCCCCAACCTCCTAGCCTCCTCCTGTTTGCTATCTTCTAGAGGAATGGCCAGATTCTGTCATTCATATTTGATAAGTGGAAGCTGTCGGTGCTCAGGGCAACTATAAGTTGAACCTGGAGCGTGGCCTCTGTTCTTCATCAGTACATCTACCGAGGCGACACCGCACTCAAACAGGCTGGCCGAGGTTGAGACCAATGATAGAATTACATGTTACATACATGAATCCTTTTACAGGATTTTGTACTACTCAGACGCAGCTACCTTTGACCACGAGGTTGAGCTTTTCAACTTTCCAACGCGTTGATACGCCTCTTATCTGGACACCAGGCCGACTACACCACGATAACGTCGTAGACATCAAAGCTTTTGCTTTCTCAAAAGAAGCCTACAGATAGGCCCTGGCTACCCTCTATCCTGCGAGAAGTATAGTGCTTGAATCCGACTTATTCTATTTGGTTTTTGTACACAACACCCAATACTACCAGGGTAAAGGACCAAGAACTTCGTGTGAATGATCGCCGTCACCGGTGGATCGTCTGCGGCTATGCTACGATACAGTGAGACACCTTCTCATCTAGGGTCAAGATTGAGGCTGTGCGAAAGTCCAAGCGAATTGCAAGGTTTACGCTCGTCCTCTACTAACAGCCATGGCACCGTACTCAGAAGCTTAATTTTCCAACGGAAATGTCGCGGTATTCACTACGCGCCGCCCAAGCGACAGGTCCCAATGATGTAATCTGCCTTTTCGTCTTCTCAGACCAGGACAAGCAGGCTGGTATCAACGTGCGCTTCGTGTCGAACTTGCTTGGTCCATCAAATTCACGGTCTCCGCAGACTTTCTAATTCCATAGCCGGACCACTTCCAAAATGCTCAGTCCCAACGCGCCCATTACGACGACGTTGCTCGGCGATACTGAAACAGCGGCAGATGAGCTGCCACTGCCACTGCCTCCCTTGCTTCCTTTGAGTTTGCTAGCACGTGTGTCGAGTTGTGGATGTTCTGTGGCGCGACTAAGAAGAGCATGGCGGAACTCGGGAACACTCTCTGGTACAGCAGGGCCGCCGACAGGTGCTGGTGTTGCAAGGGTGAGGACCACGAACGCGAATGTTGTCGTTGCGATGAATTTCATTGTAACGATGTAGTGATTTGAGTGTGCGTACGTGGATCTGAGGCTGGCGACACTTGGATGGGAACTGCGTGCAGTAGAGATGTGGGTTTTGAAGCACGTGGGAGGTTTGATGTTGAAGGTGGGTGTAGGGTTTGATGATCTGACAGCTGTGGAGAAGTGGAACAGAAAGCGAATGTGACAGAAGATTGCTGATATATAGATGCTACCTGCAAGCGGTGAACGTCGTGATCACACTGCATCAAATCGTGGATGACTACTGACCCGTGGTGATCGTCTACACAGCCTGGATATATGGGGTCATGATTCGTGACGTCGTGACCGCGTAGCCAACCAGCTATTGCCGCGAAGTGGTGGCTTTCTCTTGGCTACACCATTCAAGTTTACATGGTGCTTCTAAACAAGCACCATCCGTCTTTACGCCTGAGCTTTGCGATGGAGTTTGTACACAGCCTTCCAATCCCTCTTCCTCGTGTCTTGTACTTTCCTTCGATGACATAACACCTGCAGTACCGGTCACAATGGGACGACTGTGTGCTATCTCTTGTAGTCGTAGTTCAGCGGGCATCGGACCCATGTAGCAAAAGGGTGCCGCTGCGGCTGGACGCCTAACTGCAGCGCTCTTTCTGATTCCGATCTGTGAGGAGAGACTTCAATGTTACTCGAGGTCTTCTGGCTCAGCTATATTTCGACTCGATGTCAGCTGAAGCATCGCACAGAAGCATAACGTATTTTGGACGTCATCTCGCCTCCGTTCGCACCGCGGCTACACCGTCAGCCCTGTGATCAGTTTCAGCACTTGCTGCGGCTCAACTGTACAAAACACCCTGAAATCCACGCAGATCCCAGAACGATCTCTGTCGGTGTCGTTACGATCGTTTCACGAAACACTCTTAGACGCAGATACCCAAACGGTCGGTACAAGGTTCGCTCGCCCGCAGTCACGAACGACGAATAGCGGTGTTCATCGCATCGGCCTAAATTCGTCTGGAAATACGAAAATGATAAGAGCCAAGAAAAGAGCGTTCACCGGGAAACGGTTCAAGAGGCAGCGAGAACAGATGGCAAGTGCGTTTGAGCAGGTGCTTTCCGCCCCCACATTGCTCACGGGACGGTACGAAAGCCGGAATCCAGCCACTTCTAGCCTCCCACCCTCCACCTGACAAGCCCCAGGCACCAAATATCGTTTTCAAGGATGACGGCAAGGCGGTCGCGCACAAAACACCCGAGCATGGAGTTTGTAGCAGTAGCGGCAAGATGAGTGGTCGAGGAGGCCTGTCGCGGGCTGCTAATAAACTCCTGGCGGTAAAACAAGCCTCGCTGCCTTAACGATCGTCACCCTGCATGCCACATCGCACAACTGCGCCGCACTAAGAAGGCATGCTTGGACCTACGAGTCTCGCGAGCCGCGAAAGAGTTGGTGGGTGTGCATATTCATCCGCAGCCTGATCTTTCTTCCTTTCCATCCATATTTCACAGCTCAACAGCTACAGTGTCAAGCAGCAACAATGGCGCCCTACCCGGACTCGACAGGAACACCCGAGGTGCAACCAGAACGAGATGACAATGAAGATTCCACACTACCCGGGATGAAACGCGGTATTGCGATTGGGGTGGCGTGCTCAGTCGGTATCATCATGGTCGCACTCCTAGCATTTCTTGTGTACAGGCGGCGAAAGCAACAGGCCACGAAGACAAAGCATACCCAATTGAGTCGCGAAGAGCCCGTGGAGATGGACGGCGGAGCGTCCTGGCCGCCACAGGAAAAATTCCGGCACGTGTACGCAGCGCCAATCGAGGCAGATGCGCATGCTGTCCACGAGCTTGACGGGAGCGAGGTGCCAGAGTTACCGGGTAGTTACGAAGGGCAGATGCTTGCCAACAAGAAGACTCCTAGGACGTCCTATCATGCTGGTGAGGACGACAACGCGTTGATTCAGAACCTTTCGCGCCAGTGGATTAACTGGACCCCGCCAGTCGATGCTCGTGCCCACCCTACGCAAGACCATGCTGGGGCCCGCAACCCGTACTTGGAAGTCACGCCTTCGAACCAAGCAGCAAGTGTATCGCCTATTGCGGGACGATTATCCTACACGACGTCGCAGAATACCTCATTTAGCGTGTCACCAATCGCACCGTCGCCGCTCGAAGATGCTCGCGTTTCTTCTGGATACCTGCAACAGCAACGCTACTATCAATACACAAACGCATCCACGTGAAAGATCGCCGAGGTGGCTGAGTTTCGGACAAGGAACCGAGCATCGAATGTACAACGATGTGCATTGGTATCGCGAAACGTCTTCAACGCCCAGATGACTACCCCATGACAGCAACCTGACTCCAAGTCGTTCTTCGCAACTACCCCTTCTTCTCCATCGGCCTCGACGAAGATTCTGCTTCGAGTGTTTCGGTTGCTTGATCAATTGGCGGATCAGAGAATAATCGCTCGTCCTTGTCCCCCACCCTTTTCTGTGCATCGGCTGGCTCATCAACCTCGTCGATTGGCACATCCCCGAACAGCCTCTCATCGCCTTTCTTCCCAGCAGGTGCCGCAGGCACAGCAGACCCGGGGAGCTCCGCGCGAAACACCTGTCCACCATCGACCTCAGCAACATACGTCGGGCACTCGAGCTCGCTCCGACGCCGTGACTTCTCGTCGCCGGACACTTCCGCCGCGCCTCCGGCACGATACGCATAGATCTCCGGCTTGAGACGCTTCTGCGCGTGTTCCTCGTCGGAGCTGGGGCCGGACGCGGTCCGGGTCTTGGTCCGACGTGCTCTGCGGCGCCGCAGGAAGAACCACGTGCCAAACACTGCGAGAAACACGATGAGCGCCACGCCGATGCCGATACCCGCCGCGGCACCTGATCCGAGACCCCCACCAGTGCCAGTGCTGTCGTTCACGGGATTCAGGGCGGTCGGTGATGCACTCGGTAGAAGATCTGCGAGCTCGGTCGCTGACGGTGGAAGGAGGGTGCTTGACGCGCTGGCTGATCCTGCTACCGATGGATTGGACGGCGCCGTTGTAGGAGCAGATGCCGGACTGGAGATGCCAGCACCGACGGTCTCGGTTGCAGGTGCTGGCGCGGGAGCAGGAGCCACAGTTGGCTGCTGGGGAGGCGTTGTTGCGGCCGGAGGCTGAAGTTGTGAGGAACTCGCATCGTCGTCATCGTCGTCGTCGTCGATGTCTGTTGCAGTGGGGAGCGGGACCGTGGGATCCGTAGTTGAAGACATATCAACGGCTAATATAGCTATTCTCCAGCTCAATTCCACGCTGCAAATAGCTATATCCTAGGTATTGCAAAGACAACAAATGCAGTTCTTGCAAGTCTTCAGCCTCTGCGCACGTCTCTACTCTTGTACGCCGCACCAAAATGGAACCCACCGCACCAACCCACTCCGCAGTCCCAAGATCCCGCACCCAGCACATCCCAGATCGGCAGCGCGCTAACGCACCCTGGCAACGCTGTGCGGCGCTCCCATTGGCCACTCCCAACATCGCGCCAACGACAAGAAAGGCAGAAACCCATTGGCAACTTGGCCGTCGCTCTGCAAGCCACACACGTGCGGCGGATGCGCGAGGGCCAAGCGCGCAGCGCGTTGGCGGCGAGGGCTGTGTTTACGAGCTGCTTGGGCGTGCTGCAGCGTGCCGGAGCGTGCTGGAGGAGGCCAGTGGCGGGGCGCTGAGGATAGTCCGGTGCTCTCTTGCTGACGTGGTCTGAGGCTTCGGATTGCTGTGTTTACTGCGGCTTGGGTGTTGTGCGGGCTGGGTTGCACTGTTGCTTCTTGGGCGGGGGCTTGGGTGGGATGGCGCGCGATGGCTTTGGTGTGCGGTGGGTAGTAGGTAGTGTGTGACTATCGACCGCTGTTGGGTGTTTTCAGTCGAGTGCGCTCGCACCCAGCAGCTTCCTCTGCGCAGACGGGTGCTGTCACTGCGGTTGCCGCTGCAGTGTTGCGAGACCTTTGTTCTACCCGAGGGCGTTGGACAGCGGGGTGAGGGAGTGACGGGGCGCCAGACCGTCAGGAAGAGTATGCGATCCGGGTCGAATTGACAAGACGATGGGTCGAATTGACAAGACGATGGGTCGAATTGACAAGACAATGGGTCAAATTGACAAGACGATGGGTAGAATTGACAAGACGATGGGTCGAATTGACAAGACGATGGGTCAAATTGACAAGACGATGGGCTGGTGGGGATAGACGTGGATGCTACGTGTCGCTGAACGAAGCGGACTTGACTGCGACCCCACGCCTCTCCCCCATTCTCGATTGACGCCCACATCCGCACACCCGCGCAAGGTACAGCCGCGCATCACTGATAACTCTGCTTCAGCAGCCACGGCTTCCTCTTCTCGAGGTCGAGCACAGCCTGCCCAAACAGCCCGTTGGCCCAGCTGAACCACTGCCTGCTCCACACGTCCTGGGCCTGCGCACTAACACTCTCATGCATCAGGCCATAGCCATCCGTGCTGCGGACCAACATGCGCAGATTCTGCACAATCTCGGCATCGTCGTCGCTTGTCAAAATGGCCATGATGTTCGCCATCGGCCACGGCTTGCCCGGAAGCGTGTGCGGCGACCCAATGCCCGTCAGCACGGGACCCCACGCGTAGTACGGATTTGATCGGGATAGGATCTTGCGGCGCGTGTTGGCGTACACGGCATCGTCGCGGGGGACGTAGGCGAGGAACGGGGCGGAGAGCAGCGAGGGGACGTTGGGGTCGTCCATTACGTTGGCGCTGCCGTAGCCGTCGACTTCGTATGCGTAGATGCGGCCGAATTGGGCGTCGTGCACGATGCCGTGCGTCTCGATCCCGCTGCGTATGCTGGTGGACATGCGCCGCATCCAGGCTGTGAGATTGAGATTGTCGGAGAGCGGCGCGATGCGGGCCATGATGTGCGAGGACGAGTTTAGGGCGGCGCTGAACATCATATTGGAGGGGATGAGGTATTGGTATGTGCATGAATCGTCGCTGGGACGATGGTAGCTACGGATCAGTCCGATGTTGCCCTTGTGCGGCGAGCCCTGGGTGGTGTCAGCTTCGGATCTTCTTACAGTGTGAGCGCCGTGCTGGTGTCAGTTTGCGAACCGGCATCCGCCCAACCCGTCTCAGCAGGATGAGAGGAGACGGAGGAACTCACAGCGCAGTCGTTGATGGGCGTACCCCCGTATGGAGCCTAGCGTCTTTGGTCAGTATTCAACACAGCCAGGCGATCGACTCAACACAGCCAGGCGATCGACTCACGCAATACGTGTAAGGAGTGCGCTGCCAGTTCCCGAGATCATCGTACGAGTCCATCGTCATACTCTCGGCCGTTTGCAAGATGGTGTCCACGGCCCTGGTCCAGTTGCCGTTTTGGAAGAAGTCGTAATCACCCGTGGCCGCGGCATAGTCGTTGCTCAGCTGCAGAAAGCTCGCGACCGAATCGAGCTCCCACTGGCACGAGAAGACCTTGAAGTAGTCGAAGGGAGGCGTGATGCGGTCGCTGTTCATGGAGCTCGTCCTAAGCACACCGCTCTCGTCCGGGGCCTGGAAGGCGTTGCAGAACGGGCTTTCGAGAATGTAGCGCGCCTGGAGGTTGATGGCACCGCGGAAAAGACCTGCCAGGCTGTTGAAGCCGGCGTCTGGTTTGAGCAGGCTCACGTAGGCTTGGAGTTGGTTTGCGCTGTCGCGGAGCCACATGGCATAGATGTCTCCCGTGATGACAAAGGTGAGTTCCTGAGGTCCCTCTTTCTCGGTGCCGAGTACCGTCTCTTCGGTGGTGGCATTTGACCAGCCACGCCATGCAATCGTGGTGTCCAGAGTGCTGGGCCAGGTGTTCTCGAACAGGCGGAAGAGGTCAGGATCTGTGATGACGGTTCTCATGCGCTCAATCTCACTCTCGACATCCTGCGAAATGAATGTACGGCACGACCGTATCGGCCGCGCAAAGGAGAGGTTGTGGATTCCAGCAGAGAACGGTTCATGTTTCTGGTTTGAGTAATGCTGGTAGAGAGGACATTGCGCCCCTGACAGGCCGAGCAGGACCGAGACGCCAAAAAAGTATGTAAGGCGCATCTTGCGCCAAAGTAATGTGACTACTACGAAACCATGCTTGAGTGTCAGTGTGCTGTCTTCACCAACAATCGCAGAAAAAAAGGCAAATGCGTGAAGGCACAGAAGTGCAAGGTGTCAGATTGTTACGGCCAAGAACTGGCCTGATGGGGAAGGCCCACCTGACTCGCTCGGCAAGAAGCATCCACAGCCCAAAATAGCGTCCCTTGTGGAATGCGAAGTGTGTGAGATTCATTTCCGTCCCTCATCATCCTTTTATGAAGTGACGAGATTCACCTCTCCTCCCTCATTATCCTTTTATGAAGAAGTGACGAGATTCATCTCTCGTCCCTCATCATCCGTTTATGAAGAAGTGATGAGATTCATCTCTCGTCCCTCATCATCCTTTCACGATGGCTCTCATCGTGTGTCTTTCCTCGGCGTTTATGAAGAAGTGACGAGATTGACCTCCCCTCCCTCATCATCCGTTTATGAAAAAGTGACGAGATTCATTTCCGTCCCTCATCATCCGTTTATGAAAAAGTGACGAGATTGACCTCCCCTCATCATCCTTTCACAATGGCCCTGATCCTTTGCCTTTCCTCGGCGCTCATGACCCAGGGAATGCCGTCGCCGCTCTCCTCGTGGGCAACCTCGTTCCACTCGTCGTCCTCCATGTTCATGATGAGCGTCATCTGTGTGCACTTTGTGAAGGCGTCGCGCAAGCCGTACTTGCCGCCGGCGACGGCCGCTGTGACGATGCCCGAGATGTCGCGCTCCAGCCTGACGGCGCCAAGCTCGTTGACGCGCCCGTAGTATTGCTTGATGCGCTTCTCGAGTGCAGTCGCGAGGTAGCTGAGCGCCTGGGCGAGCAGACGGTCAAAGTTGGCTGCTGTGAGGATGCGCTTGAGCGGGCGGATCACGACGCCCCAGCCGCGGTCGAAGCGCGACTTGACCAGGTCTGCGTCGCCGTCTTCGCCGTCGCCGCCGCCGTCGTCGCCGTCGTCGACGATTTCGTTGCCGTCTTCGGGCGGCGCGTAGTCAATGTCGCGGAACGCTTCGGCGAGGATGGGCCGGATGCGCGGCTTGAGGACGTTTGCGAAGAGGACTGTGATGCCGTCGTTCAGCAGCTCTGTGCTCTTCGATACAAACGCAGACTCCAAGCCTTTCAACTTGGTCTCGACGAAGACGCAATCATGGCCAAACGGAAACAGGTCTTGCAGCGGCGACTTTGCCGTTTCCGGGTTCTGGCGGCCCAGCTGCTGCTCGACTATGCGTTTGATGTAGTCGTTTGCCGTGTCGAGATTGTTGATGAGTATGGTAAACGCAATGACCTTGGTCTCTGGTGGCAGCTCACCAGCCCTGACGGGTTTGGGGTAGCTTTCATCACGCATTTTGCGCTGGGTCATGCCGATGAAGTCTGTCCCTAGCACGCTACTCACGCCGGGGACCACTTCGGCCACCACGGCGCGCTGGGACGTGGCCAGAGACCGCTGACAGACCTGGTTGACAATGTACATGACATCGTCAACAGCCGAGGTGACGAATGGCGGGCTTGAACCGAGCGGCTTGTTGGGGTTCAGCGTGAGATCAGGCGGAGACTCGTCGAGCTGGAACGCCTTCTCGACAGATCGACGGAAGAAGAAAATGGTCATGGCATTGAAGGGCTGGACGAGATGGCTGCTGATCTTGCTCTGCAGATTGCTGTCCGCCAGAAAGCGCGGCATGGCCAGACCATGGTCGACGCGGTCTTTTGGCTGCGAAGAGGCGCACTTGTCGGCGATGAAGCGTGAGTACAGGGCATAGCGGGCGAGCATCAGCGCGCTTTCTCCAAGCAGGCCGTCGACGTCCTTGATGTCGACGCCTTCGTCTTCGCTTGCGCGAGCGACAAGTCCCGCAGGCGAGCCCGAGCGCGGCGTGGCGGTGGACGGTTGCTGGGCGTGGAGATAGCTCTGCACGAGGAAGGAAAAGGGGTACGACTTGACCTGGGTCAGTGTGCGGTCAATGTTGCGCTCTTCGTGCCACGTGTCGAGGACGATGCCTCCCTGGACGTCGGCTTCGACCTGCAGGCGCTCAATGACCTTGGCCATCATGCCGGGGCCGTAGTGCTGCTCGACGAGGGGCTCGTGGCCGTCGACGATCTGGGCGATGTGCTCGAAGAGCTTGGTGAGGACGTTGGCGTAAAAGGGGCCCTCTGCGCGCTGGGCCGGGGCGGCCGAGTGGAAGTTGGAGCGCGCTCGCTGGGCGACGCCTGTGCAGACGTAGCGGCCGTAGGCGTCCAAGCCCGTGTCTGCCCGGCCGACCAGGGGGAACAGCTTGAAGAAGCGCGTGACGTTGGGGCCGTCGCCGGCCTGCGCGGCCCTGTCGAACTCGCGCAGGAACAGCGTGCACAGCGAGGCGGCGGCGGCATCGAGGGTGGCGCGCGGCGGGTCGGGCACGTCGGCGGTCGGCACAATGTGCTCGGCAAAGGCGCCGTCGACGACGTCGGGCGGGATGCTCGCGGCGCGGTGCAGGTACGCGGCGGCCGTCTCCCAGTCCTGCGGGGCGCCCATGGAGCCGTGGACGCCCAGCACGCAGGCCTTGAGGTCGGCCACCTGCTCGACCAGGTGCAGGGTGGCCTTGACGTTGGCCTGCTCGCGGTCCAGGCGGTTCACGGCGCGCGAGATGCGCGTGGCCGTCGAGGCGGCGTCGCCGAGCATGCCATTGCTGATTGCGCGGGCGGCGACGGCCTGGGTGCCGAGGTGGGCGCGCAGCAGGTCGAGCCGCGCGAGCTCGCGCGAGAGGTCCTGCTGCGAGGCGACCAGGGCGTTGAGCCGCTGGGTGACGGCGGCCTCGCGGTGGTGCAGCTGCGCGAGGCCCGCGTGAATGTCGGCGAGCGAGGCCGCGGCGTGGATGGAGGGCGGCGCGGCGTCGGTCGAGGGCGGCGCGGCATGTATGGAAGGCGGCGCTGCATGTATGGAGGGCGGCGCGGCACGGATGGAGGGCGGCGCTGCACGGATGGAGGGCGGCGCTGCGTACGTGTCGGCGGGCATGGCCGGGGCAGCGGCCGAGTCGACCGTCATCTGGAATGGCGAGGCACCGAGGCGCTCTGGCTGCGTCACGCACGTCACGCCCGTCACGCAGTCTGTGGAGGCGGGATGCGATAGATCCTCGGCTGGCGCAATCGTCGTCCCCGTTGCCGTGTCGATAAGATTACCGGTACGCGACGGGGCAGAGAGCCAGCGGGCGTCAACACAGCCCCCCAGTCGACACTGGGGATTCTAGACCACCTCCTGCAGCTACGCGCACCACCGCTGCGCAGCTGGATCCTGAATCCCGAATCCCGAATCCTGAGTCCTGAATCTTGAATCCTCGAACCACCCCCCAGCCGCAGCCCTCCGCGACCAGAGCAGCCGCCCGACCTGACAGCAGCCGCCCGACCTGGCAGCTCCCGTCTCTCGTGCGCCGACCTGACAGCTGCCGTCTCTCCTGCGTCCGACCTGACAGCTGCCGTCTCTCCTGCGTCCGACCTGATCAGCACCACAGCACCCGTCTGTCCCGCACCGACCTGACAGCACCCGTCTGTCCTGCGCCGACCTGACAGCACCCGTCTGTCCTGCGCCCGACCTGACAGCTCGCGTCTCTCCTCTCCCGGCCAGCAACGTCTGGGCTGCCTCCCATGCCCGCGCTGCGCTGCCACTGAGACGTCTCTCCCCCCCCGACCTGCCCGACTGCGAGGAAGGGTGCGTCAGCCTCCGAGCCCTGGCTCGCCCCGCCCCACCGCCATGGACGCTGCCGGGTCCCTTTTTGCGCGCGCACACCACCTCCATGCCGCCTACTCGGCCGACGAGCTCTACGCCGCCCACCTCCTGCACGTCCGCAGCGGCTCCATTGCCGGCGACGCGTCCTCGCGCCCCGGGTCCTACAAGATCATCGGCATCTGTCTGGCCATTGCCTCGGGCGTCTTCATCGGCGTGTCGTTTGTCATCAAGAAGCATGGCCTGCTGCAGGCCAACGAAAAGTACAACGAGGAGGCCGGCGAAGGCTACTCGTACCTCAAGAACGCCTGGTGGTGGCTGGGCATGACCCTCATGATTGTGGGCGAGGTCTGCAATCTGGTCGCCTACGCCTTCACAGACGCCATCCTCGTCACCCCGATGGGCGCGCTGTCCGTCGTCATCTGCGCCATGCTCTCCTCGGTGTTCCTCAAGGAGCGCCTGAGCTTCGTCGGCAAGGTCGGCTGCTTCAACTGCATCGTGGGCTCCGTCATCATCGCCCTCAGCGCGCCCTCGCAGTCGTCGGTCGCCTCCATCCAGGACATGAAGAAGTGGGTCATTGCGCCAGGCTTCCTCAGCTTCGCCGGCGTCATCATTGTCGCCAGCCTCGTCATCGCCCTCTACTTTGGCCCCAAGTACGGAAAGAAGACGATGATGGTCTACCTGACAGTCTGCAGTCTGATTGGTGGTCTCAGCGTGGTTGCGACCCAGGGCCTGGGAGCAGCCGTCGTCGCCCAAGCCTCGGGATCCCACGGTGGCCAGTTTAAGGAATGGTTTCTCTACGTCCTGCTTGTCTTTGTCGTCGTCACTCTGCTGACGGAGATTATCTACCTGAACGTGAGTATGCCGCTCCACCGCAACACCGCTCCACCGCTCCCCCGCAACACCGCTCCACCGCTCCACCGCTCCACCGCTCCCCCGCCGCCGCTGACGCTCTCCAGAAAGCCCTGAACCTCTTCAACGCTGCCTTGGTCACGCCGACATACTACGTCTTCTTCACCTCGTCCACCATCATCACCTCGGCCGTCCTGTTCCAAGGGTTCAAGGGCACGCCCATCCAGATCATAACCGTCATCATGGGCTTCCTGACCATCTGCTCCGGCGTCGTGCTGCTGCAGCTCTCCAAGTCGGCCAAGGACGTCCCGGACGCTGCCGTCTTCAAGGGCGACCTCGACCAGGTGCGCACCGTTGCCGAGATGGAAGAGCCCGAGTACGAGCCGCGCGCAGACGCTATCCGCGGCGGCAGTGCCATCCTGCGCTCGCTCAGCACCGCGCGGTCGCACAGAGAATTGCAAGAGGCCAAGAAGATCAAGGAGGAGCACATGCAGGTCATTGGCGAAGGCGAAATGGTCGAGTTTGACGGCATACGAAGACGCAAGACCATTGTCGATCCAAGCAGGCCGCCCACCCGCCACGGCACCGTCGTGACGAGAACCGTCCATCCGCCCCTGGGCATGACCCACTTCCCCGGCGAAGACTCGGACGACGACAACAGCAGCTTCCACCCCGGCTTCTTTGAGCGCTTGCGGTCTCGAGGCAAGTCGAACGCGAGTCGCGCCAGCTCGTCCGGCGTCGGCATGACGCACCTACCCCCCCTTCCGACCGACGGAGCCTCGGACCACTTGGACCACCTGTCTGACAAGGACTACAAAAACCCCTTCTCCCCAGACACGTCGTACAAGCCCCACGACACGCACATTCAGTTTGCCGACACGCACATTCAGTTTGCCGAGCTATCCCCGGCCCACAACGACGACACCCTCTGTCCTCCCAAGCCCCCGCCACATCAGGCGAAGCGCCAATTCTCCTTCAACAACGTCTTCCACCGCAACCGCGGCGACTCGGAAGCGAGCGCGTCCGGCAGCAAAAGACCCGTCAGCAGGAGCAGTCGCAAGAACAGCCGCGACGGCTCCAAAGCCGCGCCCGGCACAGAAGAGGAGCGTCTGGGGCTGGTCAAGGGCGACTCGAGCCATCTCATGCGCATCCAAAGCCACGGCAGCGACGAGTTGAACCCCCCCGGCTACACCGACGACTGGGGCATGGGCGGGCGACGCGCCGACAGCCCGGGCGTCAGTCCGAGCCGACTGCCCATTGCGGACGCGCACGCCCACCAACGCAGGAGCGGGATCGAGACGCCTGGCACGGACCCGGGGGATGATGCCATGTATGAACCGAGCCGCAAGCCACGCGGCGGGGGGATGCTGTAGGTGTAGACGGTTTTGCGAGACGACCAGACTCTGCTCGCGTTGCATACCTTCAGAAGCAAGCGTTTTCGTTGTCCTTTTTTTTTTTTGAGCGCTTGGGTTGATATGAGTCATGCGGTATGCTTGTACGCGTACCGGGTACCTGCCGAGGTGCAGTCTGGGAGCCATGTGCTTTGTACATATACACCCTGGTAGGTTGAGTTGTCTAGTCTCCTCTGGGCTGTGGGCCTCCTGGGGGCCTCATTCTCTCTCCCGCCCAGGCTAGTGCTCACTTGGCGAGTTGCAAGATAAAAGGCCAGAAATATACAACAGTGCGCCGTGACACGAAGCAAACGCCCCAGCGAAATGTTTTTGGCCCTCGGACTGGTCTCTGCACTCTTTCTTTTGACTCGTGCCGTCTACCGGCTCTGGTTCAGTCCGCTAGCCCACATTCCCGGTCCAAAAATCGCTGGTAAACCAGCCTCATCTCGACGCAATCGCCGCCCGCTCACATCGACACAGCCCTCACTTCGTGGTACTGCGCCTACCATGATCTCGTACGCGGCGGCCAGTACGTCTGGGTCGTCGAGGACTTGCACCGCAGGTACGGTCCCATTGTTCGCATCCGGCCAGACGTGCTGCACGTCAACGACCCAAGCTTCCTTGATACGCTGTACCCGCAGTCGCCAAACGTGCGTCGCGAACGTGCCCAGACGGTCTTGAACTTGTTCCACGAGCATCTGTCCGTCCTCCCCACGCGAGACCATCACCTGCACCGCCAGCGCCGCGCGGTGCTGAGCCGCTTCTTCTCGCAGCAGAATGTGCGCCGCCTGGTTCCTGTCATCAACGACACGCTTGCGAAGCTGCTTGACCGCATGCACGGATGGGCCAGGGACGGCGAGCCTGTTTCTCTCAACGCGGCGTACAGAGCTGCTACCAAGGATATCATTCAGGCCTATGCTCTGGGAGACGGCGAGAGGTGCTTGGATCTGCCCGACTGCAACGCGGCGTTCTTCAAGACACTTCATGCTGAGCGCTTGACCCACGTTAGCGCTCACTTTCATTGGTTTCCTGCGCTCATGGCTAGGCTTCCAGTGAGCGTCATCACAGCATTGACCCCCCACATCTCCGTCTTCATCCAGTTCATCGAGCATCTAACCACCAAGATCGAGCACATCCGCCACACCGCAGACGACGAGTCCAGCACCACCATCTTCCACGAGATCCTCCGCAGCGACATATCCGCCGAGGAAAAATCAACACCCCGCCTCGTCGACGAGGCAATGGTCCTCGCCATTGCCGGCGCAGACACGACAGCATCCACCCTCGCAGCACTGACATACCACATCCTCGCCTCCCCACCAATCTTCACCCGGCTGCGAGCAGAGCTAGACTCGGTGATGCCTTCGCCAGACCACGCGCCGGACCCAAAAGCCCTCGACGCCCTGCCGTTCCTCAATGCCCTCATCGAAGAAGCGCTGCGTCTGTACCCGAGCGCAACGCACCGCCAAGATCGACTCGCGCCAGACCAAGACCTGCTCTTCACCTACCCCGACGGCCGCACGCTCGCGATCCCCGCGGGCACAATGGTCGGCATGACAGCGCCCCTGCTCAACCGCCACCCGGCCTGGCACGACGACCCCGACGCGTTTGTGCCGGAGCGCCACCTCCCTACCCCGCGGCGGCAGTGGCGCAACTTTGCCTTTTCGCGCGGCGCGCGTCAGTGCCTCGGTGTGAATCTGGCGTACCAGGAGCTGCAGACGTTCACCGCGGGCGTGTTTCGCCGGTACGCTGTGTATGATGAGCGCGTCGAGCAGCGGGGTCCGACGCTGCAGCTTTTTCGCACGGGGGTCGAGGACGTCAGACTGCATGCTGATTATGTTACGCCTGGGTTACGGCCTGGGAGTCGGGGCGTCAGGGTTGTGGTTCGCGATCGAGGTGGCGTGCCGGAGCGCGATCGAGGTGGAGTGCCGGAGCGCGATTGAGGTGGAGTGCTGGAGCGCGATCGAGGTGGAGTGCTGGAGCGCTGTGTTGTACCCACGGCGTCTGGTGGTTGGAGAGCGAGTATCGTTGCGGCATGATGTAGCGCCTTGGTTGTCCTGCGGCCTGGTTGTGTGGTGGATGATCACGTGTAGACGTTCATCCACGACGCATTCTGCGCGGCCTCCGATACTGCAGTGCGAACGGGTTTGTATAATCCACCGCAGGAATCCGCAGGTGGGTCACTGGTACTATACAGTCATCTCCTGCCGTTGCTGGATAAACGAACACGCCGAGATGAGGGTGATGTATGCTGTTCTTACAGTACCGCTGGCTGACACGCCTGTGACGTTAAGCAGAACTGTTGACAAGCACGCTGGCTTGACTTGGTTAGCTTGATTGACTCGCTTATCTTGATTGCCTTGCTTATCTTGATTGCCTTGCTTACAATCACCAAGCAAGTCGTCCCATCCAATCCAAGCTTGTACGCGTATTTCCGCGCGTAATCCAGATCGCAATGAAGGGGAGATTGGCCTGCCTTGCCTCCGTCGACAATGTGCAGACGTTCATGTCCAGAAGTATCTCCACGCAGCGATGCGTTACCTACTGAATCACGCCCAACAACGCAATCCAGACGGTGGTCTTGACTACTCAAACAAGCCGATCGGTAGACCTTGCGGCTGGTGACGGGAAGCCAGATCCTGACACCAGGAGTGTCAGCTCAGCTACCATGTTGACTACATTCGTGCAGTGGCACAGCCCACTGTCACCGGGTTATACGGTAGTCTACTTCGTAGCCATGATCATCGACGATGTAGTCCTACGGAACTAGCCCGGCGTTACCTACGGCTGTCCCGCAACGGAGCTAGTCCCGCAACCCCAGACCCGCAACACCCCCGGTCCCGCAGCATGGTCCCGCAGCACACGCGGCGGAAATGCTCCTGCGCCTGACAAATCGTCGAGGCCGGTGAGATGCAGGGGGCGAGCGTACATAGTACTGAGTGCCCAGGGACTTCCCCACAGATACTGGTTTACCCCGTTATCAAAAGAACAATACCCGAGGCGAAGACGCAGAGATTGAGATATCAAGAACGGCATCGACTCTTGTCGTATCAAGTACCAAACCACGCACAATGTAAGCCACAACCCAACGACCCAAGAACCCCTCCTGTCCGGCGTCATCGCCAGCCCACTAACGCCTGGCCAGGACCCAGGACCCCAGCCCGCCCTTCAACGCAGGCGCCTCGACGCCCGACGTTCTCGCGCTGGGCACGCACAACGACGAGTCCATCGCGCAGTGGCGACAGAAGCACAGCATCAACCCTGCATCGCAGATCCGCCTCGTCAAGCTCGCGCACATGCGCTACCAGCACCCGGACCTGGACGAGATCACCACGTTCCTGTTCGACTTTGGCTTACGGCTCGTCAGGCGCACTGAGACCGAGGCCTGGTTCCGCGGGTACGGGCCCGACCAGTACGTGTACTATGCGCGACAGGGGCCGCGGAAGTTCCTGGGCGGCACCTTTGAAGTGGAGAGTTATGCGGATTTGGAGAAGGCTGTGCGCATCGAAGGCGCGGGGGAGATTCGGAGCTTGGAGGAACAGGGTGCGCCTGGTGGAGGCTCGATTGTGACGCTGACGGATCCAGAGGGATTTCCCGTGAATCTGATGTTTGGGCAGGAGAGGGCTGAGATGGGACAAGTACCGCCGAAGCTGGTGGTGAATTACGAGCTGGAGAAGCCGAGGGTCAGGGAGTTTCAGCGGTTCCAGCCTGGATCCGCGGCTGTTCACAAGGTGCGTTTTCTCCGCGCTGTTTCTGCCGTGTGCTTGTTCGCCGCTTTGATACGTGCAGCCCCGTGCTAACGCCGCCTGCAGCTCGGCCACTACGGTCTGTGTGTGAAGGACTTCGACCAGCAGTTGAAGTGGTACACGACGAACTTCAACCTCGTGCCGACTGATTTCCTGTGGGTCAACGAGGGCGGCGATGCGGCGCCGCAGACCAAGAAAACCGTCGCCGTCTTCGCACATATCGACAGGGGCCAGGACTACGTCGACCACCACACCTTCTTCATGTCGACCAACGCCACATCCCACGTGCACCACTGCTCCTTTGAGGTTCACGACTTCGACACCCAGCAGCTGGGCCACCAGTGGCTGGCGAAGAAGGGCTACAGGAGCGTTTGGGGCGTGGGACGCCATATCCTCGGCAGCCAGATTTTCGATTACTGGTGGGACACGACGGGCAACATGGTGGAGCACTATGCCGATGGCGACTTGATCAACGAGGATACGCCGATTGGGTATGGTCCGGCTGGGAACGAGAGTTTGGCTGTCTGGGGCCCAGAGGTTCCGGCAACTTTCTTGCAGTAGCGGGGACGGTGGATGCCTCGCCCTGAACGTGATGGCACGACGTATCTTTTGGAGCGAGGGAACGCGATGTCAGGACTGACGGGGGTCGATGGTTCTTACTAGTAGCTACCCATGTCGAACAACAAGACTTCTACTATCGAAGCGAGTCTACGCGCTATTTCCCAGTGACCGATACGGCGTAGGAGGTCCATGACGTTGTATACGATGCTCAAATCTGCCGAAGGAAACGCCGATGGAGGTCGTTGACTAGCGGCGCCAATCGATCCCGGTCTTGGAAACTCCGGGCTGTTGATATCATCTTGAGAAGGCGTACGGTGGTGTCCCGTGGGAGAAAAATGGATGCAACAGTAGACCAGAACCGCGGACGAGAACAGGGCCTTTGGGACGTGGATTGCGGGCTCGACGCTGACGGGCAGGGCTTCTGTATGCTGCAGGACCGATAACGCGTGCAGGACGCCTCGCGAGGCCTCTGGAGAGACGGCCCATTTGCGGACCTCGCTCGTAGAATGCTTTTTGGGCGGGTGTCCATCACGACCGATTGCGCGTTCCAGAAGATCAAAGTCGGCATACAGCGCCGTGAAGGCCGCGTGCCACAGTATCATCAGGCTGGTGCTATTCGCTTGGGAGTCTTGAGGCACGGCCAGATAGCCTCGATGCCAGGCAAGCAGAGATGCTCGAATGCGTTCCACCGAGTCGGCATCGAGGGTCGACAACGCCCTCGCGTCCTGGATCGAGGCCACAACGTTCGAAAGGAAGGCATACGTGTGCATGTATGAGCTGCGAAGGGTTGAGCTCGAAGTCTGAATGAGGCCCTCAGATGGGGAGAGATGAGTGGCGCTCGAGCCTTCGCTAGCCGTGAGGAGAGCGTGCCATTGCGATGCCGTAGACGCAGCAAATAACTCCTCATGGCAACAGACGGGGAGAACTTGAGCCGTGTGGCGTAACATGGTTCCATGGTGGAATCTCGAGGCGAGTTCGACGTCGTGCACGTGCAGCCCCAATACAAGCCGGATTGACTCTTCAGCACACACCCACGATTTCCAAGCCTCCGACAAGCTCCCATGGGGGCCGCTCTTGATCGTGTGCATGGAGTCTTTGATCTTGAAGAACCCTGCCTGGCGCGCCCAAGCAATCACTGTGCCGTGGAAACAGTCCGTCATGTAGACATCGTGTGAGTGTCCTGAAAGCATGCCGAATGTCTGTCCGATTGTAGCTGCCTGGACGAGTGCAAGCATCTCCTGAACGTCACCGCCAACGTAGTTCTCCCACTGCTCGTGTCAGTCACGTGGCATAGTTTTTGTACGTGCATGCAGACTTACAGATGCCAGGCATGCTTTGTTCAGCGCTTGAAAGATCTTCCTGCCTTGCGCTGCAGCACTAGTGGAACCCACGAAGAGCGCGCCTATAGAGCATATCGACAAGAGTAGTAGGGAATTTCCAGAAGAGGGACGGAAAGACCCGGCATGTATCAGTGGAAAAATTGTATTAAATCTCACGAAGAACAGCTTCACGCAAAGGTTCTAGCCAAGATTAGATGGCTGATGTCATTACGCGGAGAGATGACGAGGGAAAAGAAATATTGAACTCACTAGGAAGTCAGCTGAGGGAAGAACAGAGTCCCCTATGGGCGGTCGCAGTTGAACAGAAAGATCTTGTATATATGCTTCATCAACGCCATCGTGGCTCTGATTTGCGTTCTTCGCCCGTCCTGGGGTATCATTGTGGCAAAATCGAGTGTACCAGAGGCGTTGGACTTGGTCAACAGTGTCTGAAGATCTCGAATAGTGTGGAGCACTTGCAGCATGGAAGATCCCACCGTAATGAGCAGAACCGTTGGCGACAGGGTGCCCCCATCCAGAAATGGGTTCAGAAATGGATTGATTGAAAGCGCCGACATCAAAGTCGGTTCCGATCATCCACTCTGATTCATAAGCACCTGTTTGAAGATTGGCAGAATCGGCATTCGTGGGAACGTTTAAGTAGTTAGCTGAATGCCCCGGAAAGCCCAAGGTGGTAGTGTCTTCATGTATGGAAGCCGCCAGCAAAGGAGAAAGCTGGGGGTCTATACACCCAACCCTCAGTATCGAACAATCAGACCGTTCCATCTGGCTTTCTATAGCGCTCATAGTCGGACTACTGCCAGAGCTATCAAATCGACTGTTCTGTACCGTGTCTTGGATCAACGTGCCAGTTGTTGAGAGACTATCTGCAGTGGGCAAAGGTGACGGCAATAAAGCTGTTCCTCGTTGCATCCACGATGGCGCGTCGCTGCCTACATCATGTGTGCGGATATGGCGCAGTAAGGAATCACTAAGGAGATGTTTAGTGTAGTTTATAACCCAGCCTCAATTCGATTAATGGGCACCCACTTGCGACTGTAAGCCTTGGGACACAGGTAGCAGTTGAAGGGCTTCTCTTTTGTGTGGGATCGGACGTGCCGCTCAAGGTGTTCTGCTTTAGAAAAGATCTGGCAGCATTCCGGACACTTCCGTATCTGTCTGTGGCGCCGACGAATAGTAGGTCGAGTTGACAAATCAGGACATTGGGGCCAAGAGGATCCTGACATAATTGTCTCAACGATGCGAGGAAGTATTAGAGGAAAATTCAGGGATTCTGGTCCTATACCGACCGAGGGGCGAGGACGGGGTGTTTACTAAGCGTGTGCCAAGCAGCGCTAAGTTACCGAGTTCCCCGCGTTTCCTGCTGTTCCCCGCAGGTGCATTGTTCGGCATGCGTCGGGGAATGCCGGAGTAACATTCCAATCAACAGTGCAATAAACACCGAATGTAAGTAAGGTGTATTCACCGTTGACATTCGGTAATGTGTTATACGGGAATCAGTATATTTGACTCGAAGCCTACAGAGATTCATATCGAACCTTGTTCACGAGTGTGCCGATCTTTTCTATCTCCACCCGAATATCGCTTCCATCCTCGAGATAGACACGTGGGTTCCGGAAGTAGCCTATCCCAGCTGGAGTGCCGGTGAGGAATATGGTGCCCGGCTCTAGGGTCGTGCCCTGGGAGAGGTATGAGATTTGCTTCTTGATCCCAAAGATCATATCGCGCGTGTGTCCATCTTGCAGAGTATTGCCATTGTAGATGGCCTTGATCGAGAGCTGCTGAGGGTCCGGAATAACAGAGGGTGATACCAACACGGGCCCTAGAGGAGTTACGGAATTAGGGCGAGCGCCACTTTGTGCGAGAATGGCTGACGACTTACCGATCGGACAGCTGTTGTCCAGTCCTTTTCCAAAGCTCCACTGCGAGTTCGCTAACTGCAGTGCTCTTGCAGATACGTCGTTCGAAGCAGTGTATCCAAGCACGTAATCCAGGGCGTCTTCTTCAGGAATATCCCGACCGTACTTGCCAATGACAACGCACAATTCCGCCTCGTAGTCTGTCGTATTGTCCTGCGCACATTTGGGAATTGTGATGGATGCTGGGTAGGGGCCTATCAAAGCTGTTCGAGGTTTCGTGAAAAGAACTGGCTCTTTAGGCAGTTGCAAATTCGCTTCCTGAAACCGGATCAGTGAAGCCCAAGATCGAACGTGCAGAGGGTTACTGACTTTTGCGTGGTCTTTATAGTTCAGACCAAGGCATCGGATGTAGCTGCATTGCTCTCGAGCTACCGGAGAAAGGAGCTAGAAGCCTGTCAGAGTAGTTTGACTCGTGTGTTCTTCAAGAGCACCCTCACCTTTCTCACAGTGTACACATGCTGTGTAACCTTTCCGCTGAAGATATCTCCATTAACGAGATAAGCTTTGATTTCCACTCCATTGACGCTGTCTAGACCAACGTCTCGTGTAGTGTCTACCAGCTGTCCCAAATGGACCTGCTCGTCTTCGACAGTAACAAAGCGGATCAAGTGTGTCCAGTCTGGCATTGTGTGTAGGTGGTTTATTCAGAGAAGTGGTCTTACCTGAATCACTTTTATAAAAAAAAAGATCAGGCGTTGAGTGGCAGACTGATTGGGCGATGGGGTCCCGCAGGCCCAAATGGTCCCGCAGACTCCACCGACCCGCTGGCTCCAATGGTCCCGCAAGCAAACCCCAGACTTGTCCCACAAGCGCACGTCCATCATCAGGATCACCAACCCCTCTAATTCCATTCTGGACGGTCCCCAGGCCCAGGTCGGGGATTCGACGATTGAGTGCGGGGAAAGATTGGAGAAAGCGGAAACACGGCCCAATTTGGATTGCGCTTCAGTGTCTTGAACGAGCGGCTACACTCTTATACCTTGGAAACTGGCCGAGGCTCTTCGTGACTGGTGACCTGGTCCTACTTCCTGCTCCAAATTTTTGCGACGCTTTGTTTCTCCTCTCTACCACGTCGACGGCTTCGCCCATGGAGACTACCGATGTTATTATCTGTGGTTGTGGCCCGACGGGGGCCATGTTATCGGTACTTCTTGGGCAACATTCCGTACCAAACGTTGTCCTGGAGAGAGAAGCTTTCGTGAACCGTGATCCTCGCGGAATCGCGCTGGACGAAGATGGTATCCGCTGTCTGCAGGCCTGCGGAATATACGACAAAGTCTTTACCGATATTGGTCAATGTTAGTTCACAGATGATGCCTTGTGGCTTCCCAAGACCGCCAACTAATGTCGCATCTCAGGTATGGGCAGATTCCGATTCGTCGGGGGCACTCATAACGACCTGATGACAAAGCCGTTTATGGTCATGGACTACAATACGGTGAGACTCGTACCGTTACTTGCTCCCTCCCCAGCGCTTATTGTGCCTTAGACTGAGGGCGGTACTGGGCATCCGGGATTCGTTTGTCACAAGCAACCAGCCATTGAGAAGCATCTGAGGTCACGGATTGAAGATCTCGCCGACTCACAGCTGCGCCTGACCGCGACTGTCACGTCCATTTCCGAGGACGAGGACTGGGTATACGTCACCTACACCGATGCAAGTGGTCAAGAACGACGAATGCGAGCAAAGTTCCTCGTTGGCGCAGATGGTAAAACGGGATACACAAGAAAGAAGTACCTGGAGCCCAAGGGAGTTTTCATGGAGAAAGTCTCGCAGATGTCGTATGAAGAGACATGGGTGGCGCTGAACTGGAAGATCACTCCACCGACTCCAGAGTCGCATCCAGACTTTCCGCTTTGGAAGAAGGGCTACACACCAGAAATGGTTTACGACGCCTTCTTCCCGTCGGACTTCCGATTCCTGTGCAACCCTAAACGTGCAGCGGTCTGCGGCCGTTTCGGGCTGAATGAGGACCGGCTCTGGAGATTCGAATTCGTTGTTCTTCCGGGAGAAGATGGGAATGTGATGGCAGGCCCGGACAAGATTCGAGAGATTGTATATCCTTACATCACCCATACCGGTCGGAAATACGGACTGGACTCCGAGGAGATACAATTTCCGAGCGGTTGCATTGAAGTGCTGCGGTCGCGGCCCTTCAATTTCTCTGCTCGAAGCTGCAACAAATGGGCGCTCAATCGGGTCATCTTATGCGGCGACGCCGCTCATGTATTCCCGCCGTTTGGAGGTCAAGGAATCGCATCCGGATTTCGGGATGCAATCTCACTGGTTTGGCGCTTGGTTCTAGCAACGCGTCAACCGAGCCAGGAAGCTCAAGAATTTTGCCGTGCCCTATTCGAAGGATGGTACACGGAACGAAAGCAGCAGCTGGACAAGTCTCTGGCTTCCACCATTGAAAATGGCAGTTATGTGACCCAGGCAGACCCTGTCAAGATTTTCTTCCGGGACTGGTACCTTTGGTCAATCCAACTAGTGCCCACATGGAAACGTCAATTAGAGCAAGGGAGTCGAAGGGGAGGAATGACACAGTACAGTTGGGAGGCCGGAAAAGGAATGGCTTTTTTGGCCCACATGGCAGGAGGGTTTGACTTTCCGCAGGTCTATTGTGTCAACCTAAACGACGAACAGGGAAGCCAATCAGTCCAGTTCACCGACGATGTCATATTTGCGCCAGGAAAGAAAGGCTTCTTCCAAATGGTTGTGTTCTTGAACTCGGTCTCTGATCTACAAAAGGCGCAGAAGACCATGGAGGGCTTAGAGGATGCTTGGGAGGGAGTTTTACGACTAGACGAAGCGACATACTTGGTGGGGGATACAGATCATCCTCCTGCATCCATCCAGGGGACGAACATCTACCGCTTAGCTACGGGTCAGGAGTTTGCAGCACATCCGGTGCTGTGCGCCGGCCGCCCTGATCCACAGTACTACGACCCGAGCAGAATCATGCGAGATTCGAGGAACAAACAGTTTGTGATTCTACGGCCGGACCGTTTTGTCTTTGCAGCATGCGACAATCGTTCCGAGCTTCGCGAAGCGGCAGCTGGACTGTCCTCGATACGTCTCTGAGCAATGTGTTCGGTCTAAGAGCCACGTGTGCAGGCAGCAGAAACGATTTCCTTCCTTCGCGTCTATATCATATTGTATTCCTACGAACTCAGCACATGAAATCAATCGCGGTCAATTATACCATAGCACCTTTATAGTTACGGCTCAGGACAGTGTAGTACCGAACACCAATCTTCCATCTCGACTCATCCCTCTTGATTCTCTTCAATGTTCCTTCTACACGGCAATACTGTGGGCAAGCATGCAGCCAGGGCAGCTAGATATCCTCCAGACGAAGAATTCTCCGCAGTCAGTCTTGAAGTTGTAGGTCCTGACATGAGGGACAGAAGAGACGAATAGGCGGCCTGCGATCAACTTCTTTTGAAAGTCACTCCTCAATGCTCTTCTATTCATCTCGCACATAGGAGAGGTAGACCTCTACTAAGAGGTACCTCACATAAGAAAAGACTCCGATCTAGCGCCTGGCGCGTCCCTAACACACCATGGGTGGTTACCATGCATGTGAAGGCAACTGTCAACCGTACCCGGGCGTTGATAGAACACTACTACTACCGCACCGTAGCACCGTCGATTGAAGGAGATATGGCGCTGAGGTCCATCTGGCTGGCAGATGGCGATTATGTTAGAATCATATTGCTCTGAGCATCTTGTTGTACATTAGCAGAACTATCATTTGAAATCGCGTGCGGTAGCACGACCTCCATATGAAATAGTTCCAGAACTCTCGAGTTCACAGACTGCATACAGCACACAGACTCGCTGGTCCTAAATTTGGAAGAAACCAGCAAGTACAGTACATCTTTGTAGCGAGAAAGAAAAACATCGGATGCAATCCGCTCAAGGCACACATTATCGTCCCTACGAGCAGAGAGACGAGCCGCTTAGTGAAATTCCACGGCATAAGTAGCTTCAAATTTGTAGCGCGCTGCAGATTGAAGTTGCGAGGGCTAGCCAACCTTCCGTCGACTGCGTCTCTACGTAGAGGCCGTCCCATGGCTACTACTGTATACGTCCAGCAGCGGCATCCCTTCGATACAGCTCCATATATGGACAGAGAGGTACTCTAGGCTCTCCTGGATGAAAACTGCGAAAGACAAGGAGCGTATAGAGCGACTGAACAGTCAAGACCTGCAGGCTGCAAGCGCGCGGCGAACACTGTCCGGGGTCGTTCAGTTCGTTTGATCCCAATGGATGCAGAGAGACTATGTCGCTTGGAATCGTTTCAGAGGATTTAAGACATGCGTTGCAGCGGACAAGGAGTGAATGATCTAACACTGGGCGGGTGCAGAACGTTGTTTCTGTGTACCTAGCGCCAGAAGGAGCGATCGGCAGCGCCAAACTCGGGCCGATCCCTCAACTACGTCCCCTCCCCTCAGATGCGATATCAACTTTCTGACACCCTAGAACGCACAGAATAGCCGCTGACGATCTACCGAAATTCTGTCCAGGCACCTTGTATCCTGTTCTGATCGTCATTGTGGTGCAATGGCGTGGCGACGACGCGCATCAAGAGGAGGGGTATGATGCACTCAAGCTCGCGATTACCCGCAGTACATACGGTCAGCTTCCCCAGCCTTATGCGGACAAGTGTCACCTCGTCAGCTGGCAGGCAGCCTGATCGAACATTTCTCCCATCTTCGCCTCTGTTCTATCAATTGCTCAACTGATCATCCGGCATGCGCGTCTTACGCACTGACGATCTCAGCTTCGAGGAGTTTCCCGGCCTTCCGGACAAGGACTACGCCATCCTATCGCACGTCTGGGGCAAGCACGAGATCTCTTACCAGGATGTCAAAGTTCTAACACAAGCCAATTCTCCTGGCGTAGCTGGAAAGTATGCAGCACGCGCGAAATTGACGGGCTGCAGAGCACAGGCGCGCAAGGACGGCCTCAAATACCTCTGGATTGATACCTGTTGCATCGACAAGCATAGCCACTCGGAGTTCAGCGAAGCGATAAACTCCATGTTTCATTGGTACAAGAGTTCGAAGATCTGCTACGTATACTTGACCGACGTTTCTGCGAAAGACGATTTGGAAAAATCCAAGTGGTTCACGCGAGGCTGGACGCTTCAGGAACTCCTCGCGCCAACCTCTGTGGTCTTTTTCAACAAGCGATGGGATCATCTCGGGGACAAAATCAAATTGCATCAGGAACTCTCTGCTATTACTCAGATACCACCCGATTTTCTTTTGGGGCGAGGTCTCGAGGATGCGAGTATCGCCCAGCGTATGTCCTGGGCTTCAAACAGGACCACAAGCAAGGAAGAAGATCTAGCATACTGTCTGTTGGGGATATTTGATGTGCATATGCCACTTCTCTATGGCGAACAACTGACAGCAGCATTCCGACGACTGCAAATTGAGATACTGCAGATGCAAGATGATACGAGTATCTTCGCCTGGCAAACGCCTTTGCAAACAGACGCAAACCTCTCAGGGGCTAATACATACGGACTTCTTGCACCTGGTCCTGCGTCCTTCAAGCAGTCTACCAACGTTATTCGCGCAGCCCTTCCTGTCGTCTCAGGTTACAAGCAAGGAATTCGGACCCCGATTTTGTTTAACAACAAAGGCCTTCATCTTTCACTGCCAGTGTTGCAAAGATCGGACAGACGGCTGATAGCAATTCTGGGTTGCACTACGGAAGACCAGTCTAGCAAATGGCTTGCCGTTTGGCTCCAAGACATATCCCAAAACGACGGGCGATACGTTCGCATCAATAACATTCAACATGTAACTGATCGCGAAGTACGCTCCGGGGCGTATTTCCAGGACATTACTACCGAAACGAGACTTTTTCGGACGCTTTCTGTGATTCCTAGATCACGTTGGCATTCGTCAACGTCCCAGAATTGACCCAGACTCGGAGGTTCTCCCGCATGTCGAGTTTTTGTCAGACTGGGATAAAGACCGCCGTAGTATCAAGCAGGACCAGGACTCTACAATCAACTTCACGATGCAAAGGCCTCCCACGCCAGGAATGTCGTCAAGTGCGGCCATAGTCGACGTGGGAATGTTGGAATCACAGGCGATTTTGGGAAGTCGTTCAGTCTTGCAGAGCTTATGACACAGCATGGCGGACCGCCTATACCGAAGCTTACTCCACTGTTGGCAGACATTAAAGTAACGACGTATCTCATACAGCCAAGCCCTGCTGCAGGCAATGACAACGACAATGACAGTGACAGTGACAGTGACAGTGACAGTGACAATGATAATGACAGTAACAATGACAATGACAATAACAATGACAATGACAGTGACAATGACAATGACAATGACAATAACAATGACAATAACAGTGACAATAACAATGACAATGACAATGACAATCACCATCCATGAAACTCAAAGTCGCACTGATCCCATCGTTCCGAACCAGCAAAGTTTTCAAACACTGCGGCACACGCCAAACCACGGCATCTAGCGCGAGTGATGACGCCGGTAGCCTTGAAACCAAGGCGCGGGCCAGGTTTTGTCGATGAACGCCTGGCAGCAGGGACAAAGGCGTGCTTATCCTGCGAATCTGATGGACTTGTAGGCGCTTAGGATTGGGTTAAGCTGCTGGCGGACAAGTGAGTTGATCCAGTCCATGCACCCAGCTCCCCCGGCGCTGAAAACACCACGCGGAGAAGGCCTCGGTAGAGTAGTAGAAGTCGTACACGCACGCTACGCCACCATGCACGCAGCGTCTTCGAAAGCACTACCCGTATCCACTCCACAAGGTCCCGCATGCAACACGCAAAGTAACAGTATAACAGTACGATATCTAGCAGTGTAGTGCCCGATCCCTGCAGTACCGTGGCGCAGAGAACCATCCACACCCATCACACTCCCCACATCACAGACGCGACACACAAACCCCAAGCACGCTCACGAACAAGTCATCAATCATTGCAATATACTCTGTACATACACTCCCCCTCGATCCAACAATGCGCCTCGGCGCGCGCGGATCAAGGCGCCCGCCCAGTCCGCCCACCCCCTTCCCAAGAGAGACTGGGCAGCGACTCGACTCAGTCGCGGGCGGGCGTGCGAGGCGCTGCTTTCCTCTTTTTTCTTTTCTCTTTTCTCTTTTCTCTTTTTTCTTTTCTCTTTTCTCTCTTTTCTTTTCTCTCTTCTCTCTTCTCTCTTCTCTCTTCTCTTTTCTCTCTTCTCTTTTCTCTTTTCTGGTCCGATGTGGGCCGCAAGCGCTGCCGTGGGGCGTCGCCGTGCTGGACGACTTTTGGAGTGCTTTTTGAGACGGCCGGGGGAAGACTCGACGCGCATCTTGGATCTCTGCCGACGGGACATCAACGCCGTGATTCCCATGAATTCCATCCCTAAATCCCACCCCGTCTCGACTCGACACGGCTCGACTCGACTCGACTCCTCGACTACACATTCCCCCACGCCCCGCCCGAGCGACCCAACCCACTAAGCCCCCCCTTGCCCGGGCCCAGGGGCGCGAGATTCGGACTACCCTTGCCGCCGCTCCCCCAGCTCAAGCCGCTGAGGCGCTTGTGGCTGCCGCTGCTGGTGGTGCTCGCGCCGTCGAAGCTCTTCTTGACGTCGTCCTCGTCCTCCATGCTGAACAGGCCCTGCTCCTCGTCGATGCGCTCGCGGCTGATGCTGCTGCTGCTGGCGGTGCGGTCGAGGGTGCCGAGGCGCCCGCCGGGGCTGCCCATGCTCGAGCCCGACGTGAGGCGGTTGATGCCGGGGTGCTGCGGGTTCGAGGTGGGCGTGGTGGCGTGGCTGGGGGCGTCGTCGCGGGACGAGAGGCGCGTGCGCTGGAACTGCTGGCTGATGATGCTCATCGAGGGCTGGCGGGGCGGGGAGGAGACAAAGGGGCTCGCGTCGCTCGAGGGCGGGCGGTTCGTGGCGCGCAGCGAGGGCGAGGCGCCGGGGTGCAGGCTGGAGTTGCGCAGCGGCGAGCCGACGTGGCCAAACGCCGAGGCGCCGGGGAGGGAGCCGGACTCGAAGTCGTTGAGGGGCTTCGACCTGCCCCACAGCGACTGGAAGCGCGACGGCGATCCAGCCGCGACCGACGGCGACCCGTAGCGCGTGTCCGAGGCTGTGGGAGAGGCGCCGAAGCGGGAGACGGAGGCGTGCTGCGAAAACGAGTTGGCCTCGCCGTCGGCGTGGTCGCGCGAGAAGCGGCGCATCTTCTCCTGCGGGGTGAGCAGGTCGCTGAGCGAGTGCGGCAGCAGATCCTCCTCGAACTTGCCAATCATGTCGGCGTCGTCCCACTCGTCGTCCTTGAACGCCGGGCGCGCGCCGACGCTCGACGACATGAGGTTGCGCGAGCGGTTTGCCGCGAGCTCCGAGTGCAGCATGCGCGGCCCCGCGGGCGGCCCGAGCGAGTCTGGCGGCGAGGAGCCCAGGGCCAGGGCGCGCCCTCGCGAGGCGTCGCCAAAGGCCGAGTCGTGCAGGTTGCGCAGGGCGGGCGAGTCGGGGTGGTACGAGGACGGCGGCGAGGCGGCGAGGAACTTGGCGGGCACCGACGAGGCGATGGGCCCGTAGCGGGCCATGTGCGAGATGCCCTGGCTGTCAAACGAGGCGGGCAGCGGGACGTCCATGACGCCGAGGCCCTTTTCGTTGGGCGGCGAGCCGTAGTTGGAGCCCGGGTGCGAGTGCTGCGAGTGCTGCGAGTGCTGCGAGGAAAAGGTGGCGTCAATGGTCGGAATCATGCCGTACGGGGCGGTGGGCGCAGCGTACGGGTCGTCGTGGACGGGGTACTGGTAGTTTGGCTGGACGGGGGCCATGTGCGCCTGCATGGTCAGCAGCGAGCTGTTCATGGGCGGGTCCTGGCTGTGGATGTTGACGCGGCCAAAGTGGGCGCGGCCCATGTTGGCGTTGACGACATGGCCGTTGGGCAGAATGTGGGCGAGGGCGCACTTGTGGCCAAACTTGCAGTTGCCCTGGGCAGTTAGTCAGCGCTGTCGTCGCGTCGGCCTGGGAGCGCACCTTGGTGAAGTACTTGCACGGCGCGCGCTCGGTCACGGGCTCGTCCGAGTGCAGGAACGGACAGGCCTTGCCCGCCTGGCACGCGCCCTGCCGGTAGAACTTGCACGGCACGTGCGAGGTGCTCTTGTTGCTCGGCGGGCTGCGCGGGCCTGCGAAGCCCATCTCGCGCAGATGGGCGCCGTTGCCGTGTCCGTTGCCGTGTCCGTTGCCATGTCCGTTGCCATGTCCGTTGCCGTGTCCGTTGATGCGCCCGCCCGGCACCGCCATGGGCAGTCCGCTGCTGCCGTTGCCGTGCTCGTTTGGGTTGTGCTGTCGCAGCGCGCGGCCGGGGCGGGGGTTGCTGTGCGGCGCCGAGGACTGGAGCTGGTGGGCAAAGGGAGCCTCGTCGAGGCGCGACGAAGACGAAGACGAAGGTGGGGGCTTCGGGGACGAACGCTGGTGGGGCGTCTGGTCGGCGTCTGGGTCTGCGTGCGGAGCGCCGTGGCTGGTGGGCGCAAATGCCGTCGACATGGTCTCATTCACAGGCCCCGCCAGAAGTCGTCGGTCTGCAGGTGAGAGCCGCGCAGCCCAGAAGCTGGAGTAAGAGTCTGATATCACCGCACCTACCGCGACACCCTGGAAGCTGCTAGTCTGTGTGCGGCCTAGCTCGGAAAACGGCCGCGGGGAGTCGTCGGCATCTGCAAGCACCGAGCATGTGCACGGCGCCAACGAGCCCGTGATCAAAGCCTCGAAGCCCCACTGCCGTGACATGTGAGCCTGGGCCCAGACCATCCGTCGGCAGCTGAGCACGCACTGGCCCCAGTACGTTACACCGTGAGTTCAATTCACATGCTCGATTTATACACTGTCATGACTACATTTATACAATCCCCGCCGAGTCGACTTTCTCTTGTCGCTCTAGCAGATGCAGCGCTAGCAGATGCAGCGCTAGCAGATACAGCGCTGGCAGATACAGCGCTGGCAGATACAGCTCTAACAGATACAGCGCTAGCAGATACAGCTCTAACAGACACAGTTCTAGCAGATACAGTTCTAGCAGATACGGCTCTAGTAGATACGGCTCTAGCAGATACAGCGCTAGCAGATACAGCGCTAGCAGATACAGCGCTAGCAGATACAGCGCAAACAGATACAAGCATCAAAAATTTCCAATCCCCAAATCAGAGGTGGCCAATCCTCAAAATCCCCGCCGAACAACTACTATTATACCACTCCATATGCAAGTCGTCCATCATGTGCACCTGCGGAATCCCCAGACCGTACGTGAACGCGTTGAACTGGATCCCCGAAAGCGCTCTGAACTGCTCGTCAAACAAAACCTCCGTGAGTCGGCAGTTGATGTACCCCCAGCACGCCGGCAGCGTCACATTCTGTTCAGCCACGAGCACCTCCTGCTTCAACACCGCGTCGTACCTGTACCCCGAGATCCGCAGCCTGCAGGGTGCGACGCCGCTGAGCGCACACCCAAAGAACCCAGAGTATGCGTTGAACCAGTACGCCGTCACCGACGCCCTCGGGCCTGCTCCAATCTCCCCAGGCAGCAGCGTGCCTGCAAAAGGTGAATTTGGCAAGAGCCGTCCGCTAAGAGGTAGGAACATGGCAACGTTAGGCTGTGACTTCGAAGGGTACGGCTCCCACTTGTCAGGAACATACGTGAACCCGTTGGCGTAAAAAAGGTGGTGGTACGGATTCTTCATGCCCTGGACGGCCAGCAAGTTGCTCTCGTTCGGCCCGACCGTAGTGTCATCAAACGAGAGGGTGAAGTTGCCGGATTCTCCACAGTTTGTGGGCTCCGCTGTGGGTAGCTCGCTGGTCTGTGTTGGCATTGCCGCAGCACGAGCAGCCGTATTGACAACCGTCCTGAAACTGCTCGGTGTCGACCCAAACAGCTCAAACGACAGAGGCACCGACAAAGGAGTTTGCCGAATCGACCGTGTCGTGAGTGGTATTGTCTGCAGATCAGATGGCTCGGGGCCCGTTACCGTCGGGTACGTTCCCGTCCAATACGTCTGCGTCGTCGAGATACTCGGCGTGGGAAAGACGAAGACGACCGACCTGTCTCCATACGCAACGATTCTTGTCATCAGGTCCCCATCTTGTACTGCTGACGTTCCATTACTGCTGCTTGGTGGCCTCGACGTGACCACTGCCGTGCTGAGCAAAGTCACAGTCGAGGTCAAAGTGCTGAGAGAAACCGACGACGACGTTGTACTACTGCTGTTTGCGGGCGCAGTGCCGGGTACGCCAATCACGGCACTTGGCACTGTAGAGATTGTTGGCTCTGCTGGCATTGTTGAAGCACTGGCAGGCGAGGTTGTGGCATTGGCCATACTCGACCGAGGTATATCTGACAATGTGGAACTGCCGCTCGAAAACGAAGACCATGTTAAGCTGGCACTGCTGGATGTGAAGTTGGTCAGACCTTCAGATGACGACGCGACAAGCGCGGCGCTGCTGCTGGAAGAGGTATTCTGTGGAACAAGAGAGATAGTCACTGGCGGTGGGGAGGGCGCAGAAGCAGCATTCGAACTAGACGTGAACGAAGACACATTTCTGGAGCTTATTGAACTACCAGAGCCAGAGGGCGTGAGAAGGCTCGTGGTCGAAGAAGTGACAGTTGATGGCGTACTGGTCAACGAATCTGTCGATGAGCTGAGTGAGGAGTTGGTCCCGAACGACGGGAGGATTGGTAGAGTGCCACTTGTTGGGGTCGAATTTCCGACTGACCCTGTAGAGCCGGACGGCGCAACAAGTGAGCTCAGACCTGACGATGGGATCAATGTTGGCGAAACGCTTCCAGATGAACTGCCACTAGAGGCCACTGGAGCCGGCAGTGTGGCGCTCGAAAAGGATGATGTAGACGATGCACCGGAAAAGGGTATTGAGGACGTTAATTGTGTGAAGGATGATGACATTGGAGAACTCGACGAAGCCAGTGACGACATCGGTATAGTCATCGAAGGTGATAAAAGCCCGGATGTTGCTGTTGCTAGTGTTGACAGCGGTGTCGAAGGCCATGGTGAAATTGTAGACGATGTCAATCCGGTAATTGGGACCGAGCTCGGCAACATGCTGGGAAGGCCAGCAGTAGGGGATGAGATCGTTGTGACAGTGATTGTCTGGCCCGAGCTGACAGAGGTTAATGCGGTCGTACTTCCGCTGATAGCGTCACTAATAACAGGGTCAGGAACCGATGCTGTAAAGCTTCCACTTGATGGACTTGTCGCTGGACTTGTCCTGGTCGCCGAAAGCTCACTCGAAGCCGACAATGTTGACGGAATCGGAAACGATGCCGTGCTGCTGACGAATAAAGCAGCCGAACTGCTTGATGTCGTGACCTGACCACCAGGGAGGGCAGCTGTGGATGTGACTGGCATCCCTGCAGTCGAACTGAATGGCGTGGATGTGGAGGGCTCAATACTCAAAATCCTCGTCGATGCTGTAGTAATCGTTGTTATCTGCCCGCCCGACAAGGTGCTTGTCACAGTTGTGAATCCGCTTGAGACGGTGAGTGAGCCCGGAACTGACACCGAGCCAGACAGTATGCCACTGGGCGGTCTGCTTGAACCACTGAGCGTAGTTGTGCGGATGTTGGACACAGTAATCGTGGGCGAGACAGGGCTACCCGAGGATTGAAGCGGACCTGAGCTGGGCGGAACGCCAGATGAAACCTCAGTGACCATGGTTATGCTAGTGCTGGACAGAGTGATGGTCTGCCCGCCAGATGTGAGACTTGTAACGACCAGCGTAGTGCTGGACAGAACAGCAGAACCCCCGACTGTCGACGAGGTTGAGAACGAAGGTGCAGTCGCAATGGGTGCATTGGATAATTGGCTCGGCAAACTGTCAGGACCTGGCGGTGTTCCTGTTGTGTGACCGAGCGACGAAAAGAGGGCCAATGTTGTGCTTGACACCATGCCTGTGATTGAGGGAACAGGACTCAAACTCTGCGGCGTTGTCAACACAACTGAGGACGGTTCTGGTCTCGAAGGCTACGCGATAACAGAAGCCGTACTCGAAGAAGTCGATGACGCAAGAAGCGAGGTAGGGCTCGTCGGGGGTGGGAGCATCGATGAAGGCACCAAAATCATGGTCGATATGATAACCATGTCTCCAGAAGTAATGGTACTCGTAAGCGTGGTACCGACGCCCGGCGGTAGCGATGTCAAAAGTACTGGCATAGTAGGACTTGGTGATGGCTGCATACTAGACTCGAGCCCAGGTAGGGTGGAGTCGATAGGCAGCGGAATCGATGTGCGGGTGATTGAGAGACCAGGTCGACTTGGTGGTGCGACACTGTTGAGCCATTCGGTTGACCCGCTTACCACCGAGTAATAGTATGTGCCTTGTGCCGGGTTTGTCGGCGAAGCGGCAATAAGTGACACGGTGATGATCGGACCAGGGATCGTAACGTAGACAACACTGCAGTTGGCAGCCTCAACCAGTGCTTGAGCATTGGCACCCTTGATCAACCCAGTAAAGATAAAGTCGAGGGTAGTATACGCGGCGTAACAGCACACGAGAAGAAAGCCAAATGTGATGATGAAGTCGAACTTGCGAGGACCCTGGAAGCCTTTGATGACGGCAAGGAGGAAAATACGCATCGATAGATACATCCGGTATGGCCACCAAGTCTTGAGCTTAAGCTTGCTGGACCAGGTAAAACCCCTGGAGCCCTTCTTCGCTGTAGCTTGCCAAGGACGTTCGATTTTTGTATCTTCCCAGTCACTTGAGATGACCGAATCGCGCTTCTCAACTGATTTGGACAGAAACCCTGATTCGAAATTGTCGCACATATTCTTGATCGGAGGAAATGGATAGCCATTGCCGTCTGTCGAAGGGAGAGATGCAGTACGCAATGCGGTCGAATCGTCCCCAAAGGGGCTGCCACTATCGAGTGACGGGAGTGGATCAGTGGGAGTGTAAGGACCATTTTCCGTGGCTTGCTTTTCGCGCGCCCTTAATGCTTTCCTGGCTTTCTTGGAAAGTGGCGTCGGTTTCTCTGGGGTAGGTGTCGCGTCTGTAGATCTTGCAGGCAAATCGTCGCCTAAGGCGTCAATAGAGAACCGGTTGCTCAAGTTGTTGAGGACTGATTGCTGCACTGTGTTTTCATCAACTATCGTAGGAGGTGTTGCTGGCCGGGCTTCTGGAGTTGCCATCTGAACGGCGATAATCTGTCGTAATCGGTTCCTGACTGGTGTTTCTGGTACGGGCTGGTAGCGAGCCCCATTCTTGCTGTTCTTACCACTCGCCATGGTATGAGGTATGAGCAAGCTGCGAAATCTATGCGAAAACAAGGTATATGTGTGTTAGGCTGTGATGCAGTGAACGTATATTGTTTCGATAGCGTAGCGGTGTTGTGTGAAAGGGTTGCCGCAAAGCAACAGCGTGCGCTGCGAGTGAGAAATATACCTTCCATAGCTGCGACTTGATTAGCAGGCGGGTGGTCGCAAGCAGGGCGGGCGCAGCCGAAGATTTCGGGGAGAGTGATAGTGAGGTGTTGACCGCCTTCCCGGCTTGTCGCAGTATGTGGGAAAGCGCAACGCTGCACCTGAGATTGGGAGCCGACTTGAGGTAACACGAAGAGGTGAGAACGGTACAAACCGTGAAATTGGATATCAAGCGCTGGTCCCGAACGCTAACCTCTGTTGTTGCAGAATGAAGCTTGATCAGTGTCACCAACTGGTGGCTGATAGCTTGCTCGTTTCTAGGCTCGCACTTCCCATAACCTGATATGACCCGACTCATTGGCGACGGCAACCTGTGCCAGACTACCTTCCCGTTCCTCCTCTTCCGTTGGCCTGCCCCATGCCACCGCTGTGATCCTGCCCAATGGTGTCTTCTCCGTAGGCCAATTTTTAAACACGGTCGCTGAAGGCAAATGTACCAACCTCATAGCGTTGTTCTTCCATCGACTCGCCATAGCCAAAATTTGCCCATCAGGCGAGAATGTGAGGTGCGATGTTGGTGTAGTGAGGTTGCCCAGCGCGCGCAGCGGTTTCGGTGCTTTGGGAATGCCACCGTTCGAGCTCAACTGTACATTCTGGGCGTCTTCACTCCATGCCCTTCGGTCATAGATGTTGACCACACCGCTAGAGCTTCCGATCGCGACCCATCGGTCACCGCCTATCCAGTCGTCTCGCCCGCTGTTGCCGCCAAGAGCAATGACTGTCGTGCCGACAGCTCCCTCATCGTTCCATCGCCCAACGACGCCATCCTGTACGCTCCACTCTGTGACTTCGCCGTTCTTGCCTGCGATGCTCATACCATTGCCGCTGCGCCACCATGCAAAGTCAGCAACGCCTCCGCGCGACTCGATGCGCACCTGTGTAGCCCATTGCAGCGTTCTTGTGTCGAGGATGTTGATCACGCCTCCACCCTTTCTCGAAGAACCACGAAGTGCCATGTGCTTTCCATTCGGCGACAAAGAGAAGTACTCCATGGTGCGCTGTTCATGTTGATGGCCATAGACTCGTGTGACCTTTTCGACCTGCCCTGTTGCGATGTTCCAAACGTGGAAGTATCGTCGGCGAGCACTCAGGAAGATTCGTGAATCCGAGGGCGACGGATGGAAAGCGGTTGTTGTGAGCGGAGTGCGCTTGATGTGTAGCGATGTGAGAAGTGGGTTGGGGTTTGGAGGGTTGGGGTCAACATGGTGGAGCGAGAGCGTCGAGCTGGGCCCGGACGAAAGAAGCAGGGGGTATGTAGGATGGAATGAAAGCGAGGTGACCGCAGACTAGAATTTGTGTCAGTATTCTGGTCATGGTAGGTGCCCAGCAAGAACTTACTGGTCCGGCTTTGGAGACGTCTTTCAATCGCTGAATGTCGACTGTGCCAGCTTGAAGCTTTCTCTTCTTTGCAGGTCCTCTTGCTGTGCTGCGCGAGAGAATGTCTGCATCCTTTAGTAGCCTTGCCAGTGGCTGGGTAGAGAGGTCGTCGTCGACGTCCATATCGCTGGCAGACTCTTCTCCGCTCTCCTCATCGTCGTCCATGGTGCGTCTCCTCTTCTTCGCTTTGCTAGTTGCATGTGCCGCCCATTCCGGTGCTGCGTAGAGGCGCTCGTACTGCTTCCTCAGCCTGCGCGCGTACTCCTTTCCGTTCACCATGTCGTCCTCGGCCGTCTCCCTCAACTTCCTCAATCGCGGTACTGATGCAAGGCTGATGACCAATCGCTCGTCGTCGCTGTCGTCCCATGCTGGTTGGTCTTCCTCGTCTGATTCTTCAGCCTTGGTGACAGCGACTGAGCCGGCAGGCGCCACTTCTGGACCGGTATCGAAGAAGAAAAGGTTGTCATCCGCCACATCGTCGAGATCTGAGTCTTCTGCTTGCTCTTCATCCGAAGCATCACCGTATATGCCAGCGGTACGGCCGATCGAGAAGTTTTCCAAACCCTCCTTGAAGCCTGCCGAGTCTCCAAAGATCAAGCGCTCGAGCTCTTCTTCCTCCGCATCCTTTGGTGGTATTACCCTTTCGCTCTTCTTCTCCTGGATGTTGATCTTCATGCTCTCAGCATCACTATCCGCTCCCTCTTCCCCGATGTCCTTTTCTACATCTTCGCTGCCAAAGCCCTCAGATTCGCTGTCAGTCGGCTGTTTCACGGGCTGCAGCTCCTTGCCCTCCGCCTCGTTGCCGCTCAGGTCAATTGTGAAGCCTGCATTTTCGCTCGCATCGTCTGCAAGGTATCGCTTGTGGTCGTTCGACTTGTGCGGGGCGGTCTTTGTCTTCGAGGGAGCCATTATGGCGATTGCGCGTGTGTGCAGAGATTCAGGCGCATAGTCGCGAAGAACTTCATCTGACAAAAATTACTGCAAGGATGTTCTGCCGAGGTTTCACCGGCGGAGCAAGTACCAGCACCTCCGATACCACTTCGTAGAAGCGCAAGAACATGTTTGAGACTCCCATAGCTGTGCAACGTATTCTCTGGCACCTTCTCTTCTCAGATCTTGTATGCATGAACATGGTTCGAAGTCGCTTCTCACGTGATTGCGCGCGTCTGTCTGGCGTCTATCGCACGCCGCGCAGAATCAAAGCCGCCGCTACTCGCGGAAAGCCGCGCCTGTGACGGCCCTCAAACGCCATAATCGCTGTGCCGGCGTCACATGATCCGTTTCATCTCACAAAGACATCATCTCGAGCACAAAGACACCGCAGATGACCTTCAGGTTCACCATTTGTTGGTAAAAGAAACGGATGCGATTGGTCCGCTATATTCCGAGCGATTGGTCCGCTATATTCCGAACGATAGCTCCAAACAGGGCAGGTGTGGGTAGGCGATCCATCAGGCTCATTAAGAGTGTGACGCCTGCCTGAATGATGACTGGCGTCGAACAGCCTAGTTTCTTACTTCTATATTTCCTATTCTCATATTCTGCTCTGCCACCGTATTACCTTGTCTTGGCCCAAACTTCCCTCATAACACGATGGCCGTCTCCAAAGCATCATCCACCAAAGCGGGCAACCCAGAGCTTCAGATCTCCCTCCTGAAACCCGAAGAAGCAAAACAGTACATGCGAGTCCGACACGAGGTTTTCCGGGACACCGTAAACAAAATCCTCTACTCGCGCGGCGAGCCCTCAGCAACAACACTCGCACGCGTGACCGAAGAGATCCGAGACGGCGTAGTAAACAAAGGCATATTGTATCTGAAGTGTGTGGACGTCAAGACCGGCGAGATTGTCGCAGGCGCGAGATGGCGGTGTGTCAAGCCCAAGGACCCAAACGCAACCGAGCGGACGTGGGAAGAGGTGAATCAGGACATGGGGAAGAGCGAGCCCTACGAAGAGAGTGATCCTGAGCTCTTCCACGCACTGCACGATCTATTCAACGAGAGTAGGCGCGAAATCCTGGGGATGAGAAGTCACTTCGTCCTCGACACACTCGTCACATTGCCTCAGCATGAAAGGCGGGGAGCTGGAAGCATGCTGGTGAGATGGGGGACCGAGCGGGCGGACGAGGCAGGCTTCGAAGCGTATCTCGAGGCGTCACCCATGGGCGCGCCAATGTATGCAAGACATGGTTTTGAGCCGCAGAAGAAGGTCGAGCTGGACTTGACGAAGTATGGAGGCGACGAAGTCTTGAAATTCATCGTGAGTGGCACTGCTGTGCTTACGTTGTCGTGTTGAACCTGGCTGACTTCTTCTTAGCTGATGAAGAGACCTGCCAGTGCTAAAGTCGCTACTCCCTGAACTGTGTATTAGATCAATGATTTCAATCGCGTGCGAACAGCACCTGCATCAAGCTTCTGGGGTTAAGCTGGAAGAGATCAACGTTCCCGCATTGCCACTACCCACGTATTACGATACACTGCTATAGCAGCAGTTCTCACCCTGCGCCCTAGAAGCCGAAACATTAATACATGGCGTGTGGAGTAATAACTGGGCGGTACATTGTAAATTTCTCGAGACACGCATGATGTCGCCGAACGATCGGTGACGGGGTTTGCTGCCGGTAGCTCTCGATCTACACGCTTCTAGGAAATAACTACCAGTGTTGCTTCCTGTGCCAAGTCCAATACGCCTCACAGTTCGCCATGGTGAATCCGGGTGTACTCATCAGCAGTCTTGCAACTGCCTTGTTCATGTGATCGTCCATGCTCAATCGTGTCTTCGTCATGATTCATGGTAGCGGCAGTGATGACGGCTAAGTCAGGCCTCATAAACTTGGGAACTACTCGACACCGACAACGATCCGCTGAGAATAAATTAGCATGCGTTTCCTGACCTTGAGCAACAAGCTCTTGACGCATGGGCTTGACCATATTGAATATGTAAGCCACGAGCTAGCGCAGGCGGAGATGTTGCGTATGCCGTTCACTCTTGTGGACGCTGGAGTTGTGACGGCAAAGCGCGTATATACTGGTCCTATAGACGTGCAAGACCAGCTGGTGATTCTTACGGCATTCGAAACGTTTGCTGTAGCGCTTGATCAGTAGGCAGGACGTAGCGATTAAGTATGCCGACAGATATCGCATCGTCTTCGAGCAAAGGGGAATGTTAAAGTGAGATCAGGCAGATGTAATGCGCCAAACACTAGCAAGGACGCTGGGGCCTCATTGTTGTCGGGTGTTGCCGTGTCGTTATCCGGTACGGGCTTGGGAAGCCGTCATGTTTTGCATATGTACAGAAAGGGGTCGAAAGATAGATTGCTGATCTCGCAGGTCTCTTAGAGGTTACATGTATGAGCAAATAAAGATGCGCCACCGAACGACAGCACATCAAAACGCATAAGTGTGTGTCAGAGGGCTCTCGAGCGCAGGGGGAGTTCAAGGCCATGGAGTTGTTATCTGTGGCCACGAAAAAGGGTCTGCCGAGTTGTAGATGTAGGTTGTTCACATTCTAAAGTGGGCTGAGCTGGTGAAGTAAAAAGAGGTTGTCAAAACTGCAGTATGGCTATAGACAGCAATGAAAATAGAGACGTGGTAGCTGTGTCCTCAGTGCTGGCGAGCACCTTATACCACTTTCCCTGGGAGGTGGGCTGTGTTTCGAAAAAGTGCTCACGAGAGTGTAGACCATCTCTGATTTGTCAACTTGCAGCTGCAGTTGTATTCAATTTGGAGTGATATAATCAGAAGGAGATGCATGTTGAGGAATGGCAGGATGTTTCCAGTCGGTCTCATATTGTCGGCCTTGTGCTGGACGTGTCGTGCTGCGCAAGGAGTAGACTACGACAACCATAAGTAGAGCAGGCAGATCCACACGCGCCCATTGATATCAAAGGTCCATTGACGTCCCCATTCTTCATAGTTGCGCCGCCTTGACCCCTGCCAGTCAGATTTCGGAACCTTCTGTCGCGAACCTCCCGAAGTCTTGAAATGACTGCGCCCCGCTGCATAATTCTGCGACCCCCGTTACTGATGTTCGCTGCGCTCGATTAGTGTGTGCATAAAGATGTAATCCCTTCTGTAACATCGCCAGCCGGGGCTGTGACGAGACAATGACCAGATCTCCGCGTTTCAGATCGCACCGACCAATGAGGGCGGTTCCTGCGACTACCTTACAGCATGAGTATCCTGACGGGACAGACGTAGCTCGCACGTGTCGACAATGAAGAAGAAACGATGATGCGGCTGGTGGGCAGATAGAAGGCGAGAGGAGCCCGCGTCGAGCCGTGAATAGGAAGATCGTGTTCATCCTTTTATAGACAAGACTCCTCAGAACCTTGAGCGGAGAGCTGTTCGTCATTCCTTTTTGTTATCACGCTCTCACATTGTCCCTCTTTTGTTTCTTATTCTGACACTCTTTCATCATGCCGTCGTTTGCTTTCTGGAAAAGCTCGAAACTAGACGAGTCCCAGTCTCCACTTCTCAGCGATGCTGCGGTCAAGGAACTCAGCGTGATTATACCCAACGTCTCAAAAGCAGTCGATTTGAACCCAGGCAACCAAGACTCGGGGGTGTTCCTCTTCGACGAAGATGCTCAGGAGATACCCGGAGATCAGACGCCGATCATTGGGCCAACACCAGGTCACCCAATTGAGAAAAGTCCAGAGCAACCTGTAGAGCCCACACAACCGAACACAAGCAGCGCGACCGATTTAGAGATTTCGTTGCTGGAGGTGCATGAACCTTCGCCGCACCGAGAATCGCCCGCACTTGTGCCCGAAGAGCCACTTGTTCAGACCTACGTCGAAGCGACAGAGCAGATGGGTTCGCAGCAAGAGATGAAGGAAGAAGTTGCAGCGCAGGCCAAGCTTCCGCTGCCCGAACTGCGTTCGCTAGCAGAGCCTTCGCCAGTGCTCGACTCGACCCAAGACGAAGAGCATGTATCCACTCTCCAGTCGCGACCAGTCTCTCTGGTGCCCAAAGAGTCTGATCCCACCCTAGCAGTTGAGAAAAGTGCAGTACCCGCGGCTCTTGGAAAGATCGAGACGGGTGCGCGTGATCGAGATTCTGGCATATACTTGTCGGACAATGAGAGCTCTTCAGCACGATCACGACCATCCTCGATCGCTTCGAATGAGACTGCTCCGCTTCGGTCACGGGTGACTTCGCTGTCAAAACCCTCGACGTCGTCTCCTCAGCGCACGAACTCGATCGCCCGGCTACAACGGCCAGCTGAGCTGAACCTCGGCTTCAGCGGCGCGCAAAACACAGCAAAGCCCAAGTCCGAACTCGATATGCGTTACGACCTCATTCGCAATTCGAAGACGCGGTCCAAGGCAGCTTTGCGATCGCCTACACAGCTACTTCAGGACCGTCTGAACATGTCGCCGAAAAAGAAGGAAGCAGAGAGAGTCCGCATATTTACCCCACCGCGAGTGACAGTCAATGGCTGTCTATTGCCTGGACCCAGTGCACAGGCAGAGGCATTCACCAGCACATCTGTACGCGCGAGGACAGAGACGGGAGGCCGGCCATCCTGGTGGTGCAAATTTGATAAGCTCGTCGTCTTTGATGGAATTGAACAGGCCGATGGCGAGATGAGGTTACGGACGCGGACCAGCAAAGGCCTGACGATTGCCAGGAGACAAGGCGATTTGGAGACCGTGGTGATACCGTTGGATTGCACTCATTGCCATGAGATGCTGAATCGACACGAGTGGAAGTACGATATGCGAGTGTGCAAGCGCAGCGTTTGCTGGGACTGCAAGGAGAGGTGTAAGTGGGAGTTCGAGCAAGAGAGGATTATGACTGCCACCACGCCGCGCGCAGATGCAAACAGGGACAGAGCGGACAGTGTGCTCCAAGACGGACAAGTCAGCGGCCACGTGCTGAGGAAAGAGATAATCGCTTGAGCTAGCGTTCTGTAGATTTCGAGCAGTCGTGCATTGATAATGGCGCGTGTCCACTGCCTGTTTTCGTTGTTAGATACCAATTTGTATATAGACGCGGGCCACCCTTACATCAAAAATCTAACCATTAGACCCTGTATAGATTGAACTGCTCTCAATTTGAACAGTTCAAGATCAAACAATGTCATCAGTCTTGCAGAACACATGGACGCTGGTTGCGTACAGGTTATGTGTCTGTACTCAGTCGAGCTCCATTGCATCGTCCATGTACTCGTATGGTACATTACTCATGACAATGGCATCGTGCGCGTGTGTCGCAGGCTCAAAGTCTATACTGGACAAGGAGCTAACATCTACAATAGCGCCTCCATATGCCTGTACAACATCGTTTGCGTGTTGGCAACCAATGATGAGTGTTCGCAGCATTGCTCCAAGCTCAAAACTTGCTAATTTGACATTTTTAGTGGCAACCCCGTTGTCTGTGTATCCATTCGTCGTTCCGTCCTGCTCGTCTGCGTCTTTCCATGCATTGCGGTAGTCCTTGGCAAGGCCTAGCTGAATTCGAGCATCTTGAGTCCCGAGCGAGCTGTGTAGTGGGCATTTTTCGTCATCGAGTGCCTCAAGGAGGTTTGCGTGGAATGCATGCGAGGCTTGCGGGCGCGTGCGGTGCAAGTCCGGGTTCGTAATGTATCGAAGTGCGTTGAAATTCTCCAGCGGTACTGAACCTGATACACTAACACCAACTGCAGCTAGACAGATCGTGATGAAGCGTTCTAGAAATGTGTAGAATTCGAAAAAGTCAATCTTGAACATAGACTCTGCTTGCCTCGCAAGGCCCCTGTGCGACTCATCATGTCCATTGTGCTGCTCAAATGATTGTAAGATCTCCATGGCTTTGAAGTACGATACCATCAGTAGCTCAGCTTTCCATCTTAGGCGGCCCATGAGTCGAGTGGCTTTGTCTTTGTCGTTTTTGAGCTTCTCAGCTTTGGACTGCTTCAATTGCTCTAGCGGGGTCCTCGGCGCGAATTTGCTGGTCTTCATTGCGAGTCTAGGCTCTAGATGTCGTGTGTGCAGGTTGGACCACAGTAACAACGCGTGCTGCTCGGGAATTAGTACGACAGACGGCTCATGAGCCGCAGTATCGCGTGAAAGGGCGCTGAGAAGTGAACAAGGTCTTGTTCGACCAAACAACAGAAGCCGCGCCGGCGGCCCCGCTTTCGGCTGCTGACATCATTATCAGGGCAACCTCACCATCAATGTCACTGATCGCTGCACGTAGTTCTTGGCTTACACAGCGATATTCTAGTTCTGCTGCGACCCCTGCTGCACACTATCTATCTCGCGATCACGGACGGCATACCGATCCGCTCCATTCTGGATCGCGGGCACGTAATGCAGCTTTTCTGAAGTTGATGTTTCGCATTTCACTCAGGTCGACCATTATTGTTCTGCCTACGCACGCTGACGTTCCAGTCGGGTCGTCATCGCTCTAGTCTTCCATGTGATCCTCATCCGAAGAGCTCTCTCTAAAACGAACGTTCTCCTGGTGGTACGACACCCTCTCCCTCTCCAGCTCTGCCGCAGCAAGCTCTGCGGCTACCTATGCGTTCAGAGGTTGCCTGGCGATGAAAGAGCCAAGAGTGTGGTCTTTGAATATCTGGGCCGGAGTCATATCATAGACACGATCGAAGTACTTGTCGATGTTCCACTGGAAGTCCGGCCTAAGCTCAGCGAAGCTGTTGGCGATCTTGAAGCCTCCACGACGCTCTGAGTCACCATTGCCACACTCTTGACCAAGCAGATAGCCCCATTCCGAGGATTTGTCCAGGTGAAAGACGCAGCCAGTAAGCTTGTCCTGTGGATTGAAGTAATACAAGAGCCAGACTTTACCTGGCGTGCCCGGCTGCCTGCCATCGGGGCCGTTAGTGGTGACGCCGACGACGTAACCAGAGTACTCCCATCTCATATTCGACTCTTCCTCGGCCTGCACCTTCGCATTTTCAAAGTCCGAGGCGCTGATATTCATAGCTTTACCGAGCTGCATGAATGCGAAACCATATTTGTTCTCTGGGTCGAAAGTGCTATCCTCGGAGGAAGAGCTTGAGGCGCTGAAGTAGCTCTCCTCACTGGAGCGATTCTTGCGCTTGCGTCCGGCGCGCCTACGGACACTCTCAACGGAGGTGTCGTTGGTGAGGCGCCAGCCGTCGGGGATGTCGATGCCCACAATGTAGCCGTGAGCACACTCGTGGGGATCGTCGTGCCAAATGTTCTCTTCAGATACCACAAGCAAGCCCGTGATTTGCTCGAGCCTATAATTGTAACCGCAATGAGTGCCGACGCCTATGTATGGATGTTGTGAGCGATCGACGAAAGCAATAAGCTTTTGCACGTGTTTCTCGTCGCTCAACCTGGTCTGTCGGACCATGTCGTGATATATCCGTGCAGGCTTTGCATTCAGTCTCTGACGCGCGCTGCGCCTGTCGTGGAATTCTTCTGCAGTCTAATTGATGTATGTTTTGCGATGCTCAGGAATGGTCATGAGCTCTGAGAGGTATCTGTCGACGGCATGGGTGATCTCGAAATCCTCATCGAAAGGCACAAGCTTGCCGTTTTTTTCGTACATTAGCTCTCGGTGGCGTTTGCATATCTTCTGGTGTACCTCCCTGAGGCGGGCCTCGGTAGACAGAGAAGTTTCTACGGTCTGCGGCAGCAGATATTGACATCGCTGGATCTTGTGTTGGTTGGTGAGGTGGGTAGAAGAGTGGAATATTTAGCTTGCCACTCTCACCTACAATTGCCTCGCTTGTGACAGTCACGACTAATTCTAATCCTGCAGGTCCGCATGCTAGGTAAATGTGGCGCAATCAAGCCGGTAGCAAAGGACGTTCTCACCACTGCCATCGTTGATGTATCCGGAAACCCTCGCTATCAAGCTTTTGAGGTTATACAACCGGTGCAGCGTAGGTGTACTCCCTATTTCGCCCCTTTTGGAGGGTACATCATGAATGAAAGGAGCTCTGCCCGGATCTTTTCCCCGCTACTTCTGGGAACACCGAAAGCTTGTGAGCCAGACTATCCAGTATGAAACATATGTACCGTCAGGCTGAACTTTGATTCATGATGAAGATTACCGCCTCGTCTTAGCAATGTATTCTTGGTCCAGTATCGTCCACTGCATGGTTCAGGGTCCAGGGAACCTTGGACAAACTCTCTGACTTTGTATCTTGCTACTTCACGTAATCAAGCATAGGCAAATTATTTCTGCTGCTTCGAGAGAAGTATTTCAACCAGACGCTGGGACAGATACAGCATCCTTTGCCCGACGTTGTAGGTAGAAGTGGATGCAAGTCACCAGCTCATGATTGCCATTCCCATTAAAGATGGAGATACGGGCACTTAGTCTATTTTCTACACACAGCTCTGAACAGTGACAAATACTCTGCATCAGCAGCTGGAAGTATGGTAAGCTGACAATACCCCGGCCGAGCCTGTCTTTTGAGACACTGCTGCTAGCTTATCAGATCTCGGCCACACTATGCCCAGATCAAACGAAATTCCGATATCAATGAAGACCGTCGTAAGCCCGAGTTTGATTTCTTATCTGCACCTCCTTCTCCGTGTTATCCTCTGCACAGATGCACATCACACACGCGGTACATTCCGCACACTGATGCGGTGAAGCATTCTGACGCAGACGATTATATCTCCGAACCTCGGCCGTGATGAATTGCTCATTCATGAATGTGGGGATGGTCTGGTACCGAGTCAATCCGTTGCACCTACCGCATGGTGTCATTGGCCGCATCTCGCGATTGAAACTGACACTCTGCTCCGGCGCCCTAGATACTGCAATATCATCCTTGCGCGTGTCCTCGTACACCTTCTAACGTACTTCAGCGAGCCTGTCAGCGGACATGACCAAAGAACTTGACGGCATACCGCCAATACCAGCGCCCGAGAGATGTTTAGGGTCTACTGTAGGAGCACAGCCACGACCCTTGAGAATCGCATTCTCAGTGGCTTTGAAGTTAAATTTCGCAGTTTTGAAGGCATTCAGGCATCTCTGGCCAAAGTCTTGATTACGGATAGAGCCCCAGATGGCTTCGGCGTAGTGGACCCTCTTGTTACGCTGTGGTGTCTTCGGACAAGTCGCAGCTACAATACATTTTTTCGGTGACTGTTGAGCGCAGATAAATAGACAGGTCGATACTCCTGCCTGTTCAAGGCTATTTTTGACGCAGAAGCCCGTAAGTCATGCCTTGCTGACACTTGAGAAGTTGACGCCAAGGGCGCGCTCGATATCAGTGACGGCATATTGCCACTCCTGCATCTGTCGAAGAGTATTTTCTGGGGGCTCTGGGGCAAACCGTGGTGTAATAATGATCTGCAACAGCATATCGTGGATTGAGAGCGTAGGGATGGTGTTGGAGCGGCGCATGCCGTGAAGAGTCTTCAACCCAGACCAGACATCTATAACCTTCGCATGCTGCCAGTATAGCACTCTTCGAGTAGCCCACAGGGATTCCCAGGCAGCTGGAAGAGCTTCCTTGTAGGTCAAACAATTCTCCGTGTCCATAACGTCATCGTCCGGAGTTGGCTCGCGCAGGGTTGGGATGTTACCCATATCCCGACTACCATCGTCTTGGTCTGCCACATTTTCTTCTTTTTGCAGGTCATTGTATTATAAATCCAGGAAGCTCCAAGTGTTCTTGCCAGGGCGCTTCTTCCATGCCCCAAGGGGAAAGTCTGACTGTTGTAAATGTCAGTCCTGTACTCCTCAGTAATTTCTTGCCGGAAACTTACGTCGAGAAGCTTTTTCGAGAGGTGGTCTGACAGAAATTTCAACGTTATTTCGCAGCTGTCCTTGCACGGACCAGAAGAAGTCTTGCAACAGGTCGCGCAAGGTGGGACCCTTGACAATGGTAGCGTGTTCGTCGTCGGTGACCTGGGTGAGCATCTTATAGAGCTGTTCTGCAATGCAAGTGATGGTCTGGACGCTGAAGAGTGGGAGGACGTCAACGATGACGTGATGCTGGATGAAAGCTGCACTGCCTCCGATAGCGATAGTACAGACTTTGATCATGAAGACCGACAACAAATGCTGAGCACTATTCAACGTCAGCATACTTCGAATATTGCAGCCCAGAACTCTTCTGATGTCGATGCTGCAGTTAACGACTTTAGAAATCTGCACCTGCGGTCGAGCCCACTCGACCGCGCCGGCTTGCGAAAGATAGCTCAGATCATGCAACAACTTCCCAAAGCGCGTATCCAAGTCTTTGACCATAATTGGACAGTTTGGTCGACGAGTCTCCAGGGCCCTGGTGCAATAGTTCCTTTTGACCAAAGCAAAGCTAAGACCGAGCGAAAGCTAGCTGCGCAGAGCGTAGATTTTTCGAACCGAACGTGGCTTATCTTCCCAATGATATTTGAATCACAAGTCGAAAAAATACTCGAAGATCTTCGCTCTTAGGGCTATGATGAAGTTTGTGACTGGTTCCGAAAGTGCATTTGAAGGTGTCCTGAATGGGGTACTCCGCAGGACAGCATCCCCACGATGTCAAAGGTTCGTAAATAAGCCTTCAAGCCTTCAACAAAGGATGTGTAACATCAATTCAATTGTCCATAGTTTTTACATGGTTGTGCTCGAAGCTATTGTGCCCTTTGAATTGCGGCATATCAGCGAAGTAGTTGAAGCAAGTGCGATGTGAGCGCTCCACCATGCGCTTTGGATCAAAGACTTGACCGTAATGTCGTTATCATGTCTCTAGTCACAAGCACGTGGCAAGGTGCTCGCACTTCGTTCACATGCCCCGATGCAGGGAGCCACAAAAACCCAAGACGTGAATAATTTGTCTGCTGATCTGCTCAATGCATCTTCGATATATTTAAAGTAGATCTAGGTATATAACAATTCGTATCCGACGCAGACATCGATTATATGCACAGTGTACCCTTGCTATGCTTCACAAAGTCCTCCTAAAAGCACCGTTCTCTATGTATGCCCTCAATCATCCCAGACTTTGATATTACTGCTTACAAAGCGAAAATCCAGATACCAGCAGCAGCACCAGCAACCAAAGCACTAGCCTTGTTCGCGCTGGCAGCGCCAGTGAACTCGGCTGGTGTGGATGCAGCGGGTGTGGAGGCATTACCGCTGATGGGAGAGCTCGGAGGCAGGATACCAGATGGAACAGGCACGGACGGCGCCGGAGCAGTCTCAATAGTGAGACCACTGGTAGCGTAATGAGAAGTCGAGATAGCGGATGTCAGAGTAGCGGGAGGCTTAGCGGAGCTGACGATAGCAGAGCTGGCAGGAGGAGCAGCTGTGCCACCCTCGAGAGGCGAGGAAGCTGGAGGACCGGCGGCCGGAGTACTGCCAACGCCACCAAGGACGGGGGAAGATGCAGGAGCAGAAGAGACCCCAGTAGCAGGCGGCGCATCACCAGAAGGAGGAGTTCCAGTGACAGTGACGGTGGCGGTGCCGCATTCGCAGGGTGTGTCATCGCTGCCACTGCCTCCAGAAGGAGAGGAAACAGGAGTGTTGACAGAGCCAGCGGGTGTGCTGACACCTCCGGTGGGAACAGGGTAGTTGAAGTCAGAGTTCCCCGCAGAGACAGCCGTGGCGGTGGTTTTGCTGGGGTTGGAAGGCGTAGGGGTAGCTCCCTGCTGACCCTCAGTGCAGGTAGTGCTGGTGCCGTTGGAAGGACCGCCATTTGAAGCGCTGCCAGTAGCAGTAGGAGCAGCGAAGCCAGACTCAAGAGGCGCGCCAGACCCAGTGGCGGATGCGGAAGACTCAAGAACAGCAGTGTTCTGAGGAGCACCGTCCTTGTTGCCAGCATTGACAACCTCGATAGACTCGAAAGAGCCGGTCTTGTCCTTCCAGTGGTACTCAGTGCCGGGCGAGTAGTTGGTGACCTTGATGCTAGCAACAGTCATGTTGAAGGGGCCCTTGGTGTAGTCTACCTTGCCACCAGCCCACTGAACAGTACCCTCATTCTCAGAGTCACCACCGGGCCAATTACCCAATCGGACGTTGCAGGGTGTTTGCGGGAAGTTCTTACCGCCGTTGGCATCAGCGTAATTCAAGGTGCGCATGGGCTTGTTGTCAATGAGCCAGGTCAGCGACTCTGAGGTCCAGTTGAGGGCGTAGGTGTGGAACTCGTTTTGTGTGCTGGTAACATCGGCCTCGATCATACGGTCGTAAGTCGTGGTGTTACCTTTGCCGAAGTACTGCTTTGAATCAGTGAGTGCTCAACAAACGCCAACATCTCTATCCTTACGTTCATCTGCACCTTGGCATCGACACCACCGATCCACTCCCAGTCAACCTCATCAAGGTCGTCAGACTGAAGAACAATCGAAGAGATGATACCCTGTCCGGGGGCAGCTTTCATCTTGACTTCTACGTAGCCGAAGTGTAGGTAAGACTCTGAACCAATGGTGGGAGCATCGCCCTTCTTCGCGACAGTGAACACGGCACCCTCGTTGTTGTATGTGAGGCTACCAGCAGTCTGCTTCCAGCCCTTGATAGCATCTTTGCCAGCTGTGAAATCAGTCTCGAAGGTCTGGGGCATGGCTGGGTTATTCGGGCACTCCTTCTCTGTGGGATTGCAGTCGGTGAAAGTCTGAGCGCTGGCCAGAGCAGCCAGGGCGCTTGCAGCAGCGTAGGGTGTGAAACGCATCTTGATCTTAGTTCTTATAGAACTTGGCCTTCGGGGATGGCAGTTTGCCTTTATAGAATGTAGTCTTCACAGAAGATCAAACGGTACGGTACGTCGTTGCTATTGGTCGGGTCGTAAATCGAGTTGAGACAACGAACGTCAATCGCAAGCAGCAACGTCAATGAATGGAATGCTCAAGATAGAGCTTTGTCGTGGGGGACGTAATGAGTGAGGTCGACCAGCGTTCACAAAGCGATTGAAGGGAGCGTGGTGTAAGAGACCGCGAAAATGCACAAAAGTCGAAGGGTGGGACAAGAATGAGGCTTGAGTGCTGGAGGAGTACGAAGTATAAACAGCCGGCATCCGCAGTCCACGCAATCTCCGTTGGAACCCACGCTCCAAGCCATAGAGCCCATCGTGTCCGCTCATGCGACCTCCTGTTTCGAATCTCGGCACTCTGAACTGGTCAATCGTTGCGCTTCTTCGCTGTGTTCTGGAGTTCCATGAAACAAATGTGGAGTCTAGGGTGTGTCAGAAATGCCAAACGCCGGCCCCAGCCTATCACATCGCTTAGGTCACTGGGCTTGACTGAGCAGAAAACATCTGTGGCAGCCACACCGAACCCTGCATCTAGCCGCAGTGCTTCCCCTTGATAGTGATGCGCCGGGTCGGTGAGGCGGTGCTGTGAAGGGCATTGGCATGAGAGCTGACGATGAGGTCTGGTGGACGGTGCTTCCCCGGACAGGCGTCATAGTCGTCAACGTGGATAGTGCAGCATTGATGCCGGTCAGAGGTCCCTGCGGAATGTTGAGGTATCAGTGCTGTCAGAAGTCCAGCAATGACGTTATTGTTTTGCTTCGGTGAACACCTCGATGACTGCGATGAGCACTACCACGCACCCTGCACAATTGATCTAAGACAGTATCGCAGCCAGTGATGCAATAATCTGCCAGCCGTGAAAGTACCGTGGGCACACAAAGCCTCCAGGATGATGCTGGCGTATTGAGGCTATGGGCACGCCGAAAGCTTACCACACACGGTGTTCGACTGCCATATCTCCAGTAGCAGGCGAGTAGTAGTGACTTGCAATAGATGGAAAAGTGGTAAGTATCGAAGCAAGGACATCAGTCGTGTGACAAGTCGTTGCCGTGTTACGATTGCCTTGTGGCACGGGAAAGCACGCCCGGCGGCCTGGGCTGCCTAAGCAAGACTAACAGCAAAATCAGCACATCTTCGCAGCATCGCAAAATTGAGCAACGTCTCCTATCTAATAGATTGGCAATGCACAGTCTTATCCAGTAGCCGCATTGAATGACCATATAGCACTACGGGAAGCTCAATCATTAGTTCTCAACTGCTTTGGTGCCGGTGGAAGTCTGTTTGCCTTAGACCTCCAGATTCCCTTTTTAGCATCTCCCACTTGATTTTCGGTCTCCAGCTGAGACTTAGATGCGCTTCTCCAAATAGACTTCTTTCCGATCGTTATTGAGCTCGTTGGGCTTAGGAGACGCTTGTCGTCCTTGCTGGCTTGTAATCTCGTCAAATTCCATACTCTCATAGGCGGGTAAGACTGGTTGTCAAAGCTCTTTTCCGTATAAAAGTCCAACACTTTGTATGTGCTTCGTATTGAACGAAGTAGTAGCTATCCTTGGGGACTAAACCGTGTTCTGAAGCTGTCTGTGCCCACTAGCCCAGAACCTCTTGGATCATAGGTACCCTGTCGCCGCTGAATGACGGTGAAGTCTTGGTCATCGCCCTCGATGAGGCTCCGATATCCTCGGAAAAATGCTCGTCCAGTGGCTCCTCTTCCGCAGCAGACATCCGCAAAGTTAGATCAGTCCTGCCGACGCTTTTACGACGCCTCGGTGGCTGCGCCATGCGAACTAACCAACTCGGCCCGATCATCTCTCTTGACATATCTGCGGTTTCCTCGTCGCTATTCTCGGCTACAACCGAGTATGGCACGTCCCCTGACTGTAATGTGTGGCTTTTCTTCGGACAAACGCGTACATACGGGGCCTTGTTCCAGCATAAATATTGACATCTGTCTTACTTCCAGTTCGTTGGTGAACCCTGACTCGCAGCTGGACAGAGAGACATTGCGCTGAATTTGGAGTTCTGGGCGAGGATCAGCAATGTAATCCCTGTTCCCCAATTGTACGAAGCGATATTGCGCGGCTTGCTGCTGTGGGCTGCACGGGTGGCTTTGTACAGGGCCTGTTTTCCTTCTCCTCGACGTCTTAGCTTGTCATGATTTCTTAGGAATCAGCCTGGCTCTTGAACAAATTTTCGAAATGGTGCGGATCCTTTGAGTCTGTGGGGGCATCTTCTGGGAATATCAAGATCGTTTGGATCAAACAAGCATTGTCTGCCATGTTGAGTCTCGTTGTGACACCTGCCCTCGTTGTCCATGCTGTTTCTGAAGGGCGCTGCAATTGTTTCAGGTTCAGCAAGTGTCTCCCGGGCTGATTTTCCCTCTCTTCAAAGCACGGCGTGGTAGCAGGATCAAGCGGGCGTTCTTCTGCTCCCAAATCTGAGTTCAGCGACCGCCTCGCTGCCCCAAATCTGCCGTCTCGAAGCCTGAGGGTAGGATTCAGCAACAGGTCTGTTTCCGCTACGAGCTCCAGGTACCGATTTGAATGCCGAGGCGAACTTTCAGGCGCCCTCTGTTCTTGTTGTGACTCCCAAAACTCCGCTTGCTTCTCTCTCGGCCCGCGCCTGCTGTGTATCTCTTCGTTGAGGAAGTCCAGCTCATCATGCCATCCTTTGAAATCTCATTCCCTTTCCGTAATGCTGATTGGCTATAACTCCTCCCTGTAAAGGTGTTGAGGCCATCAGGAGCACCCATGGGCATATGGCTCGATGATGTTTCAACTCCTTCTCTTCGGTCTCTACGGCACACTCTCTCTTTTCCCGTGAACGCACTCAAAGCTGGTCTTCCACGTTTGGCAATCAGCTTATTGTCCTCGCTTAACCTCCCTTCTACTCTTAACCGTGCGGCATCTCGCTTTGACTGTGGAATATCGTCTTGTTCTGAAAGATTGCCAGGAGCTTGGGGAACTCCCACTCTTTGCGAAGAGGAGCGCCATACTCGAGAGATCGTGTCGGTCCACAGTTGGTGTGGCATCGCGGGGCGTCTCACGCTATGAGGAAGATGAGAAGAGCTGATTTGAAGGGACGATAGGAGAGGGCTCTAGGGCACTGGAGGAAGAATTTGGTATGCTTGAAGACATTTTGATGGTGCATTCTGTCTGAGAATTGGGTTGATGACGTATTTAGGATAAGATGTAACTTGTAAGGACAAATCATAACGATGATGACTGACACCGTAAGAATGACACATGTGCAGCAGTAAGACACCATGATCGCAAATTGTGCTCTCAGTTGGGTGGGACAATACGTCATGGTAGCGAAGACCCTCTAGGGAACCCCAGGGTCTGTGATCACAAGTCCAAGGTTAGCAGGGTGTGAGGCCCTTACTATAGGTCTCGATTTCTTCATTGCTAAGAGTAAGTGCTGTCCAGTGACCAGAGAAAATGTTTTGGCAATGGACTATGACCTGAGCTCTGTGCGCGATGTGACTGTCCTACTCAGACTGCCGTATGATTCTTGAGGCTTCAGGTGTACGCTGCAAGCATCGAGTTGATGGCATTGTGGCTCCGAGATCTTCAGCATCTGTACACCACTCAGATGAGGAATGAGTGTATCGGCTATCTTGGTATTCTGCTCGCCGATACTACTTGGGGCACGGCTCGCACGCGTCTTCTGAGCATCCAGTCTGCCTGACCAAATTTACAGCTTGGCTGACAGCCTCACGCGGATGCGTGTACTCTAACAGTCGTAGATGGCACATGTTGTCTCTATCCTCATCGTAGCCGATGTTAAATTCGAAGTCACCGCGCGCTTCTTAGTGGGTGCAAAATCTCCGACCAGACTGCGTACATTGACACGAGCCAGCAGTTAGCCTGGGCACTCGATCGATCGGGACGAGGGATGGTACGAGACAGCGTGACACTGTTGCTTTGCTAGCTTTCGAGACCTTGGCGTAATAGGAATTCGATGTTGATGTGGCTGGGGCTAACGTTGTGACGTCAGTCGAGCAAGACCTCGTGCTGGCCTGCAGCTGCCGGGCCCGACCATGCACCAAATCCCAATCAGGGAAGTGCAAGGGCCCCTCTTCCGTCAAAGACTTCTCTTTGATGGATCATGCCTGATCACACAAACCTGTTTACAGAAGAGGAGAGTTCTCAGCTAGCTGCTAGTTGCAACAATAAGCCTCCCAGAATTTGCGCACCTCACATGATGCACACATTGCAGGCCTATGTGCCCTTTTCGAGTGTGTCGATGACCTGTCAAACCGCTCATTCTTCTGCGACGCAATTTTCCAATCTCGACCGCGAAAGGTAGAGACGAACTTCCCACGGGCTAGGTGAAATATCGTTGACATCCCGTTTAGTCTTGCCTCCACCTGGATATATGGTCATTAGGCGCGGGTAGCGTCCTGCTCTCACGCCCAAATAGGCAACAAGCCACAACATCGATCTTGGTTCGCCTTCCATGTGGTCGTCTGGAGGATCTACGTCAAGGAGTGACTTACTGCTTTGGAAATAGACGATTGTGGCTGAACAAACGCATGGTCTAAGAGCTGCGGCTACACTTCGAGTGTGTGGATACGGCTTGGAAGCGGGTACTTGGCGCGTGGAGATGACGGGTGATGCATCTAGATGGTTGAAGGCCTTTCTACATCGACGGTAAGTCGATGACGACAGGTTGGGGAGTTGATATGAGGCACCGAATGCCTCCAGCTGCTGTGGCTTCCCAAGATCACTTTCTTCGAGTATCCCTTCAGAACTTGTATCTTCTTTCCTGCTTAAATTTTCTTCGTCGCGCCCCGAGACTAAGTAGTCTCAATAATCCTCATGAATATCAATGTAAGTCGTACGATGTCATTGGAGAACACTACAGCGTTTGCGAAGTCGAAAATACTATACACGATACTGGACAATTGCGTACCCATTTGTATTCAATGAATCAGTCACTGACGCATCCTCGTAGGAGCCCAGGCAGGGGAGGGCATTCGCCATACCCTTCACGAAGGCTGCCAACCCTACCGCCGAGCTGGATGATAAGGAACTTCGTCTTCCATATCTGAAGGGGCTGCCCGATAATATCCGTAATCACTTCATCGCCATGTGCGGTGAGTATGTTGGCACTGTTCTCTTCCTCTGGTTTGCCTTGTCAGGAACCCAGGTCGCCAACAGCATTCCGTCAACGGGAGGACAGACCGTGGCAGAAGCAGGCGCGAATCCTCAGCAGCTACAGTATATCGCTCTCTGCTTTGGTTTCTCATTAGCTGTCAATGCTTGGGTCTTCTTCCGCATCTCAGGTGGACTTTTCAACCCTGCTGTCACTCTCGGCATGTGCTTAATCGGTGCGCTGCCTTGGATCCGTGGATTTTTGTTGTTCTTCGTGCAGATTCTAGGTGGTATCACTGCTGCTGCACTGGTCACTTGCATGTTCCCTCATGATGGAGTAATCAACGTGCGCACCTCTCTCGGCGGCAACACCTCAGTCGTCCAAGGGCTCTTCATTGAAATGTTCTTGACTGCCCAGCTTGTCTTCACTATCTTTATGTTGGCAGCTGAGAAGCACAAGGGTACCTTCATTGCCCCAGTCGGTATGTTGATCCTGTTCGAATCCGTATGTTGCTGCTAAACTGTAACCTTAGGCATTGGCCTTGCCCTCTTTATTGCCGAGTTGACTGGCGTCTACTTTACTGGCGGCTCCCTCAACCCCGCTCGTTCCTTCGGGCCTTCAGTTGTCAACCGTACATTTAATACTTACCACTGGATCTACTGGCTTGGACCTATCCTTGGCGCCATTGTTGCGGCCGGCTTCTACAAGTTCATCAAGATTCTTGAGTACGAGACTGCCAACCCAGGTCAAGACAGCGATCGCGCCGCCCATGTCGAGAGGAGGAAGAAGCTGTTGCTCGCTGCTGGTATCAACGAGTACGACGCGCACAAGGTCGCCGAAGAGCTCACCGAGAAGTCTGTCGTTGCCACGGCTGATGGGCCCGACGGTACTATCGTCGCGAACGGTCAGGGACGCAGTGACCACCCCGTCGACGCGCAAGGCATGTACGGCACGCAGTTCCGCCGCCCATCGACGCAATCCTCAATCCATAGCAAGCGCACGTCCGATAAGCAGGACGGCAAATTCGATGCTCCGTATCAACCTCAGCGCCCACAAGCCACGACCACAGGCAGTCAGATCGGACGCTTCAGTTATCTTGGCGATCGCGGTGCGGCGCCGGGCAACCCAGCAAATGTCCACGCTCTCGCGGTGGAGACCAGGATGGACTCACCGGCGATGACGACGAACGATCAGCTTTATGCTCCGCTTGCGCATGGTACTGATGTCCCGCTCGGTGGTAACGTGCATCCCGAATCTAGGCAAAGGTTTGGCAGGACGCCGTCGAGCTACGCTTAGCTTACCAGCCTCTTAAGGCCTTAAATACTCTTGCCATAATGGGTGAGGATACTTGAGGGCTGAAAATACCCTTGCTTCTCTTTATAAGCCCTACGTTCGGCTCTGGTGGAGTTAGATTGAGATGTGTAGAATGACTAATTACGAGATGCAATGACACTACTATTCGCACACTGGTATCTCCTCTATCTCTTCTTGAACTGTAGTGACTACTTTAATCGGCAGTCTTCATGGACCGAAGGAGCGACTTGGTCCTATAGTATGACTTACCGGCAGGCACCACCTTTATCTTTGCCCGCGACTCATCCTTCACCATTTTCACCCTATCCTTGCTAACTATCAACATAAGGCACCCCCAATGCACCCTTAACAAACGTTGCCTCTAAAAATTATTCTGCACCTCTGCCGGGTATCATAGGTGGACTCAAGTCCAACGCATCGATGTCTCAAAACCCACAAAGCAGCCTGTTCACAGCGGTTAAAGGCGCGTTCGCACACGCGACCGAAAGTGTCTGTCCCGCGGTAGTCCAAACCATGCTAGCCAGTAGTCATTTTGCAGATACTTGTCTACGATTTGGCAGAGCAAGTATCGGTACGTCTGAAGCTGTGACGACCTCCTTCACGGCCCGCGTCTGGCGCGTAGCACAGACCACTTTGCTCAGAATCGTGAGCGCGCATCCAACGCTTCGCGCCACCCAATACTTCCCTTCTGGGGCTTTTGCTTGTTTTGTTTACTCAGTTAATGCGACGAAACCGTACCTTTTTGCACCATGCAAAGATCATCAGCCCAATTTCCACCACACCCTAACCATCTGCTCCGCCAGTATAGCACTGGTCAGGAAGCTCCAGCAGCATCCTGGCGCAGTCGGTAGGATCTTAGTTGCCGTGTGGAAGCCTCAAGACCTGCTTGGCTTGTCTAGCGGGTCCAGCAGCTTATAGTCGCAGGCTGCTGCCTCTGTGCCGGGCACGCGCTGGCTGCTTACGCTTCTACATGCTCTTCATTGTCGCTCACTAGCATTTGAGATCTCTGGCTGGACCAGTGTTATTCGTTTAATACCCAAGGATTTACACCAGACTGTTTAATATCTGTTCCAGACACTCAGAGCAAGCATGCAGCTTCCACGCAGATCAGTCAGAAGCATTCAGGAGCTCCCCAGCATCCATACAGCGTTTCCGGTTCATTACAAACCGGTCAGAACTCACAGCGCCTCGACAGCCTCCAACTCAGCAAGGTCGCCTAGTGTCGAGGATGGGCTTGAAGTAGTCCCCTTGGAGCGCGACAGCATACTTTCCGCGCCTATTGTTAGTGCGTACCTGAACGAGAAAGAAGTGTTCATCAACAAGCAAGAAATACTATGGAAGCCATTGCCGAACATTCCAACTTCGATTTGGAGCCGAGCTTGGGGGAGGATGTCTGTGAAGTACCGCGTGCTCGCGGTCCTGGGCCTACAGGCCCTAGTACTGCTCACGACTGGTATCGTCTTAATGAGTGCAAGCTCCAAGCCTAATAATGAGTACAATATATCCCCAGACTTCAGAGCGAGGCCACGCTGACATGGACACCAGCGACCATGCCGAAGTCCGCAGAACAGGAGGCAACAGCACAAACACAAGTATTGATGCGCCACTTGAACGCGGCACCTTCTTAGTCCCCATTCAATTGCCCCAGCAGCAGAGCTCGACATGTCTGGCTCGAGCAAACGAATCCAGAGCTTGGCAATGCGCCTTCGACATGGATCTCCAGCTCAGTATCCTGCCGTCGCTAAGAGACGACGATACACCTATCATGGTCACGCTCGGCCAGCCATCTACGTCTAATAGGAGTGTACATTGCAGCCAACAAGCCCCGGAGATTGGACCAACAGCGTTGACGACGCTTGCGAGTTCGGACCACGGTCTACAGTATTATTTCTCAGCGACATACGATCGGACTGTGATTCTTCGACAAGAGCAGCTCGGGCAAGATAAATCCACTTCGTCACCTATGCAGGACCAAAACAAACACACAACGTTCCTGCCGGGCACGTCGCTCTGGCGGTGCACGTTCAACGATACACTTCTAGAGGGCTTCATCTACACAGAGAAGGATGCTGGGTCGGTATCAAGCGGAACAAATGCGACAGCGCAGCTCCCGTTCAAGCTAAAGCTCATGGAGCGTATGAATGCTACTGGGGGTTCGCCATACTGCGAGAAGGTGACTGTTGGCCTTGACGGAGAGCTTGAAGACGGCGGTGCGAGCGTGAATCTGACGTTGGCTGATGGTCGTTCGGGATTTGAATCTGTACAAGGTAACTTGGACAATTCATGTCAATGCCAGTGGATCGTTGAATAAATGATATTTGGAATGCAAAAGGAAGGACTCGCTGCTGTGCAAGCTCGCTCGATGCAGTTCGTGCATCAGGGCACGACGTATCGCTGAGTCGCACCCTGCATGTGAAGATACCGGTACATGTGACGCCCTGGATCATCGGCACCAGACCTGACTTGCCAGTCACGCGCAGCGGCAGGAAAGGAAGGCGCTCGACTAGCACTCATCTCATAAAGGGAGAATTCCCCCACAGAATTTCTCACACCCTCGCTCGCAAGCTTCACCATTGCTGTCCAGCTTCGCTTGACGTGTTGAGCTCAACCTCAGGCAGGAAGACGGTACGAATACGGTTGGTTGCGCGCGACCAAGTCAGGGCAACCTTACCGAGACCGGGGACCTCGGCGCCTGTCCATCACGATCCACGGGAAAAAAAGTAAACGGCCCCGCTGCCTGCGGTATCCGCCTAACATCCACGGATGACCTAGTTTGACCAGGAGCTCGAAGCCTCATCGCTCGCAATCCGTATAGTGTGACACCCCCGAGCTTCGTTCCTGCCGCCGTCACCAGTGGCACTGAGCCCGCGGCCCCGACCTGCAGACTACCAACGCACACACGAACCACTGCACTCCGCCAATCGCATGCCAACGACATCGCACCGCACCCCGATACCGCTCGCCTGCCACAATCCAGCATGAGCTGGCTCCTCTACCTCTCCGCCGCCCCCATTGCGACCATCATGCTGCTGCGCGCCCTTGCCCTCGTGCTGCCCGGCCGTCTGGGCCAGCAGGCCAGCTTCGTCGCGTTCAGCATCACCGCATTCCTGATGCTAATCGTGTGCGCGAGCTACGGTGTCTTTGCGTCTATTTTCCTGCGAGCGGTCGGCTATGGCGGGCGCAGCCAGTGGACTGTGGGGAGAGCGTTCAAGTGGACCATGTGGCTGAGCACGGGCATTACGTTCCGCGTCGACGAGGTAGGTGGGCGCGAGGAGGGAGGGAGGAGGGGCGGGAAGGAGGCGCTGGAGACACGGCCGGCGGTGTTTGTGGGCAACCACCAAACGTGAGTCCAATATGCCCATCCTGCGCACTAACTAACACGACACAGCGAGCTCGACGTCCTCATGCTCGGCTGCATGTTCCCGCCCTACTGCTCCGTCACTGCCAAGGCCTCGCTGAAATACGCCCCCTTCTTGGGGCAGTTCATGTCGCTCAGCAAAACCGTCTTCATCGACCGCGCCAACCGCGCCACTGCTCGCGCAGCCTTCGACGGCGCCGCAAAAACAATGCGCAACGATCGCCAGTCCGTCTTCATCTTCCCCGAAGGCACGCGCAGCTACGCGTCAGAGCCCACCCTCCTGCCCTTCAAGAAGGGCGCGTTCCACCTCGCCGTCCAGGCCCAGGTCCCCATTGTCCCCGTCGTGTGCGCGAATTACAGTCATGTGCTCGATATGAAGAGGAAGCTTGTCAGGCCGGGCGTCGTCGATGTTACCATCTTGCCTGCGATTCCAACTAAGGGGTATACCGCGGCAGATGTGGACAGCTTGGTTGAGAGGACACAGAATGCGATGATGGATGAGCTAGTCAGGCTGGCCCATGTTAGTGGTGCAAAGGAGGGAAATGGCGTGCCGGCGGCGACTGGAGTCGAGGGGGCAAGGAAAGAGCTGAGGCAGAGGAATTAGAGAGCCCATCTACGCGATTCGAGGACTGAATGGAGCACGACGAGAGCATAGCTATACGTGGAGAATACAGGCTCCGCATGTATGGAGTTGGCAGGAACAGACGATTCGTGGCGAAACGAGACGAACGATATACCAAACTAGACAAACTTCAATACACAACTTCATACGTACACTTTGCCAAATCAACTAAAGTCTGTATCATAACGCTAAACATGTGATGCCATCGCTGCGCTCGCTACACGCGTCTATATCCCCTGATGTCTCGGTATACAATGTACCGGGCGGGTAGGCATAAGCTACCCCACGATACCCCTCATTCACCAGCACCAAAAGTTACCCAAAGTGGTAATCCGTAGTTGCACCTGTCATATAATATTGAGGGTCGCATACACGCGTGAAAGTAACCATGTGCTGTATATTTTCACCCTCTCGACCCTCATCGAGTTCACACGCTCCCACGACGGACGGACAGCAACATGGCTGCACAAACGGCATTCAACGTCAAGGGCAAGACGGCCATAGTGACGGGCGCAGGCTCAGGTGTGTGCGCACAGCCATTTCGTTTACCTCTGCTCTGGAGGAATCACCATTGCTGATGCAGTCCAGGCATCAACTACTGCTTCGCCAAACTCCTGCTCGAGCACGGCTGCAACGTGCTCATCGCCGACCTCTCGCTGCGCCCGGAAGCGCAGGCGTTAATTGACACCTACACCAGCAGTCCTCGCGCCGTGTTTCAGGAAACCGATGTCACTGACTGGGCCGCGCTGGAACACATGTTCGCCGTCGCTGCCCAGGCGTTCGGCGACATCGACATCGTGTGTCCCGGCGCGGGCATCTACGATCCGCCGTGGAGCAATTTCTGGCACCCACCGGGCTCCCCCACGTCGCGGGACCAGCAGAACGGGGGCCGCTACGCAACGCTCGACATCAACGTAACGCACCCAATCCGGTGCACGCAGCTAGCGATCTCCGCCTTCCTCGCGTCGCAGAAGGCTACGCAGCAGAAGAGCCCGAAGAGAGTGCTAATAGTGTCCTCGATCGCGGGGCAGAACAGCAATCTGCACACGCCCATTTACGTGGCGGCCAAACACGCCATGAACGGCTTCGTGCGCAGCCTCGCTGCGCTCGAACAACAGCTCGGTATCCGCGTCAACGGCGTCGCACCGGGGCTCGTCAGGACGCCGCTGTGGACAGAGCATCCCGAGAAACTGCAGTTCGTGGCGGGCGCGGACGAGTGGGCGAGTCCGAAGGAGGTGGCGGACGCCATGCTCAGGTGTCTTGTCGACGTGAACTTGCCGGGGGGAAGCATCCTGGAGGTCGGAAAGGAGCAGACGAGGTTGGTAGGAGCGCTGATGGATCCGGGGCCGAGTGGGAGAGGGCATACGGTTAGTAGGTTGGAGGAGGCGAACGGGGAGGTTTTTGAGAGGCTTGGGAGTGGGGAGTGGGGGAGGGCGAAATTGTAGTGTTGAGTTGAGATGGTGTTGTCTCGTGCCTGGTTGCCTTCTCTAAGCCTGTTCTTGGAGTCGTTGGTGCTGCGCTGAAGCCGTTGCTCTCCTTTAGGCACTTGTACATTGCCAATTGGGGCATTTGAGGTCTTGTAATCTTAGGACAACCAAATTCCCAATGTCCTTTACTGTTCTCCAGGTAATATTGTAATCCCTAGACTAAGTATGGTTTCCTAGCTTTGGCAACACGCAGTGTTCGTCGTAAATCATGTCCTCTGTGGCTAAACAGGCACTAACAACCATAGCAGGTGGTGGCTCTCAGACCTTTCGTGATTAGTACTATTGGGAGCAGGGCTCTGAGCTCTTTGTCGTTAGTATGCTGGCTGGTGTTAGTGTTAGAGTTGAAACTGCTTGTCTCAATAGATTCAAGCCCGCTGTTTAGAGCATATCCAGTCTGCTGTTCAGATATCATGCAGCCTGCGGTTGAGATCAATGCATGGCGGTGAGCCGTTCGCCGACATCTCCGGTGTGGGTGGGATGTCAATGCAGGGCCGCAGAGCAACCACGGTTCGCGAGGCACCTGATGGCTTTAGAGACCGTATTCTAGAACGAGGCCACGATAAGCTGCGGTGAGGGAAATTAGGACCAGGTGGTTGTTATGGCGAGCTCACATTATTGACGCGGTGGTTTCTCCGGCTGCCGCGGAAACATGCAGGGTCGCTCAAAGGCCGCAGCACGAGTCCGTGGCAGCCGGGCTTTGAATTGACTGGCTCGGCTGACAGTGGTCCGACGCGTGGAATTTTTCCTCAAGTGTCACGATGTTGAGCCGGTGGAATTCGTTGGAACATGGAACGAAGGTCGCAGCAGGTTCTGCTGAGAGCGGAAAGGGGGGCACGGCGGACCGCAGTGGATGCTCGACGCCGGCGTGTGTCGCCCATCGAGCGCGCGCGGAGCCATCAGAGTTGCTGAGGATTGCATCATACCGGCGATGAGTAAGGATTTCGCACAGCTCGAGCCCCTCGCTGACAGGCCCAGCGGCCATGGAACGGCGAACGAAGCCACCACAGTGGACAGCCCTATGCCGCCCGGGACCGCTTACCGCGAGCAATTAGCACGATGATTGATGCAAAGGCAAAGAGCGGGCCTATCAGCCCATGTCGCGCCAGTTGCTAGCCAGCTGTTCTTCCGGCCGCCGTCGCGGTTGCCACGCTTGTGACGCAGCAACCTTTTATGTAGCGGGGCTCTCTGGAGGCCGACCGATTGAAAGCTGATCGACCACCGCAGCTGCTCCCAACAAACAAAACCCTTTCTTCCTCTCCTCACTGCGATACCCAGAGTTCCCCTCCTCTACCTCAACCCACATTCACCCATATTAATTACCATGTCTTCCTCCCTTGATCAATTGAAGGCCACTGGCACCGTAGGTAACCCCACTAGAGCTCGCTGGACCCCCACGGCAGCTGCAGCAGCGCGACCACACTGCGACGATTGCAAGTTTGGGAGCTAACAGACCCTTAGACCGTCGTCTGCGACTCTGGTGACTTTGCGACCATCGACAAGTACAAGCCCCAGGATGCCACCACCAACCCCTCCCTGATTCTCGCGGCCTCCAAGAAGCCCGAGTACGCAAAGCTGATCGATGCTGCCGTTGCGTGGGGCAAGAACCACGGCGACAACATCGAGGACCAGGTCGATGCCACACTCGACAACCTCCTCGTCCAGTTCGGCAAGGAGATCCTGAACGTCGTCCCCGGCAAGGTCTCTACTGAAGTCGACGCCCGCTTCTCTTTCGACACAAAGGCCTCCGTCAACAAGGCCCTACGCATCATTGACGTGAGTGAAACCGAATTGAATACGCCAAAGTTATAGAGCTGACATTTTCCAGCTGTACAAGGAGCAGGGCATTGGAAAGGAGCGCATTCTCATCAAGATCGCCTCGACATGGGAGGGTATCAAGGCTGCCGAGATCCTCCAGCGGGACCACGGCATCAACACCAACCTGACCCTCATGTTCTCTCTTGTCCAGGCCATCGCTGCCGCCGAAGCCGGCGCTTTCCTTATCTCTCCCTTTGTTGGTCGCATCCTTGACTGGTACAAGGCTGCCACCAAGAAGGATTACACCAAGGAGGAGGACCCCGGTGTCCAGTCCGTTGGCAGCATCTACAACTACTACAAGAAGTTCGGTTACAAGACCATCGTCATGGGCGCCTCTTTCCGCTCAGTCGGCGAGGTTACTGAGCTCGCTGGCTGCGACTACCTCACCATTGCTGTAAGTTGATTGCGACCGGCTTCGCAACTCACTCACTGACGCATTTCAGCCCAACCTCCTCGAGCAGCTCTACAACTCCACAGACTCCGTTCCCAAGAAGCTCGATGCTTCCAACGCCAGCTCGCTCGATATCGAGAGGAAGAGCTACATCAACGACGAGGCTGCCTTCCGCTTCTACTTCAACGAGGACCAGATGGCTACCGAGAAGCTCCGTGAGGGAATCTCGAAATTCGCTGCTGATGCCGTCACTCTCAAGGATATTCTCCGCAAGAAGATCCAGGAGTCGTAGAGGTGTAGTCTGACATCGGTCGTTTTCTTTGACTAGTTATGAAGGCATGAATTTTACGGTTTGGGATCAGCTTGCATCACCACACTCATACAGCTGCTTGGTACTGCGATATATTAAAAATAGAAAGAGATGAAATTGCCATATCTTCGTTCCATGTCATGAATCGTGAGGCTGCTCATGAAGGTGAAATTCTGATAGGCTGGCCACGGTCAGCGACGTGCAGACAGATTAATCATTCGTCGGCCCAGACGCTTCGGGTGTCGGCCGGCTACACTTCAAGAGCGAGCTCCAGGGTGGGGCTGACGCAATAAGCCCCGCAGCATTAGTAGAGGATAACAGCCGTGAGAAGGTCCAGTTCTCCCACTCCTACACTCACAACGAACACTTCAGACGTCAATTCACGCTTCAATTCATCCCAAATTTATCACCAAATATACAAAACCGCCAAAATGGTCAAGGCTGGTACGTCTCTTGCCCTTTGTAGCTCAGGCTTGCCTTGTTGCAGGAAGGTGGGGTAGCGGGTGCGCTGGATTGAGCACATTGTGTCCTTGAGCGAACTTTTCTGGCCCTCAGGACACTGTGAACCCTCATTCAATTGGACGCTCTGAGAGCTGTCTGAGGACCTTGCTGACCACTACACTGCGTGGCTCGCTGCTTGTCCATGTTGCAGATCTCCAATCAGCTCCGCTCTTCCCAGACACCCTGATGGCTCCTTCACGCCTCACCACGCGGGAAGCGGGTAGAGCCGAGACGGGAGCATTATCTCCCCTGCTTAGAACGACAAGCTGACGCATGTCTCTAGTCGCTGTCCTTCGTGGAGACTCCAACATCAAGGGAACCGTTACCTTCGAGCAGGCCGACGAGAACTCGCCGACCACCGTCTCATGGGACATCACTGGCCACGACGCCAACGCCGAGCGTGGCATGCACGTCCACGCCTTCGGCGACAACACTAACGGCTGCACTTCTGCCGGACCCCACTGTGAGTCCTGAGGAACCCGACTCGCCGCACACATAATGCTGTGGCGATAGCCAAACACGAGCTGACAATCGCCAGTCAACCCTCACAACAAGACCCACGGTGCCCCCAGCGACGAGGAGCGCCACGTCGGTGACCTCGGCAACTTCAAGACTGATGGCCAGGGCAACGCCCAGGGCAGCGTCCAGGACAAGCTGATCAAGCTCATTGGCTCTGAGAGCGTCATCGGCGTACGTCACCTCCCTCTCTCACACAGACAAGCAAACTGACTTCCACAGCGCACCATTGTTGTCCATGCCGGCACCGACGACCTCGGCAAGGGCGGACACGAGGAGTCCAAGAAGACCGGTAACGCTGGTGCCCGCCCTGCTTGCGGTGTCATCGGTATCTCCAACTAGATGCATCAGAGCGCACTCTGGTCGAGAATTACTGAGCACGGCTTTTAAGCACGACTCGTAGGTTGAGGCTTGATAATTGAACGATGTAGCAAAGAAATACCTTATCGAATACGCCCAGTATTGCTTGCACGAGTTGCGATGTTCTGTGAGACTTCTTGTGTCATCCGTGCCTTCCCGACGGTCATGTAGTCTGCATCTTGTGAAAGAATGGCCTTGACTATTTTAGAATATCGTGTTGGGCGCCGTCTTAATTGCAAAGAGTCAGGCTTTGCGAAACAAGTGTGCCTGGCCATTGGCAAGGGCTCTGTGTTTGTGGAACCGCAAGACATGCTGTTGCCGTGGCGTAGTCATTTAGGATTGAGAGGTGGAAGGGGTTTTTGACCCCACGCTTTGGCCTTTGGTACGTGAGATGGCGGGCACTCTCCAGAGACCACGCTCAATACACAGTGCGATGATGTGGGGGCAGCAAATCTTGTTCAAGTACCAGATGTATTTCTTTATCTACCTAGCCGAAGCCCGCCGCGGCCGCCGCGATCCCGTAGCTCTCATTTCGTCTCACGTTGAGATGACCAAATCTCTTGGACTAGACGGCTGAGGCTGACAGTCGAGTGGCCTTGTCAAGATGCCAGGGGTAGCAGGAACGGCATTGGTGGCTTTTGCGGTATTCAAATCACATACGAGAGCTCCCAATGCCTGGGCCCTAAGCGAGACCGAACTCCGTCCCAATGCATAGGGTATCGATGCTTACGGTCCAAAAGACATGCGCCTTGCGCCATTCGGACATTTACTGGGGCCGGCGACTGTTGAAAGCCAATCGCTTGATTGGCTATGTATGTAGGAAAGCGGATGGGGAGCAATGTACTGTAAAGTTAAAGTCAATGGCAGAGTATGGACAACCGGGTCAATACTCTGCACGTGGTCTACAATCTCACAGGTTGACAACCCGAGTGTCGTCGTTCAGGAACTGCCGACGATATTTGGCGATCTCTCGCGCAATGCCGTTAGGGTCCTTGATGTTCCTTTGGCGGAGATCCTTCAAAACGCTGCGCAAACCGTCGTTCCACTGCTGCTTTTCTTCTTGCGTCTTGCCAGGATTGGCGGTTCCGAGCTGGAGGAGGAGCTTCTCACCTGAAGGACAGAAGTCAGTCTGCGTACAAGGGAGGGGCTGGACAAACGTGAGTATGAGACCCTCCGTAACACGCACCAGTAATACCCATGCCCCGGAAATGCTGGTTGGGGCACTCGGGGTCGTTGCAAGATCCGCCTGCAGATTCAAAGGGACACAAAAGCTTCTCAGCGTCGATCTGGTGGCTAAAGGTCATGGACAAGAAGCCGCCATCGACATCTTGCAAATACTGGGGGTGGTAACGATAAGACTTGAACATGCGAAGGGGGCTCTGATAGGGAGTGAAGCGAGGTGGCTCAGACTCTTCCTCAGCGACGGGTACCTGATGATGTCAGCGTAATCATTGAGATTGGCAGTAAACTCACATCTTCGATGTGCCTAGTAGCTGGTACAGTCGCCACAGAAGTTTCTAGCTGCAGCTCAGGCGCTAAATCGTCAGCAATATTATCATCTTGTGAGGCCGCACGTGTCTGCGACTCCGGGCCTCCGAGCTCTGACTGTGTTTCTTCATCTGATTCCGAGTCTGAATCATCTGACTCCTCCTCCGAAGAAGTGGCAATGTCCATGGCCCCATCGTCTGCGTCACCTGGAGACGAAGCCTCGGGTACAACGGTCTCAGCTTGTGCGATCTCGGCTGCGGGTCCGCCTTCGGTCATCTCTTCATTGACATCTGGCGGCTCATAAGCCTCCTCGTCTTCGGTTGATACCTGAGATTGCCCAATAGATTGCGGTTGCTCGACTTGCAATTCTGGTGGTGGACCTTGGTGTGGTGAAGAGACAGGATCAGGATCGTTGATAGGAGGTGCCTTGGCGATCGGTTCTCCGATGACAGGCTCTTCCACGATATCTTCTTCTGGTTCGTATTCCTCCTCATCTTCCCCTTCGGACGACTCCGACATCTCGACCTCGCCTTCCTCAGACGGCGACGGAGCACTCATGACAGCCTGTTCAGCCTGAGGCTTAGGCACTTCCGCTCCAGCGGCTTTAACGTTCACACCGCTCTCGCTCAGCGGTGGCGGTGAGTAGAAGTCTTCGTCATCGTCCATAGGGGTAGCTGACGCGCGATCGTTTCTGGCAGCGACCCTATCTGGTCCCTCGGGCGGCTCACGGTAGCTTGCTGTCGATTGTAGATTGCTGACCGGATTTGCGCACTGCTCTTGCACAGGCTGCTGCGCAACCCGCACATTAGTAGAGGCAGATGCTTGAGATGCAGCCCGTCCAAGCCCAGGGAGAAGTCCGTATTGTAATGGAGTGGGCTGACTACTGTTTGATGGCGCAGTATGCGTCGTGGACATCTCACTGCCCTGATCAGCTCCTGTCTCGGCAGATGCTGTGATCGGAGCACCGGGCTCTTCACCCAAAGGCAGCGCTGACGGAAGCAGATCGGTCTGCGGAGCAGCCTCATTCTCAGGTGAGATAGCACGCTCAATCTCATTCTTTGTCGCCCGCATATCAGCATGCGACATGCCTTCAGTGTCTATGCCAAGGTCTTCCAGCTCTTTGGTCAATCGCTGCTTATCTTGCATGATCCGCTCGTTGTTTGCCTTCAGTCGCTCCAGGTCTTTCGCAAGTCGTGCCATTTCTGCTTCATTGCTGGCGATCTCATCGTCAAGAGTAGGCAACTGCTCTTGGATCTCTGTTCGACGGCGCCGCTTCCTGTCTCGCGAGTAGCCAGTTGCAGGTGCAGCTGCCTCTTGCGTGCGGGCAAGAGGTGTCAGTTGAGCTTGCTTTGAAGGCGTTCCTTGCTGTAAAGTGGTTGCAGCGGATGCAGCTTCTGCGGCTTCCTTGATCCTCTTTTGTTCTGCGAGTTTCTTCTTAAGTGTCAACTTGAGAGCCGCGAGCTCCTGCTCCTTGGTGCTGAGCTCCCCAGTACGCGCTAGGGTTGCAGGCGTTTGCGGACCAGGTGTGCTCATTGCAGATGCTGCAGCAGGGACGGGATATTGACGGGGAGTAAATCCGGGTATAGAGGTAGGAGCCTGTCGAATAGCAGTCGAAGTCGATGACCCCTGATCTTCATCGATGTCCATGTCGCTACCATTGGATTCATCGTCGCTCACTTCGATGATCATGGAATCTTCGTTGTGTGGGTGTGGGGATTGGCCGAATTGACGATTGTAGGGCATCACCGACCCTGGAGGTGTGGACACAGAAGTGTCTGAGGGTGCCGGGCGCTTTTGCGGCACGGCTTGCGGTTGACTTGATGGCGTCGAGGCTCCGTTGCCCGAACTCGAACGGCCGTGCATGAATAGACCAGGTATGTTCGAAAAGCTCGGGGCTGGCGTCTGTGGGGCTGGAGCGTTCGCACTAGGCGCAGGAGGCAGCTGCGGTGATTGTGACAGCCCAGACTTCTGTGTGGCGGCCTGCTTGCTCTGCGCCTTGAGTGCTTCCAGTCGCTGCTTAATCAGCTCCGTCTGGCGTGCCTTCTGCTCGTCCGTGACCTGTGACTTTCGTGTCGGTGTCATAGTCGCCTGCGGTGTGCCGTTTTCCGGAGCAGGCGACACGGCGGTCGCGGGCGGTGACTTTTGAGAAGGACTTGCCTTGGCTGGACCGGTCTGTCTAGCCAGTTTAGCCGCCTGCAGGCGTGCAAGATAATCCTTTCGGTCCACCGGTGACGCCGCAGCGCTCGCAGCAGATGCGGCAGCAATGTTGGTAGAAACAGAAGACACCGCCTTTGGCTGGGTCTCTGCCGATGGATTCGCAGCTGCACCATTGGTCTTGGGCAGTGGGATAGGCTCTGGCTCAGACGGCAGATTCATACTGCGATACATGCTCCTGAGAAGCTCGACATCAATATTCTCCTTGGCTAAAGCATGGTAGCCGACATTGTTGGCGTTCAAAAGCCGAATGAACTGCTTCGCCTCCTCGCGCTGTAGCTGCACCTGGTCTACCTCACTCAAAATTACACTTTGCTGTGGCGCAACTTTTGGTACAGAGACTTGTGGCGTTTTCTGACCAAGAGAGGGCCTGTCTGGATTGTAAGTCTCCTCTGCACGAGAGGACGTGGCTGCGGGCTGAGGTGCAGAGCGCGGCGGCTCTGGGTACCTATGGCGCATGGCGATACCTGCTGGCATTCTTGAACTGGCCTCAGCGTCACTGACCTCGCCATCCTCTCTGTCACTGTCCATCACTTCCTGTAAGCGTTCGACCGAAGCAGCAGAAGCAAATGCAGCTGCTGGTTGGGGTCTCAATTGCGGTGGAAATGGCGAGAATGCAACCGGTGTCGCTGGCGCTTGCGGCGTATGAGGGTGCGAGGGCGGCGGGAAGCTGATGCCAGGTAGCGGTGGAGGTACCATGCCAGCTTGCATGCTGGTCTGCATCATCTGCAGCCACTCGGTGGGTATTTGCGGAGGCCAGCTTAAACCTGCGTTGGGTTTAGGATATAGGAGGCATGCTGTAGTACACCGCACCGTTTCACTCACCAGCAGAAGGGAACGGGGGCAAGCTGTTCAGATTCTCAGCATGGCCGGGTTGGGGCGCGTACGGTTGTGAAGGAAACTGTTGGAGGCCGGGCACATTCCAGCCAGGCGGTGGTGGAGGGGCATGTTGCGGCTGCCCATCTTGATGCGTGCTGTTGGGTGGCTGCTGCATCTGTGGGAATGGAAAGGGAAAGGGTATTCCGGCTGGAGGGTAGTTGCTGTTGTCGGCCATGGTGGAAGGAGCGCAACGCGTCGAGGGAAGGAGCTGTGCGCGCACTTCAGCGCATCGAAGAGAAAGGCGTTTCTTCGACGATAGAATTAGACCGTAATGGGACGCGCCTCGTCAAATGGATGCGCCTTCACTTTGCGCTGCGGGGTGGCTGGTGCTCGTGTCCGCAAGTGAGAACTGCTGGAGGCTATCGGTGATGGCCAAAATCGAAAGCCGCGGCGAAAAGGTCACGTGCAAATATACGCGCTCTGGCGATGGCGATCTCGATTCTCGACTGCGCTGGCGTCTCGCGTTGCCAGGGTAATGTTTACGAGGCGATCAACAGCGAGCCGCCCGCCCGCGCGCATGCACGCCTCTCCGCAAATCTACTTTGTATTACCTGGGACTCGATTCACCCTGTACGGCGCGTTGCTGCATCATTGTACATAGTTTCTAATAGTCTGCGACTTTTCGTTGACGCAGACATCCAGCTAATCACACCGCATCCACCGCATTCCCCGCATAATGCACGACATCGACGTGGAAAAGTAGACTCGACGCACCTGCCACAATCACCATGAGCGCACCTGCTCCAAATGGTCCATCACGCGTGCGGAACAGTCCGTTCGCCAGAGCGAACTCAGCGACACCGTCGCCGGGCCCGACACCGCGCCCGCTCTCCATCACCGAAGCGCCACAGTCCGAGTTCAAGATGGCGCACGCGCGGCATCAGTCTCTCACACATCTGAGTAGCCCGCCGCTCAGTCGGAGCGAATCGCGGCTACGCTCGAACTCGAATCGTAACAGCATACCCATCGGAACATTCGCACCGCAGTTCATCTCAGAAGATACGCCAGACATCGCAAAACCAGGGGGCATCGTAGAGGGCGAGAACGACTTCTCTGGCAAGCGCTATGTCTGGCTGCACGACCCCAAGAACGCTTTCGCCCGGGGATGGGTGGTCGAAGAGCTTGTCGGCGGGAAGCTGCTGGTGCAGTGTGACGATGGCACTCAACAGGAAGTCGAAGAAGATGCCGTCGACAAAGTCAACCCAGCCAAGTTCGATAAAGCTGGCGACATGGCCGAGTTGACACATCTAAACGAGCCTTCCGTCATCCACAACCTGCACATGCGTTACCAGGCAGATCTGATCTATGTGAGTTGGACGTGCGGCCCTTGATGGGTGTATACTAATAAGCGTCAGACATATTCAGGATTGTTCTTGGTCACAGTGAACCCTTACTGCCCGCTACCTATCTACTCGCGAGACTACATCAACATGTACCGGGGGCGAGGGCGAGAGGAGACGAAGCCGCATATTTTTGCCATGGCCGACGAGGCTTTTAGGAACCTGGTGGATGAAGGCACAAACCAGAGTATCCTTGTCACGTAAGGTCATTGAATTGCAACTACGTGGACACGAGACTAACAAAAACCAGCGGAGAGTCTGGAGCTGGAAAGACTGAGAACACCAAGAAAGTCATCCAGTATCTGGCAGCCGTCGCCAACTCTGACACACCGCGAGCGAAGTCCGGCGCGAAGAACCTCACGAATCTCTCCGAGCAAATCCTGCGAGCCAACCCTATCCTTGAAGCCTTCGGTAACGCGCAAACCGTCCGTAATAATAACTCCTCGCGATTTGGAAAGTTCATTCGCATCGAGTTCACACGGACAGGCCAGATCGCTGGTGCTTACATCGACTGGTACCTTCTCGAAAAGTCGAGGGTGGTCAGACTGAACGGAAATGAGCGCAACTACCACATCTTCTATCAATTGCTGCGTGGAGCAGATCCGGCGATGAAGCAGGACTTTTTGCTGGACTCTAAAGACGTTGAAGACTTCGACTACACCAAGCACGGGAACGACGCCATCTCCGGCGTCTCGGACCGCGAGGAGTGGAACACACTGATAGAGGCTTTCCACGTCATGAAGTTCACAGACAAGGAGCAGGCTGGCATTCTTCGAACCATCGCTGCTGTGCTCCACCTGGGTAACATCAAGGCGATCAAAGAAAGCCGGAGAGCAGATCAGGCAACATTAGACCCCAAAGCCGAGGCACAGGCCCGGAAAGTATGCCAATTGCTTGGAGTTTCTGCCGACGACTTCATGAAGGCACTGCTGCATCCTCGAGTCAAGGCCGGTCGTGAGTGGGTCGAAAAAGTCCAGACACCCGAGCAGGTGAATCTCGCAATCGATGCTCTTGCCAAGGGTATCTACGAGCGTGGATTCGGTGATCTCGTGGACCGCATCAACCGGCAGCTCGACCAGACAGGTTCTGGCGGCGACGACTCACACTTCATCGGTGTTCTCGATATTGCTGGTTTCGAAATCTTCGACGAAAACAGCTTTGAGCAGCTCTGCATCAACTACACCAATGAGAAGCTACAGCAGTTTTTTAACCACCACATGTTCGTCCTCGAGCAAGAAGAGTATGCACGCGAGCAGATCGAGTGGAAGTTTATTGACTTTGGACGCGACTTGCAACCTACCATCGACCTCATCGAACTGCCCAATCCGATCGGTATTTTCTCCTGCTTGGACGAAGACAGTGTCATGCCCAAGGCTACAGATGCCAGCTTTACTGAGAAGTTACACTCCCTCTGGGATCGCAAGAGCAACAAGTACAAGCGTTCCATGTTGACCCAAGGTTTTGTCCTGACTCACTACGCTGCCGAGGTCGAGTACTCGACAGAGGGCTGGTTGGAGAAGAACAAGGATCCTCTGAACGACAATGTCACGCGCATCCTTGCAACATCGTCGGACAAGCACATCGCCCACCTATTCGCCGATTGTACAGATCCTGATGATGAAATTGGCGGTACTCGAAGCCGTGTCAAGAAAGGACTCTTCCGCACGGTTGCGCAACGTCATAAGGAGCAGCTATCAACACTCATGAATCAGCTACACTCGACGCATCCTCACTTCGTTCGCTGCATTCTCCCAAACCACAAGAAGCGCCCGAAGCAGTTCAGTGCTCCCCTCGTTCTCGATCAACTACGCTGCAACGGTGTGCTAGAGGGCATCCGGATTGCTCGTACCGGATTCCCTAACCGCTTGACGTTCGTCGAGTTCAGGCAACGTTACGAAGTGCTGTGCAAGGACATTCCTAAGGGCTATCTCGAAGGTCAGCTTGTCGCAAAGATGATCCTCGAAAAGTTGGGCATGGACAAGGCTCTCTACCGTGTTGGTATTACCAAGGTCTTCTTCCGCGCCGGTGTGCTTGCAGAGCTGGAAGACCAACGTGACAGTCTGATTCGCGACATCATGATTCAATTCCAGTCTGCAGCGCGTGGATTTACGCAGCGTCGCATCGCACACAAACGCCTGTACCGCGCCGAGGCTACACGCATCGTGCAAAAGAACTTCCAGGTATACCTCGATCTTCAATCGAACCCCTGGTGGCGCCTCTTTATCCGCATGAGGCCCATGCTTGGCGCTACTCGACAAGCTGCCGAAGTGAAGAAGCGTGACGAGATGATTCTGCAGCTTGAAACCAAGATGCAGGAAGAGGCGGCGGAAAGGCAACGGGTGGAGGACGACCGACGACGAGCCGAGATAGACATCCAAAAGATCCAAAAGACCCTCGAAAGCGAACGCGCATTGGCTCTGGACAAGGAAGAGATCTTCAAGCGACTCCAAGTTCGTGAGGCTGAACTTGCAGAGAAGCTCCAGGGTGCCATCGAGGACCAGGATCAGCTTGAAGACCAGCTTGATGCCCTGATGGAGGCCAAAAAGAAAACCGAGGACCAGGCTGAGGTCTGGCGTCAAGAGCTGGAACAAGCTGGCCAAATCATTGGCAACCTGGAGACCGAGAAACAGGACCTCGAAGAGCAGATCGCACGCCTTGACCAGCAGTTGCAGGAGCTCGAGGCCGCCCACTCCCAACGCAGTCAAGCCGAAGAATCTATGAGCCAAGAAGTCAAGATGCTACAAAGTCACCTGAGTCTAAGGGAGCGCAAGGTCCAAGACCTGGAGTCAAAGCTTCTCAAGACAGAGCAGGACCTGGACATCAAGCTAGCGGCATCGGACAAGGAAGTACAAGCTAGCAAGAAGCAGATCAAGGAGCTTCTTGAAGAGAACCGACAGGTTCGCCAACAAATAGCCGATCTTTCGTCAACGTCTACAAGCTACGAGGACCTCATCCGTCGCAAGGAAAGCGAGCTTGCCATCTTGAAGGCCGACCTCAAGAAGTACGAGTCTGATCGTCAGATCTTCGATGCGGAGAAGCAGACACTCGCTTCGAAACACGATAGTCTCCAGAGTCGCCTGCGTGACGCTAATGCCGAGCTTGAAGCTATGCGCGCTCAGAAGCAGCAATCAGAACGCGAGGCTGCAGATGCCAAGCGACTTCTCGAAGACCGAGAGACTGAGGACGTACAGTCAAAGCTACTTCGGGAGCAGATTGAGCAGGTCAAGGCTGAGATGTTCGAGGTGCAGAAGGAGCTGAGTCGCGAGAGGCAATCCCGCGACGATGTAGAGCTTCTCGGCGAGCACAAGTACGAAACGCTGCAGCGCGACTTTGATGCCTTGAACGAGTCCAAGATCACCATCGAGAAGGAGATGTATGCCCAGCAGGATGTTCTGCGTCGCGCCACCGAGACTCGTACCGCGCACGAGCAAGAGCGCAGAGAGTATCAGGAGGAGCTACGGAACCTGCGCGAGCAATATCTCAAGTTGCAGGAAGAGAAGATGGATGCTGACGCCGAGGCTGAACGTGTGCAGTCACGTCTAGCTCTCGAGAGGCAAGCTGCACAGCAACAGGAACTTGAGCTTAAGGACCAACAACTCGACCAGCTTGAAGCAGAGCGAGACGATCTCGCTGAGCAAGTGCATAGCCTGACTCAAATGCTTGCTGATGCAGAGGGCTTCAAAGAGCGGAACGACCAGCAGAAAGAACGTCTCGAGCGTGAGCTGGTGACTATCAAGGGCCGACTGACAGCTTCCGAGAACGACAACCGCGCATTGCTCAACAAGGTCCAGCAGAAGAATCTTGACATTGCTAGAACCAACTCACGCGCCGGCGAGACCCAGCGTTCAAAGATCATGCAACTGACCAACGAGAAGTCCAAGGTCGAGGAGGACAACAAGCGCCTATACCGCCAACTCGAGGATGCTCAAGTTGCCATTGCATCCATGGAGAAACAGAAGGAGAAGCTTGAACTGACCCTCGAGGACCTCAACCACGAGATGAACCGCGAGGCGAAGAGCAACCGTAACGCAGAGAAGGCGTCTTCGACAGTCAACATCCAACTTGCAGAAGTCAACCGCAAGCTCGAGACGGAGAGACAGCTGCGTACCCAGGCACAAGCTAACACTAGAGCCATCCAAGCGACATTGGACAACAACAATCGCGAACTGGAAGAGTGCCACAACCAGCTCATGCTCCTTCGCAAGGTCTTCGATCCCGAGTCTGCTGATGTCGCCATCACCTACGATGCGGCCAAACCACATATCTCGAAGGCTGTGGATGTGGCCGAACGCCTCGAAGCTGCTAATCAGGCACTACGCGTGGCCACGGAACGTTACAGCCGTGCGGAAGCACAGTTGGACGACCTGCGAGAGAGGCACGAGGGCGAGCTCAACGAGCTGGACACTCGCCATACCAATTCCAAGCGGGCTTTGCTAGAGGAGATGAACAGTAGCCAGGTGAATCAAGCGAACACAAACCGATCGCCAACGCACAGGAGGTTAGACAGCGAGAACCGTAAGCCATTCTCGACAAGCACACCAACTAACCAACGTCACACCAGCAATGCGATGAACGAGTCCGCCCGCTCCGATCGTACTGTCGACTCCGTCTCCCTCAACAATCGCATGGATATGGCCGCCGAACTCGAACTTGCCCAAAATCAGCTACAAATCTCCGAAATGCGAAACGCGCACCTACAGAGCCAGCTCGATCAGTCACCCGTACGCAGCAACAGTTGGCAAGAGGAAAGCCCGTCGATGAGGCGAGTACAGAAGCTTGAGCGTGAGAACTTCCGCCTTCACGACATGCTGGACGATTCTGCCAGGAAGGTCTCTACGCTCGAGTACAACTTACGCTCTGGTCAGCTCTCTTACCAGGAAGTTCAAACCAAGTCACACGAGGAGCTCTTCGAAGTTTTGAAGTCGCAGGAACAGTCCCGCAAATCTATTGTACAGGCGCACAACAATGCCATCAATGAGTTGGCGGACGCTAAAACTGCTTTTGATGACATCAAGCAAATGAAAATGGCCCTGGAGGCCGAACTCCGCGAAGTTTCGACAGATCTGGATGAGATGGCTTCTGAGCGTGAGCAGGAGCAGGCCAATCACAATCAACTTCTACAGGAATTTGCCGACCTTCAGATTCGCTTAGATGACGAGACATCAACACTCCTTGATGTTCAGTCCAGCTTGAGTCTATACAAGAACCGTGCCGACGAGTACTTCAACAAGCTTGAGCAGGCGGAAATTGCTGTGCTGAAAGCCTCTCGTGCTGAGCAGTTCGCCAGGACGCAGGCGCGCGAAGCCGAGGAGACTTGTGCCACATATATGGCCGAACGCAAAGAGATGGATGGCATGGTCGAGGACTTCCAACGACAGGTGCAGCAATACGAAGAGCGTGTGGAAGACCTCTCTACCGATCTGGAGGCCGCACTGCAGGCCAAGAAGCGTCTTCAGAACGAACTTGAAGACTACAGGAGTCAACATGCACACGATATCGAGGACGGAGAGACCTCTCTTGAGCAGACACGCAAGAAGTACCAGGGCGAGCTTTCGACGTTGACAAACGAGCTCGAGCAAGAACGACAGACAATCATCTACATCCGTGAGGAGAATGGGCGTTTGCGCGAGGAGATCGAGGAGATGAGGAGTAAGTGGGACGATGAAGTCCTCAACTCCTCTACCTGGGCGAAGGAGAAAAACCGTCTCGAGATGACACTGCATGTGGTGTCGAACTCTCGCGATGAAGCAGCCAATGCTCACAACGAGGCTCAGTCTAAGATCGTAAACCTCTTGTCTCAGGTTCGAAATCTCCGCACCAATGTAGACGATCTCGCTGCCGAGCGTGACTCTGCCATGGAAGAGAAGAAGCGCCTTGAAAGCCGACTACAAGAAGCTGCAGACCGATTGGACGACCTGTCACAGTCTGAGTCACCAGCCATGCGAAACGCCGCTGCCTACGACCGCGAGCTGCTCGAGCTCAAGTCTGGGCTGGCCCAGCAGGAAGACATTGCTGCTGCTGCTGTTGGCAAGATGCGCCGTGCTGAAGCTTTGGCACAAGAGTTGCAGAAGGACATCATTGCTGAACGTGAGGCAAACGTACAGCTGCACAGGGAGAAGGGTCTTGTTGGCAAAAACCTCAAAGACCTCCAATTACGCCTGGTGGACCTTGAAACCAAAGGCTACAGCGGATCAGCTGGCAAGGACGTGCGCTTCCTCCACGGACGCATCCAAGAGGTAAGACATTATTCACATGATTTTTTAATATCGACTGACCACGCGTTGCAGCTCGAGAAAGCACTTGAGGACGTGGAATCAGCTCGCCTATCTGACTCCCGTGCCGTCCGCAACGTCGATCGCACAGTCAAGGACCTGCAGTCGCAAATTGAGCGACGCGAGAAACAGAACGCATCCATCAATGAAGACCTCAACAAGGCTCGCGACAAGATCTCCAGCCTACTTTCAACCATTGATGAACTGCAGTCCTCCGATTCGGGAAATCAGCTTGTCGCTAAGCGCGCCGAGCGCGAACTCCGTGATGAGCGCGAGAAGACCACTAAGCTTGAGCGCGAGCTAGAAAACTTCAAGAACATGCGACTCGAGCGCAGAAGTCAGCTTGGTGTCCCTGGCATTGCGGCTAGTGATGCTGGCGATGCGCGGTCGAGACGCGGCTCCTCCATCGGTCTGCTCATGGGCGAGATGGGCGAGGCTGCACCCGGCGAGAAAAAGTACGGCAGTTTCCGTTCTGGGTTACGACGTGTTTCCGGCCAGAAGGGTTTTTTGTAGTTGATGGGATCTCTGAAGGGGAGGGGTCGTTGACGAGGTCCCAGGTCATACCTATTTCTAGCCCATATTTCCGCAGAGAAGCAGTAGAGGATGTGGGCAGTCCAGTCACTACATTTACACAAGTCAGAGAGGAAGGGAAGGGAAAGAATACTGTCACTATCGCAGAAAAAGAGAGACCGAAGGCGACTTCCAGAGCGCTGGTTATCGCTGGTGCGGGCATGCGGAGGAAGCATAGTTATGATACTGGCGTTGGTCTATTGGAGGACATCGAGGAAGTCGAATCAGTCCTTGAGAAAGACTCGGTACTCAATCAGGCTTTCCTCGATGGAGACGCTGACGAAGACTACATGGAAGCAGAGGGAGGTGAAGACGACATGGAGACACTCGTCGAAATTGACGGCGAGCTGTACAAAGAAAAGGAGGTTGAAATCGAGGTCTCGGACTCTGAGCCTCCGAGCGATGTTGAGTCTGACGCTGGGCCTCAGGACGGATGTGGGATCAAGCGCAAGCGGACTATTAGGGTTGTTATCAGGTCCAGGGCGTTTCTCTGAGTGCATGGTTGTCGATATTGGGATGCAATGATTGCTTGGTTTGGCTTGATGGCGTTCTAGCGATATATCATGGTTGCGCTGTTTGGTCTTGCAATGATATTTCTTTACTTCGGTCCGTGTGGTTCCTTCCTGCTGCAGTTGTGTCGTGCGGCTAGTAGTACACTGGTGCCTTCACTCATCTCACCCTGCGCCTCACCCTAGTCCGCCGCTTCACCTCCTCAACACACCACGCTTCACTCCTATATGACCCTCGTCTTCGCTGTGCATACCTTTCGACCGTGATGGCATCGATCAGCGATGGGCAGGTCGCACTGGCTGTGCAGGCACCTCCAGTATGCTCGCTATCTACGACAGCTTGCCCGCGAATTACCAAGCCACGATACTTGCGCTGAACGAGAAGTCAGTATAGAATCTAGCGTGAGGTCTTCGAGTGACAGCATCAGATATTACAGCTCGCAAAGTGCTCGCTTTAAGAGCTGGATCGACAGTTTCGACCAGCCCCATTCGTTCAAGATTCAGCCACTCCGATTCCTGGATCTGCCGGCAGAGCTGCATGTCAAGATTTTCTGCTATGCAGTCACCCAAGACTATTCGCCGTAGTTTTACTGGTCCGTCTATTCAAAGATCGAGCGGAGGGACACAGTTCGAACCCTTCGATGTCCAAAGCTATTGGGCAACCTGCACAAAGCTGTATGCTGAATCAGCCAATTTGTTCTGGGCGATGAACTCTCTTGACTTTGGTGATGATTTGACCCGCATGGGTAACAAGCTCGACTATATCCGGAACAATATGGGACACCGTACGCTGGTCGAAGAAGCTGTCACCTTCTTCGTACACAACATGCAATCAGCACAAACCTCTCCAACCCTCGTATAACTTCGCTTAGAGTTGACTCCACATGCCGCGTCCTTCCACTCGGAGTTTTCTCAGTCGCTCAATAGGTTCATTACGACGCTGAAGAAGCATACTTCGAATGTTAGATTTGTGATAGTGGACAGAAGCTGATTGCCTCCCAGCTTCTGGCTTGAAGTTCAACAGAAACTTGAGGAATTTCGAGAACGCGGTAACAGGCTCACGTTTTGCGGATCTGGGTAGATTCTTGGCGCTCAGCCTTGCTCAAGAGGGCATTATCGGTATCAGTAGGGACTGGAAAATTTATCCGAGCCTTCCTGGCAGTTCCATTGAGGGAACCAAGCAGAAGCTTATCGCCGCAGGAGTGGAGCAAGTAGACAAATGGATCAACAAAGGGTTTTGAAGTTGGGAGGCAAGGGTAACGAAAGAAGAAGGCCAGCATCTTACACGATAGGTGCAAAACCTGTCATACTTGATGAGCACGGTCAAAATGGGTTCGACGATTACAAGAGCGATCTTTTTCATCCAAGACCTCAAGAATGCATGGATGTAATATGCACGACCTTCCAACATTTGACATTGAACGGCCACGCGGGAAAGGTGCGATCAGGCAGTGTCCTCGCCCCAAGTTACTTTCACCTAGGCACTGCACTCGACCATCACAATGCTGCCTGGCTACTAAGGTCCAACGCTCGCGAGATTGACAGCTCTCACAAACATATGTTTTCTGCCATAGATCTACTCGTGCCGCAAGTCTCTGTGAATGAGAGTCCTTGGACCTCCAGACTCTCTCACCTTCGCAACCTCACATTGGGGTCCGTGCACAAGATCTGCCTACGTAAGTACCCTGTCGTCCCCGCTCTTTCTCTTCCACCGCGATTTATTCATATCTGCAGACACAGCCTCTGGGTTTCACTTCGGCTCAACGACCAACACGATTTTCCGGCTATGACTTCATCTACAAATGAAGCGGGACCAGAAGTATTGTCCGGTTCAGTGGCCGCTGCTCTCCCGCCAGGACGAGAGGCACTGATGACCTCTCACATGGAAACACAGCAGGATGGCGGCTTTGCGCTGCTCGAGATGAGCGAGACGTACGTCAATTGATGCCCACCTTCAAGCACGTGCTGACCCACCCTAGTTATCTTGAGGACCGCAAGTTCAGAAATATGGGTGATGAGTACCTCAGGTTAAATCCACGCCAGCCGTTCCGCTTCATGGACTTGCCCACCGAGATCAGACTCATGATTGCCCGCCATTTTATGAAGTCCGATAACGATGGAGCTCTACTCTGCCGTTGGCTCGAAGTTTCCTCGGAGAGACGACGCGGCACATTCGAAGGCATGGATAAGCTACTCGCCCTTGCTCAGACCAGCAAAAAAAATCATGCTGAGCTTTCCACCGTAGTTTGGACCGTTAATACCTTCCATTTCCACGGAAAGTCGGCATGCTGCCTCGATTGCGTTATGTTTCTCAAGGAGATGGAATGGATTCGAGAAGCCTCCCAGTTCCTCTCGCGCAACACACCATTCCATCACGCAGAGCCAATCACGCTCCACGTAGACCTATACCGTAACAGCGCCACATACAATATCGACCTAGTTGCAGCCTGCTCTGTGTTCTCAATCATTCATCCGAAGGCTGAGTTCAGTGTCTGCAATTCAAGTTGGGTACTGACAGGCTTTTCGGTGGACCGAGTCGATTTATCTGAGGATCTCACGTCTGCTTGACGTTGGTAGGGAGTTAGCAAGTGGCCTCTCGCATCCTCAGGTCCGCTGCATCCCCTGGAGCTGGAAGCTGCGGCCCCTGGTCTCCAGAGACTTCATCGAGAAGGTAAAGTCACAGCTTATTGCCGCAGGTGATGAAGAGGCTATGGATTGAGTCACAAAAGGCTTGTGAGATTGGAAAACGGGCAGTAGACGCAATTGGGGTTTTTCAGGGTACATGGAAAGTCGTGGGCTCCATAAGGTTGAAGCCCACGGCAGTGGCGAGCTCAGTACTCACCAAGACTTCGGTGTCTGACATATCAATGCACACTCTTATGACAGTCGCAACTGGACTCACTCATTCTTCACCCAGCACTTCGCTCATCCACAATCACGCATGCACCCCTAACCCTTTCAGCCCCTCAACTAACTCCCCATCATCCCCACCCACTCCCTCTCCAGGACAGAATCCCGCCCCCTCGCACCCACCCTATGCATCGAATCTCGTCCCAGCGACTCTCTCAGCAACCCACATCACCGTCTGCACATGCAGACTCGATTTCGCCTCGCCACGATGAACCCGATTCGAGCCGTGAGCAAGCGCCTGGTAAACGACTAACTGGTCCGCCATCCACTCGTCAACACACCCGCCATGCGCGATCTCGGGGAGCAAGTCGTCGGATACTTTGCGCACCATGTGCGGGACGATGCGTGTTGTTTTGCCCGCGCGCACTCTGTCGTCTTACAGCCAGTCGCGGCCGAATTTCATGTTGGCAGAGGATGTGGCGACGAGGAGGAGGTAGAAGCGTATCTCATCGAGGCTGGCTCGAACGAGATGGTTATATCTGGGCTCTGCGTGCCGAAGAAGTGGGCACGGCGCTTTTCCAACATCAGGTCCAAGTTGTCGCGGAAACCGTGCTCGCTTCCAAGCGGAGCTATGATGGTCGCATGTTTGCTGTTTATTGCGCCCCGGTCCTGAAGATGGAAGGCGGGGAGTGCGCTGGTGAGCGGAGTGATGCTGAATGTGGTGCTGCCTAGACGGGTGCGCCTCTGAGACCAGCCGCGGGAATGGAGGGTTGAGGATATGTGAGGGACACCGATGAGGGAGAGCATTGGGATCAGGACTTGCAAGACATAGTCTAGTGATGGCGAGTTCTGTCACGGGCAGAAGAGGTCTACTTAGCAGGCCTGTTTGGAGGTACTGATGTACATACATTTTACCTCCTTTTTGGCTGCGACAAGTTCGATGCATTGGTTCCTCCTGTGATGCGGAGCTCTACGGCGGCCTGTGCGCCGGAGAAGAGTATGTATGGTAGAACGGCCTGGAGCACGAGGGTGATGCCTCCTGGTGTGTTTTGGCTGATTGAAACATGGCCCGCTAGGAGATCGGGGTTGATTGATGGTAATGTGTGCGGTCTAAATGTGATCTCTTTGCTCTTTAGGCCTGCACCACTAATTTGCGCATTGCTGGCTCGGCCGAGCCATAGCATCGATGTGAGATGTTGGACCTTAAGACCACCACCGCTAGAGCGCTTGCCTCGTATGTTGGTGATGTGGATAGGTTTCTTGATGAGGCTGGAGAGGCCCAGGGCGACACGTAGGAGTTGACCACCGCCTTCCAGCGTAGTGCCTTCGAGGTGAATGGGCTCTGGCTCTGTGCGAGCCATGCTCTGTGGTGAATCAAGACGTGATTAGCATACTCGACTTAGAAGATGCAATAAAACCCGATTGGTGACTCTCCTATGTCACAAATTTTAGGAGGTCGTCAGTGTTTGACTGTGAGTGACTTGTCAATAAAATTGGGTTTTCCAGACTGTAAAGTTGCATTCGAATTGTGCTGCTGCCTGAGGGGTTGGTCTACGAAGTCGGTCTTGCGGGCTAGTACGTGAGTCGATGTGAGCATTCACCATGGAGTCATAGTGTGGGCTAGCCGCCCGAGGCACGGAGGATTCTTCCCTTGGTTTCCAAGAGAGTATTGATGTTACTAGTAGTGGGTGCGTCCGGCGTAGTGGAGAGACGTGGCGCTATCAGGTATACAGCAACTGTAGTCTACTGTCGATCTGGGGATTATGGTGCGCGGGGAGGAGGCTACGTAGCTTGACAGCGGGCACAAGTGACGTCGTGTCACACCGTGTCCGCACCGTCTACAGGAGATTTTAGAAAAGCGTTTCGCCCGCTTTCGGCTCGCTCTATAATATTACTGACGCGTTGAGGTTGGTAATCTTACGCCATCTAGATCCAATCGGAGGCTTCGCGTGTCCGTGCATCGATCTCCCCGGCATCCTTTCGTCACGACCAGGGCGAGCTTTTTGAATTCCCTCATCGCCGTCACAGTCCGCCCAGCGTCCACCGCCATGTCGAGTGCTTCCATAGCACGCCCATTCAAAAATTACTCCAGGTAGACAGCCCGTCCGCCCCGCGACACAATGCGCGGAACCGCGGCGTTCGCGGCGAAGGCCTGGCACGGCCCGGGCAACGGAGCGCTCGCCTCGATACACCCGCGCATCACGGCGAGCTCGCGCACATCAGTGCTGTCCAGAGCGTTCGCTACTACGAAGCCGACACCCGCAAACACCATCGCCGCCTCCACAACACAATGCGCAGGCAGACGTACGTCATCGCTGTTCCCCTCCGCTGCCGCCCTCCGATTCGCGCCCGCAGGCACCGTCCGTCGCAATGCCTTCCAGCAGCCCGCGCGCATGTTCGCGGCATCGAGGATATTGGCGGAAGCGCAGGCGAAGACAGTGACGAAGCAGCGCAAGTCCTACAAGCAGGAGATGGAGGAAAAGGGCGCCATCGACCAGGAAGAGAATGACGGCGAGCCAGAGGAGTCACAGGGCTTTGCAAAGTCAGAGAAGGCAACGGCAGCGCGACAGGTCGACTTGAGCGCCAAACTGAGCAAGGAGGGCAATTCTCAGGCGGGCGGCGGCATGGGCGAGATCTGGCGCTTGATCAAGATCGCCCGGCCGGAGATGGGCACCCTTTCGTGGGCCTTCGTCTTCCTTCTCTTCTCCTCTGCCATCTCCATGTCGATCCCCTTTTCGATTGGCCGAATCCTGGACGCGGCTACACAGGCCGAGAAGACCGATGGGCTGCTCTTTGGCATGGACATGTCGACCTTCTACATTGCCCTGGCTTCAGTCCTCTGCGCGGGCGCTGCAGCCAACTTCAGTCGTATCGTCATCCTCCGCATTGTCGGTGAGCGCATTGTGGCCCGCCTACGATCGCAGCTCTACCGCAAGACATTCGTACAAAACGCCGAGTTCTTCGATGCGAACCGTGTCGGTGATCTCATCTCCCGCCTCGGCTCAGACACCATCATCGTCGGCAAGAGCATCACACAGAATCTGTCAGATGGTCTTCGTTCGCTGGTCAGTGGTGCCGCTGGTTTTGTCATGATGGGTTATGTCAGTCTCAAACTCACGGGCATACTCGCGCTGATTGGACCACCTGTCGCTATAGTCGCCTTCATATCCGGTCGATCGCTGCGAACGCTGAGTCGAAAGATCCAGAAGAACCTCGGTACTCTCACAAAAATCGCAGAAGAGCGCCTCGGTAACGTTAGAACTAGTCAGGCGTTTGTTGGAGAAGTCCAAGAAGCCTCGCGCTACAACCGCCAGATTAAGAGGATATTCGCGCTTGGAAAGAAGGAGGCTGTAGTTGCTGCAGGGTTCTATGGTAGCACAGGACTGATGGGTAACCTGACAATCATTGCGATTTTGTATGTTGGAGGTGGCATGGTCAAGAGCGGAGTCATCTCGATTGGTGAGCTCTCGTCCTTCCTCATGTACACCGCATACGCTGGATCCAGCATGGTCGGTTTGTCTGGCTTCTATGGCGAGATGATGAAGGGCGTTGGTGCTGCAAGTCGTCTCTTCGAACTTCAGGATCGCCAGCCTACCATTTCACCGACCAAGGGTGAGCCCGTGAGGTCTGCACGCGGACCAATTGAGTTCAAGCACGTGTCGTTCGCCTACCCGACAAGACCGGCTGTCAACATCTTCAAAGATATCAACTTTAGGATCGAGCAGGGAACCAATATTGCCATCGTCGCGCCCAGTGGAGCAGGAAAGTCGACAGTTGCAAGCTTGCTCCTGCGTTTCTACGTGCCCACTGCGGGGACCATCACTATCGATGGACGCGACATCACCACGCTCAACGCAAAGCAGCTCAGAAGGAAGATTGGGTTCGTCGGACAGGAGCCTGTTCTGTTCTCCGGTACTATCGCAGAGAACATCGCATACGGTGTACCACAGGCCACCCGCGCTGAGATCGTGGCTGCAGCTCGCAAGGCCAACTGCCAGTTCATCAGTGACTTTGTAAGTATTAATGCCCTCTTAGACGATCGGAACTGACGAAAAATAGCCGGATGGTCTTGAGACCCACGTTGGTGCTCGCGGCACGCAGCTCTCTGGTGGTCAAAAGCAGCGTATTGCCATTGCACGCGCGCTCATCAAGACACCTGACATTCTCATCCTTGATGAAGCGACAAGCGCTCTAGACGCCGAGTCCGAGACTCTTGTCAACCAAGCTCTTGGGAAGCTGCTGGCCGAGAACAACACCACGATCAGTATTGCTCATCGTCTGTCGACCATCAAGCGTTCTGACCGCATCATTTGCATCAATGCCGATGGGGAGGTCGCTGAGGAAGGCACATACAAGGAGCTGTCTTCCAATCCCGACGGCGCTTTCAGCAAGCTCATGGAGTGGCAGATGAGCGGTGGCGAAGTCGACACAAAGAAGATTAGAGGCCCTGGGCCTACTGAGGAAGAAGAGATCGAGCGCGAGCTTGAGCACGAGACAGAAGAGCAGGCCCGCCAGAACAGGGTCTAGATGAAGAAGATCGGTCACGGCAGATCTTAAAAAGCTCATGTGCCGCAATGCAAGTCTTGCAAGGTCGCCTTCTGCCTGCAGTCGAAACTAATGAGCGTCGTCACGGAAACATCAACCAGTTCTGGGCTGCATCCCGTGAGCCATTCGGTTTTGGCCCAAGCGCTTCATCGTCAAGGTGTTTCCTTGGACTATTTCTTACAGGGAGGCTCGGCGGGTGGCCGAATGCCTTTGGATGACATGGACGTGGTGTGACTTAATGGTCGCTCACGAGGTGCTGCACAAACATCGGAATACCACAAAATAAGGTGACGGCGTTCCAAGGTAACATCACATCGCATTGTAGCATCAACTCGCATTGCGAAAACTAGAAATATGTACAATACATCTCAGGTAATCTCCAATATTGTTCGCATCCAACAAAACCCAGCAGCTGTAACCATCAACCCAATCAACCATCATGTCTTCCTGCGGCGCTTTTGCAATGAACGATCTATATGACAGCGACTCCACGCTGCTGCAAACTATACACTACTCGCAGCTTCTACGTCCATATGCCAGAGCGTTCTTCAATGAGCAGATCTGACAGCTTGACGTCTTCACCGAGGACCACTAGCGCGCACTTGCCCTCGACGACAGCAAGGCACAATACCCACCCAATCACCAAGCCCTCAATCAGCATCGCACAAGCCAGGGAGACTAAGATGTCTCCCAGCGATCTCACGTTGCGATCCAGCGTCAATCGCACGACAAGTGTCTCATACTGACGTCATACACCTAGCTCACGTCTCCATTACGCAGCGCTCCTCGCGTCATCAAAGGGACTGCGACCGCAAAACTATATAGAATCACCTTCTACCACTACCAATACATCTCACACTCAATGTTCAAGCTTGCCCGCCTTCCAGCTTCCCTGCTCCGATCCACACAACCAACCATATTCAACGCTCCCAAGTCCTTCTCCACAACCCCACGCACCGCAATGGACGCCTACAAGAACGCCGGAAACCGCAAGGACTCGCCTCCCAAGCACGAAATGGTTCATTTCCCCGGGCTGCTGAGCAGCAAGCGCGCGTTCGGCGACTTCAGAACCGTGCTGCACACGGGTCTATCCAGCCAAGTCGTCGCCATGGAAGTCCCTGTAGGCGGTGATATAGGCGACGAAGTAAGCCCCCCTTCACCCGTGTTGATCTTATTATGAACCCAGCTCATGGCTCAGGTGCACACCGTCGACCAAATCCTGATGTTCACGTCCGGCCGCGGCTTGGCCACGGTGGCAGGGAAAGATCAGGAAGTCAAGGCTGGCGATGTCGTTGTTGTGCCTGCGGGGACACAGCATCAGTTTGTCACCAGGGGGGACCAGCCGCTGGAGTTGATTACCGTGTATGCGCCGGCCGAGCATTTGCCGTCCAGTGTGCATAAGACCAAGGAGATTGGGGATCAGGAGGAGAAGGATGGGATTGATGAGGCGCCCGAGTGGAGTCTGAGGAGCAAGAAGGAGAATGAGGAAAGTGGCTTGGTTAATGAGAGTGGGAAGTATTAGATCTGACGGGAAACGGATATCTAAAGTTGATGGGAATTCTGAGCGGTATAGGAGTAAAGGTGATGTGGCTGCTGTGAATGAAGGGGGCCACTGGGATTGGTGAAGGACTGGAAGAAGTATGGACTGGGCGGCACGGCGACTTCGAAAATGTATAAGAACTGAGAATGACAACTCGGATATTGAACGCGCGCCGAGACCAAGGGATTAACGGACGGTCCAAGGTGATAATTAGATAGTAAAACTCCTGTCACCTAATGTCAAGCTTGTCCGATGTTGAAGGTGAAGAATAGGACTGTTACGCTTGCCTTGTGTCACAGGCATCACATCGCATCTTCTTCCATTCCGGCACAAGCTCTACTAGGCTCGAGTAGTTCTCATTTTTGTCTCTAGAGCAAGCTACCGTCTAGTACTAATTACTTCCGCAGGTGCTTTCCGCTTATACGTGATCTTATCTTTGACAGTGTAATATGCATGTATGCAGCTCGATACAGTGGATGCGACGGTACCTACGAGTACCACTGTGAGCACCGCGATGCAATAGTTATTCCTCCGTAGATGCTTAGTGCTAGACATGGCGATGAACGAAGAGAGTTGAGCGCAGCAGGTTTCATGACGTTGTAGCGGTGCTAGTCTTGATTAAATGCCAGAACACCATTGTAGCAACATTGTACGAGCATGGTGAAAGGTTAGGTGAACATGCGATCTGTGAATAAAGCGCTTCATTTTGAACTCCAGATCAGGCATCAACGAGCGCTGCGCGTATATACAATCATGCCAACCAGCTAGGAACGCAATTGAGTCGACGAGATTTATAGCATGGGCTTGATCTCCGCAGCCTCCTTGAAGTCCGCGCCGGTCTTTGACCGCACTTCGTCGACCGTGACGCCGTCGGCGAGCTCAATGAGGGTCAGGCCCTCAGTGAAGTCGACGTCGAACACACACTGTATTTGTTAGTCCATATCTAAAGAAAAATTAAACTCGGATTATCTTACCAGATCGGTGATGATCCTGCTCACGCAAGCCTTGCCCGTGAGCGGGAACTCGCACTGCTTCAGAATCTTGGGCCTGCCCTTCTTGTCCGTGTGCTCCATGGTAACAACGACCTTTGTCAGGCTCGGGTTCGAGACTAAATCCATCGCGCCGCCGAATCCCTTGACCTTACCTGGCAACATCCAGTTGGCCAGGTCGCCGCGCGCAGAAACCTGCATGGCGCCGAGGATGGTGAGATTGATCTTGCCTGCGCGAATCATTCCAAACGATTCTTCCGAACCGAAGCACGACGCGCCGGGCAGCAGTGTGACGGTCTCTTTGCCCGCGTTGATGAGGTCCGGGTCTTCGAGCCCTTTCTGCGGGTACGGGCCGAGACCCAAGATGCCGTTCTCGGATTGCAGCTGGACTTCTACGCTGGCGTCGACGAAGGAGGGGGCGAGCATGGGCATGCCGATTCCAAGGTTAGCGTACATGCCGTTCTTAAACTCCTTTGCTGCGCGGCGCACGATGCGCTCGCGCTTGTTTGCTGCATCGCCGGAGCCGAGGGCGTTGGCAGCATCTGCTGGGTCCTTTGCATTCACAGTCTTCTCAATCTTCTTCTCGGCGGTCGATTGGATCACGCGGTCGACGTAGATGCCCGGAACGTGGACAGCGTTGGGCTCGATTTCGCCCACCTCGACGATGTGCTCAGCTTCGACAATTGTAACCTTGGCATTGCGGGCCATGGCACCGTTGAAGTTTTGCGCGCTGAAGCGGAACTGCACGTTGCCCAGGCGGTCGGCCTTGTAGGCCTTGATGAAGGCATAGTCGCCGTTGATGGCCTCCTCCATGACAAAGGACTTGCCCTTGAAAACCTTGACGTCGCGTGGCGTCGAGTACTGAGCGACTGAGCCATCGCTGTTGTGGCGAAGCGCAAGCTCACCGGTCTGCACGACTGTACCGAAAGCGGCCGGCGTGTAGAATGCAGGAATGCCAGCGCCGCCGGCGCGACACCTTTCAGCAAGCGTGCCTTGTGGTGTGAGTTCGAGCTCCAGTTCACCGGTCAGGTACATTTGCTCCAAGACTTTGTTCTCGCCAACGTAGGACGCAATCATCTTCTGGACCTGCTTGCTCTCGAGCAAAAGCCCAAGACCTCCACCAACGACACCAGCATTGTTGGAGACAGCGGTCAGACCAGTGATGGACGAGTTCGCCTTAACTGCGTCAATCAGAGTATCGGGGACGCCAGAGAGACCGAAGCCGCCGCACAGGAGGGTGCTGTTAGACTTCATATCCTTGACCGCTTCCTGCGCGGAGGGGAAGACCTTGTTGATCTCATTGCGGCGGAGGGAGGAGCTGAAGTTGCGTGCGAGGTTGAGGTATGTCTGCGCGTGTCAATTGACGCTCTTAGGGGCTGGAGATAGTGCGCCTGCCTTTGTGCTGCTGCGCGAGAAGGTGCGCGCAGTGCGGACTGTGAGGGCTACTGACGGCATGTTGCAGGACGCTTGAGAAGCTCTCTAAAATGCAATTGCGTCGATAGATCGCGAATACTATCACTCAGTCAAGAGGATATCTATGTGCTGACAATGCTCAAGTCTGAGGCTGGACGTAAATCTCCCGCGGGTGTGAGCTGTCTCATGTCGCGGCTGCTCGGTTGTTCTGGACCGCATTGCGTCGGCCGGCATCTTCAGCGGAACTAAACCGCACAATTCAGTTCCGGGATGTGGAGGGAAAGCTGCGGAGAAGGCCAGCCTTGCCTTGTCCAGTTAAGGCCCACAGTGAGCCTTGATTGGTTGTCGTGCCTCGCTCTGGATAGAAGCGGGATGGCCATCCAACCTGCTCCCTTTCTCAGGTTGTCTTTCTGTCGTTCGAACTCTTGTGCCGTTGTCGGCGGTACCCGTATTCCCGTTTCACAAGGTAGATCATCGAATACCTCAGGACTTTACGGCTGGCATGAGCAAGTACTAGGTACCATTCCGGTGGCTGATCAAAATTGAAGCAGCTTCCTCGCCCTCTTAACAGTCCCCGAACCAGGCCCTTCGACTCCTTTCGAGTTCTCAAAAATGTATGTACAGGAGTGGAATACGTGTCGACCTGGAATTAATCAAAGTATTGAGTTGGTACCAAAGCAATTCGCTGACTTTATTCAAGAGTTGCCTGGTGCATCTACGGCTACTTGTCGCATCTCAAGACTCTAACCACAGCTTTGCCGTTCCCCACCCGGGTACCATAATGTCGGCATTATCAAAAAAAATGGCCAGTTATCTCTTCAGACCCCTCTCCCAAACCCCCATCCTCGTCGCCTCTCGATCCCAAATTGCCAATGGCAAGTCGAGTTGGCACACGCGCACCCTCTTCTTGTGTCTTCGGCGGCTTCCCTCTTGCCGTATTACCCATTGCTGTGTCGCACTACCCGGGGCAACAGCTGTTCACAAGCACATCTGGGTGTTTCCGCCCAAGTGCAATAGTCAGAGCATTGATGAGTGCTTTGCTGACTTTGTAGCTCCGTGTTCCAGATCCCCGTCCAGTTTGCTCCTGCACGTCTTGGCCATGGTGAACGCTGTCCTAGTATGCAGCTGCAAGCTCATCTAGAGCATTGCTATCATCTGCATCGCGAAACAATTCCTGCAGCTCTGGACTATAATCCTGCAAGCGATTGTAGCCGCTAGTCATGTTGATGATGCGCGCTCCTGGTCGGATTGTAGGCTGCGCTAGAAATGCTTTGCACATATCCCTCGTGCCTCCATAGTTGGTCCATACCATTTCGGCGGCAAGGTCTGGCGTCTTTTGGTGATCGTTAGAGACTGCTGCGTTGTTGATGAGGACATCGATTGCGCCATGTTCCTCCAGCGCCGATTCGAAAAAGAGGTGAATTGAGGACGGATTGGCGATGTCCAGCTCGCGATACAAGACTCTGCTGGGAGAGAGGATGTTGATGCTGCTATCAATGCCGGACCTTGATGTTGCGTAAATTGTCAATGGCCTATGAAGCTGCTGGTTGGCGAGTAGCTGCACGATGCCTCTTCCTACACCACGGTTGCTGCCTACAACGACGATAACTTGATGATCGGCCATGGCGAAGGAAGTTTTGTTATTAGGCTCGAATAACAGTTTGATGCTCAAGACTTTTATAAACGTGTCGCGGCTTCACCACGAATTATCAATGTGGTTGGATGAGGCGAGGCGACCGACGGCTCTGTCGATCAGCCAGCAAGGGCGGCGCAAACCACTCCAACGCCGCCCTTCTGGCCTTCACTTGCATCGACACGGCGCTTACTCACGTCCGATGGGATGGGGCGACTCCGCAGAAGCCCGGACCCTCATCGTGCGATTGCAGATCAGGTTGAAGCCGTTCTTCTCCCTTTTTCGCAATAGTGCTTACTCTACCGGTTCGTTGCTCAACACTCGACAGCCTCATCACAGCTGCACGCCCAGAGGGGTGAAGATGATGTCTCGGTCTGCCCCATTTAATGCCATGCTGTGAGACTCAGTCAGTAAAAGCAGAGATTTCTCACTCTTCCAGCACAAACGCCATAAAGTTGAGACTCAGCTACGTAGTATCGAAGCATGAACAAGGATGCCATCATCTTAAGCGTGACAGAGAGGGTAATCCACTGACGACATATAGATTGAAGGCTCAATCGGGATGTTGATGTGCGGAGTTATGTTCAAATATCACGGCTACAGTGTGACCATTCTTGAGCAAGGATTATCACCTCGCCGTAAAGGCCATGATTTTGACATCAAGGTCAAGCCAGCTGATAAGGAGCTCTTCAAGAGATATGACAGAGTAAGATGCGATATAACTACCACTCTGCGACCCAGGATTCATGATCGATGTAAATAGGCGTCTGAAAGCGCAACGTTGGCAGATGATGCGAATGACAAGCTGGGGCTTGATGGTCAGCTCTTTACGCGCCGATTTCGATAGCCTCACATCCACCGCAGTTCTGTACGCGCCGAACTCGAATTTCAATTTGGTATTCGTGTCACCAGCATCCAGGACGTCGATGGCAAAATGAATGTCAACTCTATGGATGCAAGGCACTACGGAGACTCCGATTGTGCTACCTTGGTCTGGGTGTTCTGAGCAGGTAGTACCCGATAACTCACAGAAGAGAGTTTTGGTCTCTTCGCAGCTGATGAAAGCTTGGTGACTCTCAGCTTTCAACTCTGGATTGAGTCACAAAGGCGGTGATCAGATTGCGCATCGACGTGCGTCAAAACAAAGTTTCTTACAAGCAAACGTCATGTAACACCGCTTTACCCTCTTTATAACCATGTTCTTCTATAAGAAGGCCCAAAATCTTTTGTTGTATGACGTCTCTCAGATCAGCAAGATTCCGAATCCCACACTAGCAGCCAGCACCGTGATCTGCCAGCCTATCTCCCTCCTCACCTGTGGAACCACAACACCTGGCGCTGCGGCACCGGTAAACTCAATCATTCCAGTTGATGTTACTACATCTCCTGTACCCGTCGCACTGTGGGACGGTGCCATAAAACCCTTACTTTCCTCAACCTTGGGGGGCGATGTCATCCTCATTGTCGACGTTCCTTCATTCTTGATTTCAAGGCTTGTCGCTGTTTCTAAAGTCTGCGAGATGGTGGAAGAGGAGATAAAATATCCATCTTCTGCCCCGCTCGTGGTAATTATGGGTGTGGTGGTAGAGGTATATGGAGCGGCTGGAGTTTCTGAGGTGCTTGAATTACATGGCTTCGAACTAGGCGCCGAGATAATGACAATTCGTAGCGGATTAGAAGCTTCCGTGGTAGGCACTGGTATCGTGGAGATTGTGACGCGCAATGTCTGCGAGCTTGTACAAGGTGTGGATGTTGGCGACTGCTCGATCGACTCGCATTCACTGCCACCTGTAGGAGTTTCGATTGTCGTCTTCGGATCATACACGGGCCTGATAGGAGTGGAAGAGTAGTAGGGGGTCATATCTAGTGGTGGAGCGGTTTTCCTCGGCGATGAGCTGACATGACTTCGCGTGGGAGGCGCGGCGTAGACCGTAGTTGTAACTGCAGCGCACTCACATGGCTTGTTTCCTTCGAACTTCGTGCAAGTAGAAGTGGTAGGAGCTTGCACAACCTCTGTATGAGCTTTGATCGTAGTCACAGGCGCCATCTCTGTTATTTGTAGGGCACCTTTGACCGGATCGACACAAGTTGTCACGAGCGGTGTTTTCGTCGAAAATATGTTCGCCGAAGTGCCTGCAGAATCAAAAGGTGCAGGCAGCAAGGGCAGGGTGAGTTCAGCTGCCACGTCGATGACAACGGAAATGTTAGTTTCCACTAACACAAGACTCCTGATACCAGCATCTTTGGGCACAGTCTGCATGCCTCCAGCTAGCAGGTTGCACTGCTCTTTGGCGCCCGTCATCAGCTTCGCATCAAGTCGTAGATCCAGAGATACTGTTATAAGAGCATTTAGTTTGTCGCTAAATTCAAACCCGATTGAAATCGTGGGTGTGAACGCCAGACTCAGAACAATGTCTGCGTCAGTGACATTGGAGCTGAACGGGAGTGCATCGAGAGTGGCTCCTTTGATGTCGCTGATGGATGTGTTCGCAAGATTCCCGAGTTCCACTTTGATGCCGGCACCATCTGGTATCTGTAACGAAATCAGCTTGGCTAGAATTGCAAGGAAAAAAGGTTTAAACCCACAGCAACGTCGATTCCGTAGTTGACCGCAAGCTCTTCATCAATCTCGAAGTCCGCGCTAATCTTTGGTTCGAAATAGGCACCAGCTTGACCGATGCCGGGTATCACGAAGCCAAATATTGGCAGAGGGACCAGCGCAACCTCATATGATCCCGATTTGACAGGGCGGGCAAACATCTCCAGACGTGCACCGAGTCCAGTCACCGCAAGATCCATGTATCCACCAGTGATGACGCTGTTGATCTCTTTGCTATCATCGCCGCCTTCTAAGATGTCCGGAATTAGATCTATCTGTTTCGTATCGATCTTGATCGTGCCTTGCGTGAGAATGACTTGACCTCGTGATGAGCAGTTCTTGCAACCAATATCTATAGGCAAATTTGGCGTCGAGGGTAGATTGACGATGCTTTCAAGACCCGTGAGGAAGTCCTCTACCGTAAACGTATAGTCCAAAATCTCGGAGGTGAGATCGAATGTGATATGAGTAACGTTGTCAAGGGCGTCCGATGGCATTTCGACAATCATTTCGTCCTGACGCTTCCCCCGCGTCTGCGAAAATTCCGAGTGCCGTCTGTAGATATGATCATATAGCGTATGGCCAAAGGTAATGTCCAGATTATCAAAGGCGTCCTGCCAAAGAGCTTCTGTGACGGCAAGGTCCAGGGCCACACCATCTTCAGCGAAAGAAACTTCATCGATCCTGCAACCGTGAGTATTCTCACACATATGACAGGCGTACGACGGACATACTTGTAGACAGCTCGCTCACCGTCCCTGTTACAGCTCTGATGTGATGTTATGATGAGCCCGCCTGTGCCTCCGTGGCCGCCATGGCAAGCAGCTCTTGCGTCTTGTGCAGAGCCTGCATCGACGAAATGCAGCATCATTCTCCCATCTTGGCATTGGACATCTCGGAGGAAGTGCTCAATTTCTTCAAGATACAAAATAGGCCTCCTGGACGCGACCTTCACTGTTGATGCGAATATTTTGCTGCTTCGTTGCCTAGTACCTTACCCTAGTTGTCAGCACGGTGAGTAATTTGAGGCAGAAGGCTCAAACCTTCAACGTAAACCACCTCTGATTCGTACTTCCGAATTATCCTCGTGTCCCGTTTGTGTAGATCCGATCTTCTCGTGGCAGCACGGAGGATTAGGTTTCCGTCCTGAACAAGAGCTCCTACGGAGCTGGCATACAGCGCAAGCAGCAGGATCTTGGGCAATTCCAAGTGACGCATTGTATATAGTGGTCGCTAATAAGACTTGCGAGGCTTGTATGCGTGGTTGGGTTGAGGACAGCTACTACCGGTCATCTGAACGTGGGTCTTAATGTAGATTGTAGCTGGATCTCAAGTATCTTTATGAACTGCGAAGTGCATCTTTCGGAGTCTTGAAGTCATATAGACATTCTCGTCTCACTTGAGCCTACAATTCTATATATGTCGACTGGAAATCCACTCAACTTGGCTGAGGCGGTGCCAGCAGCCACTTCGTTGCCGAGGTACGCCTCAGCGGACTTCGCGACATATTACTTCTATGCAGTGCAGGTATGCAGACCCCTGAATCTTGGCTAAGCATCGAAAGAGTGTATGTTCGTTCGATTGAGCTATACTTGTGACCGAAGGCGGCATTTAGAGCTGCTTCACGCTTCATCGTTAGCGTGAAGGAGCGATAGATTGCCGACCGGGTTTCTGGGTTCACCCCTGGAAGCGCGCTACCTACGTAGGCGGTTCGGTACCCGAAGAAGAAGGCGCGGCTCTGTTCTCCGGACATGTACACCAACACAGCTTTCTCACACCCATCTTGTCTTACCCATGGTGACAAGTTTATCTTTGACTACCGTTCTTAAGATTCATTTAGCTCGACTATACTGATCACACGTAGAGCATTGAAGCCGGAAGGCGTCCATTACGTCATCTGGCAACACGGCTGCATCAATGACCACTCTCCTGGTGCCAACACTCTGACTATCTGCTGGACACTAGATCCAAAACATCTTGGTTGTACTTACTTCGGGCTGACAACAGAAGTAGTAAGCGATCCACTCTCCACATAAACGCCCGAAAAGTACCAATCCTCAGCCCCAGTTCCATCATTGCCCTGTCGAGGCAGTCTCAAGACACCCAAATGCCAATCCGCGCCATTGCTCGACGTGCTCGCAGAGACAGGACCCGCAGTCTTGACAAGCGTGTTGTTGCCAGTCGAGTGCCAGAAGGTGACTTGCTGGGAGGCGAAGTTCTGCTCTCATCAGCGTCGGATCGCTGGGTAAGCGAGTAGATACCGTTGACTTACGATCTCATAGACGACATTGTGCCACTCGTCTGCCGTCAAATCAACCTTCCACTTGCTCTGCCCACCCACGAACCACTGCAAGCTCGTGTTGGAAGTACCCTGGTCGCCGCTAATCCAGCCGTACTTGAGCTCCGTGAAGTGGCTCTCGAAGAAACAGATCTGGTGTTCGTTGGTGGCGCTGGGAACGTTGGTGGTGCTGCGCTTGATGCTGAAGTGGTAGTACACCGTACCGCTGTTGATAGCGGCGGCGGTCTGCGGGATCAGTTCTGTGCGCCACATATCGCTGTTCCATTTGGCGGTGCTATCGATGGTGATCTTGGCGCCCTGCTTGGAGTTTGTGTCGCCGGGGTTCTTGTAGGAGGGCGAGAGGTTCACGTAGGATGTTACGGGTCCGGAGCCGTGAATGTAGTACTGGTAAGGTCCGACTTGGTTGGCCCAAGACCAATTGTTAAGGTCGGCGGACGAGGTGAAGTTATTGAAGCGGCCATCCCATAAGACGGTGCCTAGGGGATTTTTAGCATAGAAGATACATTAGCTTAGGAGGATGGTATACCAGCAGACACAGCGCTGACGAGCGCACTCAGGATTGCAGCTTTGACGAACATGTTAAACAGTTGCAAAACTCCTTTTCAGGACGAATTATATGGTGGACAGTATATGTTGGCCGTGTTGTTCGAGGTTTCTGAGCATTTATATAGGATGTGTTGTAGATTGCAGATCAGCCTTGCCATTGAGCTGATTTCTGTGGTGTAGACGCCCATAGAGCGAACGGGAGCTCCCAGTGACTTGAAACATTGAATTGATGAATGAACCAATCCGTGGCGGTTCGGCGGAATTGCGCGCATTGACATTAATATATCCACAAGTAGCCGCCGGCTCGCAAAAGCAAACAATTTGTTAGTGACGGCCAACCGGTCCGGAAACGAAGGTGGACAGTCGTTAGAAGAGCGATGCAATGCAAATTGTGTCTAAGATGACGTGGAGCAAAGCAACATGATTGTTCAAATGATACAAGAGTTGTCTAAATCATAGTCAAGACGCAATTGTACAGAAAGGCTCTCGATATTAAGCAACACGAGTCGGGTAAAACCCCGCATATTGCCTGAATAGAACAACGCCATGATGCTTGTTGACAGAAAAACAATGACACGAACTCTGGGACAAAAGCTTGACTCCGACAATGCAAGGTCAAAGGATATCTGATGCATGAAAGCAATAAGCAGAGAGAGCTGGAAGGCAGAAGAGAGGATTGTAGCGCCAGCGCTCATGGGTCTTCCACCACAAGGTTGACATATCAGAATACCCTAAACGCTCGCAGCTAGCAAGCCTACTTTCTCAGTTGGAGCGTCCTTGGGCCTCCTGTTCTCCCAGTCCACTCCGCCAGTCCATGTTCGGCATTCGCCCAGTAGTCTCTTGTCCTCTCATACAATGCCATTCTATCCTCATAATTTCGCACCGCTGCGATATCTTTGAAACCCATCGGTCTCGTCTCCTCAGGCACATCGTCGAAACTAATTACAGTGCCAGAATCCGATCGCTTTGGCCTGACGGGCAGTAGCAGCGGTTCCTCTTTTCTTGTAATCGCTTCATAGTCCGTGGTAACTGAAGAGGCTGACATGTTGCACATTGACATCTTGGCGTTGAGACGAGAAAGAGATATTGGTGGTAGCGGAGGCACAGCTTCTGCTCTGGATTCCGACGCATTTCTGGAGGTGTGCACGTCCCATCCGAAGCTCGTATTTGGTCTTGCGTGTACTGGACTTGGCTTATCTTGTACAGGATGAGGGACTACCGGATCAGATCTTGTAGCCTTCAAGTTCGGACGAATGTCGCTCTGGCTCCTCTTGTGGCCTTGTGAAATCGAACCACTTCGCAGTCGTGATAAGCTCCGCTTTAGAGTCAAACTTGGTCGTCGTACCGCGTTGGTGAAAGTATTCGATCGTCGAGGGATCTCGACCATACCACTGGCTGCGTAGGTGTGCGAAGGCAGCTCGTCAGGCTCTACTGATGTTACAGCGAAGTAGCTGTCTAGCGAGGTGTTGCCTCCGGTCCCGCCTGTAACACTGACTCCTCCAACGTGACGAGCGTGCATCGGTCCTGAGATGAGTCTTGACTTTGGCATAGTCGCGGCATTCGAATGTGACCCAAAAATAGGCATGCCGGGCTCTTCCTCGTAGGCAAGTGACTGATAGAAGCGGAACTGGTGAGAGTAGATGTTTCAGATGAAATGAAGACCTGCCTGGGAAGCGCCTCGTCGCTGAGATATTCAGCCGATGATACTTCTTTGCACCACACAACCGTTTGTTAGACCGAGATATCTATCGAGGCCTGCTTGATATTATTTGCTGCACGCATCAGTACAGGGAGCATATAATATGCAGTACACATGGTCGCACAGCATCTGAAGCTCACCACGTGGCTGAACGGTCGTGAAATTTCTGTGTGTCTTGAGTGTCTGTGTCTGAAACAGAAAGGGTTTAGAAGCGAGCGGCTGTGTTGGAAGAGAATGGCTGTGTTGGAAGCGAACGGCTGTGTTGGAAGCGAACGTTGGACCAACAATGACCTTCAAGTTAGAAGACCAGTACCTGACAATCGACGCAGCATGGAAATTATGGCCTACATGTAATGCCCACGGGTCACTCATTCAAACGTTGCGGGAATCTATCGGACTCCGGTGTTTGTTTTGGGCAACCAAGGCCAGATGCCCCGGATTGCCCATTTTCCTGAACGCCTTGTTTATCTAGATTGCATCTCTTCAAGAGAATCCGGACATCGGCTAAAGCAATCCGCTGCATCTGGCGGATTCTTTTAAGGACTTGGGCTCGAAGACAGTACATGCCAATTCTGAAGGAATCTGTAGAAGCCCTCAATTAGGAAGGCGCTCGAAGCCGATATCGCCCAGGTGGATGGAAGCGTCGCAGCATGCTCGCAATCATGTACACCTCGATCGACACATGTGTGACCACTGCGGGCCAGTCGAGACATACGCGTTGCTGCATGTTCACGTTGCAGAGCCGTCAGAAGTCGAGGTGAAGCAGACAACGTCTCCGAGATCCCAGTCGTGTCGCAACCCCGGTTGACCACGCTAGTCGCAGCCCACCAATGGCGATCATCTGAACGAGTTTATCAGGGCCGAATCGGGCAAGAGTGTTATTGAGGCATGGCATGAATTGTCCCCGAATCGATGAGGCTCACACTCGCCTGCTCCAGCCTTGCTGCCGTTACCACGATCGGCTGTCACAATGCCTGGCAGGCGTCGAGACTCAAACCTCACGGGATCCATAGCCAAATGAGAGGATGCAACGCTTACGAACCGAACTCATCTTCAGTGTGGGCTATGAAGATGGTAGGTATAACTGTAGACGGTGCGCTATCCTATGTGTCATTCTGATATCGCAAACTACTCTCGTTACTTCTCTAATACTGTCGTTTCTGCAATTTTCGGCTGGCCCGTCTCCTACTTTCTACCATACCCAGCATTCATCATCACGACCGTGACGACTAAATTCAGCTCACTGAAAATGAAGCACCATATCCTTACCGTCATGCTCGCCGGCGCAGTGGCTGCCAACCCCATCGCCATCCTGCGGAAGCGCGAGGTGCCCCAGGAACACTCGCACCGCAACATCATCCTGGCAGTCAACACGCTTGTGCAGCAAAACAACCCCGATAAGATTGGAGACGCCGTGTTCGGTCTTCTCGGTGCCGCAGCGGCTAAGAACGGCGCTGGCAACATCGCTGACGCAGACTGTCTCCAGCAGGCCACCGCGGACCAGGCCTTCACGAACGCGAAGGCCGCTGGGAACGTCGATGGCATGACATCTGCCCTGATATATCGTGCCCTTGAGCGCAACACTGGATCTGTCGGCCTGGCTTCTGTGCCCTGTACCTCCATCCAAGCTGTGAACCCAGAGATTGCTGCGCTCCAGCAGCACCAAGACTCGGCTGGTAACGGTGCCCAGGCGCTGAACAAACAGATTGCAGAAGAGCTGGCTAGGCAGATTGCGTCCGTGGGCGGTGATCCCGCGCTGGCGAACGAGGCGAGTACGTTCGCACCAGGACAGGTTGGCGATCCAACAGCGAAGGGTAACACCTGTGACGATGACCAAGACAACAACGGTTGTATCAACACGCTGGGCTTAAGGGTTGACGATCTCACCGCTGCTGAGATCACTGCCGCGGTCCAGGGTGTGAGTGCGGGCGCTGTAGGGCAGGGTACGGCAGGGAACAGTACCCAGATCGCGAACAACGAATGTAGCGCCTAGGTCTTTGAAAGGATCTAGTGTTCAACGAGTCAGCTGTGTGAAGATGAGCCTTCGCGGGTGTTGCGGTTGTCAATATCCTTTTAGCGTTGCAATGGGAAGACCGTCTTCTGTGCCTACTTCACCTTCCATGACACTCATAGCTCTCGCCTGATGCGGATGCACCAACCTAAACGTGTGCAGCTGGTCTTGACTACAGGCAGTCAGGTGCTTCCCAGCTGGCGACTTCCAAATCTTAGAAGCCTACAACAATGTTTTCCTCGATCGGATGAACCGTGTTGTCCGTTTGTTGTGGCCAGGCGAATCAAGGGGCTAGAACTGTGGAGCCTTGTGGTGAAAGGTAGTGTACCAGACGAAGCTCCAGATGCTGAGGTTGTGCAATTGTGCTAGAAGGCCACGCTACCCAGCGGCATGACTCGCATTAGTTCTGAGGCTGTGGAATGCAGAGAAGCATGGGGGTACGCTCAGAAGTCTGCGGATCTCGCAAGCTATTATCGATAGCTCATGCGGTGATACTTCAGTCCTCGCGCACAGGCGAGTGTCGTGATAGTTGCGCTTAGTACTGGCTGATTAAAGAGAGCTACGGTAGACACGCGTGACAGCCCACTACGACTTGGGTAAGATGCCAAAAGCAAAAGAAGACGTCCGTGGGGATTTGTGAAGCTATCGAAGGTGCAAAAGGTAGCGCGCGATGGGTCGATGATCGTCACGTACGGACCTCATGCTGTATCACGGTCGACTTTCGAGCCCACTGCGCTGAGACGTGGTGGAGTCCATTGGAATGAGGCAACGACCCAATCAAGACAAGGTGTGGAGCCGCTGTGTCGCCCACGGCCGGATTGGGCGCAACACCTGCAATTCTGGCAAATGAAATATTGCTGGTGTGTGTAGTAGATGCATTTGCAGCCGAGGGCGGGATGCTAGCAAGCGTTGCCGCACCCATGTCCTAGCGGTCGAAAGCAGGGTCTCAAAAGCTCGATCGATGACCTTTGTGACGACACCAAATCGTGATGCTCCATCGAAGCTCCGTATCTGGGGACGAGCTCAGGGCTAGATGTCGAAATGACGAAGCCGAGCCTGGGGGCATTTGCCAGCGTGTTTACAACAACAAACACAGGCGGAGCAGCTCCAACGCGTGCAGAAGTGTAGGGAGGCACGTCCCACAGCGGAGCCATGAAGCTGAGGGGCGCAACGAATGGCAGTGCTCGACGGCCTCCCTCACGGAACTCGACGCACAGCTGGGCCTCACGATGTCTCCAGAGTGGGCCACCGCTCGTTCTCGCCGCGGCCGTGCAGCCGCGCTTAGGCGGGGTCAAGCACAGCATCAAAGCCAACAAGCAGGTCAATGCCGTGCGCGACCGCAGAGAGGAGAGGCAGACAAGTCTGCATCCTTGCGCATATGCAGAGCCCCGACAGCAGGATGCGGTTGACAGCATACCCTCCTCTCCCGCTGCCAACATCCACCAGCGAGGCTCGTCTGCTGCAGGGGGCACGGCCCACTAAAAGCGGGCGCGTTATGGACGCGTCGATGACAACAAGCAGCTGTGTAGCCTCACATTGTTGCTGGTCCCAGCGGCGCAGGAATGCCATGTAAAGAAACGCAGAGCACACGCTGGCCGGTGCAGAGACGTCAGCTAGAGTGACGGCCAACTGCTGGCAAAGCTTTGGACCGAAGGGCCTTGATTTCTGGGATGCGGCGCCTGTTCTGTTGTTGGCAGTCGCGAGAAGCTAAGACTAGCGTGTACGCTAAACTAGCCTGAAGGAAAGCGCAAGTGCACGCTGGGCAGGTGCTGCACGGCCCCGAGCCGCTTGCCATCAGGCGACTCGCTCACCCTCACCGTGCCCTTCCCTCACCACCACGACCCTCACGACAATTCCCCGAGGCGCGCCCGCTTCCCTGTCGCACTGCTGCAATGCCCTGACGCAGCCATCGACGACTGTTTCTTTGCGTCTCTTACGAATCTCCTAAACACCCGCGCGCTCCCATTGCAGCGTGAGCCCGCCCTTGTCGCTCCTGTCGCGCTCATAGCGGACCGCTCGCCGCGACCAGCAACCTCACCCTTTCGCCCAAAAACACCCACAACCATCTCCCGCTGCCTTAGCACGCATCCCAGGACCGTCAATATCGTTCGCTTTGTCTCTCCGCACTCCCTTGCGCGCCTGTCGCTCTGCGCACTGTTGCTCACGACGTGCACCTACGCGCCGCCTTCTGAACGAGCATCTCCAACGACGTCTTTCCGTGCGACTCCGCTGCGACCAACTCTGTGCCATCTCGCAGCGCAGCAAAGTGTGCGCGATACCTTGCGACTTATTCAATCTACTCCACCAAGGGCGCAGATCTCCCTAGCTACCCGTGTAACGTTTGTGCAGTGCGTTCCTTCGCGAGCGCATCGTTCCGAACGGCTGCTGGTATCCGAACTTACCATCAAACCTGGCAACCTGCATATCCAGGACCCCAACCCATCTTCATTGGGTCGGTGGAAAGTTGCGGCTTGTCATTGACTGTTCGTGACCTCGCCTTGCAGATTTCCTGAAATTGACCTTTTGTACTACATCACGGCAACAACGAAAGGGAGTCCGCAGAAATATCGACCGCCATGGATTCTGAACGCCCCCATCTATCAATCACGCTCCCCAGGAACTTCATGTTTCACTATCGCGACGGAGCAGCGCCGCAGACGCCAGAGCCTGAGCCACAGGTTGCTGAGCTCCAGCCGCCACCTCCTCCTCGACAGACCCTCAAGGTCCGTCGCCGCCGCGCAACTCTCGTGCGCCAGCAAATCGAACTTGACTTCGCCATGGAAGAGAAGCCTATTCCCACTATCGAGGCCACCAACTGCTTCGAGGCGTCAAACGCACTCCCGTCACCCCCTTCTGGCTTGGACAATGCTTACCTGTCTCCACCAACAAGCTTTAGCCGTCTTGTATCACCGCCAAAGACACCAGCTCACCAGGTCCGGACTATCGATATCTTTGCTGGTCCCCAGCACTGGGACGATCTCGAGTCGACACGCAGTGAAACCTCCAGCAGACCCACCTCGTCATCTGGCTTCTCTGACTCGTCCATTTCGTCTCGTGGCAGTATGGAGTCGCTCGTCTCGCGCGGCGGTAGCTGCACAAGTCCAGAAGAGGAGATGTGTGATCCTTTCTCGTTCGATGCCCTGGAAATGAAGTACAAACAGCCAAGCTCTCCATTGGCCGCACAACAGCATTTACGCACATCCAACAAGCTCAAGCTGAAAGCGACCTTCACCGAGGAGATGGATTACCACCTTTGGAGGACATACATGACCTACCTTCAGGATCCCACGGTGACACCTTTCAAGGCCGTCCCACTTACGACACCACCAAATGGGGTGTGTCACCGAGTCGCTAGGATGGCTCGAAAGACTTGGAAGGGGCCGGTCCCGTCTCGTATCGCTGAAGTTCGCGCAGCTTCTCAGTTTGTGTCTCGCAATGGAACCCCAGAGACCATCAAGGCTCTCAAGAGTGGGAATGGCACTCCGATTGCCAGACCCAGCGGGTCTTACCTGCGGTACCCAACAGAAAAGCAATGTCGAAAGCGATTGCGGGACTTGACAAAGCAAAGGCCAAACTTGTCTGCCTACTATCAGCGTCTGCTCCACCGATCACCCTCACCTCTACAATCATCCCCACCGTCCGAGAAGGCAGAACAGCCAGCCCAGCCACAGCCGCAGCCGCAGCCACAACTACTACCATCACCTTTCACACAGGATAAGTCGTTGTTTACCTTCTCCACACGGGACATGAACGTGTCGCTTGCCACAAGCACAGCTGCCTCGATGCAGATGGGAAACCCTCTGTCCCAGCTGACAGCTGATCTGACTCCTCGACCAGAGCAGAAGAGCTGGTCGAGAGCGCGATCATCAGCACATCAGAAGTCGCAATCGCTCCATGTCGGCTTGGGGTTGGGATTGAGCAACGTGCTTGGCTCACCTTTTCAGTCCTCGACAGTAGAGATGACCGATGCTGCTCCTTGCGCAAACAACGCGCAAACATGGCATGCACAGATAGGTCTCCCAACACCGAGACTGGGCTCACCCTTCCAACTACATGCTCCACGACCCAAGTCGCGAGTCTTTAAACGACGAGCTCTGGCCAACAGTTTCGAGGACAAGACACGGAACCGTGGCAATAGCTTTGTAGATGACATCTTCGGTGCTCCTGCCGAATCAAGCCACCGTCGTGTAAGGAGTCGTGGTTTCAGCCTGGGTGACATGATGGATGGTGCAGGTGCCCGACGTCTGCCACTGTCATCAAGTGGGCCAACCGAGTTCAACTCATTCGCCAACATCAGGCCTCAGCTGCCCAGCCCAGTCCACACTTCCCCTGCCATCATGACCGCTGAGGCGCTTGGCCAGGGGACGATCCGTCTTGGTACACCTTTTGGCGGACGACCAAGCAACACTTTCCCTCGAGCATCGACCTCTTACGGCTTCGAGCCTCCGGCATCATTTGAACAGCGATTCGCTGCGGCTACCAGCAATTCTGAGCGTTAGTCCTGTTTTTAGATGGCGTGCCCTATACCAAGCACGGCATGTGCACCGGCGTCTGATCCGCATCATCATTGGCGTTTAGCATTGGCAGCTTCGAGCTCCATCTTTGACATGTCAGCGAGCGAGCACTCGCGTGCTATTTGACCCACCATCTGCCTTTTTTGAGAAGCATCTCTTATGTTCATATCGAACACCTACCTCATACTATCCTTCGTCGACAGCAGGGCTCGGACGGCGTGCCTTACGATATGTTGCATGTCCGAGGCCATGGCTACGTCTCTTTCTTATTTCCTCCTCTTTGTCTTATGGTTGGTACTCACGACGGATCATGACGATATGTATACATGAACACGCCTGGTTCATCATCGATCTTTTTCCATAATGCGGCGGCGGCGGCGAGGATTAGGTTCGCAAGATGGCTTTTGATGAAGCGACCGCTCGTACTTGTCTGCCCCTTTATAAATTCAATACACCTTGCACATAGGTGCTTTATCAATCACCCCACCCGTGCGGTGAGGCATTCTTTACTCCAATCACTTTGTGCTCCTCTTATTCATGACGAGATGATCAATGCTTCGATGGCTGAGAGGAGTTGGTGTCCCTTCAACTATGTCGCCAGCTCGTTGACAGCTTGGATGGCAGATTCTCAGTTCCCGGGCTTATGCGGGGTCTGCTCGAGTAGCTTTCGTGATTTCGTTCCTGAGAGGAGGGCCGGCTGGGCGGATGAGGAGTTGGTTGATGGTGTATTAACAGAGTCTACACGTATGGTAGATTAGTCGGTCCACCCAAAGGGATTGAGATGAAGGGTTGATGTGCTTGGGCAGGTCTGGTAGCTATCAATGAAAAGCCAGAAGAACAAAGCCTGTCTCCAAGCTCGGTTGGCTCCGCCCTTGCCAGGTCGTGCCGTAACCGTTTCGTAACGAGGCCCAGCACGATCGTCATTGTGTCCGTGCTTGATGCCACGGGCAACGCGTGCGCGTTGTGGTAATCGATAGTCATCTAGCCGTACCAAAGGCAGTCGGTAGAAGAGTACGCCAACAGAATCATCAAAGACTGAATCTTGCCCAGTCTCACCCTTGCCCAATCCTCGGTCAAACTTGCAGCCTCCTCACCCGTATTCGTAAGCTTCTGCATGCAGAGAAAAAAACACTGCAGTGAGTGCCCAGCCCACATCATCACGCTCAGATGCATTTTCCAAACGTTGCCGCATTATCATATTTCGCCGAGCCTGATTTGGTGCTCCCACCTTCCCCAGCCACTTAGATGTGTCGCTCAGAGACAACGGCTCCACTTGGCCGCCGCGAGGCCCGGACCTAGCAGGCTGGCTCTGCAGCCGGTTGCACTTACGGCGCGTCGGAACGGTCATGTGTGAGCGCGAACGCGTGCGACGCGTCGAGCAGTGATAGTCTGAGCTGATAATTGGGGCTCGATTGGGCTTGGTGTGCCCTTCGACCCTTGGCTCGGCTGTTTGCAGGAGGGGAAGGGCAGCGATGCGCAGGCTTATGCGGAGCGATTGTCTGAGAATTACGAGTGTGGAAGGCGTGCTGCGGTACTGGTGTTGCCGCGGCACGCAGAATGGGGCGAGTTTGGCGGAGTGGCGGTTGGAGTGTTGCGTCCAGAGGCATTCTGGGCCGCGAAGTGACGCAGCGTGTGCCTCTGTTGTATGGCATCGACGCACGCAACTGCATCTCTTCCTTTGTTGGAGACGGATAATCTCGCTGCCTTACAGTGGTGTGGTTGAAACCAATCATTGCCGCCGGGGCGACCCTTTGACACCGATTGTTGCAGTCACGTTTGCGTGGTACCATGTTCAGTCTCTCCGAGGGCCAACGCGACCATAACACGCTCACGACTCACAGCGACGCGTTTACGGTCCATCTTTACTTTTGCCGAAACGCCAACCCTGGATCTTGACAACACGACATGAATCACAGAGTTCACGCTTCGTTTGAGAATGAGGGGAAGCGGAGTAGTGAGGCCGCACACGGGGAAGGTCCATCGATATCGATATCGATATCCCGGGTCTCCTGCCACTTCTGTTCATGACGCGAGCTTTGTCGCGTGCGCACTGACACCGCACACCATATCCAGCTGGTCGCGTTTGAACTTTCTCTTTCGCCAAGGTAATGCCGCAGCTCAGCAATATCGACGGCTGATGCTCGCTGTCGCAGCGGTGCGACCTCGGGTGCAAGCTGAACACAGGCACGAGCATTGCTGCTCCTCGCACGCTGGCATGGCTTGCCGCACCCACGTGGCAGCATTCAGACCACTGTCTGCTTTTGAGGTGCAACTGTGGCCTTGACTGACCCGTGTAGACAGAGGTAGTGAGGCTCATACATATGGAAGGGAAAGGTCACTGCCACGGCCTTCGACAGCTGGGATGATTATACAACTCTACGCCGTTACGGGGACCTCTTGCTCGCACGTTGCATCGGATGGTTACCAAACGAGAGCTTTCGTACCGCAGAACAGCTCGCCCTCGTCAGGACCCTTCCTGTAGGATAAACGCGAAAAACAATTCTCTTCCTCAAGGTCAAAGTAACTATAGAGTCGAGAGACACTGTCAGGGATGATCTCGATGTCCTTAGCGAAGACTTCCTTCTCGACACAGTGTGGTTCCACCTGTCTCAAGGCAAGCGCATCTTGAATTTGACGGGTTGAAGTGAAATGTCCTTCGCCAAGCTGCCGCGCCCTGGTCAGTAGCCCTGCCAGATTGCAGACTGCCGATACCCCTACCAACAGTGTCGCACTAGAGCCCCTAGCGATATTCAACAGCCGCAGAGACTTCGTCACTTGACTGTTCTGCTACCCAAGCACGCACACGATCGTTAACAGACTGAGCCCGATAGTACGGGCCTGGCGATACAAGAGTTGCGACAGTCACTTGGAGGAGAAGGGTCAAGAAGTAAAAGCATTGGAAACTGCAATGTATTGAGAATCGCGTCGAGAATTCCTGACCCGAAGATGGTCACTTCACATGTTACCAAAATTCACATGGTACTAAAATTCACATGTTACTAAAATTTATAGTTATGTTAACGTATTCCACCACCCAACAGCTCAAACCACCCAACAGCTCAAAATGTCTTGGCACAACCAACACTAGTTACAAATTTCTATTTTCATCGCTATTATACAAGGAGCCTGCGTACGCTGTACTAAAATTCACCTGCACTGATCTAATTTGAAACGTCCAATCACTCGTCGTCCATGTTCAGACGAACTTGTACTTCGCCTCAATCGAATCGTACTGCTGCTGGTTCAGAGGCAACACCCATCCATGTTTCGTGTTCTTCGTGAAGTTCGTTGTGTCCGATAGTTGCCACACAGCCATATCATCAAGCGTGCGCGCCTGCGCAGGGATATATGTCTCCGTGCTGCTCTGATCAATCCACAAATGGTACAGTCCAGAGTCTACGTTATCCCTGAACGCCAGCTGGCCCTCGTTGTTGGCGTATTGGCTGGCGAAGGTAACTCGAGTGCCATCGGGCGCATTGCCGACGTTCGTCCATGTACCGAGAATGCCGTTCGATGAGCGCTGCTGCCAGATTCTGTAGTCGACCTCGCTTTTCACCCAGCGATACCAGACATCCGCACCTTGCTCCGGTACATGGATGAGCGAGCAGTCAATAACCGGGTAGCCAGGGCTGAAGTAGACCTGCTCCTCGGAGAAGGTCTCGAAGTCCTTCGTTGTCACGTACCTAAAAAGAGTTAGTCACGTGACCGGAAGAAGTTGATCGACTGATTACATGAGCTGATTTGAGGGTGAGCGACCAGTGCGGTCGACATCAGCAGGGTCCCAGTATCGTGACGAGAAGATCATGATATATTCATTGCGAGAAGACTCCCAGTAGGACTCCGGTGCCCAAACATTGCCGGCTGACACGTTTGCTATGGGTGCAGAGAGCCGGGGTTCGCTCCAATTCGCGAGATCGGTCGACTCCCAGATAACGATGCTTCTGCTACCAAATCGTGTTGCGTTGATAAAATCACCACCAAGCGCATTGACCTTGAGGTCGGTGGCATGCAGCCAGTACTTGCTGTTGTTTGGAGCGGCAATGATGAAGTGATCGCGTACACCTGTCGTGCCTACTGTGGTCTCCAAAATCCGTGCTGTCTCAGATGTACCATCGTAAGATAGCTGTCGATAGGATAGTGCGTTGTTCCCGTCAGACAGGTGCATGTAGACTTGCTCATCGTTTACGGGAAAGTTGGTAAAGAGGTAACCAACTTTGTCATCTGCCTGGCGAGTGTTGAGCGGCGATGCGAACGACCAAGCTGTCGACGCGGCGAGAGGAAAGAGTGAGCTTGTCAGACGCATCGTGTTAGGTCGACAAAAGTCCAATTGCAATACCTATTGTCGGCGGCATGCATTTTGCGTGCGATGTTTAAAGCCATCTCAATAGTCGTTGCCAAGTCGGTCCAAGCATGACAAGAATCCTACATTGTGCCCCTAACAGGCTTTTGGAGAGAATAAATATGCCAAGAACACATGTGAGGTCATCGCAACGCCGGCAAAGGAAGACACGAAGTCAAAATCGTAGAGTGGTGGGTGCACTCGCAAGGATGTTCGGTCGACGCGGGGACACAATGTCGGGGAAACCACCGAGTTCTCGGGCGGGGAAACAAGAGCCTGGGGTTTGCCGACAGACTATGTAGGACCTTCTGTATTAGGGCGCTGGAGCGTCGAAGATCGTCGGATCCGGTGCTGAACTAATTATCATGGTCGCGCGAGAGTTATGTTGAAGAACGTTACCGGTACACACACCCTCGGATGCTGAGGTCGGCGGGAAATTAGCAGGCAAGGGAACGACAGAGGTATAGCAGTGCTTCGTAGATACGAATACCTCGGTACATGCTAAAGGGTTCCTGAAGCTGTACCGTGATGGAAGACGAAAAGATCACAAGGCCGTACGGAGAAGGAGTTCACTAGAAGGGTCACGAAATCAATGCGTTTCAATTAGCAATACACGCCAAAGTCACTCACTACGTAGAGGGAAGCTAGAAAGAATATCATCAATGATACCAAACATCGAACATGCAGCACTTGACACATTCTCAATTCTGTCCCTACCGCAATCGCAGCAATTCTAAGCCAGCCCGGTGCTCGTAGACCACGTAGCGTCGTTGTTGAACGAGTTGGCGGCATCGAAGTCATGGACACCACCGTTGCTCGCGATGTAACCAACATTAGCGAAATGACGGATCCAGCGCGTAGGGTAGCCCCATGCGCGAAGGGATGAGCCACTGCCACTGAGACCAGATTGTGGGCAGAAGGTGGCATCCTCCTTGAACGCCTTGGAGCCGTCGTTTGCAGCGACTTGGAGCGCGAAGTTGAAGTGGCGAATGTAGCTGCCGGCAGTGTCCTTAGACTCGAATGAGTAGCAGCCGCTGTTACCGAGACCAGTGCGGATGATCCAGCTGGCCGACTGCTTCAGAGCGGTGCTGCTGGAGGATGAGACGACCTGAGTGTTGACTGTCGCGCCGGTGTGAGCAAGGTAGCGGTCAGTGAACCCGGGTGTGGTGGCCTTGAACGACACAGATCCTCCAACTGTGTAGGCAGGACCGCTGACTAGAGAAGTGGTGGCATACTTGGCAGCTACAATATCAGCCTGCACCGAGTTCTCGGTGGCATCGGTTGGGTAGCCAGAGGTCATTACACCCTCGTAGAAGGTACCCTGAGCTCCGTTGCTGTTGTCACCACCAATTCCGAGGATGATAGCACCCTCCTTGTGCATGGGGTCGTAACCGCTCGGGCGTGCGCCACTGTAGAACGTCGATAAGGCACCAGATGCGCTATTACCACCACGGATCGCCCACGTTCCCGGCTCGCCCTTCACGATAGCAGTAAGAAAGCGGTACGTGATGGATGGGTCGGCAGTATTCTGCTTGGCGCCCTGGCCGGAGAAGAGACCATTCTCAAGATCAGCCATGACCCAGGGGCCGCTGCCAGAGCCACTGCCCCAGATGGTGTTGTCACCGTAGTAGATGGCTTCCATGTGGCCGTCACCAGTATCGAGGCTGTTGGTCTCGGCATTACCGTAGTCGAAGCAGCAAGCCCCGTTGTAGTGGGTGCCATCGAGAACTGCATACATGCCCTCAGCTGCATCTCCTGTGGCAGATCCACTGACCTTGTTATTGCGATATCCGGTTCCAGGAGAAATAAAGACACCGTACGCCTTCTGTCCGTTCAAGGTAACTGGAGCGCCGATTGCGCCCGCAAGATTGTCGTATCCATTGGACTCAGGGCCTCTGAAGCCACCAGGTGGAGCCTGGGTCAGGTGATTCTCACGCCCCGACTGGTCGTAAACCATGGTGATGAGGCAGGTAGTGCCCGAGCAGAAGGTGTCCTGAGCGGCAGAGTTGGCGACACTTCCAGCAGACTTGGGTGCAATGTTGGTTGTGGTGTTGTCAGAGCCGCGCTTCAACTGGTAGAGTGCACCAGTGTATTTGCTGTACAGAGCACGGGTGGTGCTGTGTGCGGCAATGCAGGGCGTGTTGCCGGCAGCATAAATGTCGCATGGTGCAGCGGTAACGAACGAGCCCGCGGCAGCCAGACCAAGAGCAAGCACGCTGGAGCGTGAGAAGCTCGATCGTGAAGACATGATTGAGGAAGACGAAGAAATTATTGGATAGTTGAGCTTTCGAGGTTGTCCGCAAATCTTGTTGGCTGTGCGGCCTGAAAGATGAGCGTCGATTGATGTCTTATATAGCCCCAGACCAGTCCGGAAGAGTGACTATATTGGCTTGCAGAATTACGTGCCGCTGCAAAAGCAGGCTCCTGGCCGGCACGAGGACTGTAATCGCTAAACTGGGAAGGCATCCATGGTTTGATTTCGGGGCCCCAGATTCCATATCGGTCAGTATCCGAGGTGAAGACTGCGGGGATCACGTAAAGTCAATTTCGTACAGGCGGAAGGACTACCGTTAACGACTATCGTGATGGTGCTCAGGTGATCCAGGGTTGACTAACTTACAGGCGACTTTGCGGGGTGAACTCGGCACAAGGCCGACAAGAAAGGTGAAGTAAATAGATCACGGAGCAGAGACTGCAAAGCCTAGGGCCTAGCACATCAGTAGATTGCCTCGCAACCTTCTGCAGTAGTAAAAGGGATATAAGCTTTGCCGAGACGAGCTTATTGGGGACAAGGGCCTGCCGATCGCGGCTTGTGATTGAGCGAACCTCATGGTACGGCCCATCTCCGTTCGCGACTGACCGTGATCCACCAATAACGGAAGCGCGGTACTTAAATTAGTTGCATGGCAGGCCTGCATGTACGAATGGTTACATGGTGCATTTCGCCTAGCCTGCGGAGATAATATACCATAAATGCATAGCTGGAGCGGGTGACGTACTTGCGACACACGTGTTGGAGACCAGACTAGGGTTTTACGATATCTGCTCGACCAGTTTGTCATATTACGCTGGGAGATTCTTCCATACAGCCAGTTCGAACCTTGCCATACAATTCCAAGTCTTTCGATCTGTCCAGGGCGACACCTGAGTTGCGAAGAGCGTTGCCAGTCCACGCTCACGATTGACGTTCCAAGAGAGGTTTGACAATCCAGACCATGACAATGTACCAGCAGGTCTGAAGCAGCTATATCTCGACACATCTTCTTCCACGAGCGGCCCCGCCAGACTTTAGTCGGCAATGACTCCTTCCATGCTGTCGTCGACTGAGCATTGGTAGGCAAACTTTCCTGAGGCTCGCATGTCACGGAGAGCTGAACTGCCAGGCGCAAACTGCGGAGCGAAGATCGAATCGACCGTAGGCTTTGACAAGAGCACAGGTTGATCATTCAACAAGTCTGTAAGTACCCGGAAGTAATCGTGTGTGTCGGCGTACATTCCCAAGCCACCAGTCTCATTCGCCGACTCTGGCGAAGATGCATTTGGCCCGTCCGTCAATCTACCCTCATTGCTACGCGTAGACATGCGTATCAGCTTCTCTGCATCTTGAGGCTTGAGCGGCAGATGCCAGACAAATGTCTCGTTGCCAAAAGGTTTGGCTATATTGGCTTCGACGTATTCCTCAAGGCCTGTACTGGTAAGGCACTCAGGGAGTAGAATGGTCCAATTCAGTCCTCCACTGTAGTTCCAGCTGGTTCCAGATTCATATTTTCGCAGGCACGTATGTCCTTTGATAACATCGCCGTCCAGTGCAACTGTCGGAACTGGGTGACCTTGAGATCCGTGCCATGCATGCAGAACAAGATCAAGTCATTCGTAAGAAACGCCGCTAGATTGGGTAACAAGAGCTCGCAGGGTAATCGGAACACTTACTTGTTCTTACTCAAGCTGTCCATCTGGTGTCTGTGAAACGATGGACTGGGACGTGAGCTCTGGAGGTTGTCAGTTCAATGGCTTGTCGAGCGCGGGATGGATGCTATGAGCTTGGTGCAAGAGGCGACGAAAAATGGGTGATCGAACTCGAGCGGGCAACCACCCTTGGAAACGCCATCGGTACCCGACAGTGCACATTCGTGTAGATGTAGTTCCTTGCACATGTCAATGTTACAACAAGCTGTGGTGAGATGGCATCACGTACCATGTTGGTCCGCAACGCTATTACAGCGCATGGAATCTGTTGGATGCTTTTGCTGTCGCATTGTTAAGGAAAGCTTCGAACGTCTCCATATTTATGAGGGCTAGGGCGAAATTTGTTGCGGATTTGTAATGCCAGCTGTTTATCAACACTAATAGTATCCACACTGCATGAACATCGATATGTGCTTGGTAAGTGGGCACTTTGTACATGAGCTTGAGCGAGCTCAGCGAAACGTGCTGAGGACTTCGTTGACTCCGACATTCGTATCATGCTCGATCCTCGCCTTGCAGTGGTTGCACAAGCACTGCCACCTTTACAGCTATGTGCATATCGAATTCGCGGTAAGATACTCAAGGTGTACAGTTATGGAGTCGCGATGCAGGTCCCACACGACTGATAGCGAAGATACCTGGGTGCTCTGGACCAAAGCAACGCGCCTTAGGTACCTCGAACAAAAGTTGAGGCGCATCCCATGACTGGTACCGAACGTCTCGGCGTAGGACGGACGACGCGCCTTCTCGCACCCTGTTTTGGCCCTAGGCGGGCGGTGCCTGGGTCAATGACCTCGATGTCATCTCCACACGATCGCAGAGTCATTCTTGTTTTTTTGTACATACAGGCGAAAGTCCGTGGGTTTTGGTATCTGACACAGAGTTGTCGGAGCGCAATGCCGAAGAACGAGTGACCGAGACACCAATGCCATCATCAGAAGAGCGGCCTGCCGTTGCCGGAAAGCGCGGGCCGATGTACCAGCCGGGTCCTCGTCCGCTTCATCACTCTTCCCACATCAGATCTGCCACACTCTTAATCGCAAAACTTCGGTGATTTAGCGTACAGGCAACGGCCTTTTGCCGAACATCGTCACAATGCATGTCAAATTAAAGAGCTTGCCCCTCTTACCGATATCCGCGTCACCGGAGAAATTGCAACCTCGCTGCACCAATTAGAGCGTGCGGGCTACGTCGACTCGGACAAACATGTCGATCGACACCAGCTTCCCCATACGGAGGCGGGCTTGCACTGCTTGCACTGCTTGCAGTGGTCTGGCAACAAGCAGACGATACGGACTTGACCACACGGACGACATTGTGTGCTGGTATGACATTGCTGTCGACTTGCGCCACAAGCAACCCTCTAAATTCCTTAAGGTCACGCACGGAGACCTTTGATAATCCTGCCGTATGGCAGGATTATCCAGATCTCGATGTCTTCCGCGTCCGTGACATCCCCTATTACTCTTCCTCTACTTTCGCCTTCTCCACTGGTGCACCGGTCCTCAAATCCTTTGATTTGGTCAACTAGGCGCCAGTCTCGCACAGTGTGCCGCGATTGAACTTTGGACCGGCGTACGATCTGGACAATGCCCACAAGCAGAGCGTATGTCAAAGGCATCTGGGCAAGTACACTTCAGTATCGGGAGTCAACCGATACCTTTCACTGGATAGGCTGTATCGCAGGTGGTTCGTCTTATGTATGGACGGCGAGCGGCACAAACGCAGCAGCAAATAATGGCGAGGTACGTGACTGGAGCTGGTTCTCTCGAGAAATTCTGCCTCGTTGCTACTACGACAATGGTCTGCCAATAGACGACGATGGTACCATGTATATTGCGTACGGCAGTGCCACAGTCAATGTTGCGCAGCTCAACGCGGTTAGTACTGCAGAAGTCAAGAACCAAGCGGTGTACACTAGTTCAGACGGTGTTTACATTGAGGGATCGCGAATTCACAAAATCAATGGAATCTACTACATCTGAGTGACGAAGCCTGCAGGTACATCTATGAATCTGAATGACACAATGCACGCCGCCAATACTAGTGCCATTTAGATGACGAGTACGTGCTCAAAGTAGATAATGTCAGGGGTTCCGACGAGCGCCAGATTCTAGTCGACAGCATTACAGGTCGGCTTCCAAACGCCGTAACGCGCATCAGGGCGATGTTGTTAGTACTAAGGATGTCCAGTGGTATTATATGGCCTTCCTGGACGCTTATCCAGGTGGTCGCATTCCTGTGGTAACTCCCCCCACTTGGACAGAAGATGGCTGGCCGCAGGTAATGGAGGTGAACAATGACTGGGGGAAGTCCTACCCACTTCCGTGCAAACCAACAAGACCGTTCCATCAAAGACCGGACTGGATTCTTTTGAAGGACCCACGTTGAGCTATGAATGTGAATGGAGCCACAACCCTGACGGAAGCGTTTGGTCGTTCGTCAGCGATATGCGACTTCGTACTGCTACCGTCACTAATGACTTGTTCACAGCGCATAACACACTAACGCGACGGATTCTTGGACCAAAGTCGGCCGGGACATTCAGGGTTGACATAAGCGGCCTCAAGGATGGAGACCGTGCGGGCGCAGTCCTGTTCCGAGTTGTTGCCGCCTATATTGGTAATCACAGGTCCGGCAACTCATCTTCGCTTTTCATGGTTGAAAAGTTGGATCTCGGAACCAATTGGGTGACCAACTTGGCTGGCACTGTCGCTGCAGCTGTTCTAACCCTTGGTGCGAATGCGACTAAGATATGACTGCGTATCGGATCCGACATCAAACCAGCGTTCTTCAACATTGCGGCTATCAGAACAATAACATATTGGTACAGTCTCGATGGACCTCGTTCACGCAGCATGGTGAGCCATTTCAGATGTCAAAGACTTGGCAATTTTTCACGGCTATCGTTTCGGCGTGTTGAACTTTGCGACTCAGGCCTTGGGCGGTGAAGTGATGAGAAAGAGCTTCGATCTCGAAATGTAACTAGAAATCATTATTTTCATGGCATAGGCATCAAGAGCAGATGTATAAACTGTACACTCATGCGTCATCAACCATCCCATCAGCTCAACTCGCTTCTCTGCCTTCAGTCACCAATCCTCACTTCCATCCGCTGGTCGGGCGATCTATACACGTAATCTTTCTTTCTATGCATTAAACACCACCGACGTATGATGCAACAGTGACGACCATCAACGAACATACATACTTCGCCACATGATCACACGCCAGCAAACACGAAGTCACAATCACCGCGATCATCTCCCTCGCCACCCTTGCCCTGGCTGCCCCAAGCCCACAGAATGCAGGTCGTCCTGTACCCACAGGCTCTTGCTGCGTGGCGACCGGGAGCTTGAAGCAGGATGTATGTAATGTTAACGGGCAAAGTGGAAGATGCGTGCCAAGCGCAGCCAACAATTGCGAGTACCTTCGGAGATGGGTCGTCGAAAATGATTGACTAACGATTGCGCAGGCGGTGGGCAGTTGACTTGCATTGAGGATAATCGTTTGCAGTGCGACGCGAACACTCTAGAGCGAGGCAGGCCGCTTTGCAGGTTGGCTAGCGAGTTCGGAATGATTGCTCATTTGCTCAGGTGCGAAATCATTGCTGCAATCCCTGCATCGCAGGAGAATGGTCATACGACCCAAGGTATAGATACCACCAAATATGAGCCAATGCTCAAACCAAGTGATTGGTCCAAGAATGTGTAATAACTTTTCCAGACTCATACCATGGTATCAAGCGCTTACTTCCTCCGCGAGCTCGAGCTGACAAGCTTCTTCTTCAAATGCTTTGGCATCTTCTCCTTCCTTTTCTCTGCTTTCTCCTCCTTTATAGCTTTCTTGTGTGCCGTCTTCTCGTCCTTGTCCATGTTTTTCTTGCCCCGCGGTGGTCCCTTCTCGAATATGCTCTGGTCGACCTCACTACCGTCAGACTCGTCTGACGAGTCCAGCTCCACGCCTCCTTCGCCGAATTCTTTAGCTTCGATATTGTTGCTGCTACCGTCCTTTGTAACCTTATTGGCAAGGAGCTCCTGGTAGGGGAGAGACGAGCCCTCACCAGCGTGGACGAGCTCGGCATCGCGCTCGATATCGTATACTTGGTCGAGAGTTTGTGGGATATACTGGTTTCGGAAAACCTCGTCATTCTCCTCTTCCCTCTGCTTCTCTTCCTCGGTTTGGGGCTCGCGCTTCATTACTTCCCGGGCTTTGCTCGAAATTGCCTCAATGGCCTTCGCATCCTTCTCGCCTGCCTCGCCCGTAATAAATGCAAAAGCTTTCCGCTCGCTGAGAACCTCCACGTTTCTCGACCGGTAGAAGTCTGAAACGTTCTTGACGTCCATACGTAGGAATTCGAGGGAGCGAGGGTGGTCATGCTCAACGGCTTGCGAAACATCGATCATCCATTGCCGCCCTTGGTGGTAGAGCACGTTGTACTCGCTCAGATCCGCGTGTACAAGTCGACATGTGTGGTACAATATGCGCATGTATGCAATCATCTCGACGTACAGATCTGTCCATTTTGCGTCCTCTTCCTCGCTTGTCAGGCCATCGAAGCGCACATCTTTCAGTCGCGGAGCCGGTTTGCCCTTACGATCACCCACCAGCCCCATAACAAGAACGTGCGTACGGAGCGCAATAGGTTCAGGCGACGGGATGTCGGCCTCGTGGATGCGTGCAAGGTTGCGACGCTCCTTATCTGCCCAGAGCTTGACCATTGCTCGGTTGTTGCTTTTGCTGTACCCCTGGCGGAAGCGGAACTCGCCCTCAACGTACTTCGCCCTATCTTTGAACACCAGAATGGATGTCTTGTATACCTTGACCGCAAGGTGGGTCTGCTCGCCGTCTCCTGGGTTTTCCTTGATGGCGTGGTAGACGTTGGCCTCTTTACCGGTGGAGATGACTCCATGTAATTCACTGAACGTATCACGGTTGATAAGCTGCAGCAGAATCATTTGTGTTCTTCTGTCTAGAACCTGCTCCGTTGTGGCACGGTCTGCCTTGTCCTTGTCTCGCGCGGTGCCCCCTGTTGCACCGCTGAAGCGGCTATCGAGGCGGATTTTGCCGGCATGCTTTGACAGTGATGCAACTTGATCATCTAGGGAGAGATTTGTGTTTGCTGACGGCTTCTGTGGGTTCGCTTTCGGTCTGTAGTCGGCGGGTATTGAAGTATCGTTCAGCTTGCGCTGGCGGTTGTAGGTTTTGGTGAAATCGCTTGAATTGCTGGATTCGACCAGCTCAGGTGCATCTTCGTCGTCCGAGTCGAACAGATCGTCGATATCGTCATCATTCTCGTCGACAGCTTCATCTGCTTGCACTTCTGGTATCTGTGGTACCTGAATGTCTTCCTGCTGGTGCGCTTGCGCGACTTCTTCGGTGCTTGCCATGTTCAGCTCCAAATCGAAGTAGAAGTGACAGGTAGATCCAGGAGTAGCGAAGGTAAGTTTAGCTTTCACCTGCTGCAGCCTTGTAACTCTAGTTGGTGTTTTGGTGTGGCGTACAAAAAAGTTATGTTCGTGTCGCGTAACATGGCAGAATCGCGGGGGCGGGGTGCTCAATTGTTTCATTGGTTGCTAACCTGAGCGGTGAGCCAAGCGGTTAGCGTTCTTGGACGGCAAATCCATGTCAAGAAACACATCCAGACACGCACGTTACTGCATCGACTAGACTTCGCGTTTACAGAAAACTGGCGACTGATGACTGAATGTTAGATCGAAGATAAGTACAGCTGAGAATGCCTGCGCGCTTGCATTGGCTTTTTACTGCAAAGCATCTTCATCAACAGTCCGTCGACTGCACCAACAAGGTTACGAGACGCGAGAGCCTGTCACTGATGTACAAGGTGCATCGCAGATACTCGAGGCGCTCATTTTTCTCTTCTCTACACTCTATTCGAATTAACTGATGCTTTGTCCACCGACACAGTCATGCTCTTCAAAATGCCAGGCCCTCTATGTGGCTCTTCCTCTAAGATAGCACGGTCGCTGTCGTCGTCCGCATCCAGAACCGACTCGCCATGTAAATGGCTGTGGTACGCCTTACTCCCCTTGAGATTGTCCATGATAATATTTCCGTTTGCACTGCGGCCTTGACCATACCCTTGACCAGAGTATGGCGTCTTGCGACTGCTGGTCGTTGTAGAAGGTAAGATGCGCTGGAAGATACTGATGAACGCCTTGCGCAGCGGTGGCAAGGAGGCGATCATGATCCCTAGCGACAGCTCGGCCTGAGACCAGATTGTGATATTCATACCATCCCAGGTTGGGTCTCGAGAAGTGAAGATTGTGTGAAGCTCTATGGTCTTGAAGATAGAGCATATCGTAGCCCTGCACTGAGAGTCAGTAATGCATACACCGTATTGTAAAAGGGGAACTAAAGGCAGCAACTTACGGGATGCTCAGCAAGAACACCACACGGATGCCAAGTTGCGTTCTCCTCGATAGCTGCACGTTCGACAGATAGACCAAAGGAGCGGCCATGTAAACAATGTCGGTAACAATGTTTGAGACGCCCTGGGTGTATGAGAGTTTGAGACCTCCTACCGCCCAGCACTTGAATGAGCCCTGATATGCGAAATTCCAATTCTTCTCGAGAGGTACACAGCCGAGAAATGTCAAGACCGGTGCCAGGAAGTTCAAAGCTGTGACCATAAGAATCGATAGCCAGACGATCACTTGGTATGTCTTGGAAAAGTTGAGTATCATCAGCCATGCACAAATAGACCATTTCAAAAAAGCCACCGCGATGACATTGAGGATTTGATCGATCCAGAGCACATAACTGTACTGCCGCATGTTCGGAAGCACAGAGGGATCCATTATGTGTCGTCCAAGGCCAAGACCGATGATCACTTGCGTCAGCGAGGTCGCTGCAATGTTGAGACACTAAGGGGTTGCTATCAGCCTCTGCTAGAATGTCCTTGCGAGGGACTTCTCAAAGTTGGAACACTTACACAGGCCACGATCAGCAGATAATCGCATGCCAAGAATCTGCGTCCACTCTTGATACCGTAAGCAATCCTCCATACCAGGAAAGCTGTGCTGACGGTCAACAGTGACCAAATGGGCACCATGACTTTCAGGCGGTGGTCGGGCCACTCTTGCGTTGCTGGTTCAGCCATGGTGCAAGGCCCTGTGCCAAGCTCTCGCGAGTTCGATGAGAGTGTTAAGCTCCTAACCGGAGGATTGGTGCGTTTCGAGAACTGTAGATATTGTACTGTCTCGCAGTAGTGTTGAGGTGGTGAGAGTGAATGACATGAGAGAATCAGAGAGCTTCGGAGGATCGTGACAGGCAGAATGGCACCAGTGAGTTCATACAAGCCTCCCGCCCAGGATCAAGGCGACGGTACCTGCATCCCGCATAGTCTCAAATTCTCAATCACGCCTTCGGCACAATAATGATACCAGATCGGTATCAATTGAAGCGCCACAATGCTGGACATCGTGCCGACTGGACAAGGTTCTGGCATGCGGTTTAAAATAATAAGTGTCATCAATCTCAGCTCGAGCTAGGTTTGACGGACTGGAATTACAGGCTCGCTCGCCACCCACGTGGAATGCAAGTTATCTCGAGCTCGCGACCATTTGGCTCCTGATCCAAGGCAGAAAAGTAGCGCCAATCGTGGATCTGGCTGGTCAAATCGACTGTAGTTGTCACAAATACGCCGCCGTAACTCTGGCAAGCTACCAGACGTTGCATCTGCGGTGTGTTCACTTCTGCTCAGCAATCCCCGTTGCCCGTTAGGTCGAGAAAGATGTACGAGAAGCCCAGTAGGCTGTGCTTTCGGCTAGTCAGATCCAACCGAGGAGGAGCCGTGAAGGGTGACGATCCCGGGCACAGTAGCCACCGTTCGGGATACTCCCATCTGTATGTCTCCTGGGACCTGATCTGAGCAAATCTCGGCCCTGTGCAAGGAGTCTGACTACTGCTCGTAACCAACCGAGGATCTAGTTATTCTTGATTTTTGCTCCGTAGCGCAAATTGCTATGATCGGCGAATATGTCGATCACCTGCATTACCGGTCGGATCAAGGTCCTCGAATGATCATTAAGCCCGAGTGAGATTACATTGAAGGTTTGAGGCCATACTTCCAGTGCCAGAGAAATGCAAGTGTCGTTTTGGCAAAACTATCGCGAGCAGTGTGCAGATAAACGCATAACTCGGTACGCATCTGGGTCAGGCCTGCACGTTGTTCGAGGAATACGAGGTTGGAGAAAGCCGAAAGAGCTGGCTCTTACTTCGTGAACTAGTCTTGCGTTGATGGCTCGTGTGTAGAGAGATCCTGGAAGCGAAGACGTGCAATTGGATTCGGAGGCCCGATCCCGTGCCACCCGCATGCCACTAGTATACCGTCAGGCCTCCCAAATGTCCGTACTCTCGCTGTCCCGTACACGTACTGTGTTTGACATTAAGATTCTTACTACCTATCAATCTTCACCGGGAAAAGTCCCTTTCGTAGTATCGACTGGAATACTTCCACCAGCGGCTTGCCCGTTACGCCGCTTACTACATACGTCAATATTAGCCGCTGCAATGGCCTGACTTAAGATCCCTATCTATCGAGCTTTCCGCTGCCGCGCGTCAGCTCTGAGCGCTCCGTCACGACTTGAAGCCTTTGACTTCACGGAGGCTGCAGTGGTGACTTCGAATATCGTCATTTCAGTACTCACACAGCAGCATCATGCCATGCCTACTTTGTACTACCATTCAAAGCACCCAATGCCGTGAATTTTCGAAAGACGATCTGAAAGTCTATATGCTATATAGGCTTCAGATTTTGTCGTGTTGTCATGTTGTCACTTGAAGCCTTCCTAAGGGTGGCCTGACAGCGGGGGACGTTACCAGTTTAGGACTATGTAACGTTAGAGCTTCACGCTCCGTCCGCGGCTTCGCACTTGCATCACCGCTTGCGCTGCTGTTCTACCAAGCCTCTTCTTGCACTCACAACCGTCATTATTTCATCTTTCAACTCGTCCAATCCCGGCATCAAAATGATCCGATAACTAGCGCAAGCCCGACATCAGAATGGTTCGATAATCTGCCGTGTCCGTCCTCAAAGTGAAGCCGTGGAAGCACCGTATGGCCTCGTTTGTCCTGGCTCATGTGTGATTCTGCAGGGACGTGGGAAATGCGGTGTCGGCGACAGGCTTGAAGATTTACTACACCCCTGATGCAACTCACTGTCTTGCAATTGATCCAAAAGCACGTGGCAAGGTGGTAAGGTGGTAACACTGTATTACACCTGCTTACATAAACAAGCGGCACGCCCAGAGAGTAAAATCAGGTTAACGATGAATGTGACGACTTCGACTGCTGCAAATTCGTCCGGTAATAAGACCCGTTACGGCCCGACTGGGTCGACAGCCCAGGGAATTGAGCACGGATACCTAGCCACGGGTCTGCTATCGCAGAACGGTCTGCTTGCATTGATATCGCTACCGAGAAAGGGTCCAAGAGCTCATTGTGCAGCGGCTCATGGTGTGTTCACTGACTGATGGTCCGCCGCCGCCTGTTCGCCTGCTCGCCTAGAACAACAGCGGCAATGCTCGGAGGCATCGTTGCGAGGCATCAATCTGCCGCTACGTAGATCATCGTTATAAAGACTGTTACTGGAGACTGCTTTGATTGCCTTGCCGCATCTCAGCCGTCCCAGCTCTCCATCTCCAAGTTCAGAGGAAACCATGGCTGCATTCTCTCGTTTAGCGGTAGCTTGTCAGCTCCTCAGCATCTTCACAATACCTACACTTGGCGCTGCTGTTCAACAGTACGACTATGTGATCGTAGGAGGAGGCATCACCGGTCTGGTTGTGGCGAACCGGCTTTCAGAAGACAGGAGCAGTATGTCACGTCCCGCCAACACTGTCGTCTATCCAGACAATTCATTGACACGCGAATGCAGAGTCCGTACTTGTGATTGAGGCTGGAGATACCGTCGATACCGATGCTACAAAGATTCCCTACAAGGCCAACGACCTGACCGCTGCCAATGGACTCATGTGGGACGGTATCAACTCGAAGCCGGAACCTGGACTCGGCAACAACAGCTACCCCGTCATCGTTGCGAAAGTGCTAGGCGGCGGCAGTGTAATCAACGGCATGGTATATGACCGTGGTAGCGCTGCCGACTATGATGCATGGGAAGCCCTTGGAAACCCAGGCTGGGGCTGGAACGACCTTGAGCCCTACTTCAAGAAAGGAACAACATATCAGCCTGCGACACCTGACGTTGTGAGAGACTTCAACATCACATGGGATGCTTCTACGTATGGTAGTGGACCACTCAAGGTTTCGGTGACCAGCAACCAATATGCTGACCTCAAGGACTACTGGAAGGCATGGAAAGCAACGGGCGTACACGTGCCTGAAGATGGCAATAATGGTGAGGCGTATGGTCCATCTTGGTTCCCGAACACGATGGATGCAACTACCGGACGCAGAGCCCATGCACGTTATGCATACTACGACCCCATCCAATCGACGCGTACCAATTTGAAGATTGCCACGAAGACTGTTGCTCAGAGGATTCTTTTCGACGGCAAGGATAAGCCTACAGCCACAGGTATCGAGATCGTGGACGCTGCCGGGGCCACCTCAACTGTTCGCGCCAAGAAGGAGGTGGTTCTTGCCGCTGGCTCTATCCAAACCCCTAAGCTGTTACAACTGAGCGGCATTGGACCTAAGGCGGTACTCAAAGCTGCTGGTATCAAAGTCAAGGTTGAACTCGATGCCGTGGGCAGCAACTTTCAAGACCACCCCTGGGCTACGGTCATGTTCAACACAACCACAAACACATTCCCAAACCCAAACTCTCTCCTCACGAACGCTACATTCAACGCATCTGCATGGGCGCAGTACGAGGCAAATAAGACAGGCCCTTACACGAATGCTCGTGGTAATGCACTTGCCTTTATCCCCCTTTCGGACATGATCACTGGTGAGCAGGTCAACAGCATCATCACCAGCCTGGGCAGCCAGAAAAATGAGGACTTCCTCCCAGCGGTGTACAAGGGTAACAAGAAGCTCCTCAAGGGTGTCGCAGCTCAGCGCAGAGTCATCGCTGACATCTTCGGGCGACGAGACGCTGCCGTGGCCGAGTTCCCCGTCCCCTCAGACGCTGCTTTCAGTCTTGTCGGCATCGAGAAGCCCTTGTCTCGCGGCACTGTCTACCTGAACGCCTCCAATCCCACCGGTCCTCCCACAGTAGTCCACAACGCCTTCGTCAACCCAATTGATCGCGCACTCCTCGGACTCAGCACACGCTACTACCGCTCGGTCCTCGCCTCACCGCTTCTGAGCCGCTTCAAGATCTCCGAAACCCTACCAGGCGCGCAGTACAAGACCGATACCGAAATCTTCGATTCCATGTTGGCTCAAGGCCTGCTCTCTCCTACTCTCGCCCACCCTTCTGGCTCGTGTCCCATGATGCCCGAGAATGCTGGCGGCTGTGTTAGCGAGAAGCTGCTGGTGTACGGTACCAGACGCCTCTCTATCATTGACGCATCCATTATTCCTATTATTCCGTCTTGCCATCTTCAAGCTACAATGTACGGGATTGGCGAGAAGGCGGCGGATATCATCAAGGCCAGGAGTTGAAGCGATACGCTGTAATAGACTTTGTGTTTTCCGATAATTACTCTGATCTACAACAGAAGACCGAAACTGATGAGATTTTCATATCCACTTAAGTGGCCCTCTTTCTGAACCCTGCTATAAAGACATGTTCTCCTCACTATCTGCTAATCTCCACATTGCGCCGTTGAAGGCAGATACACTGTACAAGATTCCAAGGTGGAGTAGAGAATACTACGACGCAGAACGCAATCCTCAGATGCAAGCCGCCGAGTTCCACACCTAGCTCTCCAACCATACCCTCGTAGTCCCACAACTTACGTTCCATACAAAGAGTCACTCGCACAAATTTGTCAGCGGGGCTGTGTGGCTTCTGGCCGGTCTTGAAAAAGTGGTCTGCCGGGACGTTAGTTTGGATGGGCTATTATACGAGTCGCGAGCTTGTGCTTGCGGTATCAGCAAAGCGTTGTCTGGATCGTCCAACAAGGGGCGATACAAGATATGTTGGGCCTTGCTAGTCACCACTCGAAGACGTGTTGGGTCTCCGTATCGAGGGGTTAGAAAACAAGATGACGTCTTCCCGAAATTGCTTTTTCTGGCACATACTATGTGGATTCTACGCGAATTAGTATCTCTGACTTTGATCGACGTTGAGTCATCACGCTGGTGTAACGATAAATAATGCTGCTCCGCATTCGAACATGCAGGTCCACGCCGTCGCGCAGAGGATAATTCGCTGACTGACATAGCCGACCTGGAAGCGTTGCTTGAGGTAGCACAGGATCAAAATGGAGAAGCCAGAGTATTGGCAGGATCGCTGCTGCTTTTGAACTATCGTTTATGGCCGTGTATCGAATATAGCACGACATGGACGCCCGTTTGCTAAGATACGAGGTCACGCATTCCAGAGTTGTGCAGCGATTGCCTGAGTATTGTATTTCCTACGTGATTAACAGTAGTCCCAAAGACAGACACAATATCCCATACCGACCCTGAAGTAAAATAATTCGATATCCTTCGTTGCCACACCCGTGCGACGCTGTTCGTGGTATACATTTCTCTCATATTACAACATATTCTTCCTCCACGCTCTTGTCCCTAGCCGCTCGATCTCAGGCACCTCGACCGGCCCGTGTATTTCCTCATCCTCGAGAGCCTCTACGACAGCCTCGCCGACCAGGTCGGCCTTGAGCGGCTTGATGCCGCCCGCACCCATCAGCCACGTTAGTCGGCCACCGACAGCACTGTTGATCAGACTCGCGACCGCGCCACCAGCAGCGATGGGTAGGGTGAAAGTTCGACTCGAATCGTACAAGAACGGCGCGCGTACGAAGATGGATCGCATGGTGGGGAAGGTGGAGCTGATTATCGACTCGGCCTCGCGTTTGGTGGTGATGTAACGCTTGGGCAGGATGGGTGTGCCAGCAGCAGCGGAGATGTATAGGAAGGTGGGCACCTTGTGTTTCGATGCCTCTTGAGCAAGGCTCACTGCTGTGTCGCGGTTCATGACTTCGTAGGTGAGCTGGCCGTCACTCTCCATGGGCCTTAGTGTCTCGCCGTCCTTGCGATCAAGGGGGTTCTGTGTGCCTGCCTTATTCGCTGAGAAGGCTCTTCGAAGGCCAGAGATCGGCGATTCGCGGCCGCTGACGACGCCCTTGTAGTCTGCTTCAAGCAAAATGCCCATGGTATGGATGACGGCGGTGGCCGACTCAAGATGCGCATTGTACGAGGACGGGTCGAGAATGTCTCCCTTGGCCCAGGTGACCTTGGACGCCCATGGCGGAGGATCAGGTGAGGAGGTGACTGATGACCAGTGCGGGTTGCCTGAGCGCGAGACGGAGACGACCGACCAGCCGCGATGGGCAGCTGCGCGACAGATGCGGCTTCCTGGGTGTTCAATCAGTATTCAGCACTCATGGACACTGCGTATAGAGCTGTGTAAAGATGATACATGTGCGTGCATTGCTCGAGAAGGGCGCTATTCGAAGCTCAGGGTGCACAAAAACATCAAGTAAATGGCAACACGTACCCAGAAATCCATTGCCTCCGCACACGACGAGCTTCTTCTGCGCTACTGAAGCCATTACTGCTGTCTGGTGGAGTTGGCGAGAAAATGAGGAAGTTCGGATGGGAGCTCGAAGTGGTGATATCACTCGCGCCAGAAGGGCCCCGCAGGGCTGACAGGGATTCGCGGGCGCTAGACACCACCGAGCCCTCTGGATCGATCGCATCCTCACTCTACCAACTCAGCATACTGCAACACGTCCGAACCTCACCCATACAGACGCGTCCAACATCTACCTGACTCTCGACCGACTGATCGCCTGCCCCAAACGAAGCCGCAATGCCTGCGCCGGCAGCAAACAAGCGCGTCAAGGTGCGCTGCCTCCTAATTATTGACATTCACACTTGCTGATCAGCCGCAGAACAAGCGCGTATCACGCAACATCAGTACGCAGCCCTGCCACGGTCGCATAACCATCCTCTAACACGCGCAGTAATTGGCTCCGAAGCCTGGGCACTCCCGCCGCTGGGCCACCCCGACCGCCCCAAGGGTATCCCAGACGACCATACCAAGAGATGGACCGTCTACGTGCGCCAACCTGAAGGTGACCCTTCGCTCTCTACCTGGCTCAACAAGGTGCAGTTCAAGATCTTCAACACATACGAGAATCCCCTGCGGACGTGCGACAATCCGCCCTTCGAGGTCACCGAGACAGGATGGGGAGGGTTCAGCATCGACATTCGGCTGCACTTCGCACCCATCTCCGGCGAGAAGGCGCAATATAGGCAGCACTTCTTGCAGCTGGAGAAGTACGGCAGTGAAGAACAGCAGGCGCAGCAGGAGCGAACAGGCTGTGTGCGCAGCGAGTTTCTCGAGGTCGTGCATTTCAACGAGCCTACCGAGGCGTTGTTTGACGCTTTGACTGCAGAAGACCAGTGGGCACATCTTGTTCCATCCAAGTCCTCGTCCGGCAGTAAGAAGGCGAGTCTCGGCGCGAACGGGCGCTTGAAGCGCGGACTGCCAAACGGAGAGCGCAGCGCCCAGCTTCCGGAGAAGGGCGGCGATGATGTGCCTTTCAGTCAGGAGCACGAGCAGGGTCTGATCGATGCATTGATGGCCAAGATTGCGCAGGTCGACCGTGAGCTGGAGAAGGAAACCGCTCGGCGCGAGAAGACAGAGAACCAGCTGAAGCAGCTGCGAGAAGAGATGGGACATGAGGCTGCGCAGCAGGCGGCTCAGCAAGCTTCGGGAGACAGAAGTCGCAGGCGGTGAGACGCTAGCAGGACTGACGATATGCTTGCTCATCTCATGCTTGCTCTCTATCTTTCTACGTTGCTGACGGCCGCTCGCATTCCAGAAAGAATGATTCTCCACAGAGAATATTCCCATCGCCAACAAAAGACGTCCTGATCTAGAAACTAGTGCCCCGAGACCTGGATACGGACAGGGCAATCGTCTCTCCCATTAGACGAATCATCAGCGCCGAGTGGGCACGCCGCAGGCACCCACCTCGAAGAATTGGGCATACGTAGATATTCTGATCGCAACAGCAGGGTGGTTGCAAATCTTCTACAGCTCAGTCTATACGTACGATATGCGCAAGATGGAGCATGAAATATGGCGGCACGCCTGCTCCAGGCCCAGGTGTTGTCGGTTAGAATTGGGTCATCACGGTCTGCTCGTAGATCCTTGAAATAAGGTTATCACTACCACTTTCCGAAACTGACAGAGTGAATAACATCCAAGCTAAGCAATTCTTTTCTGATGCGAACAACGATGCACGGCCGTCTTGTGGCGAGCTCGTGAAGCAGGTAAAGGTGGATTTGCTCACCATAGTTAGGTCCCGCATGCTATTCTGCGATGCTTGGTTAGCTGTGGGACCTTAGAAGGGAGATGCATATGCGTCTGGACAGGCCGGCAGCGCTATACCCACGTCTCAGAAAACAATGTTCATCTACGACAGCATTTGACGATGTTCAGGTCCGAGTAGGCCGAGCAACCCATGGAACTACAGACGCGAACGAGGTACGTGAACGAAATACGAAATACGAAATACGTCAAGCACTAGCACGATCCGCATCTTCGCATTTTAAATTAAAGGCTGAGGCTGGGCTCTGAACGTAGGTGATTTGCTCGATTGATCGCTATCTAAAAGCCAATCTTCTACAGCCGTGACACAGAATGCAGTCACCGTCCAACATCCCTTTACCAGACAAGATTCAACATGAGACTATTTGACTTCATACCGGTTGCTCATATGGCTTATCGCCTCATCTGCGACGGCTGCTCAAACATCAGAGACCCAACAGGCTGGCTATTTTACAAGCACCGTTCATGGCTCGAATGGCACCAATACCTTGAAAGGCAACTCAACGATACCGGCCGTGGTTCTGAAATATGGTGCCAATGTCGAAGGCTTTCCTACTTTCGAAGCCCTGTCGGCCAGCGAAAAAGTATCTGGCTTTAGGATCAGAGACAGTGAGACGAAAGTGGTTCTCCAGTCGAATCCAAATGTAGGTCTGACCCATAACGCTGTAAAGGATCAGATTGAAACTATGTTACTAAGCTTTCGGTGACAGGAGACTTGACTCGACTGTGTCCTGTTCTCCCATATCTAGCTCTCCATGAAGTTGTGTCTAAGCAGTTGCGCTGCGAGACAAACAACTATGTTTGGGAGCTGAATCCTCTCCTTTCAGCGGGATATTATCTAAAAGAGAATCTAACCGCCAGTCTCGTACTCCGCGACATGCAGTCTTATATCGGGACAAGGACATCGAGTTGGCGCTTGACTTCACCATGCGCCGCCCCAATACTCCACTACCATCCTGTCGACGCCGGTGGTGATACTAGTGGCGCTCTACAGCTGAAAACTCGCCAATCGTCTCACACTAACCGAAGATCAAACGCTATCAGTTATTCTCCCGCTGACCGAGCCCGTTCCATCGGGTTTTTCCAATTTCTAGACATGGGCTGGGGCATGTCGAAAATCACAGAGGATTTCCCCAGCTAGTTGGAAGTGTTCATTCTGCATTGCTACAAACTCTCGCTGAAGAGATTTATCGGAGCACGCACAAAACTGATACTAGTTCCCATACTGTCGCAGAGAATCAGCCTTATAAGCAATTTTTTAGGGGTGTAAGTGTAGTCTATATTTTGCTACTTTCTAGCTGGCATACATACTTCTCCCTCTAGCAGGTGAGTGTCCAAGGAAAAGACAGTGCTTCCACAGCGAGTCTTAAAAGGCCAGTCAGAGACGACGAGCTGGATCAACGAAAGCATTTAGACACGCAGACCCTACATCAGACTCTAGAACCCAACCCGACCATGAATATATCAGTCGTCCCAATCATGCCACACGATCGGACTAATATCCTGCCCACCATACGCCGTGCCTCCATAATCCAGATACCCCTTTGCGCCTGAGTACGGAATCCGAGCAATTTCCTGATACTCGCCCATAACCCACACGCTCTGCATACCCATAATCATATGCTGCAGAATGTGACAATGCAGCATCCAACACCCTGCATCCTGCACCCGCAATCGCCAGCACCGCCACCCGGCAGGCTGCCCCGGACTGCCCTTTTCACCATAACGATACAGATTGGTTGTATCGCGGAGCACGGGGCTGTAATCCTTCAGCTTCTCCTCGTTGGCGGCGGCGTCGTACGAGCCGTTGCCGGATCCGCAATCGTAGTAGTGTCCGCCGTGCATGTGAAATGGGTGGTAATCCACAGCGCCATTGCCGTTCACCAAGGACCCTGTGTTCTCGAGAATTATCTCGAGGACTTCGCCAAGCTTCGCGGGCCAGGCCAGTGTGTGCGGATCCCAGCCCCCGTTCTCCAGCGCCGCAGTGTAGTTCGGCATCGCCTCTGGGCCATTCCGGTAGATGTCAACGAGGTAGGGCGGCGCGTTGTAGGATTTGTCTTCTGTCCAGTTTAGGCCATCGAGTTGCCAGATTATGGTGCTTTGGGTCAGTTGCTGGTTGGTGATGTGTACACGGCGGGTTACTTCGGAGGCGGTGGGGAAGCCGTTTGGTGTGAGAGGCTCGAGTGCGTATTCGAGAAAATCGTACGTGTCGTTTGTGAGACGCAGGGGTGCGATGGCGGGCGCAGATGTAATGCTGGGTGGTGCATTGGAGTAGCGGAGGATGCCGAAGCCGGTGTATGTGGTAGGACGGTCTTTGGTCTCGAATTGGATGACCCAGTCTGATTTTCCGCTTTCAGCCAGTTCGTCTGCGCACTTGGTTTTGAGAAGAGCCTCAAAGCGTTGTCCCGACGTGATCTGCATGTGGCTGACACGGTGGGGCTTTGTGTAGTGTCCATCAGCAGCAATGACGTCCATTGCATCGTGGCCCTCGATGCCAAACGAGACCATGCTGATCGCCAACGATCCCACGAACCTTAAACGGTATGTCTTATTAGGCTCGACATCAATGACTGGCATCAAACAGCCATTCGTGCCTCCCGTCTGACCGACGGCAACACCGACTCCGTTGAGGAGCAATGCATTGACTTCGCCACTCCACACGAAAGGTGTGGCTACCAGGCCGTGTTCGATCACTTCGTCAGTCTTATTGTAGTAGTCCTGCAAGAAGACTATGCGCTCCTCATCATACTCGTACGGTGGCTCTGCAGCATCTTCGATGATGAGCGGGCCTGCAGCAGTTATGGCCTGAAACCCGACGTGCGAGTGATAGAAATACGTCCCGGAGTCTTCTAATTCAGGATGGATCTCATAGTCGAAGCATTGGTGCGGTGCAATTGGCCATTGGGAAACAGGTGAGCCATCGCTGAATGGCGCGGTGCGCTGGGAAAGGCCATGCCAGTGCTAGAGAAGGTCAGCATCGATCTGGAAAGTCTGAGTAGAAAGGCTAAGGGACCATAGTCGTATTGTGAGTATCCATGTCATTGCACACCCGGACCCAGCTGGTCTTGCCTGGTGGGAGGCGGAGTGTTGGACCTGGCGATGTGCCATTGACTAGCACCGACATTCGGTGCTGACATGCCACAGTATGATTCTCGTATGTTACGCTGAGGTAGAAGTCTGGTGTGAAAGTCGAGTCGTGACGGTGCAGGTTGGTGTTGTTCGACCTGGCTGTGCCCTCCACCGCTGCAACGGAGGCGGCGAACAGCAAGTAGCCAAACATGCGCCACATTCTGGAAGAGAACTAGGATTTACCTGGCGATAATGTGCGATGTCTCTATGGTCATGGCTTATATATAGGATTGTTTGATCGGTCCTTTGTGTGTATCACCCCGTCTAAATGGCGCCGCATCCGTGTGGAAGCTGTCAAGTAGCACGGACATGGCCGTGGTGACGCCTGTGCGACCGCCGCACAGGTTTTGATGACAGTGGATTTGCTGATTGCCGATCACTGTTGGCGAAGGTTAAAAGTTGCGGCGCGCTTTACCTACTCGTTTTCAGGTACGCTCAGGGGTACAGAGGCAAGCTTCCGTTGATCCCTATGTTCGGTGTGCAGAGCCAACCGTACGCCACTTCGTACATTTGACACAGCTTTCAGTAGCTACCAGATAGGTAGTGCATTGTATTAGTGCTGCCGTTCGTGCCGTTCATTCGTATCTTCATACGCTTGATGTTGTTGCAAAGCCCGCGGCCCGAATCAGGGAAATCGGGGTTTGGCCCTTGGGTCGTTTGGGTCGTATATCGGCATGGTCGGAGCGCAACGATACGATCGGACTCTAACGTCGACCAAAGACAGTCGACCGGAGTATGTCACTCAGACTGTGGCGCCAATAGCTTGCGGGGTAGGCTTGCTGTGGTTTATTCGCGTCGCAATGTCTAGACCTATTTTCATGATCGGATCGGACATTCCTCCGTCCTGACCCTCTTTCTGCAAAATGAGGACTTGACAGGTAAAGGTCACTTTTCAGTCTGCCTACTCTTCTCTAATGCGCTTCGACTGCACCGTTTCGAAGAACGGATTCTCGCTTTCCACCTCTTTCCCACGTACAGCCATTGTCCTCTCTGTGTCCCATTTGTACAATCCTCCCTTCTCTGAGATCTTAATGGCCATGCCGCGATCCTCTGCACTCATCATGCAAACCCACTTATGCACTCTCCAATCCTCTTTCTGGCATTCCGCTGAGCTGTACGCCGCAGTGCCGCACCGTCCGCATCGATTGAGCGCTTTAACTTCCGCCGACGTACCGCATGTAGTACACTTGCCGAGATCTAGAGATGCGTAGAGCAGATGCGGCGATGTCGCAATGCCGTCTCCAAAGATATCCATTGGTGCGTACTCGACGTGGAAAGTGTGCTTGACACCTTTGCCTGCTTCCCAGCTCTTACTTCTCATCGCTTTCGCAACCCAATCGCTCCCCAATCTCTCAATCAGCTCGGGGATCTTGACGTCTCTCTCGCCTAGCATGCTCTCTTTCGTGTTGGGCACCCACTGTCCCCTCGTGAACGTGTCGTCCGTGGTCGACGAGACGTTGTATGTCAACATGATCTCCCAGTTTTCGCCGCTAGCGTCCAGCGTGCCGAACGTGACTTGACTGCCCACTCTTCCAATTTCCAGCTTCTTTGCTTCTGCGCCAGGCTGGGCTAGCGGCAAGGTCGCCGTCCAGGTGAAGCTGAACCAGGCATCTACATCCAGAAACGCGGCCAGAGTATTTGGATGCCAGCGATAGAGAATAGTTGCAATGCCGTGAGGTACTGATGCTGTTTTCTTGATAGCATCCTGCTCTTTGCTGAAAATATCTTTTTGGTATATGCTGAGCGGATGGCCGTCCAATATTAGGGGAACATCCGGGTAGTCTGGCAGCCGAAAATTCGGCAGTCTGTCAAATTGCAGGATCATAATTGACAGTGCCTGTGTGTTGTTGGCTGACTCGAGCAAATGTTCAGAAGGAAGGTGTTTGTGGGTGGGGCAGAACTGCGGCCTTAGATTGGCTGCATATCTTGTGCAGATTGACCTCAACCTGGTGAGTTGTGAACGGGAAGTCCTGAAGGAAATACCAAAGACTTCCCCTAATCACGAACGAGTCACTTCATGCTTCCGTAGTTATCTACGATTCATCACATGTCGTGCCGATTCGTCTAATCCAAGGTCAGACCGCTTTCGAAGTTTCAACTCTTGCATAGCTGAGGAAGAACAGAAGAGCGGCTACCTTCGACATCGAACTCGTCTACAATATCGCCTTTCATCGAGCATGCACGACGCACTAAGTGCCACACAAATTAGTCACACATTTCGTGCGGTGAACCGCACATCCCGTCAACATTCAAAGCAGACATGACCGTCTTGACGAAGCCCACGCCGCACACCTCACAAGCGGAAGGTCCCACATACCACCTGGACGATGCTGAACATCACGACTTCCCAGCTCCCCCCGTTTATCAACCAAATGCGCGCTTGAGGCGCGTCCAGGAAGCCCGACGGCGGCGGCTGACCGTTTGGCAGCCGCTGATTGGCCGCAATGTACCGGGTTCTCTAACGTCATTGTCGATGCCGCAACATCGTGCACGAGCTCAAGTACGGACGACCCCTCCTGCTCGCGAAGGCTTTCCTTATCTGACTTTTTCTGCGAAGCTGAAGCTGAAGCAGCTCCACACGCATCGTGATCGATTTGGAAACTGGGATCCGCATAATGGCATCCGCGACCGGGATACCTCAATCCGCATCCGCAGCGCGCGGCCAGAGCGAGGAGGAACCTCTCCTGGGCCAACGAGGCGACGCAAGCCAAACAGACGGCCAGCCACTGTACCACAATCTATGGATAGGTTCGAGGCCCTTTCCCCCCCCCTCTCTCGTGTCCGCCTAACACCACCCAGGCACCGCCGCCGTCGCGCAAGGAGGCATCTGGATCGTGCGTCCCCAGCGCTCTCGCATCGCACCAGCTAATGACCCCCGCAGCTCGCAGCCATAATCTGGGGCGCGATCCTCTCGCAGAAATTAATCTTCTTCTCCGCACACCCCGTACATCTCCCCCTCCGCAAGGTCCGGTACGAAGAGAAACGACGCTAACGCGCACAGCTCCTTAACGCAGCGGGATTCCTGCTCGCGATCCAAGCCGCGCTGGTTCTACAGCCGACGCACACAGTAGCGCAAAAGCGGGCGGGTACGCTCGCACACGCGCTGCTGCACAGCGTGGGCACCGCGGCACTGACAGCAGGCCTCGTGGTCATCGAGCTCAACAAGGCGGGGCCGGGGCACGAGCACTTTGCGTCGCCGCACGCGAGGCTGGGGCTGGCGTTCTACGTTCTGGTGTATCTCCAGGCGCTCGTGGGTTTCACGCAGTACTATGCGCCGGGCTTGTACGGCAGCGTCGAGAACGCGAAGAGTATCTACAAGTACCATAGGATCGCCGGGTATGTGATTGCGACGCTGGGGCTGGCGACGATTTGCGCGGCGTCGTGGACGGGGTATAGTCTTAATGTGGCGCATATTCAGCATTGGGCTGTGATTGTGGCGAGTGTGCTTGTGCTTGCGGGGATGGTGCCGAGGATTAGGTTGAGTAAGTTTGGGCTGAGGAGGTGAGGGGTGAGGAGGTGAGGGGAGGAGGCAAGGGGGTAAGGAGGCCGCGGGCAAAGAGTAGAGTGTGTGGGGTAGATGGTGGATTGGGTATGTGTGAGAGTCGGGTTTGAACTGGGAGTCGATGGATTGGACGCATGCAGATGCGTGATCTATCGCCTTGCGCCGGACTGTTTGAGAAACGCATACAAATTTGCCTTGCGCCGTCTATAGAACACGGAACAACATTTGCCATAGGAAATGCAACAAGTACTCCATTCCCGCAGGATTCGTAGCAATCAACGAGGAATCGACGACGCGTAACTACGCTCTCCGCTGCTTGGTCGGCTGGAACATGCTCGATCCTTCTCGCTTCCGTTTCGGCGCCGACGCAGCTCCCACACCGTGCGTAGTGGGCTTGAGCTTGGGAGCGCTGAAATGTTGGCCGGCCGGGAGCGAAGTACGGGGTGGCGGTACAAACTGGGCCGGTGTTACAGCTGGACGCTGTCTGATATTTTGTTGAGTCGCAGCTGGCTTTGGGATTCGCCTCTCGGCAGCAGATGCGGAGGCTTGTTTGGACAGGACCATGGTCTTGGGTGCTTCTTGCTGTGCCATCCTGACCAGGCGTTCGGGGATGGCCGACACCATCTGCTTCTTCATGGCGAGCTGGTGCTGCGGTGTGTGCACGGCTTTGGTGCGTGCTTGGTTGCGGTCGAACATGCCGCGCTTGAGCTTGTCCATGGCCACCTTTCCCGTCTTCGCAGGCGGGGCGGCTCGACCGTAGTCCCTCCCGCTGCCCATGGACCAGTGGCTGCCCGTGCGACCGTAGCTTTTGTTCGTGGTCATGATGACGGTCTTGTTGACCTCTCTGCCCGCCTGGAGCGCCTTCATCTGCTGTTTCAGCTGGTTCTCCTGGTCGACCTTCTCCTTCTCGGCATCCTTCACGAGCTTTCGATACACTTTGCTCCAGTTCCTGTCGTCCCTGGGCGTATGGGGCTTCTTGTCCCAGTCTGGCACGTCTCTCCGGATGTATCTTCTCCATATGTCTTTTGTCTCGCCCTGGATTTGCGGGCAGTTCTCCTCCAGCTCCTGCAGCTGCTGTGGGTTCTGGATGTGACGGAGGACAGGTTCGAGGAAGGAGAAGGGTATGTCGCCGATGTCGGTAAGCATGTCGATGTTCTTGATCAGCCGCTGCCGGGCAAGCTCGTACAGGCTGGAGACGGGCATTGTGGCTTCAGAGCCTTGGTGTGCGCTTCAGAGCCTTGGTGTGCGCTTCAGAGCCTTGGTGTGCGCTTCGGTCTGGTACGGATACGTTTGTCGGAACCAAGGATCGCCGTCTAGGGGTCCATGAAGCGTCGAGTGCAGAGGCGGTAGCGCGGCGATGTTCTGGCGCGGGCTCGGTGAAGCACGGAACATCTATCGTGCATTCGTCATCTTGGGAGACAGGGCGCAGGATCGCTGGCAGCCAAAAGGCAGAGTTGCATGTGCAACCACGGGTGCGAACATGTGTCGACGCGCAGACGGGCACGGTGACGTTGGATCTGCGGGTGAGCAGCGGTACCCTTGTCTCGGTAGCGCCCGGCCCATGCTGCTCTTCCATTCTGATCGTTTGCGCTAGACCTTCACATTCACATTACAACCGCAAAGCACCCCCACTTGAGATCTCGTACAGACATGGCAGTCACGGACTGGTCGCTACTGCCGCAAGCAGATGAAGGTGGGCTCTCCTAGCTGGCTTTGCTGTTCGCCCGCTGACTTTCTGCAGATGCGCTTCACAACGTATCCCGACTGCTCGCCGTTGAGGCTCGACCGTACCAGCAGGTCGCCGGCCGCCTGCTCAAGGACAACTTCTTCGACTTTGCACGGTCGAAGCAGCTGCCCTCACCGCCTCCCGATGCCTCGGCTGCCGAGGAAGAGGCTGCCGCCAGAGCAGTCGAGCGCGAACAACAGGCACGCAAAGTCGAGACATGGCGCGACAACATCATGAACGAGCTCTCCATGCTCGACTATGCCATTCTCCGCTTCGAATTCACGACGAACAGCAACCACACCGAGCGGGCACGATATGCGGTGGAGAAGGACGGCATCACAGCGAAGCAGCAGCACGTCCGAGACACGATCGAGGACCTGCGCGTGAAGCTGGTCGATGCGAAGGAGACGCTGGCGGTGCGCAAGACCTACGACGAGCTGACGGAGAAAATCACAAGCAGCAAGATGCTGAAGCCGCGAGATGAACAGAGGCAGGCGCATGAGAGGCTGGACGAGGAGATTGCCCATCTCGAGCGCGAAGTCCGGTCCGCGAAGAAGACGTGGGAGGAGCGGCGCATACAGTTTGGCCGCATCGAGGAGGAGGCCAGGGAGATGCTGCGCATGATCAAGGACGAGAAGGAGGAGGCAGAGCGCAAGGAGGGCATGATGAAGGACGGCGATGAAGATGGGGAGGGCGAGGGCAGCACATCTCGGGGAGATGGCAGCCGTGTTGGCACTCCACGACCAGACGGCAGCATGACGCCCATTCACGTCGGCCAGAGCGGAGAGGGGTCGCAGTCACTGAAGGTGCCACCGCCGGACCGACTGAAGCCTCTGTCAAGGGACGCCAGTACTGTACCGTCTCCAGCACCATCGTCCGCGCAGTATGACATCCCCATGGCCGACTCGGGCGCGCCGACGGGCGACGTGCAAGCCGAGGACTCGGACGGCATCGACGAAGGAGAGGACCTGGAAGAGGGCGAGGACGACGGCGAGGCTTCACCTGACAAGATGGACGAGTCGTAATCGACGGTGAACTGTTCATGTTTGGATTGGTGCATGGTGCATAGCGCGGTGTTCAGGTTGGTAGGCCTCTGTTTTGTCTCTTCATCAATCGTACTTCATGCCCCGTCCACACGGGCTCATGATCCGTCTGTTTCGTCTCTCCATCAGTCACACTTCATACCCCGTCCAAACAGGCTTCATGATCCCTCAGCAATCACCTTTCTTCCGGCCGCTAGTGCATCCTCTGCTTTCTTGATCTCGTCTGCGTTACCACCGGTGTTGTTGCTGTTCTCCTGCTACCTGTCAGCGTGTGCTCATGCCACTTTGCAAACTCGACTCACGAGTTCGGCCTCGAGCTTCTCGACAGCCTGCTCGATCCTTGCTCGAATGGCCGGGAACACATTCTGGGTCTCTTGGCGGGCTTGCTTCTGCGCTGCTGTCAGAACAACTCTCACGAAACGAAGCGTACCGGGAGCCCACCTCTTGTCGCAGCGTGTACTCCTTGTTCTCGTCGCCTTCGCTGGCTTCAAGCTTCTTGATGCGCTCCGCCTGCTGCACCAGCTCCTTGTGGTAGCTGGCTTCCTCTTTGACCAATCGAGTGACAGAGCCGGTCGCAACGGCGAGCTTGGAAGGAGGTGCCATGTCGACGGATGTGCTGTAGCTAGTATGTGCACTGCAAAGTTTGGGTTTTGTCCTCACTCTGCGCACACTTTTGACATGTGGGAGTTGCTGCCTTGTCGCGAAGTCGCCTGTTGCCCTGGTCGACGAAATGGATTCAGCGCGGGGCGATGAGACAAACACTACCCCACAAGCGGCTAGGAAACAAGCACTTTACGCGCTCACGTCTCCTTTCGCGTGAGCAACGCGTCGCAGCAGCCGACCTTCATACGCCTCCACACTGCATCGCAGTGCACAAAAGTTGCATGCAACCATTGCCCCGCAATCATGTCCTCACCCACGAAGCGGCGCACGCAGCGTTCTTCTGCCTCTGCTACACCGCGACGACCAACGCGAAATTCTGCAGTCCCTTCCAGCCCTGCGCCCGTGGATGCGGACGGCCAGCTGCAGTCTGAGGCCTTGCAGGCGTCGCGCGGACTGCTCGCATCGCCAAGCAGCTCGAAGCCATGGGCCGACTCGACACAATCGCAGTCTCCCCTGTTTATGGCCTCATCGCCAGCAAACGCCTATGCGAACGGCGCAGCAGAGAGCGACGGCGGTGCGACACCAAGGGCGAGTGTCCTCAACGGTAGAGGTAGAGTGGCCCCACCCGTCACTGTCTGGCGGAGATTTTTGCTGATCGCTCAGACTCGTCGCCCATTGACTACGCCTCGAGCTCCAGCCCTGGCCGCGCCCGCAACGCACAGAACACCGACCTCCGCAGCAGCAGCAGTGCCCTCTTTGTTCGTGGCTCTGAGTCGGCAGCCCGACACCGGAGGAGCGACATCCATTCTGATGTCTTTGGTGCCAGCTCGGCGGGTGGCCAGCGCCGCAGAATGTTTGTCGACGAGCACGGTATGCCCGTCGGCGACGCCTCGGATGCTGCTACTTTCTCCAATGTCAATCCAAACACGTCAGACGCCGATGCGCTGGGCGGCAACACTTCGCGCATCATTTGGGGCACCAACGTCTCCCTGGTTGATGCCAGACACGCGATGAAGGACTTCCTCGTCAACTTCCAGAGAAAATACCGCTTGATCCAGGATGGCGAGCTGGAAGAGGGCACCAGCCTGCCTGCAGACCATGCCGCCATGACTCGAGAATACGTTGACTTGATGAAGATCATGCTTGAGCTTGGTATCACGCCTCTGAACCTGGACGCCCGCAACCTGAAGTCGTATCCACCAACGAGGAAACTATGGCACCAGTTGCAAGCTTATCCCAACGAGATCATCCCCATCATGGATGTCGCCATCAAGGACGTCATGCTGGAGCTTGCCGAGAAGAAGATGGCGGAAATGAGGGTTCAGATTAGCCAGCAACAACACAGCGCGCCGCCCAGAGCTCGTGACTCGAGCTCTCTGCCGCCCATGCCGAGCTCAGACGCGCCTACACCAGGAGCGCCCTCTCCTGCGCCCTTTGCAGACATCCCAAACCTGGTCAGTGAGGTTGACCAGAAGTCGTACAATGTCAGGCCTTTTGGCCTTGACAACACGATCAATCTGCGCGAACTGAACCCCGGCGACATGGACAAGCTGGTCAGTGTGAAGGGTCTGGTCATCAGGACCACCCCTATCATTCCAGATATGAAAGACGGTAAGTGCAAGCAGTCCATTTCTGAAGAGTGTTACTGACATCGACAGCCTTCTTCCGCTGCTCAGTGTGCAATCACGCAGTCAGGGTCGACATTGACCGTGGCAAGATTACTGAGCCCACAAAGTGCCCGCGTCCTGTGTGCGACTCTCCCAACTCCATGCAGATTGTGCACAACCGATCCGGCTTCGCCAACAAGCAGGTCATCAAACTGCAGGAAACACCTGACAACGTTCCCGATGGTCAGACGCCCCACTCCGTCTCTCTTTGCGCCTACGATGAGCTCGTCGATGTATGCAAGGCCGGTGACCGAGTCGAGATCACGGGTATCTTCAAGTGCAGCCAGGTGCGCATCAACCCTCGTCAGCGGTCAGTGAAGAATATCTTCAAAACCTACGTCGACGCCCTACACATACAGAAGGTCGACAAGAAGCGCATGGGCATTGACGTGTCGACCATCGAAGAGGAACTCGCAGAGCATGCCGCTGGCGACATTGAAGAAACCCGCAAAGTATCACAGGAAGAGGAGGACAAGATCAAGGCCACCGCTGCACGCCCGGACGTCTACGAGCTTCTTTCACGCTCCCTTGCGCCCAGTATCTATGAGATGGACGATGTCAAGAAAGGCATTCTGCTTCAGCTCTTTGGTGGCACAAACAAGCAATTCGAGAAGGGCGGAAGTCCAAAGTACCGCGGAGACATCAACGTCCTGCTCTGCGGTGATCCATCGACGTCCAAGTCTCAGATCCTGCAATACGTGCACAGAATCGCACCGCGCGGTGTGTACACTTCTGGCAAAGGTTCCTCCGCCGTAGGTCTGACCGCATACGTCACGCGCGATCCCGAGACTCGTCAGCTGGTCCTCGAGTCTGGAGCTTTGGTCTTGTCTGACGGAGGTGTGTGCTGCATCGACGAGTTTGACAAGATGTCCGAATCCACGCGTTCAGTCCTCCACGAGGTCATGGAGCAGCAGACCGTGTCCATCGCCAAGGCAGGTATCATCACCACCCTCAACGCCCGCAGCTCCATCCTCGCCTCGGCCAACCCCATTGGATCAAAATACAACGTCAACCTCCCTGTCCCGCAGAACATCGACCTCCCCCCCACGCTCCTCTCCCGCTTCGATCTCGTCTATCTCGTGCTCGACCGCATCGACGAGCAGGCCGACCGCCGCCTCGCGCGTCATCTCGTCGGCATGTACCTCGAGGACAATCCCGAGAACGCATCCAGCGCCGAAGTCCTCCCCGTCGAGTTCCTCACAGCATACATATCCTACGCGCGCACCAACATCCACCCCAAGATCACCGCGCCCGCGCAAAAGGCGCTCGTCGACGCCTACGTGGCCATGCGCGCGCTCGGCGCAGACATCAGATCCCAGGAGCGCCGCATCACCGCCACCACGCGCCAGCTGGAGAGCATGATCCGGCTCGCCGAGGCGCACGCCAAGATGCGGCTTGCCGCGGACGTGACGGCCGACGACGTCAACGAGGCCGTCCGCCTCATCCAGTCAGCCCTCAAGCAGGCCGCGACCGATGCGCGCACGGGGCTCATCGACATGTCGCTGCTCACCGAGGGCTCGAGCTCGGGCGACCGCAGGCGGAGGGAGGATCTCAAGCGCGCCGTCGTCGCGGCGCTGGACGAGCTGGTGGGCGCGGGCCAGAGCGTCAGGTTGAGCGAGCTGGTGAAGCATATCCGCGAGGGTGCCGGCGAGCAGGTTGAGAACCAAGAGTTCCTCGAGGTGCTGCGCAGCGCCGAGGCGGAGGGCAGTCTGCAGGTCAGCGGCGAGGGGCCTCGGAGGGTGGTCAAGCGCATCGTCGGGACTTTTTAGCCTGTATTGCAATGGTTACCTGTATGATGTCTTGCTGCATTCGTCTCCAGGCCTCTGTTCGTGTTCGTCTTCACTCCCCGTCGCTCTCGCACAGCACACCGCGCTCCCACGCCGTCTCACACCCGCCACGCTGTCAATGTCAATGTCGGGTCACGTGGCGCGTCCAGCAGCTCTTTGCGACGCAATGGAATAAATCTCTTCCAATCCAGACAAAGCCAACACACGCCGGGACCCAGCACACCCTCTCAGCCCTCGATGCTCTTCCCCAACTGCAAATCTAGCGTCTTGGCAAGCACATACAGCAACTCCAGCCTGTCACACTTGACGCCCTTTTCCCTCGCCATCCTGACGGTATTCCCCAAGATAGCCTCAACTTCAATGCGCCGCCCAGCCCGCACGTCCTGCAGCATACTCGGCTCGATACCCTTCTGGCGCGGAATCCTCGCCGTGGCCCGCCCGAGTTCAAAGCGCACCCTGTCCAGCGCAATATCGTACCCGTGCGCGGCAGCCACGTCGCGGATCTCGCACATAACGGCCTCGATGACCGCGCTCGCGCCGGGCGAGGCCTGCAGCACATCCGTGTCCTTGCTCAGCGCGAGGGCGCAGATGGGATTCCAGGAAGCGTTGATGAGCAGCTTTGTCCAGCGTATGCGCTGGATGTCGGTGTGCAGCAGGGCCGTGGCGCCGGCGGATTGGATTAGTTGCGTGAAGGCGGCCGCGTGCGCGGGCGAGGCTGAGCTCGGGTGTGCGCCGATTTCGAGGCGTTCTATCTCGCCGTGCGTGATGGTGCCGGCTGGGCGCTGGGTGGCGGGGAAGTACAGCACTGTGCTGATGAGGGGGTTGTCGGGGAAGGCGGCGTGGTACTCGTCCTCGATGCCGACGCCGTTTTGCAGTAGTACGATGGCGGTGTGGCCTGGGGTGACGGCTGGGGCGATGCAGGCGGGCACTGTGCCGGGGATGGCTTTGCTGCATACGACGATGTAGTCGAATGGTGTTGGGTCCGCGGACGCTGCTTCCTCGCAGCTCCTCACGACGTTTGGTCTGAAGTGGATGTTTTGCCCGAAGATGGAGGAGTTGATGATGAAGCCATTTTCCTTAGCGACGTCGTAGTTGGAGCGGCAGACTGCAGTCGTTGTCGAGGTTTTGGAGAGCAGCCAGAGATAGACGGTGCCGACGCCACCGGCGCCAAAGAGGAGCACTCGAGGGCGGGAATCGGTAGTCATCTTGAAGTTGGAGATTGAGGCATGTCGAGGACAGACGTGCCGACGTCGCCTTCTCTTGCGGTCCGTAGGGCGCAATCGCCCCACTTTTATAGATGTAACCTTATCGTGATGTTTGCCTGCATTTTCTTGCACCTTCTTGCACTCTAATCTCTTCATTCGCATCATTGCCGTGTTTCAATTCACGCGCAGCACGCACAGACCCAGGAATCCAAGAACGTGAAGTCGAGAATAACGTGATTGTACACAGTTCCGCCCTCTTTCGCGCGACAACAACACCCGTCTGCGTACATGTCCATTGACATTGCGAGGCACATGGGAAAGAAAAATATACGCCGGAAACGCCGTGCTCTACGTGTCTCGCAAAGGAGCGACACGGACCCAGACCCAAAGCCGATCAAATCCATCAATGTAAGGCGCGAGCCGAATTGTCCAAGTGGCACTTTTCTTTCAACAACGCCGAGCCATGAGATGTGGAAACGACGAGGAACGTCGTGTATATACAACAGTAAGCCATCGGAGGCTACCAAGTTTCCTGCCCTGGGTCAGCGGTGCACAAGTATTAAACATGTAAAAAAAAAAGAAAAAACTCACAGCAATGTACTGGCCGTCATTCTTCTTGTTGGCCCAGAACTCGTGCGCCTGCTCGCGGCTCAGATTGCCCTTTTGCATGGTGATGTCGATGAGGGCCTCCTCGACGCCCTCGCCCATGCCCTTGCTGCTGCCGCACACAAAGATGCGGCCGTCGAGGGCGTTGATGACGAACCACACAATGTCGGCTTGCATGCGCACCTCGTCCTGCACGTACTTGGCCTCCGTCTGGCCCGTGACGCGCGTCTTGCGGCTCTGCACCACCTTTTTGATCTCGCGCTCGTGGTCGCCGAGCTCGCCCGAGTAGAGCTCGTCCAGCATGCTGTCACGGACGCCCTGGATCAACCAAATCTTGTTGGCGCAGTTTGCATTCTTCAGCCTGTTCAGGATGAAGCCTCTGAAAGGAGCCATGCCGACGCCGGCACCAATCAGAACCATTGGGCCTTCGCCACCAAACTGCTTGGACAGTGGATTGGCCATCAGACCACGGAACATGGGGACGCGGAGATCCAGCACCTCACGGGGGTCGATGCCTTGCTGCTCGGCAGCGATGAACTGCTGCGCAATGCGCTCCATGAAGCCGCTGCCGACGCCCGTGCGTGTGGCGCCAGGGCCGTGCCAGTCAGGCGTCTCGTGGACAGTCACGGCCATCTCGATCAGGCGGCGCGTTCCAGGCAGACCGGGACGGGCGGACGAGATGTGGGGGTCGTTGGAGAGGGAGTAGAACCGCGGCATGAGCTGCGTGAGGACGGAGAGGAGGGCCGGCAGCGGAGGCTTGGCGGACGGGAAGGCGCTGAGCATCTGCGGAATCGTGAGGTGGGAGGTGGTGCGGAGGTCGCAGAAGGCCGCCTGGCCCTGTGCAGAGCAGAGGTACTCGAGCACCTTCTTCTCGTTGGGCGCCTCGGCGTACTCGGCCATGACGCGGACGAGCTTCTTGGTCGGTGGGCTGGACTGGATGTCTGCGCACCACGTCAGGAGCTCGCGGCGCGTGGTGCGCAGCTCGCGCGCCCGGTCGTCTCCCCAGATGGTCGGCCATCGTCCGCCCTTGGTCTTGAGCGTCACGGGCTTGTCGCGCACGAACCTTGGCACACCGAGGAGATCGAACAGCTCGTCGACCATCTCGCTCGGGTTGGGCGGGCAGATGCCAATGGCGCCGCCGACCTTGAAGTCGACCCCGCCCTCGTCAGGGTAGTCGGTGACGTCAATGTCAAAGTGCATCGTCCGCTTCTCCGCGCCGGGCTTAGTCAGCTCGCGCGCGTGGTACAGCGGCGCCGAGAAGACGTCGTACGGCGGGTGCGGCTGCACGTACTGGGGCGGTGTCTTGCGGACGTCGGCGACGCCCGCCCCCGGCTGCGACGGCAGCGCCTCAAACGACATGTGCACCGCGGGCAGCTCGGTGACGTCAGTGAGCTCGCTGTCGAGCGCAAGCGGGCCCAGCTTGACGCCGAGGGAGCGGAACGCCGCATTGTCCGGCACGACGACGGGCACAAACGAGGCCGCCGACGTGTCGGGCTGCAGCGTCTTGAGCAGACAGCAGCCGCCGCCGCAGCACTGGCTGATGAGCTTGGTGGCCGTCTCGCCGCTGCCGAGGATCTTCTGGATGTCGGCGGGGCTGTCCGAGATGAGCGTCGTCGAGGCGCGGCGCGGGCGCGCCTGGACCGCGACGCTGACGGCGGCGGTCGGGAGGGCCTCGAGGCGGTCGACAATCTCCTCGACGGCGTGGTCGGGCTCGGTGCTGGGCGTCAGGGGCGCCTCAGAGTCATCGCTGCTGTTCGGGCTCCACCGCATCGACTCGCCCGCCGACCTGGGCGACGTGTGCTCGGGCTGGGACGGGTCGCGCCTCGCCCGGAGCGAGAGCTGCGGCACCGCGCGCGACGGCGGAGGCTCGCAGGGAATTGGGTCGTCGGGGTGCGACGTCGCCGTGTGCGGCAGCTGGTGCGGCGGGGCGGCCGTCGACGAAGCCATGGCGCGCGAGTGCGGCGGGCGGACGAGGACGGGGACGGCGAGGGCGGACGGGCGTGCTGGGGACGCGACAAAGGGGGCTGTTGCGGGTCGTCATGGTTAGCACGGCCGTACTCGGGAATGGGGGCGTGCCATCGGCGGGCAGCGCGGTGCAGTGCGAATTGCTGCGAATTGCTGCGACTTGCGGCTTGCTGCGGCTTGCTGCGAGTTGCTGCGGCTTGCTGCGAGTTGCTGCGAATTGCTGCGACCGCGGGGGTTGTGCACCGCCGCTGGCTTATCTGATCGCATCCAAATAATCAGATCGTGGGCACTCGTACCTCCTCGGTGTGGCTGCACGCGCCAGAGTCGCAACCGGACGCGAGAGAGTGACAGCCGCCTTGTCGTGGACAACGCAGTATTGAGGGTCGACACTTTGAACGATAAAAGGCAATTGTCTCGAGGACAGGGTGCAGTGCGTGCGGTGCGGAAGAGGGCAGTACTTGGCAGGTATGGGCCTGCAAAAGATGTCAAGTGTGGGTGCAGGGTGGTGACGGCACCACGGGCGTTGCGCCTCTAAAAATGTGCCGATCCAAAGGCCCGTCTGCGAGGCTGAACCATTGTCAGCGCGCCATCGGCTGAAGCAGGACAGTAGTGGACGGCGGGTGCTCTTCCGCGGCAACGGGTGGAAGGCCTTTTTCTACGCATGCCCAACTGCCCGGAGAAGGCTTTTCCACCCGGCCGCTCTCCGTGCAAGAAGTTCAGAAGGCGTCTCCTGGCTTCGGCTGCTGAGCTCCGCCCATGGATTGGCCACCTGCCGCTATTTCGAGAAGCTGAGGGAGCTCCTCAGGCGCCGACGACCGTCAGATCTCCGCGCGATCGCGGCGTTCTCCGCATCTGATAAAGACCCGGCATTGCCCACGACGCTTCCCGTGCACACCGACACACCGAGGCCGCGCTCTCTGCACTGTTGCGCTGCAGCGGTACTTGGTAGTTGGTAGTAGCAACACAATATGTAGTTGGTAGTTGGTAGTGGCAACACAATATGTAGTTGGTAGTTGGTAGTGGCAACACAACATGTACTTGGTACACCTCCCTCACCGCTGCAGCGCTGCAGCGCTGCAGCGGCCACTACCGTATTCAACGTGACATCTGCAGGCGACGCGGCCCATTACGTCGCCAACGTCGCCAACGTCGCCAACGCCGCCAACGTCGCCAACGCCGCCAACGCCGCCGTCCGGGCTCTCGGGTTACCCCTCCATCTGACGCTATGCAAACAGATCCGCGAAGCACCCACGCTAGCCATATCAGAGCCGCAATCTGATAACAGCGACATCGGAGCCCGCGACGCATCATCGGTGGCGTGCTTGGCTCACTTCGATGGTCGCCCTTATCTGATCGATTCATTTGGTTCTGATGACTTGACTAAGTGCCTGTTCGAGCCTAGGGGCTGCCCGCATGGTTTGAACCTTGCCCAGTTGGGTAAGCGCGTGAATGTGAGGTCGAAATTGACTTGATTGTTGACAAGGCTGCATGATTCCACAAGCTCCATGTCTCCGCGTGCATCGACACGTCCGCCACCCTACTGCCGTGGCAGAACCTTCTTCAACACCTCGACGAGACCGTGGATCTCCTCTTCGGTGTTGTAGTGCACCATCGAGACTCTCGTAACGCCCTCGGGTCCAAGCCCAAGCACCTCGTCACACAGCCGCTTCGAGTAGAAGTGGCCCCATCGGAAGCCGTAGTCTGAGATCTTCTCGGCCTCCAGCACAATCGTCTTGGGGCTGATGCCGTCGACAACGAACGAAATGGTGGGCACGCGCTCCTTGGAGTCGGCCGACGCCGAGCCCACGACTGTAACGTCGTCCCGGGAGTTCAAGAAGTCGAGCAGGATCTTCTGCAGCTTGCCCTCGTGCGCGGTGATTGCCTCGTCAGAGCCCTCGAGGTACGTCGCGATGGAGGGCAGTGCCTGGACGCCCTCGTAGTTGGACCCTGCGAAGCCGAGCTTGTCTTCGAGCGTCTTGGTCGGGTTGAAGAAGTGCGACAGCGGCTTTACGTACTTTTGCGCTGCCGAGCTGGCGTACAGCACTGCAATGTGCGGGCCGTAGACCTGTGCGCGTTAGCTTGATTCACAGCGTCAAGATGCGCTCGAGTACCTTGTACCACGAGAAGGCGTAAAAGTCCACGCCGAGCGCCTTCACGTCGACTTTCCTGTGTGGTGCGAAGCTCACGCCGTCAACGCATAGCAACGCGCCGACCTCGTGCACTGCATCTGCAATTGCTTTGACGTCGTGGATCGTACCGAGCACGTTTGAGACGTGTGTGCAAGCTACGAACTTGACCTTCGGTGACAGCAGCGGCTTCAGGTTCTCGGCCGTCAGCTTCAGCTCCGGTTTTTCCGACTGCCACCAAGTCACTTTCAACTTGAGACGCTCGGCCATGAAGAGCCAGGGCTTGACATTAGTCTCGTGTTCCATCTTCGAGAGGATGATCTCGTCGCCCTCGTTGAATATCATGGCCTGTGAGAGATTCATGAAGAGCTGGGTTGTGGATGCTCCGAGGACTGTGCAGAATCAGCTTTGATGCTTTCGACTACTCTATCGCCGAGCATACCAATCTCATCGCGGCCAGCATTGATGTACTTTGCGGCTGCCTGGTAACCATCTTCGTACTTGGTGTTTGACTGTGTGCCCGTATGGTACGAGGCACCAAGCTGGACGTTGGTCTTTGACAAGTACTGGGTGATGCTATCATCATATCAGCACAATGCCGCTTTCGAAACACCAGTGTACTGACGAATCAATGACTGTCCCAAGCGCTTGACTGCCGCCGGCGTTGTCAAGGAACACTTGATCCTGCTGCAGTGCGGGAAACTGCTCGCGCGCTTTGGAAATGTCAAATCTAGCTGCCATGTCTGCGTGTCCTGGACTTCAATGTTACGACTGCTGTTTTCAGCCTCTGGAAATATATCGATGGTATTCACAGGGCGCGCAGGGCGTGAGATACTGTTATCCTCTCGGCTCTAATTCGCACCGCTGAAGGTGGGGGTTCGCTGGAGAAGGAAGGTGTGACGCCATCACATCTCGAACTCAACTTTCCAGTTCCACAACACTCTTACTTCTTCGCAAATTGACAGTAGTGTTTGCTCGCATCGATTCAAACTATAGCGGCGCGAGGACATGCTCATGTTGTCGATCCTTGCCTGATCAATCCCTGCTTCGACGGACCATTGCCGCCTGCTGACCCGATCACGTTCATACACTCGGCCTTTCTCTTGTACCGACGCCTGGCCGTCGCCCTGCTGTACGTGATGCGTCCGTTGCCCGCTTGTAGGGAGAAGACAGGTAGTATGTATCCAGCCAGCCCTCGCTTCCCGTCCCGCCGCGTGGCTAGACGCAGTCAATGCTAACTCAACCATAACTCCGCATATAACCAGCTATCTCGCGTCGTGGCCGAGTAAGGTTGAGAGGCGTGAGGCTGCATTCCTAACCAAGGAGGGACTACTCGCTCCGCTTCACGCCACGAGGCCTGATCCGGTGCATTTCTGGTTCGACAGTATCCCCAAAGATTCTCCGAGTATGCGAGTCCGAGGCTTGTCTTTGAGTTCAGAGGCTCAATACATACTTGAAGGTCAGGAGAATCGATTGCATACTCCAGAACAAGAGGTACCTTGACAGAGCGTACTCACAGCTGGTCTGAGCAGATGACCTGCACCTGAACTGTGCTCCTGTCGACGCGCGAAGGGTAAGCCACAACTCAGAAAAAAAACAAATTGGAGGCTGAGAAAACACGTTTGAAGCTCCGCAAGAAATATGACTATCACCAGCCCAGCTGCCTTGGCTGCATAAACGCATCGCCAACTTGGCAAGTGTCAGCCTTGCTATGAAAGCTTTGCCGACCATGGAGCAGGTACCATGCTTCGCAGATTTCTTACTTCTTCCTCTACCGAGTCTACCCCGGCTTCAACAACCTCTACCGCACTCTCTAGCAGCACTTCTGTCTCTTCAACCACCTCTACAAGTTCATTCGCGACTCTGATACCGACACATGACTCTTCGGATAGCGGAGCCAGCCTCGTTGCGAAGCCCAGCTTCGAAATGAACACTGGCAGCGGTGCTGGTAAGACGGCTACGTCTTGGGCCTCCACGTCTACCTACGTCTACCCTGTCGTCATTCAGAGCGCGGCTCATACTGGCAAAGCATACTTGTAGTCGCAACCTTTCCTCAACGTCGCCGCATATCAAACTTTACATGTCGATAGGGTCTTCCTCTCCAGTCAGACGTACGGATTTTCGGCCGCCGCCTCTCATAAATTTCACCTGTGCTTGACACGTCCCGAGACTACGCAGCGTCATACTACCTCTACAAAGTACTCGTACACAGGCTCAGCTGCAATTGGATGCACTGTCGAAGTATATGCTAACGATTTCTCAATCACCAGCCAGACTATCACATCGCTCGGCGGCGCAGTCAAGTACACGCGGTATGTGTCGACAGTGCTCACACCAAGTTCGTCAGACGTGACGCTGAAGATGCACTTCAGATGCACTTCTGGATCCAGCTCTTTCCTAGTCGACGACGTATCACTGACATCAGCCTGCGCTCGAGACTCATAATTCCCATGAACCACAGGCGAGAGACTCATATTCAATGCAAGGATGTCAATCAGTCCTGTGCGTCAATTGTCGCGCGTTCTTTCCCCAACGATGAGAGCAGACTGACCTTCCATCTTCGGTGACCCAGATCATTCTGCGAGGACGAGAAGGTCCGAGCAGCATTCAATGATCAAATCCGACGTTACGAAACCTTCCTTTACTGGTTAGTAGGCCGCATTATGCCGTGCTTCGGTGGTGGCGTTGGTGGAAAAGACATTATCCGTCCCATGTTGATGGCGCCCCTGCTTTTGTTGCACCTTCCCCGTTTCCCCCCTCGCAAACTGGGCTTAAACTAAACGGGGCCGCATTCACTTCTGAATAAGTCCAGGTATGATGACCACTCGGTATCGGATGTCTCACCAGGAAGTAACAATGTGCGCAGAGTGCACTTCGTGCTACTATAGAATCTGATTGCACAGCGGCGGGAGACATCGAATCTAGACCACGGCCCCGGAGCACATACCAAGATCGGAGGAAAGCATACAAGATGTGATTTTGACCACGACGTCTGTGTTGATAGATGCTGTCTCACCCCTTGTTTGCTTGAGCCAGCCCAGGCACATGGGACTCGCACCAGGGGATCACCATTGACACTGTATCCGGCATCACCACGCTCACTTCGAAGTACACCCTCAGCAATCAAGTCTTCTATCGTTGCTCACTGCAACGTCACATTCTCCTACACCCACAATGGCCGATGTGATATCGTCAACGTCGCATACTTCGCCCCCGGCCCATCGTCGTTCAAGAACCGCTTCCTAGCCACCAGCGTTGGAGGCCTGGCGATCAACCCCAAAGCCACTTCAGTCGCTGGAGACGTCAGCATTGGAGCTGTAAGCGGCCTCACAGACGGAGGGTTCGGTGACTTCAACACGCAGGCAGACGTGCACTTCTTGGTCGCCAACGGGACCGCCAAGTGGGAAAACGCATACACGTTCGGCTACCGAGCCATCCACGAGATGACCGTGCTCGTCAAAGCCTTCACCAGGAACCTCATGGTCATGCAGGAGAGCACCAAGCTGCACGCCTACTACCAAGGGTGCTCCGAGAGCGGCCGCGTCCTTGCGGTCTGCAGTCACCCGCCGTTCGGCTGGTAGCTGTTCACACCGCAGTGCGCGGCCTCGGGTACCAAGTACAAACGATAGAAACCCTGCAACTTGCTTGTGGATTCGTTGTAGCCCAGCCCCAGGTATATGGTGTCATGCATAGAGTTCCAGTAATGTACCGAGCTGGCGGCGGGGATCGAGTTGTTGCTCTCGCCGTGGACGTGCAGAATCTTCCCACCCGAGGCCTCGAAGCGCGAGAGATTAGGCCAGGTGGTCTGGAGGGAATCTTCGTACGTCTGCGAGAGGTCGTAGATCCACTCTTCCAGCGTGTCGTAGGTCACGCCGTCCACAGGCGCGAGGGTTGATGTGTTCTGCAGCCAGATGTACCGCGTCACGAACTCCCCGCCCAGGCCGGATGTTGAGCTCTTACTCATCCGACGCGTTGTTGTACTGTGTCTAGGCATCTGCGAAGGTCGCGCTGGGCTGGTAGTAGAAGTACGCCTGTCGCCCTGCTGAGTCGTGCAGCCCATTGGTGATGCCTGCGCGACGGCCGCTGCTTGAGCCGACACGGTGCCGTTCTGAGCTGGTGTCGGTTGGCCGCTGCTTGGGCCAAACGGGCTGCTGGCTGCTTCCCCCTGCTTTTGTGGGGCAGTAGTATGGCAGTCCGATTGTGGAGGTGACGTTTAAGTGCAGCTTGTACAGATCCGAGCGCACAACAACACCGTTCGTGTTGCCATCGAGCTCGCACAGCGGCGGGAAGTAGTCGAGTGTCTTCTCGACGACGTTGCCGTATAGATGCTGGATCTGCTGATGCGCATAGCGGAACGCGGGCGCGGATACGAACGTGCCATCGAGCTCCTGGAAGCGCTGGATCTGGGTGGAGAACAATCAGGCGACAGATATGCTGAATGCGACGGTGTTGCTGGGTGCGAAAAAGGGGCAGAACCAGCAGATCTGTCAGTGGCCGCTAAGGCCTGTTTATGGCAACGACTCGAGTGTACCAGAGTGTGTCTACGATCAGGAGAGCATTGGCTCGTCGCATTACCACCTGGATGCCTTCAAGATGCCTGTGTACTAAGGAACAGGCTTCTCGTGGAGGAGGAGAGAAGGTCGATCATTTCGGGTCTGATCATTAGTTTCACCAAAGTCCGCTCCGTCGTCAAAACAGCATACCCAGATCATTAGCGTTTCCGTCCCATCCAACCCCATCAAGACTAAATCCATTAGCACTCCAGCCCATATCGAGAGGCAGAAACCCGTTCCAAAGCGCGCTCTCATCCGGCGGGTTCGCGCCATTATTCCCGTGCATAGCGAAATCGCTAACAGCGCCGAGATCTGTCCAGCCAAAATCGCCCATCTGCTCCGTCAGCGCTGGAGACTCGCCCGTGCCTACTGAGCTCGTGCGTGGACTCTGCGCTGTGGTCGTCGATGGCGGAACAGGGAAGCCATTCTGGTCCACAGGGTTGCTGGCGACGCTTGTGCCAGGGTGCCTGAAGGCGGAACGACTGCTCTTGTCCTTGCGCGGTACCTTGGCCCATAGCAATTTGAGGAGCTGCGAGTACCGCGAACCAGGGTGCTGGATACCAGCCTCTACGCCCACGGCGCTGCGTTGTAGGCGCGACACGGTCTCATTGATCATGGCGCGAATGGCGCGGTCTTCGTCGCCAGATATAACGCCTGTACAGCGCGCGCGGTAGAGGAACACGCCGGCATGCACGAGGTAGAGATAATAACGCAGTGGCATGAAGCGCAGGCTAGTTTCGGGGGAGACGAAGTTATTGACGGTTGTGAGGATGGCTTTGGCAGCGTCGAGGCCTTCGTATATAAAACGCGCGTCACCGACTGCACCGACGTTGTTAACGAAGACCCTCTGTGGCGCCTGAGGACCTCCAAGGTTCGAGGCTTCATGTGGAACCGAGGAGCTATTCGCGGAGGGGAGCGCGCGCAGAACGGTGGCCTGGAATGCGAAGGCATTGGTGTATAATCGAAGGTAATCATAGGACATCAGCAGACATGCCTTCAAAGGTGCAGAGCATGTTAATGTGCCCCAAACACTCTTCCAGCCGTAGATCGCGGAGCGGAAATCGTCGATAAACTTAATGTAGCTCCCGCTCATGTTGGAGCGGAACGAGGCGCCAGGATTACTGTACAGGGTATCGTGAACATTGGAGAAAAGCTGAGTCAGCTCAAGGTTGGCTTGGAATATTGAAGCGTAGTCTTCCTCGTTCGGTGATTTCGGAATCAAACTGGGGTAGTCTTCGCGTCTCAGCGTGGTAAGAGGGCCTGGACCGCGCGACCAGAAAGCCTTGCCAATGCGGATACTAATGTGTCGGTCGGAGACGTAGGCGGCAGTCCAGATCAGACGCTTGCGATTATGCTGCGGATCTTTGCTCTGATCGACGAAGCGGAAGGAGTACTTATCGAGCGCAAGGAAGTACGCAATTCGAAGTGCGATTCCAACATGCATCCAGGACTCTTTGTCTTCTTCGCCTTTGCCCACTTTGCCTCCACCTCTCTGAGTATACGGGGCCCACTCGGCGAGCAGTAGCAAAGCTTCTACGGCTTCGATGCCGGCGTCGCCTCCTGCAGCAAGATTGGCAACAAGGGCCCTCATATGCTCAGTACACGCTTCATATATATGCGGCTCGTTCACTAGATCTTTCGAGGCGATCAGAAGAATCGCTGTGAGGAGATGTGGTTCCTTCCTGAACATGTCATGCATGCGCGTGGTATCAAAGGCATGCGCAGGCGCCAGTGGGTAGAAAGGGTGGTAGTTCTGCTGGTACCGCACCAGCAATTGACACAGCGAATGCACCGTCAGCACGCCGCGATCTAGCAGAGGGTATGAGAAGGACAGTGGCGGCGCGTGCATCGCTGTACTGCCACTCGGCGGTAACAGCGCGGATCCAGCTCCAGCGTTGTGACCATTGTTGTTCTCCTCGTTCGAGCTCGTCTCGCCCGCAACTTGCGCCAGTATGCCCAGAGCATCTGAAGGATTCTGGAGGTTGTTAAAGGCTAGCTCGTCGGTGTTCGAGGAGTCGGAGCCCGCGGCGTGGGGGTTCTCGCCATAGTGTTGCTGCTGCGCGCCCGCATCGTGTGACCACGTCCCCAGGTTTCCGAGCGTATGGAAGCTGCCATCCTCGGTCCCGGTGTTCGTCAGCGAGGGTAGCCCGGAATTCGTCTCGTCAATGCGCTTCTTGCGCACGCGTCGCCCGCCGCGCTTGCTGCCACCGAGCACGCACTCGAGGTTGTCGCGCTTGCATCGCAGACACGGGATGGTACCTTGCTCGTCGCTGAAGATCGTCAGTCATTGTCGCGCAGCTGCGCAGGATGCCGCGATTGTGGGAACTCACAGCAGGCACCGGCTCTTCCGCTTGCGACAGTTCAGACAGGCTTGGTGGGCCCGCTTGGCCTTCGACGAGTCATCTTCCTGCGTGGTGCTCGCCTTCTGCGCATCGGGCAGAGATTGCTGTGGGGAAATCGCGTCCATCGGTCATCATTCAACGTGGACGTGGGAGGTGTTCGGCTTTCTTTGAACAGTGCCAAAGGCCGCGGGTTCGGCGACCTGCTCCCCTCCGCCGGCCCGACGGTGGACGGCTACTGGCTCGACCCCAGAACACGACCTCCAGCTTCTGAAGTGACCACCGACCTCCAACAGGAACTCATCGGTGTTTGCACCGATTGATGGGCGTTGCAGTACATCCACGAGTTAGATATACGAAACGCACCGATTTGAGCCGCAAATTCTTATCCGGTCTTCAGCCCAATACCAGCCCTTCTCAATTGCAGAGCAGGCAGGTGCCGCCTGCGCAGTCTGCTCGTCCAATGGTTCTCTTCCAGTCATGAGCGTGGAAATTCCGTACGGTAGATAGAGCTGAAGGCGCTTAAAAGGACCAAGGCACGTCCTGAGGCTCCTTGTTTGACAGCGCATGATCTCCAGCATCCTCCAATCGACGTGTCCAGGGACACAAATATCAGGAGGTGTGGTCTGGATCCTGCTCCCGACTGTGGAAATTCCATGTCTGGGATGACATTGTTTAACAGATGGTCTGGACGTCGAGGTTCAAGTCTCGACGTTCTCGTAGAGTGGCGATCGAGAAGACAAGAGTGTTGTGTCCATATGGGCGGCGCTTCGGTGGGGAGGATCAGACTCGCAGCCGACGTCGCCCTCAAGGAAGTCTACTACGGTATCGCAAGCAACCGGCTGCTCTAGCGTGGTAGGTTTGACCTCTTCAGTCTTCTCAGATGCGCGAAGAGATACCTCTCCAGCCCGAAATAAACCACCAGTCGGAGCTTGCATACTCAAGAAGTCGGCAATACAGCCTCATCAGTTCACGCATCTTGGGATCTTGCCCTGCCTTCAATGCTTCCAGGAATTCAGCCTCGAGCGTCGTTGGCCATGTCATCGCTGCTCGTAGTGCTGGATGGCCTGACGTATCAATGCTGTACTGCAACGCTTGTCGCAGTTGTTCTGCTGCCTTAATGCGACTCGCTTGGCTTTCTGGAGACTCGCTTGGCAGAGGGTAGCTCGCTGCCTGTATCTCGACCAGAAACGATGATAGCAGACCGGATGGCTTGTTGAGCTGATCGCCGATGCTCGGACGGATGATGGCGGCGAACGGCCCATTCTCAATCCATGGTACGGCGGTGTTGAGTACAAAGGACATGCCTCGTAGCAGCTGGAAAATCTCTATCAGGACTTCCATGGAGTAGGTTCGAGCATCCACGAAGGCGTTCATTATTGTCAGTGAAGCTGATGCAAACAAGGCATGGCAATTGGCTGGTCCGAGATCTGCCAAAGCCCTGTTCAGGTATGTAAGAGCTGCTGACTGATGAGTCGAAGCGAGCACTTGATAGTAGGAGGCTCTCGACAAGTTAATATAGGCAAGATGATTGGCCGAAAAAGCTAGAATGCTGTGCATCAAGTGTGGATGTTTGAAGCCCTCTTGCGGTACAGCGAAACCCCAGATATGTTTAGCAGCCTCGAGACCAGGCATGGTGGTATAAGCGTGTGCTGTGTAATGGTGCATCAACTCCAGATCTTGCATCCATTGACCAGTTGGGACTTCTGGCGGGACGAAGACTGGGTCGTATTGATTGATAGGCGTTTGTGGGTAATTAGCAGAGTCACCCGTTGTCGGTCCTGGTGACCCAGAGGGTCCATTGATCGTATCTGGGTCGCTCGCGTGGGGCGAGCTTTCTGACGGCGTCTTTGAAACTGTCTGCGCGCGAGCTTGCACTGAGATGCTCAGCAGACTACATTCGACGCGGTACCTAGCACACGCCCCGCATGGTCGGTTCTCATCGCACTAAAGGAATGAGTACGGGCTAAATAATTGGCAAGCGGCTCGTACGTACCTTCACGCGTCTCGCTTTGCATTGCACACACCCATGACGACTTTTTTTTGAGCCCAGTCTCGGCATATCGAGATTCGCGAACACCTTACAAAGATCAGTGGGACAGAGAAGGATGCGGTTCGAGAGCGAGAGCGAGCGCGATGTGGCTGGAACACCAGACCCACAATGCTAAACGTATTCGGCTAGTGTACCGTTTGTTCTTGCCTTTGCATTCCGCTGAGGCACCAATTGCATCGTTCTTCTGTAAATCGTGCATTTGTAAATCCTTCTACTTCGAAGACCTCTGGGATATGTAATGCATCGATCCGAGCAGGCCAAGGATTTTTGGTGACCGACCCTACCCCTTGGCATCCGCGCCGGCGCTCCCATCATGCGCTCCATGCCTCCTGCCTGCGCTCAAACTCCGCAATCTTAGCAACAAAGTCTGCATTCTCCTTCCCAGCCAGCTGCTCGTAGATCCACAAGCTCGTGTCAATACCGGAGGTCACACCGGCAGCGTTAATGATTCTCACACCAGCTTCAGTGGTTCCAGCATCGACCCATCTCTTCCTTACCACGTTCACCTTCGAGTCTCCACCTGCTGCCTGATCGGCGTATTTCTTCAACGCGTCGAAACCCATATGATGCGTGGTGATCGTGCGACCAGCGAGAACACCGGATGCCGCTAGGATGATTGAGCCGGTGCAGACTGACTGGAGTATACGCGTCGCTGCATCCTTCCGTGGCGGCAGGTTCGTGAATTTGCGCAGAAGAGCAGTAAGCTCCTTGCCTTCCTTTGATGGCAGGAGCTTGTCGAAAACATCAAAGTGCGCGCCAGGGATGACCAGGATGTCGTAATCTGCCAATTTGGCTTCGAGCTGCTCGAATGTGCCATTTGGGACATACACCATTGTACCGGTCTCTGATGAGACACGATCGCGGTGCGCAAATGTCGTGATTTCGAAGATTGCTTCCCCAGATGCGGGGCGCATGCTGTAGATCTCGGTTGGTCCGCTGAAGTCAAGGATGTCCGCAGAAGGGTAGAGGTAGACAGCTACTTTGAAGGAAGCCATTGTGTCTGGTACGTGATGGTCAATTTGATATAGAATAGGGAACTAACCTCAGTCTGTCTTCTATCTTTCCATTGGTTTGCATGAATCTGTGTTTTTATATGTGGGCCATGTCTGCCGGAGTACAGCTCGCTCAGCGGATCGGACCAAAGGCTGTCTTCCGCTCCGGGGGCCGTGTAACATTGACGGCTCAGCACATTCCTTCCGCAACAGTAAGCTTACGTTACCCATGAAGATGCCTGAGAAAAGACTTTGCATCAGCAATTACACAAACGTAGTCATCAGAGAATTATTCAAAACTAAGATCCAACAGCAAACTACAGGTCAGCAAGTCACAACAGCACGGCACGGGCACGGCATCCCTCAGATGAAGACAAAATAAGATTTGAGGCCAGAAGCCATGCTCACAAGGTTCCGCTGCGCTACAAAAGCCTCGACCTTCAGTGGTCAGATTACACCTTGCCCTCGCCATGCGTCTCGCGCAATGTGTTCGGATCGACATTCGCACCATGAGCGGAATCTGCGTGCGCATCATGAAGCTCATCCTCTGGGTCATCCACAATACCAGTAATCTTTGTGACGATGACAGCAGCGAAGACGTCACAGCTGACGTTGACCATAGTACGGAAGCGGTCCAGGAACCAATCGATGGCCACGACAACAGCGTACATCCCAGTGACGGGAACGTTGATAGAGCCGCAGATCATAACGACGAGTACTAGACTCGAACTTGGAATGGGCGTCGTGCCGATGGATGCCAGTGTGGAGAGAAGGACAACGATGATGTAGTCAGCAGCGTTAAGCGTGATACCCTGTGTGGCAGCCAGGAAAATAACGACAATAGGGAAGTAGATGGCTGTACCGTCCATGTTGATCAAGCAACCCAAAGGGACGGCGAATTTAGTTACCGTAACCGGGACGTTTTGAGCCAAGACACATCGAATAGTGACTGGGAGAGTCGCAGCTGAGCTCGCAGTTCCCCATGCGGTAACCCAGGCTGGACTGCAGCGCATCCACAATGTGTACGGGTTCCTGCGTGTAAAGGCGAAGAAGATGATCGGGATGATAATGAAGAGGTGTAGAACCATACCGCACAGTGTGCCACCGATCAAGATGCCGAGGTTCTGACCAATTTCTGCGATGTCGAGACGGAAAAGGTTGGGCATGATGAGGAAGAAGACACCGACCGGCGCCAGGTAGATGAGGAAAGTGATGATCTTCATGATGATCTGTTCGATCTCCTCAACGGCGCGGATGAGGGCGCTGCCAGGCTTGATACAGTAGCCCAGCACCACGGCGGTGACCAATACGGCAAGCAGACTGTCAGTGGCCATGGCGTTGACGACGTTATTTGGGACCAGGGAGTAGAACATGTCGACAACGACATCGTGGATCTCAAAAGCCTGACGCTCGTCAATGGTCTCTTGGTCCGACTCGTCGACTTGCAACTGGTCACCGCTGACTACAGTCATGAGTTTCGACCAGACGAGACCGACAAGGATACAAGAGTGCGCGACTGCGATGACGGTCGTGATCACGTAGTAGCCAATAGTCCAGCGAGCGAGTTTGCCGGCTTTGCCGCCACCCTGGGTCATGGTGCGCAGACGCTGAATAGCCATGATCATTGCCGTTACAATCATGGGAAGGACTATGTAGGTTAGCCAAATGTACAGATCCAGAGTAGTAGCATCACTTACCAACAGCTCTCAGGGCGCGCAGCCATAGCTGACCAGGAATTGCAAGCAGAGCAACAGCCGCATCAGGTATCTCGTCCACCTGAGTGGTGACAATCAAACCGATCGCAATAGCGAGCAAAGCAGCAGCGATGATTTGTAACACCGAGCCTGGAGTCTTGAACTTCTGCCATAAGTTCTTCTTCTCCTCCGGCATCTCTTCCGCGTAAGTTGGCTGTGGCGAAAGATTGGAAGGAGAGCTCGTGGAGGAAGTCTCGCGGACAACTCTGCCATCGTTGACTTCGTCAATCTGTCCCATGGTAGGCGGTGGTATCGAGTCGTCACGGGGTGCAGATTCAATGATGCTTGGATGCAGGGCAGGACCGTAGGGGTGCAACCGGTCCCTTCCTTTGGTCTTATACAACAGCTCACGGCCCTCCACTACATCCCCGCATGGCTACGCCGTGGCGAGCCCGAGATAACAAAAGCTCTCCCGTATCTTACTTCCAGGCGGCGAACCTGTCGATAGCGTCGAAACCAGCCTCCAATGATCCCAGGCACCAAACGTCGCCTTGGAAAATATTGGCACTTCTGGCATCTTCATCGCTAGAGGAAGGTTGGAAAATTCTGCTGTTCCGACTTCCGCCTTGTCGTCTTGATACCTCTTGACTCTGCGCTCGATTAGGTAAGAATCGGCACTCGGAACGGTGCGCCAAGTGTATGAAGTCTTATGTACAGTCGATAACATACACTCCGCTGACCAGCCAACTCTTCATTGGCGCATGTATAAAGAGAGGGCGTGCACGGTGCTGTTGGATGGCCTTGGAGCGGAAAGGACGAGCATTTGCACTTCTTCGTGTGTTCCATAGGCTTATCTAGCGCGCTGAAGTGGCCTGGCTGTGCGCGCCTGTGGCTGCGGCGCCTCTCACATTCATCCCTGGGCTTACATCGCTTGTACCGGCAAAGGCCGGCGGCACAAGACGTTGCACAGAAGTAGGCGGTTGCGGCTCGGTCTGGTGTTGAGGAGTCATTGCCGAAGATGAGGAGCTAGTGGGTCACGTGAGATGGAGCGGCAAATTAAATATCGTCATGATCTTAACACCCATTTTTATTGTCACCAGAATCGCTACTGATGTTTCTTTTGATAAACGTCTGTCAAAGGCCCGCTTGCGATTATCATAGGAATTTGGCACAGCTACTGCCGGATTCGGTTTCATCCTCGTCCATTCCAGCTTATCGCTCACTTGCAGTTGCTGCCACCGTACACGAAGGTGCCGTCTGAGTTCTCGCAGCCGCATGTTCCATCTTTAGGGCTCTTGATGCAGCCAGCGCCATCACCGGACTCCTCACCGGCATCGCTCCAGAAGAAGGACCACTTGTCGCTGTTGCTCGTCATCGCTGTGCCGGGCTCGCAGTTGTATGCCTCGCATGTGCCGTATGGGAAGCCGTGGATGCTAAAAGAAGTTTAACTGTGGCTCTGGCTATATCGATATCCAGGATTAGACCTACCTATCGTACTGATGATCCTGGGTGAAGACAGCGAAGGTCTGTTTGGAGGTACGGGTATTGTGACTGCACTCGGCCGCCTGGATAGCCTTTGAGATCTTGATCACTGCAAGAGCATTAGTATCCGTAACATCGGTCTTAAGGAGCCAGAAGTGGCGTACCTGAGCAGCTAGGGCTACTGGGGTATTTGCCCTTTGTGTTCGAGGTCGCTGGGTCGAGTGTGGCGGTTGCGGCGACAGCGAGGGTCAGGACAGTGATGATAGATTTGGCGAACATCATGAAATTTGGTAGAGACTGTTGGGTTAACGAGTGAATGGTGTCTTTGAGGGCTTAGTATGCAGGTTGACTACTTTCTTATGTGCAGCCTTCCTTCTTATACGACCTCTGAGCGGTCTGGACTTCTCTCTCTCCATATACATTTCCCGAAAGATACGCATGCACGTCCCGAAGAACGCGTTGCTTGTTGTGCTTGTTTGGCACTCGGAAATTATTTGCATCAATTACAGCGTTTCAAAACAAGGATGGCCGGGAGCGCAGCCGCCGCAGGTGGAGTGCAACCGTGCATTTGAAACAACGCGCCGTCACACCGGACTTGTACAAAGTACACCCTCATCCCCGGCTCAGGTGCCTAGCATGGTGAAAGGCCAATAGGGCGACTAGCATCGAACTGCAAGATAGACCGTTTGTACGTGCGCGAGGCCACAGCACCCCCTAAACGACCCCATAATTGGTAGCAAAGGAGTGTGCGCGAGCTACAGTAGGCGTGCAGGAGTTTCTAGCCACTCAGAGGCTTCAGTAACAAGGTCGAAACACTAGGCATCTGAGCCGAGATTGAGGCTGTAGTGGTCTTAAATGAGTGTCTCCTAATTCCCCAATATCACTGATGGCTTTCAATGAATTATGCAGCCCAAGTCGTACTTCCCCATCTACGTCAACACCTTTTCTAGGTCGGGCCTCCTTCATGGCTAGCGGATTGTGCGGAAGCAATAAACTATTCTTCTCCTTGCATGACAACAGCAGCAGCAGAACGAGAGCTCTATCGCGTATTTCCAATGAACAAAACACCGAGCTTAATTCTTGATCAAAGCCCCACTCGGTTTCACAGAAATCCAATCAAATAACCTCTGGTGCAGTTCACTCATCTCCCGCAGCTCCTGCCCCTGGCCCCTTGGCTCAGCAATGTCACCTTCTTTGCGACATCTCCTCACGAGGAAGTAAGCCCACTCAATGACATGTTCCAGGAAAGCGACCGAATCTGTACTGTCCGCACAGGCAGCGCTCTCATTGGCCAGCTCGTTTAGCTAGCTCCCGCCCCGCACTGTAGATAATCGTCCACCACTGTACCGGTAATACTCCAATTGACAGTTTACACAGCCATACTCATCATGTACCTACCGCGATCACTTCGTATAGAGCGCTCTTCGCGCAGGTGCTTGAGAATTTCAAGCTTGATGTCAACCTCAAATGCGTCGATATCCTCAGAACCGTCCTGTATTATGCCCTTCTGTTTAACAAAATCCTGGTGTCAAGAGAAAGCATCGGGATTTTTTCGAGGTATGTTTGCGAAGGCTGCTGGAGGGTTTGTTTCACAGATCACTCCCATGCTTTCCTTTCGTAGTTGTCAAAGTCTGATATATCCACGTTCGAAAAACAGGCCCCAATATACTCTGCTATGATGTTTTGAGTTGCTACTGTTGGCTTTGGGCTCATGTCCTCCCAGTCGAGTACGGTTCTTCCATACTCGAAGTGTTCAACGCTATTCTCATCGAAGTCCAGACAACGATGTCTGCGTTTAGGTCGTACCGGTACGTCTTGCCAACACCATATTTCTCGAGCGAGTGGCCATTTTTGTCAAAAGGTCAAAATCTGTAGATTATAATCGGGCTCTCTCTTCCTCTTCTTGACACTGTTACCGTAAAGTCTCTCGGCTCTTTCTAAATCCGTCTTGATACGTTCTATGAGATCCGAAAGATCCGACCGCTCTTGAATATCATGCAAAAGGCAGTCGATGACAAGCCGATAAAGCCGGGTGCTATAATCCTCCGGACCGATATGGAAGTCAAGCTCATAATGGCCATGCCGAAGGTTTTTAGCGTCTTTGAAACGTTTTGTCCACTGTTGCACATTGCTCAAAGTACAGTGTTCAATTGCTATCTTTCGCCCGTGAACTTCGATCGCTGCCCTATGGTGTGCAAACATCATTCTATGAACCATGAGACCCAGGCCCCAAATTTCAGTCTGCTCCGACATGGTCCGATCATGAGTAAGGTAGCCCGTGCCATAGAGGTCGAAAAGGCTTCGCTCCTACAACATGTCAAAGATGAACGATCTGGACTTAGCAGTACTTACCGGAGGTTTCTAACCCTCCATGCCTGAGAATCTCTGAACCAGGGCATCTCTTGACGTCCCATGTATAAATTCGTTGTTGGCTAGCTGAGACAGTCCGAAGTCACACGGGACTGGTTTTGGGTAGGCAGAATAATTAGAATTTTCTCCGAGTGCTTCCAACAAGACATTTTCTGTCTTCATGTCAAGGTGGATAATGGACATCCGGGCTCTTGGAAGCCTCATCAAGTACTCGGTAGATCTTGGTAAGTCACTGAGTCCCTCGCGCTCTGGTATGCATGTACCGGGTCCGTTCTTGAGTGTAATCAAATGTAACTGCGTGAGCAGTGTCGGTCGGAAACTGTGATCAACAATTGTATTGCTATCTGTTGTCGTGTTGTGTGATGCTATGTTCCACAAGCTCTCATCTCTCAGGTAAGTGCACTTGCCCACCGGGCAGTGCCTGCTACAATAGGATATTATGTGATCTGAGCCACGTGATTACATCAAAGCTTCTGTCAGCTCCCGTAGGGTTTACCAAATGACTGTTGACAGGTCTGCCTACCGTCAGAGTGTGCTTCAACAAGACAGTAATGTCTTCCGCCTACCTTCTCGAGTTTTTATGGTGATTGATGAGGTTTTGCAATTTGCCACGGCCTGCTCAACTCTGATACAGGTGTACGGTTCTCTACCCATATACTTTTGAAAACGTCTTCATCAGGCCGTATGATGGTATGTTCCAGATCTTTGATGCTATGTCCGCGATATGGGTTCATGTGGCTGCAGCGAGTGCTTTCGATACGCTGGAACATGTTGGCTTCGCCCTTGACAAACCTGTCGTGATCGTCAAAAATACCCCGCCAGCTAATCTCCTCTCCAAAAGTGGCTTGTTCATATTTGTCCTCGAAAGACCGATCGGTCATCTCGTTGATCTCGAAGCACTTCACCGCGACTTGCTGTATGGGCTATCAGCTCACATTCAATTACTCGGGCTCAGAAACCCACATCTTGGATTATTCCTGCCTCGTTCGGACGAAAGCACAAGTACATAGACTTCAGAGGTGCCATGGGGAGATGCGGTTCAGGAAGCGGATCCTCTTGATAAGCTATGTCGCCGTATCTCCAACCTCCCTTCAGATCCGTAGCAATGGCGTTAGATTAACCTCTTATAGGCGACAAATTATGATCAGACCACTCGCGCTGGCACACGAACCTAGGTGAAAGCTCAGCCTAAGGCCTTTGAATCGGTGATGAAGCTTGCTGATTGTCAGTAGGTATAACTGCAGAAGCAGCGTGCTGGACAGTGGTCTGGTTTTGAGGTTGCGCTTGAACTGGCAACGGCTGCTGTTCTACTTGAAGTTGATTTTGGGGCGGAGGTACAGGTGGAAAGGGCACGGTAGTTGCCGCAGTTGCATACTTGGGCCTTTTCTTCGCACAAGTCTTGATTAGATATTTGCTCTTCTGATGCCACCGCGTCTGAATATTAGTACCGGTCGTAGGCGATACACAAACTGTATACATTAGCTCATTGCCCACATCGTGCGAACACCTACACTTAGCGATGAGGTTGTAAACGTAGCGTTATCCTCTCTGTAAACGGGCATATGGCGAGGTCTGCGCCACAGTTCCGACGTAGAATTTGGACGATGCTCTTTGTCTGCTAGTCGTGGCGATGCACTTGTTCTTCTTCCACGCGTTTCAGTCGTGGGCAAGACATACGACGGTGTTGTGAAAGAATAACGATAGAGTCTCGTAGTCTTCATCACTCTGTAGCTTAGACCAGTGAGCTTCCTTGCCCAAAGTTACCTCATAAAGGTCGGGAGCGTGCTCAAAGATTATCTCGTGAGTAATCTTACCAATACCCCAAGCCCTCATCTATTAAACCCTCGATGGATCACTCCTAGAATCGGATCAGTGAAGAAAGCGATTTGCATGCGAGATTACTTACTGGTGGTTGCCAGCCAGACGTTCCCTCAAACCTTGGACCTGTCACAGAAGTCATTCGAATCTACAAGTCGCTATTTTTGATGTGAGAAAGATTGAAGTCGCCGAGTACCGGTTTTGGGTACGACTGATAATCCTTGTTCTCTTTCAGTATCATAACATTATTACTCTTGATATTGAGGTGAAGAATTGGCATCCATGGTTCATATGACAAGTCCTGGAAGTCCGTCGAATGGAGCCATGCAGCTAGTTGTTAGCAAGGCTTTGGGCACTTCCCAGCATTGAGGGCGCTCAAAGCTTCTGTTAGCTCGTGCAGTGTGTACCAAATGTAGTACTCGCAGATCTTCCTGCAAAGCTTTTAGCGGTGTGATTTATCGACCGGAAGAACACTCACCTCGAAGTATTACGATAGTGTTTGATCAGCTCCTCAAGAGTACCGCAATTGGGGAAATCCTGGTAGAGAAAGGCTGTCCATTGACTTTTCTGCATGTTATTCACTGCACGAGCCAAACGCCTTGAGCCGTTTCCTTTGCATTACAGCAAGTGGCTACACTGAGTTATAGCTACAAGGCCATTGAGTTGGATCTTGCGGGTCACTTGCTTTTAGTCAATAACCAGGACCTCCAGACACTTGACGGCAAGTTATTTCAATGCACATTAGTGGCTACGTGGCGCGTTCTCGATTGTAACGTATTTCTTCGATCATCTTGTCCGCACTATGGCGTACAAACTTGTAGATGGATATGTTGACAGTATCCCTCTCATCCTCATTTTCCTTTTGAAAAGCTACATTAACGAGCTTCCATGGTGCTTTTAGCTACTCTTGAATGAAGCGCACTTGACCACGAGTTGGAGATAGTAACCGACCCTCTTCGTAATTGTTATCAAATCTGTGTGACAGCTCCGTCCGCGAACTTGTCGACGATGAAGGCGCCACCTGCACGGGAGGCGGTGACGCTGTTTGAGCGAGGGGTTCTATTGCTTGGCCGGCGACGGGCTGAGCGCGCATTTTCTTAAGAAACTTACCACTCAGCATCCACTCATTGACAATATCTTGACCATTCCTTAGGATTGTGACTAGAATAGGTCAGTGGAATCAACCTTAGGAATCTGGACATCATACAATTTGCCGCTCGCAAGCGATGGATCATCTCGACAAACTTCCTCCTCTGCAAGTTAGTGTCCAGATCATCGAAGTATCTCTGATCAATTGCCTTCAGGCTACAGTAAGTCGTTTCTCCTTCGAGCCCAATAACATCGGAGCGTGTAGGTAGGGACATCTTGACAGAACGTAAGATGATATCGAGAGTTGTTTGCCATTTCGCAGACACGAGCATCCCACGTAAATATGTAGGCGTTCGGCAGAAAGCAAAAAAAGACAGAGAGAAAGCTCATGGTCTACATGAATCTTTGTCTAAACTCAAATAAATTGTTTTCTTCCACAGAGCGTGGCGCGTCATGTTCGTTGTCAAGTAGAGGCTGAATGCCCACTGTCCCGGCTACAAAGCTTGTTGTTCACGCCTGGTGATCGTACGCCGTGTCTACCTTCATCCCATCCACGCAGGGATAATGCATTTGCATGTCCCTTTGATACTATTATTACTTGCGCATTTCCTTGCAGGCATTGTGTCCTTGGTTTCGCCTTCGTGGTGAGGATGTGGGAGCCTTCTTTGTGGGAGAGTGTATTGTAGTCATTCTTTTGCAAGGCCATGGCTTTGGGTGGACGTTGAAACGTTGCGCGCAGTGGAAGACAGCCATCTGCGATTCGGTGACCTGCCGTGGTGGAGGTCGAGGCGCGATACCAAAAGGACGCGTTCGCACTGTATAGCGTCATCAGTTCCCTATCTTTGGCTTTGCGTTCCTACACAAATGCTCTCGTCGATGATGATTCGCGACACGTTGTATCCTTTGATCATCACATTGATCACCAGGTTACGTCTGTAATCCGACAATCTTCCTTCCCTAACTAGATGGCGCATCACCGTAACGCCCCAACCACATGTGGAAGGTCGGCTCCAACCCCGCGCTTTTTAGTCAATAGCAGTCCAGGTACACACCGAAACACCGCGACTCAAAACACAACCATTCCGCGCGTGACCACTCGGAAAGTCTCAATGCTTGATTAATCTTATCTAGTTCAAGCTCATGCCTGTTCCAGAACACCTCCCGCCACGCCATTGTGCATCGCGGTCGATCACCGCAATCCTGCAGAGATGGCCTTCTGGATTCAGCCTTATCATAGGACAGTATATTAAAGTTGTGTAATACCAAGAAAGCGGGCTTCTGAGCTTCCTGGCGTAGGCTTGGTGCCGGCGGTACTCCAGTCGAGTATGGCAGGTGCGATGAGGGCACTATAGATGACTTGTGAAGCTGGGCGCAACCTGGAGAAGGTAGATAGGCTCCGCAACTCATATAAAGCAGGTCCTGGAACGACCATCACAGTCCTCACCAGCTACATTCTTAAGCAGCTCGGACACTCCTCAACATGAAGTTTCTCGGTGTTACCCTCGCCTCCTTGGGCCTTGCCTCCGCCGCTTCGGTTTCGAACAAGCAGAAGGTCAGCTACGATGACTGGAAGGTCTTCCGTGTCAACGGGCCCTCGAACACCGCCAAATTTCAGGAGGTAGTCAACAAGCTGCAGCTCGATGTTTGGAAGGGCAAACCATCTTCTGGCGACGTCGTGGACGTTTCGGTTGCGCCTGAGCAGCTCTCTGCTTTCGAGACCGCGACCAAGGACTTCGAGATCAAGGTCATGCATGAGAACCTGGGTGCATCGATTTCTGATGAGAGCACGTTCTCTGTGTTGGCCGGTGAGTACTCTAAAGGCCCCCAGGGTCCACTATTACTGACTACCTCCAGCCGGAGTCGCGCCTAATGCGACTTGGTTCAACTCGTACCACTCCCTCGCCGACCACTACCAGTGGATCACCGATCTTGCTGCTGCGTACCCATCGAACTCCGAGGTAATTTCTGCAGGAAAGTCTCTGGAAGGACGCGATATCAAGGGCATTCACATCTGGGGCAGTGGAGGCAAGGGTTCTCAAAAGGCGGTCGTTTGGCACAGCACTGTGCACGCACGCGAATGGATCACTACGATGGTCAATGAGTACGCCGCATATCAACTGCTGACGTCCACCGACGCCACTACCGCCGCCTTCAAGAACAAGTATGACTTTTACATCTTCCCGGTCGTCAACCCTGACGGCTTCTACTTCTCCCAGAACAGCAACCGTCTATGGCGTAAGAACCGTCAGTCCACAACTTCAGCTAGTTGCATTGGTCGCGACATCAACAGGAACTGGCCCCACAAGTCTTGGAGCCAGGCTCAGGGTGCGAGCACTTCCCCTTGCGACGAGGACTACAAGGGTCCCTCCGCAGGTGACGGCGTCGAGACCAAGGCTCTGAAGGCCCAGCTCGACAGTCTTGCTGCAGGAAAGGGCATTCAGCTGTACATGGACCTTCACTCGTACTCGCAGCTCTGGATGTACCCCTACGGCTACACCTGCTCCGGCACTCTCCCCAACTCTGCGACCTACGCCAGTTTGACCAAGGGCGCCATTGCTGCAGTCAAGGCTGTCCACGGCACTACTTTCACTGGCGGACCCATCTGCAACACTATCTACCAAGTTAGTGGCGACAGTGTTGACTACGCACTTGAGAACGCGGGTGCCAAGTACTCAATGACCGTGGAACTCCGCGACACCGGTAACTTTGGTTTCGTTCTGCCTGCGGCCCAGATCCTACCCAGTGGTGAGGAGATGTGGGCTGGTCTTGCTTACCTTCTCAAGAACATGACCTAAGCACGTGAATGCCAAAAGGTCGCACATGCTAATCATAATTTCTTAAGAAATATGTGGTACTAGTCTATCGAAATTGAGACCACAATTGCCTATCATTTGTCCTAACGACTAACTCAACATGCACAAAATGCTCAATTTCTAATCCCCAGTGTGCTGACCCTGACTGACACTCTTCCCCTCCATATTCGAGGAGACATCCTGTTTCGCCGCACTTGACCAACCATCCAAGACCCAGGAGGCCTTCAGCACACTGTCACATACAGTAGTAAGACCTCGCAGCCTTTGCATTGAACGCACCAGCGCCAGCACCGCCCCAGTAAGTGATATCGCCCTGGCAGTCATCGTCCCTAGATCAAATCAGTACTGACTACCCTCCGGTCTGCATCATAGCCCAGCACTTCAAATCAGACTTAATTGAACATGGCGCACAGCCCGCAGTACTGGTTTGTGCAGCTTCCGTAGTTCTCGCCCTGGCCGAGCGTGTTGCACTTGTTTGCGGGCTCGGAGGTGCGCAGCTTGTGCAGGCGTCCGGTGCCCGTAAGGATGCACTTAACGCAGTAGTTGCCCGGGGGAGAGCTGTTAGGGACTTCGGAGGTAGGCGCAAAGTCGTGGCGGGCGCTGCTTGTGGCTGTGGTCGTGGTGGTGAGGCTGGCGAGGACGAGGGCGAGGGCGAGGGCGAGGGTGGTGATGCTGAGCTTCATGATGCTGGTGTGATACTGGGGTAAGTGTTGGAATTGAGAAGGTAGTGTGAGCGGGGGAGGTGAGAGTTCTGGACCTCGCGGAATACACTTGAGTGAGCGCCATTCGCTCGCTGCACAAGTGCAGTGAGATACGAGCGCGGTGAAGCGACGACAGTGGTACGTTGCCGTTCGCTCATCAAGTGTAAAACTCATGTCGGTGTCGCAAAGCAATGCACGCGGAATGACGAGGAAATCAGATGGTTTCATCACAGCACTGTCAGTTAACGCGCGAACTTGGATCCTTCGTTCATTATGCTTATATCCCCGAGGCCCTGTACTCCGCCGCTCATGTACAATGGGGTATTATAGTATCGACACTCGACCAAGCCTCCGAGCGCTATCCTGTAGTCCAGCGCGAACGTCGTCCAAACCACTCGTCTCAACGCGACACGACACCCGCTCACATGCAGAAGTAGCTGCGAGCGCCCTGTCCGCGAAACTCCGTGCCTGAACCGCCCCAGAAGAGGACTTCGCCCTGGCAGTCGTTATGTCTGCAAAAAGTCAGCGCGCCCACCAAGTAACGCCGACTCACCTACTTGAAAATCATGCAGAGACCGCACTGCTGGTTGACGCAGGTGTTGAGTCGCACCTCGCTGTCAAAGGTGGTGCACTTGTAGGCTCTGCCCTTCACGTGGTCGGTGGAAGAACGCAGTGCGATCTGGGCGCTGCCGCCGATGGCGCCGTTGGGGAAGGTGTCGCAGACGCCGCAGCTGCCTTGAATGAGAGCAGGGGAAGGCGCGGCGGCGGTGAGGCAGATGAGGCCGGCGACGGCGAGGAGATTGGTGAGGGTCTTCATTGTGTGGTGCTGCAGGAAGGCAGATCTTTCTGGTGCTTTGGAAGCGGTCAAATTTTGGATCTCGGAACTGGAGGCGGTGGGGGAGGTGGGACAGGTCTGTGGGTGTGAAAGAGTCAAGCGAAAGCGGAGCTTGCGCTGATGTCACAGAGTCACCATCTTTCACTTCACCGTCGATCATGCTTGAGACATACATTCTGCTAGATGGTATCTAGCTTGAGCCTTCCCCAGTCATTGCTAAAGCGTCACTACTTGGTCGTGCAGGAGTAGCTACAATATGGCCTTCCGTTGAACTCATCCGAGCCTTTCTTATCACATACGAAGTCAAGTTTCTTACAATTTTCGTCCCTACGGCACATTAGAACTTCATTGCAGCGAATATGAGCCTCAGCATCTCGCAACAACGTACTTCAATACATGCAAAGGTCGCAGTTCTCGTTGCGGCACCGGCCTGGACCCCAGCCAAAGCCGGGGACAAACCTATCGCATTTACCAGGGTCGCTCTTGAACTCCATAACTGCTCCTCCGTAGATGAATCTGGGGTCGGGGTAGCATTTACCGCAGGGGACGCCGGTCTTGCCTTGGGCGGCGGGGAGGGCTGTGGCAGTAAGGGTGAGGAAAGCGAGGATGGGAGTGAAGTGTTTGATGTTGGTCATGGTTACTGTGTGTATACAGTAGAGCGAAGCCCGTGGGAAAGCCTGCAAATTGAATGCCCTGATCTGTCACAAGGTGGAGACCAGGGTCACGTAAGAGCAAAGCGGCAGTATGGTGAATGCAGTTCACGAAAGACATCGTTAGTGCGATGTGAATGACACTTAATTGTCCATTATCGAGTCCCTCCGTGCTCTATACCGAGTTGCCTCATGTAAGCTATCTCAACATTTCTAAATTAGCCTCTTTGATCCTGCCTTTTCATGCACAGCAAGGTGACTCAGATCCCCTCCGTTCAGTCAAGGCTCTCGTGTTCAAACTCCCACTAAGCAACACATGAGTAGCTATTGAACTGGGCCGCAGAGAAATACGGAGAACCATGCGGAGCCCAAGACAAGTCGATACTCTTGCAGTCGTAGTCCCTACACCACGTTAGCGCGAAACGTCGCCAGCCTTCACACATACACTGGACTTACTTGAAAAACATGCAGATGCGGCAGTCGAGGTTGATGCATCGACCAATGGACCAGCCGCCCAACTTGTTGAGCTGAGAGCATTGCGGACTGTTTGCGATCAGCTGCTGGCCCACACCGCCGTAGTCGCAGCTGCCGCAGACGGTCTCGGCTTCGCCTTGGTCAGTGAGGTCGGCGAGGACGACGACACCGGCGAGGGCGAGGATGGTGGTAATGCACTTCATCGTGACTTCGATCGATGTCGATGTTTGGACGTGACGGCGTCTGTAGATAAGGAATGTGTGGTTGTTGCTAAAACGCAGGGATCGCTGCTGTTGATCGCGGGCGGTCTCGCACTCGTGTGGGAAGGCGCAAGTGAATGAAGGAAGGAAGTTTCGTGGAAATATCTTAAATTGTGCAGACAAGGAATAAGTAGGGTAGATGATGAGTGCAGTGTAACGTCGCAGCGCGATCATGAAGAGAGAATACGGTGAGGTGCGAGAGAGATTATAGGTGTTTCCATTAGACAGACGTAAGAGAGAAGCATGGAGGTCTTGAATTGATCATGGATCTCGCCATTTCTTGTAGATCTGCTTCATGCGCTTGTCCAACGCTTCAAGATTATGGCCGTGCCCTTTCTGAAATCTATCTTCCCAGTATATAGTGTCGGTGATTTGTCGATGACTTACTTGTCAATGAGCTCGCAGACGTGCGACGGCGCGTACAAACAGTAGCATCAGCTCAGTAGCAAGGCCACTTGCAGAAGTGACCACACGAGACGATAGCCTGGCGCCAATCGCCGGTGGTGAGATTCGCGTGGCAGGTCTTCTGGTTGCAGTGCAGGTCGCACTGCTTGCCCTGCCACTCGCACTCCTGCAAGTTGTATCAGCACGCATTGTTGCTATGAAGGCTTGGTGAGACCTACCCGTGCCTTGCAATTATCATTGTGCTTGATGCACGGCGAGCAAATGCTATAATATGGGCTGTGGGGATTGTGGGCGGCGGTCTCAACGTTAGCGGCATCTGTGCTAGCTTATAGGAGGGCAGCTGCGGTCTCTCTTTGATAACGGGAGAATTCATACCTTGTTGTCGGGGTGGGCAGAGGGAGCTGCCGCGCCGTTCTTCTTGACATCGGCGGCGACAACTTCACCGGAAATATCGAAACCAGTGGTGACATCTCCAGCATCTTCGGTCAAGCCCTTCACCCGGGTGCAGATAGGCACAGGGTCGGTGACGCGGGACTCGTCGACGCCGCAGGCGATCAGGACGTCTCAGCGGCCCTTCCTGCAGACGGCGCCATCATTGGCGCCACCGCACTTGAGCGACTCTTCCTTGCAGGTAGGAAGGTCGCGGCCGCCAGACCCAGCGAGTGTGACGGAAAAGAAGAAGCTCATGAGAGCGATGACGAGGACGAAGACCTTCATGGCGTAGTGGATGTGGTGGCTGAAGGTAGGTGGACTCGAAATTTGAGCGTGGTGGAGGAAGGACGCAGAGTAGTAAGAGATTGACTTTATATAAATGCAGGTAAAGGCTCGAGTCGCAGTGGTCAGCCGGTACTGGGCCTGCCTTAATTTCGACGTTGACAGCTACCCGGCGCGCGCGGCAAGACCTCGGAACCTGGGGACCTCTACGGTCTTCTAAGAAATTGTAGGAGTCTTGAGTTACATATACAGATGTAAGCAAGCGGATTGTGCGGTAGAACAGGCTGTGTAGTTGTCACCCTCCCAGCATGGCGACTGTCACGAGGCGCAGAAGTTTGCTCAAGGCGGCCACGTTGGTGCATCAAGGTAAGTTCATCATGATGATTTGGACAATCTGTAGTTCGCTCACGGCATTTCGAATCTGCCTATCGGACTTTCTGGCGCGGGCTTCTGGTCCCTGAAATACGGCTTCTCACAGTCCAGCTCCTGCAGGCTTTGACTATCAAGTTCATCCACTGGGTGTGCCCCAGGTAGCTCCGGTACCCTGTCCACTCCTCCAAGTTCATGCCGCATCTCCGATACATACAGTTTTTTGCCTAGCGTTGAGGTGCTGTGGATCTTCTTCTCGTCGGACACGTTGGACACGTCGGCGGCGGCGGCGGCGGCGGCTTGCTGTGCCCTGTTGCGTGAGCGTCGACGCATAAACAGCAGTGCTGAGAGTGTCAAGACAGCACTGATCAGGACCACCATTGCGATGGCAATGCCTACTATCGCACCGGAGGACAGGTCAGTTTTCTTGCCGTCGGCGGTGTCGGCTCCTTCCATGGCAGCGGTGCCCGCGGCGGGCGATGACACAGCTGTGCTCGAGGGAGACTTTGATACTGTAGACGTATACACCGATGTGTTGTTGGCCGTGCAATCGTAGTGTCCGTACAGACGGTTTTGGATGCTAAGCCAGTTGCAGAAAGCGAGGATGTCCACGGTGGATTCTGCCCTGAGCGCTCCATTGATTGTTTGCAATTTCGGCATGGTGATGTTCTTCAAGGCTCCACTAATTCTAACGTAGCCATCGATGGTTTCGAGATTGTCGAAGTTCAATGATGGATCCGGGTTGCCGTTGATCGCGAGACTACCATAGATTCCCGACAAGTTGGAAAAGTCCAAGTTGGTCAAGGCATGGTTGATCGAGAATTGGTATGAGCTGCCGGAGTTGATCCTATCATAGGGGAGCGTGAAGTCGGTGAGCTTGTTGTTGGCAGCGATAGTCAGAGCTGTCGCTATGGGCCACTTGATCCAGTCCATCTTCTCCATTGCAGTGCTAATGATGCTGATCTCCTTTATATCCTGCTTCAAGGACCCACTCGCGATCTCACAACCCCTCAAAGAAGAGAGTCCTGTGAAGTCCAGCTTCGATATGTTGGTGAGGGCGGGTAGCGTGAGGGTTGTAAGCTGGGGCAGGTTGCTCAACGTCAGTGTCGAGATGGCTTCCAGCGTTGTGGACGAAATCGATACTATGGCATCTGAGTTGGCGATGGTGATTGTGCCCGTGATTGCCTTGATGCCGTTCAGGGTGATGGCCTCAAGCCCCTTCGCTGCAAGCGAGACGTTTCCGGTAAATGTCGTGCATTGATTGAGCGTGGTGATGTCGTCTGCGCTGTTGATCGCGAGGTTGCCTGAGCAATCTGTGTAGGGTCAGTACATGGCCGAACCCGAGTGTCGCGGAAGAGTCAACGTACCCGCAGCATCCGTCCTACCAACCCAGGAACACAGCAAAAGAGGAAGCCATTGTGCGACGAGTCTCATAGTATCGCCCAGTATTCTCCCAGAGACTCGTGTATTATTTCATTACATAGATAAAAACGGTTGAACGAGTGACGGCTGCGAGCAACAGCGGTGAACGCAGGTGGAGTTAGTTGAAGGATCGAGGAAGCGGCAGCACAGGTCTCACGAGCAGCCTGAGATTGATGCTCGTGGGGCCGCATACCACCGAGACACCTAGCCATAAAGGGTCCCACGACGCGTGCTTTCGAAACGGCGTGCATAGCACGGGCTCCCCTACGATCATCGAATGCCGTATTCGCATGACTGCCCAACCAGATTTGTGATTGCCGTTGTTCGATCTGCAAATACGAGGCTGCCGGACACCACATCCCGGGGTCATGGCTGCTCAACAGGTACTCCATTTCTAATGCCGAGCCACGCTCCGGCGCAAACAGACCGTTGATAGGGGCAGCGCACTCAAAGTGCGAACACGAAGCCTGCTGCGGCTTAAGTTGACGCAGCCCCATCGTGGTCAAGTGACGTAACGTGTGAACTTCTGCACGTGAAAAGCATCAGCTGCGGATTCTGTCCGGCACACCACCAACGGCTCGGCTGTAAGAGTTCATTAAAACTGCCTGTGTCTCAAACTCCAAGGCACATAATCACAATTTCGCAGGAGCAAGGCGTGCAGAAATCGTACGACGAGAGACCAGTTTGCACCATGCTCGATGCTCGTCCAGAACCAGCGACCAATTATGCAGTCCGGGTCGACGCGGTCACTTCCTACAGGCCCAACATGCAATGCTCGCGGATCTTCATACAGGTTGCATGCGTGATGATGCTTTTAGATTGGGATGATCGGGTATGAAGAGATCTGCATCGTGCACGAGTGATGTGCTAGCGTAGGTATGAGATATGTGCTCATGGAATTCTTTCATACACATTGGGTATCTAAACACGACGCTAAAGGATATCGCTCTTCGCTTTACTTCTTTTCGTTGTGACTCTCGCTTTGTCCCTTTCCGCTCGTGCTCAGTCGCACTCTTCGGATCCTCTTTTCGGTCTGCTCACTCGCATTCGCTGCACTGCCGTGAAGTCGTGACGGGTAGCCGTGGTGTGCAATTGGCCGTTGCGGCTGGCACACTGGCGGTGGTACTCAACGTGCATTGAACGGCGCAGTACTGGACTGTCTCTCCCTCCTGGGCGAGCTTCATGTGTCTTTCTGCTGTGCACCCCAGACGATCGACTCCATCAGCGCATACGGCGACGAATCGAGATCCAGCCCCAACAACGGACTTTGGCCAAACGCATTCCCGTCGCCGTTGGTCAGCGCCGCGTTGATATCATCCGCGGTAAACGTGTTCAGCGTCGGACTCGCCTGGCTGCCCGCCTCGCTCGTCTTCCTGTTCACGCTTGTCGTGATCCGCAGCAGCCGTTCGAGCGCCGACACGGACCGTGTGATAGGCGTTGCGAGCTCGTTGGGGTCGACATCCTTTGTGAAATCGCCCAGCACCTGGATGATGTTCTGCAGCAGGCCGCGCGCGCGCTCGTTGCGGTTGTGCTCGCCGAGGATGCCAAGTAGTAAGGCGCAGCTCAGCGATCGGTGGAGCGCTGCCCACGAACGTGTCGCGAAGGGCGTCATGTTCTGCAGGCCGAGGAAGGCTTCAACGGTGTTTGTCAAACTATCGATACACGTCTTCCTTAGCGTCTTGGAGAGGTCGAGGCCCGCGGTTGTCGGGGATATGGCAGGGCGGCAAAGCTCGGAGGTAATGTAGGAAATGTGCAGATAGAGAGCCCAGTGCTCAAGTTGGTCGCGCATGGAGCGGCAACGGCGCGAGTCTTTGAGGTAGTCTGCTGCGTCGACCATAATTTCCTGGAGCTCATTGCGGTGCTCGGTGATTCGGATCAGGGCGTCTTGCGAGGTTTGCGGTTTTTGCCGTTCACGGACAATGTCGAGTCCGACTTTGCAGAGACGGTACATGCTTTCGACGTATGTTCGTGTTCCGGGTGCTGTGTGGTTGCTCAGAGGTACAGTGTGGTCGATGGTGGTGGTCGAGGATGCCCTGTCGTACGAGACAGAAAGTAGGGAGTCCTGCCATAACAAGGCCCACCAGACCTTGCTCCGCTGTATCCTCTGCTGCACAGGCGTCGACGGCGGGCACATGCGGTGCAGGCCGAGCGTCTGCGAGAGGCGGACCGTCAGACCCATAAGACTCCATGCAACGCCGGCGTTCATGTTGTTTGAGATGACGTTGCCGAGGATCAGGAGCGTTTGTATGTTTTCGATGTTCGCGTGCGACAGGAAATTGGTGAAGCGCAGGCACTCGAAGCTGCAGCAGATATACACCTGCGACGTGAGCTCTCTTTCTCTTCTGGACAGCGTCGAGCACTGGCAGCCCGAGGCCAAGATGGCGAAGACCAGTCCAATCCAGTGGAAGTTCTTGCCGTATATCTGCTGATCCGTCACCCCGGCGCCGCTCTGTGAGCTCTGTGAGCTCGCACGGTTGATGAGGAACAGGAGGAGGTCGGACTCGACGCCCTCGATGTCGGCGACGGCGGGGTAGACGGCGTGGGCGGTCTCGCGGTAGAAACGGAAGAAGCTGAGGCACTCGGAGTCGCTCGGCAGGGCGTTGGCCAGCTCTGTGGCGCGAGAGATGGAGCCGTGCGGCAGGCCCCAGAGGTCGACAAAGGGATATGTGGCGCTCTCGTTGTCCAGGCCGAAGAGCGGCAGCATGCTCTTTTTGCCCAGCAGGTCCTGCAGGCCCGGCGCCCACTGCGCGTCGCCGCCGCGGCCCAGCTGCATGACCAGCGCAGGCACCGAGCTGGGCCCGATGTGGATGGTCTGGCCGGTGATGTCGTTGCGCGTGTGGATGCCTTGCGTGCGGACGTGGCTCTGCTCGCCGTCGATGGGCGCCGAGGCGGCCAGCGGGGTCGAGGTGGCCGGCGAGAAGCCGTTGAGCGGGGGCGCGACTTCCTGGACGCTGCTGATCGAGTGCTTCAGCTCGGTGAGCGACTTCTCGGCCGTCTGGAGCTTTGCGCAGATGCGCTCCCAGTCCTGCTGCTGTCAGCCCGGCGCCGGCCGTATGATGCGACGGAGCAGGCGCACCTCGCGCGGCAACGTGACCGTCCCGCCGTGGACGTGGACCAGCCCGTTGACGTTGAAGTCGTGGCCGTTCTGGCCCAGTCCCATGCTGATGCTGATGCGCTTCGCCGGCGGATGCGACTCGCTCGGCGGGTGGTAGGTACACAGCTCGGGATGCTCGCGCACGACGCACGTCTTGCATGGCACCGTCTGGTCGCACTTGACCTTTCGCTGGCGGCACGGATAGCAGGCCTGGTGCGCGTGTCAGTCTGCTCGCTCTGCATCGCATCGTGGGACCGGCGCGCGCGCGTCACTGCCTACCTTGTATTCCCGGGCCTTCCGTTTCCTGCGCAGGATCTCGTCGACATCGGCGCGCGGCGGCGTGTCTGTCATATCCCCCGTGAAGCCATGCGACTGTGGCTGCGCCTGCGGTGTCTTGTCTCCGTCCATTTTTCCGCGGCGAGGGTGGGAGGTGGTCACCTCGCGACGGGAGTCCACCCGGGCCCGACCAAACGGAGGCGCAGATCGCGCCGCTAGTCATGAAGCTTGGCCATTGACGTGAACGCTGATCGAGATCCTCCCGCCCACTGTGCTCCGTCCGTGCTTCTTTTTGAGCGTGATGAGAAGGCAGACCCTCAGACCTGTTACGCAGCAGTCCTCTCTTCGGAGTGCAAAGATATTGCGTCGAGTGCGCTTAGCTGTGGGCATTTCGCGCGCAGGGCTGACGACTGACGATTGATGGCCGACGACTGACGACGCTCGTGCGCTGCGGCAATAACGGCCTCGCGCAGATTCCGCCGATCCATCAGCGAGGCAGCACAGAACCATCACCGGCCCTCCGCACCTCAGCAACAAAGAACCCCCAGTCCCTCTCACAACAGGGATCTTGGTCTCGCAAACAACATACCAGATACGGCAACTCTTAACAGGTGTCGAATATAGCACCTGGTAGTGTTACACAAGGTCCGCCACCAGTGCTGCTAGATTCACGCCGTCGCACTGAACCTGCCGCATTCAGCAAGTTTGACCATGTTGCGTTGGACGCGGCTTTGACACCCTGGGCACGCCCTGCATTAATGCAATGGATACGAAGACGTGCTGCAACGCTTCGCTGGTTGACTAGGCCGACTCTTTGCCATGTAAGCTAGTCAACGAAGTCGTCACAAAATTCTAGTAGGTGAATTGACGACAACTTGTTAAATTCCACGTTGCGTAGGTATTGAACGCCGACAATGCTTGTCATACCATCACAAGTCTCCTCCACCGTACTACCTAGACTCCACGCGCTACCTGAACCCGTACAATGGCTACGCCGCCTGCTTCCCGCCGTCATTCTCCTCATCCTCACTATAAGCATAATGCGAATGCGCGCGAATCTTGGCGCCATACGCAAAAAACACAAACGGAATCGCACAACATGCTAGCCCAATGAGCGCCAGAAGCGTACTCGCCCACTGATTACCCAAGCGGCCATACATCTGATTCGTGAACAGCACGACCGCCGCGCCCCAGAAACTGCGGATGAACGTCTTGGCCGCCAGCGCCGAAGCCGCCTGGTGCTGGTACGAGTCTACGAGGTAGTTGTTCGCCGAGTTGTACAGGAAGATGAATCCGAAGCCGACGGGGAAGCCGCCGAACGCGGGGCCCGCCCAGTGCAGGTCGGGGTACGATGTCCAAGCGAAGATGAAGAGACCCATGGGGATGAACCAGCAGCTCATCATCATGGGGTACAGACGGGCTTCGGCCGGCGGCTTGCCGTTGTGCTTGTGAACGAGCTTCATGTAGTGCTTGTTGACGAGCGGGGCGCAGGCGGCGCTCATCAGGACGCCGACGATTAGTGGGATAAACATTAAGCCTGTTGAGCTGGCGGAGTAACCCTTGCCTTTTCGGTAGACGATTGGGTAGGCGACAAAGAACATGTACAGTAGGCCGTAGAGGACGGACATGTACAGGGAAATGAAGAAGACGATGAGTTCGCGGAAGAGGAGCTGGAAAGGTCGGATGAGGAAGAGGGTGAGGCGCTGGCTGAAAGGGCGCGTATCGATGTCCTGCTCAGTGACGTACTTGTCGTCGCCAGTCTCTTTGCGCATCTTCTTGGCCCGCTTGGCGAGCAGTGTGGGAGTGTAGGTCTCAGGCACGGTGAAGGTGATGAGAATCCAGGCCACGCCGGAGAGGATGAGCTGGATCCAGTAGAGCCACCGCCAGCCCTTGGCATCGCCGAGGAAGCCACCGACAAGAGGACCGACACCGGGTCCGATGAAAGGAGCAGCAGAGAACGCTGCCATTGGCACACCTCGCTCCTCGTTCTTCCATAGATCGGCCAGTGTTCCACCGACTAGAGACATAGGCGCAGAGAAGGCCACACCAGCGATGAAACGGGTGACTAGGAGGGTGCCGATGTTCTGCGCGACGGCTCCAGGAATGGTGAATACAACAGCGAAGAAGAGTGTGACACCGTAGATCGGGCGACGACCCCAGATCTCTGAGAAAGGCGCAAAGGCCATGGGACTACCTTCATGTTAGTAGCGTTCACCTCAAATCGTGGATGACACCAACTTACCCAACACCGAAACCGATAACGAACAAAGTAATAGTCAGAAGAGAGACCTCCTCACTGACATTAAAGGTCTCCGAGACGCCTGCAAGATTCGCAGTGACAACAGCAGAGTTGAAGGCCACGACGAAGCAAGTGATAGCAACGCACATTGTGCACCACCACTTGTACGCTTTCGACCAGTTCTTGGGGTTCTCCGGGTCATCGATCTTCCATGTGACCAACTCATATCGCTCGATCTTACCCGTCTTGTTCGTGTGGATTCTAGATATCTGACCATCGATTGTCTCTTGAGTATACTCGTCCAAGTTGGCTTCGTTGCTGAGCGTTCGGATAGGAAGGTTGACTACGTCGGCGCCATCGCGTGTTGGCTCCCGTGTGAGACGCCGGGACTTCTCATGCTCCACGGCTGTGTGTCCTGAGACACTGGAGTCCGATGATGCTCGTGTAAGGTTGGACGGTGAGGCGAAGTCTCTCGTCATGGGTTCTACGATGCCTTCAGTAGCCATAGTACGTTGAGTCCAGTGGATGCCGTCAGTTAAGCTTTGAGCGTCCTAGACGCCAATGAGGTTTTCGATGAAAGTTCTTAAGCCGGGCGAGTACTACGAAAGAATGACGAGATACTGAGTGCGCCAAAAGATTGAAGACTGGTCGTGATCTGCATGCAGCATGGTGGGGAAGGGGCTTTAGCATCTTATACCAAGTGCGGTCAGTCAAAGTTTGCAAAAACCACGACAAGGAAACAGAGATTGACACTCTTGACGGAGTTCGCTCGGGCTCAAAATCGTCTTGATCGTCGAATGTTTTGCTGATGGAAGCTTGTCGCCGCTAAGGCCGACTTCGGGATGGCCCCCCTTCCTCTATCGGCGAATGCTCGGGCGGCGACTTCGAGAGAGAACGATTTTCAGAACTCTCAAACAATTGCGGGCTCTTTTGATATTCGCCCCACTGTTCTCGTGTGTCTTCGACTGAAATGGTGCAGGGACTGGCTTTCTCGCCTGACCGGCCTTCTTCCCCGTTAAATCCTCCAGGGTACGTGACGTCAACATACCGAATCCTCGAGATAGAGATGCCGCAAGAAGTTCCTGTCATGAGGCTGATCCGTAATCGTTACATGAAAGAGGAAGCGAATGCCGTTCTAGATACGTGTGCGCCAAGATATCAAACTCTAAGAGCAGTGTGTGATAAACTTGTCAAAATAGCTCAGGCTGTGCGAGCTATTTCCAGCTCCTACATTGTCAGACCCTGCTTTTTGCTTCTTTGTATGCGTAACACTCATCGATGGATAATTGGGAGCCTCGAGGGCGTGAGAGAAACGTTAGGCGATCTGTGCCTGTGCATCGACCACGTTTACGCACTGAAGTTGCACACCAACTAATCGCCACGACCGGGCAAGAGCTGTAAATATGGGCCGCCACGTACATTAAAATTCCGGCCTTAGGCACTTCGGATCACGTGATCGTGACCTGAGAAGAAGCGCAGACGCGTGGTTGATCAGCCGAATAATGTCGTGAATCGCGTCTGTGGTCTAGACCAAGTCTGGCCGATGACTGATGCAGAATTAGGTGGTCAGACTGTTGCAGTTGCGTGTCTCACGAAGGCTTCCCTCTCGTTGCTTGCGTTGCTTCGCTGACAGTCGCAGTACTCAGGTGGTGCCAACGTGAGGGTGCAGTTGCATTGCTCAGATCTGTGCTACACGTTATGGTGTGTGCATTTGGCGAGCAGGCGTAAACTTTCGCTCTGTTGAAGCCCATTTCTTTGTTGACCTGTTTACGCCGATCAGCTGTAACATAGACTTGGCAAGCGAGTGAGAAGCGCTGAGATAGAGTCGAGACATGGAAGAAGTCTTGCTGGGTCGAGTGGGTTCAATCCCAAGGAAAAAATGGTTTGCACGCTTCGCCGCCGACTGTACGCAGAACTGGTATCAGAGTTCCGCATCGATAATTTCATCGTAGCACTGGGGCCATGCAGGTCTACGCAGGCAGCCGGCCGAATGCCAGGGTTTCAGTCTGCGGCCCGAACATCTCCTGCTCGCATCGACGATGCAGCTGGGTCCGGACTCGCTGAAGCTGTGTACATACAGTGTACAAATCGACGCTTGAGCTTGTGTGGCTGCAGTCAAGCTGAATGTAGAGGAGTCAAGATGCATTCGCCAGTGTCTGGTGAAATAGCACCGAGCTCTCGAGGATAGATGAGTCTTGAGATTGATTACCGCGACTGCACCTTGAGTGACGGGCAACTCAAATCCATGCGCCACCGGAGAATTGGTTGGTAGTATTCACGAGTGCGTGATCTCGCTTGAGGATGATGGTCCAAACTGCTGGCATGGTGGTACTTGTTGTCGAAAGGACTGAGCAGATGCCATAGCCAAAATCAATCTATGGAGATCTGGCACTAAAGAAGAGCGTCTGCCGAAGTAGAAGGCACGTTCCTTCCGTTTGGCCCGCTCGGTTCAGAGTGGATCATCCCTCCCCACTCCGGACTTATCGAGCAGTCACGACCAACAAGGTGCCCAGAGGCAGAAGCGCTGTGCAGAGCACAATTGTTTGCGCATTCGTGCTCGAAAATACAGCATTGTGCTGCTTTCTGGTGACACTCTTGAAGATCAGAAGCTCGCCAAGGCCGCCGTCCTCCAAGGCTGACACCGCATCTCCCGATCAGCCTGCACCCTCGTCCCTCGCCGTCAACAGCCAACCCAGACCTTCGGGACCCCATCGAGCTCTCGGTGCTCACTTCCCGCCCGCTATTGGTCGGATTTCTGTTGTGCCGTGAGAGGCTTGCTCTATCGAGGCCCCATCAGGCGTCATCAACAGAAGGCAGCAGAAGCAAGCAACCTGCACCCTCTGCAGCTGCGCTGTGCATTCAGCGTGCACTACTGGTCCCCGTTTCAGCTGGCAGGACGCGGCCACTATCAGGACCGGTCTTGAGGAAATTCTGCTGAGGCGTGTCACGGTAGCAGATTCTATTAATCCGCTGGAGCCGTGCTCGAGATGGGTAAGTGCTAAGAGCCCCTCGCCCATAACTTCCCCTCCTTCTTGCACCATCACAGTGCTCTTTCTAATTCATCTTGACACCTTTCCTGCTGACCTTCACCCCTCCAGACGATAATTACCGACCCAGTGAAACTGTAAGTACAACATGCTTCCTTGATCTCTTATCTCCGTCTTCCCCAAGAACGAGCGTGGCGTGAGCGACCGCCGCAAACAGTCAGGTTCTATCAGGATTTGAGGTATGGTGAGAGGCTTGAATTGGACACGTTTCCAATAATAGTTGCGAACCATCTCATCTGCTTCCATGGTTCGCGCTCGTGGGGAGGCCGGCACGTGACGTCGGCACCTGCCGCGCTTGTCAACTCGAGAGCTCCGACCAACCGTGGCTCACTCACCTCGCGACCTCCCCCATCCAGCCTCATCGAACGCGCGCACTCCCCATCTTCTCGCCGTTCCCCTCTCCCACATTCGTCACATCGCAATTGCTTGAGCGTTGCAATCATGTCGTACGAAGCTGATAATTACGATCAGCGCGACCGCTCTCCTCGCAGACGATCTCGCTCGCCGCGTCGCTCTAGACGATCATACTCCCCTCGCAGCCGCTCACGCAGCCGAGACGACTATCGCCGCAGTGAACGTCGTTCGCGATCCCCGACGGGCGGTGCACAGGGATCAGGAAGTTATCAGTCATACGGAGCTAGTCGCGGAGGAGCGCCTCGTTCGACAGAAAACAAAGACAACATGATGCAAAGCATTCGCGACTCGTCTCAGCAGGATCGCCGTGTCTACGTTGGCAACCTGTCCTACGATGTCAAGTGGCATCATCTCAAGGACTTCATGCGACAAGGTACGGTTGCCTGATACCTGGAAGATGTCGCGTGCTAATGCGCGCACAGCTGGCGAGGTTCTTTTCGCCGATGTCTTATTGCTACCGAACGGAATGTCAAAGGTAATAACTTGATGGCTGGTCTTGATCGTGAGAAGGATGGAGGTTGACTGGCTTTTGCTTGGGTGTAGGGCTGTGGCATCGTGGAATATGCGACTCGGGAGCAGGCACAGAATGCCGTCGCGACGCTCAGCAACCAAAACTTGATGGGCCGACTCGTATACGTTCGCGAAGACCGAGAGGCCGAGCCTCGTTTCACCAACCCCGGTACCTCGCGCGGAGGATTTGAAGGCGGCATGGGCCGTGGTGGATTCCAGGGCGGCTTTGGCGGCCCACCAGGGGGAGGAGGCGCTCCCGGCGCCGGTGGCAGGCAGGTCTACGTTGCCAACGTTTGTACCCCACGTAGTCACCATTGACTCACACAGGACATTTGGCTAACATAACAACCAGCTGCCATACAACGTTGGCTGGCAGGACCTGAAGGACCTCTTCCGTCAGGCTGCTCATACCGGATCTGTGCTTCGCGCTGACGTCCACATCGCGCCAGATGGTCGACCGAAGGGCTCTGGTATTGTCGCGTTCGAGACCGTGGACGATGCCAGGAATGCCATCACTCAGTTCAACGGATACGACTGGCAGGGCCGTAACCTCGAGGTTCGTGAAGACCGCTTTGCTGGTAACACTGGCTTCGGTGGACGCGGCGGCTTCGGAGGTCGTGGAGGCTTCGGTGCAGGTGGAGGCTTCGGTGCTCGCGGAGGCTTTGGCGCTCGCGGCGGCTTCGGCGGCGGTGGATTCGGAGGTCGTGGTGGATTTGGCGGAGGCTTTGGTGGGTCGCCTGCCGGACCTGGTTTCGATCCCAACGGTCCCTCGAACCCGCCCAACCCCTTCACCGACTTCGCTGCTTCTGGAGGCGAGCCCAGTAACCTCATCTACGTTCGTAACCTGCCTTGGTCCACCAGTAACGAGGACCTGGTTGAGTTGTTCACAACCATTGGTAAGGTAGCACGTGCTGAGATTCAGTATGAGCCCAACGGTCGCTCCCGTGGAACCGGTGTCGTCGAATTCGAGCAGCAGCCCGATGCCGAGACAGCTATCGGTAAGTCACGACTCTCTGCTTATTTTCTCGACCACCGCTAATATATCGACAGCCAAGTTCACAGGATACCAGTACGGTGGCAGGCCTCTTGGTCTGTCGTACGTGAAGTACACAAACCAGAACAACGGCGACATCATGGAGGGCACCGAGCACACTGGTGGCTTGACACAGGACCAGATCATGTAAAGCTGCTTCCAGCCGGGATGTAGGGGTTTGTTCAAGCGACGGCGAAGGAGTATGTTTGCACGCTCATCTGCGGTCATTCTTCATGTTAGGGAACATCTTTCACACTTACACTGCGCATCTCCATGAGACTGCTATTCGGAAAGGATCATCTGCGCTCTCATCATGGATCATTTGGCGGTCGACAAAATTTTCCTACTGTATTCTAAAATGCGAACTATCGGATGGGTCGGACATCAACCAGATTGTACAGATCTCACGTGTGTGATTGCTTATTGCTGATATGCCTTATGATGTACTCTATTGCTGCTGCAAGATGCGCATCATCCATTCATACATGGCCCATTGTACAGCATTGACAATAAAAGCTCGCACACTGCAAATGCCCAGTCCTCTGAAGAAGACGCTAGCGCCTTCAGTCTGGAACGCATGTCTGGCGATCTGTATGGCGCCCATGTGCGTTTGTCGTCCTCCAGCATGGAGCAGTGTATGCTGCTCACCTCCACGCACAGGCTCTGGCTGTAGCACCTGTGTCTGCACTCTGGTCTTGATCACATCCAGCGGAAAGATGGACGCCCACGTCACTATCCCAGCAAGCCCTCCACACATCAACACCTTGAAGGCCGTCTCCCTATCCGTATCATCCGGTGAGCTCCATTTCTGCTTACACCACTCATAAGACCAGAAACTATACTTGTCAGCCAATGCCCCTCTGCCCTGCACCGCGCAGCTTACTAAAACCCGTATCCCACCGCATCGCGCACACTCGTTATCCCGCCCCCATAGTATAGCCCCCTCACCCCATCTTTCCTCCAGATCTGCCGCGCAATCGACCAGCTCGTCGCTTGTCTGTCGGTTGCTACTTGTGCGCGGCACTTGATGAGCTCTGTGGGCGCGGAAACAACGAAGGACGCGAAGCCGCCTGTTGAGCCGGCGAGGAAGACTTTCGCGAAAGATTTCGGCGCACTGGGGGAGTCACCGAGGAATGTGAGCGTGCGGTTGTATGTCATGAAGAGCAGGGCGTTTAGTGCGCCATAGCCGAGGATTGGTGCTGTTGCGCCTACACTTCATTGCTGTGATTAGCTGTTGTTTCCTTCAGGACAAAGACTGGTTGGTTGTCAAGCAGAACGGAGGTGAACGTACCTCTGACCAGCGTCCCGGCGTTCTCAAATTGCCCTTTGAAGCTGCGCGGTCCAGCTACCGCTGTCGACGTCCCGGACGAGGCGTCTTGTGCGGACCCGGCTTGTAGTCGCGTCTTGACGAGATCGAGTGGGTTGCCAATTATGATGCCCACAGCGCCGGAGACGTAGCCGGCCCAGAAGTCGGCGGACATTATTGCAATGTCATGGGAAAGTTGGGGTATCCATGGACTTGTGGAGGGGTACTTTGGCAATGTTGGAATGTGGGGCTGATTGAGGTATGGCCGAGGCAAGATGATAGTTGCTTGGTCGACTAGGGAGTGGATACGAAGAAGGCATTGTTTTGATCAAAGAGATGAGGTGTTGAGACGGGCAGATTCAGTGAATTCAGTGATAAGGTGTGCCTGAGAAACAAACTAGCAGCTGACGGGGCAGATCATGCATCGTACAGCTCAGCTTTATGTACAACGTCACGCAGACATTACCATGGCCCATGAGAACGTTGGCGTTATGCAAGTATAGCTTTCTGAGACCTGTGATAGGGGATGAACGCGCTCGAATGCAAACATCAGTCTTTTAGCACTTTTGTATTGATTCACTGAACAAAAATGCTCGACAGCGTCAGATGCCTGCGGTGAACGATAACGCCCGATTCGCTGGCTCCACGGCTGGTCTCGTCGACGTCAGGGTCTATAGAAGCAGCGCCGCCATCTTTCATCAGAATGATGACGCTGGATCTGTGAATGATGCCGGTGCTGTCCGCTTTGAGATCTGTTAAAATATCGACAGTTGTCATCTGTTATCCTCATCTTGGGTCGCAAGTGGCGATTCGCATGATTCACCGTCCTAGCGCATTGACTCTTGAGGCTGAGGTTTGGTCTAAGACGATCTCCCCCGCCGCCACCGCAGCTTTACCTACCAAGCACACCTACAACGCTCACTGCCCTGCATCCTTTTGTTTCTTCTCTCACATATCTTTCAGCATTACACATGTCTGTTCGAGACACGTAATCTTAGAGCATTGTCACGCTGGTCTGATCATGCGCATGCAATTCACACTACTGTTTCGAAACAAGTTGCACTGTACGTTTGCGCCTGCACCGCTCCTGCCTAAGTCATCAACCGCAGCATCTTGATAGCCTGCTATAGGCTACTTCAGCCCTGCTATCAAGCTGCGCTGAAGCTCACGCATGTTTGTCGCCGTGCTGCGTCTGCCACCTCCGCGGCTCACTGAGCTAACAGCTTCCAGTACTATTCACATTCTAGCCCACGACTTCCCAAAACACGACTATCCCGACCATATTTGATCAGTCGCAAGCGACGTCCATCCTCCAATGACTTCACAACCTGCCGCTAAAGGCTGGGACTTTGGCTCGGTCTTCGATCTCATCGACTCTTCTGACGTACACGATGTTGGCTCTCCTAAGCTCGAGAATCGCACACCCATCGTAAAACCAAGCTTTGCACCGCCCGATGGCGGGATTCGGCTAGGCAGCTTCGTGAAGCTGTTCGAAGACCTTGGCATAGCAGATGATTTGCCGCTACCTCCGCTTTCGTTGTCGCCCTCAGGCCCGGAGTCCTCGGGCGTTAGCAATGCAGGCGATGTGCTCCTACCATCCCCGCGCTTTGAATACAACGCAAATCTATCAGAGCCTACTACAGGCACAGATGACACGCAAGCTGTGTTGACCAAGAAGCAACGCAAGCGGGCTCGACAGCAGGCCGAGAAGGAGCAGCAGCAGAAATTAGAAGAAGAGAAGATACAAGTACAGAAGCATCAGACGAAGGGACCATTCAGGGAAGCCCAGCGCAAGCAGCTGCAGAAGCAGATTGAGAGCATCTTCGGAGCTAGGCCTGCCACTGTGGCCACCGCTGCACCTATCTTACTGCCTGGAACTGTCGACGTCGAGCAGACCCCGTCGAAGAAGCCCAGAAGTCGCTCCTCCTCAAAGGAGCTGCGTTCTGAGTCCCCCACAAAGTCAGCCTCAACCAAATATCCCACGAAAGCACCTCAACCTGCGTCTCCCGTAAAGCAGCTTCGACCTCAGTCACGGCCCAATGTGGGAGCCAAGGTTAGGCCTGCCACTCTTGTTCCTGTTGTCGAGCCGGTTCCTGTCATCTCGCCGCAAAAGAAGGATCCACAGACACCAGCTCCTGGTAAGTCGCAGCGCCCTGCCGTCGAGCAGCGCGTAAACTCTGCGCAGATTGCGACACCACAATTGCAGCCTGCCTCGACTGAACCGCGAACCACACGACCTGTTACACCTACTGCCCTTGAGTATGGCGCTAGCCATGGTCTTGTACCGCGGACTGTTCGCCCTACCACAGTTTCACGATCATCGCAGCCGGCTGTAGTCGCGCAACCTTCAACACCGACGCCAGCACCTGTTACGGGCCCCACGCCTGCACGAACTTTTACTACACCTTACAAGGCTCTTGAGTCGATTACGATCAGACCTTCAGTCGAGCGACACATCCATTTTCACACTAAGCTCCTCGACACGTTCCCTGGTGACGCTAAATATATTGTTGCTCCCAGACAGCTGGTCAACGAGAAGACCATGGCTGAGGGTATACACATCTTCGTCGATGCCTCAAATATCATGATCGGATTCAAGGATCTTTTGCGCAAGTACGGTGTACGCCAATACGACATGGCTTTCGACAGCCTCGCACTCCTTCTCGAGCGCCGTCGACCAGTCGCAAAGCGTGTCTTCGCCGGCTCTCACCGCGAAGCCAACCCTCTCCCCCAAATCAAGAAGCTTGTCGAGACCTCCAAGGCGGTAGGCTACGAAAGCATCCTACAAGAACAAGTCTTCATCAGCCGTGATGACTCGGAGAAGAAGAAATTCTTCGACGACGTCAAAAGGCTAGGCTGGCACAAGGCGCAGCAACTCCGCTCTGGCAGTGGCAGCGACTCTGAAACGGGCCCTGCTGCTCCCAAGACCCCTTCCGCCCCGAGATGGGTGGAGCAGGGTGTCGACGAGATTCTCCATTTAAAGATGTGCCAGAGCATCATTGATACCGATGTGCCCAGCACCATGGTGCTTGCGACGGGTGACGGCAACGTGGCGGAGATGTCAGATGGTTTCTTGGCGCACGTGGAAAGGGCGCTCAAACGTGGGTGGAAGGTTGAGTTGATCAGCTGGAGACAGCAGACCAACGGTGGGTATAGGAATAAGAAGTTCAGGCTGAAGTGGGGTCAGCAGTTTAAGATCATCGAGCTGGACGAATTTGTGGAGGATCTGATTGACACTGTCTAGACGAAGATTTTTTTATTGGGATATTGCTGTATTCAGCGTTGATGAAGCATGGTCGGCGTTTAATTGTTGTTTCGATGTACTTCGGTGCCGGTTCGCATTTGAGCATAGCATGCATACGGCATCATGATGGATGCCCTTCATAACAGCAATAGCTTTAGCATTACTTCCACGAATCGCATCATCAATCTATCTTGCACCGTCCCGTCACACCAGTATCTTCATCACCTCGTCACAGACAGTTACCTGCGGTAGCGCCGATCCGGCCCCTGCCCTCACAATGCGGCGGCAAACGGGCAATTTGCGAAGACATGCCGGCAAAGCAGAGCATGAGTTCGCATCAGCGCACGGCCCTGTTTACGATCTCGGCGGCCGCAGAAGACAAGGGAGGGCTGAGAGTCTGTAGCCACATCGTGAAATACGCCGCGTCTCGCCAGCGTATTCCAACGTGTTCGCGACGCTGGGATGTGAAACGCGAACAACGCGAACAGGACGGGATGCTCTTGCATATCGCGCAGTCAAGGCTGATTCGCTGTTTTGAGCGCCGCGAGGCGTTGTTTGGCTGTTTGACAACTTGGGGCATGCAGCTGACAGGGCTTTGTTTTAGAGCAGCGGTTGGGGGCTGTTTTGGCAGTTATCCGGGCAGGGATTGGTCGTGGTACGAGACCGGTGCTCGACGACGTGCATGAGAGGTCTGTGGAGCAGGTGTTTATGTGAGGGCGATACTTGCAGGGCTAGATATGGCTGGGTGTGGGCACCGGGCGGGGGCTGTTGTGGAAGGATACGTATAGGAGAGGAAGATGTTGTGCCTCAGGCACCAGCCTTTGTTTACTTCTGTGTACGATGATGCTTGGCTGGACCTATCGTGAGGGCTAGCAGGCGGCTAGAACGAGGTTTGCAAAGGTAGAGTCAGACAATTTGGGGTTTCAGATTGCGATGTGCAGAGCTTGGAGAAAGGGCCGTCTAGACTTGGAGAAGCCGTTGAAAATCTCGCAGTTCGGAGTGGAGCTGTCGTGGTTTCGATATTTCTCTCGTACAAGAAAGTGACAGGCATAGCGAGCTCGTGCGAGGTGCAAAAGTTGCGGCGGGTCGGACGAAAAGCAGCGAGTCACGGCAGCCAAAAGTGTTGGGCAAGGGAGATTACTGTGGTGAGAGTTGCGCCAAGAGCGCCGACAGACTCACATTCTGCTGACGGACAACCAACGGCACGCGGAGCGTGCGAGATGCCGAGCGCCTAATCGGTGCTTCCCTGCGTAGGTGGTGCGATTGGACGGCGGCCTTTTGCGCAAGGTTGGCGTCGTGCAGAGTGGGCAGATTATCTGGCAGCGGGCTGCCAGTGTTGAGGAGCTGCGTGGTCGTTTCGTGTGCAGATGAGGCTGGGGCTGTGAGACGTGATTGCTGCGGCGACTGTGAGGCTGTTGCTTACACAGCGCAGGAAACGGTCGTCAACAGTTCGTCAGCAATCTGAAAGTAGACTACTCTGTCAGCGTCATGCTGTCAAGGACCCAAGTTTATGCTATCAAGGTCATGCTGTGGTTGATTGACGTAGGGAAGCGCCTTCAAGATTTGATGTTGGCGCGATGTAGTGACGTCATTGCGGGCTAGGCCAGGCTAATGCATCGGTGCATCACAGCTGTTTTGCTCCGGTGAAAGCCTTTGTTTGAGCGGTCTTGGCAGGTTTGGGCGCATCCCATCCGGAGACACGCAAGACGCCGTGCGACGTCGAAACGTGAGCGCGAGTGCTATCAGGACCACGTCCTCGCATGAGCACTGGAATGCAGTTTGCGCCTCTCAGCGCTGTCTTTGTAGTGTTGTCGCAGATGCTTGCAGGTATTGTCCATCTCGACTCTAGCAATCGCGGACAAAGCATTACCTGGCAAGCCGCAGCATCGCGATCCGAGCAAGGCCCTCGCACGACTGGCGGTGGTCGCGTGGGAAATTGCCTTTGCCGCAGTCGGTTAGCGCCGTAAGCCCTGGGCTCAGCATCCGCCATCTTCCACGGCCTCTAATACTAACCGCCGCTCCCCAGGCCTGTTGGTTTTCTCGACGCTGACCTCTTGCTGCCTCGCCGCTGCCTCGCCGCTGCCTCGCCGCTGCCTGCGCAAGACCCTTCACCCAAACATTCCGCCTCTGCTCGACCGCGCACCGCCAAATATTTCGTCAGCCAGCACCCTGCCACCACACCCGTCGCCAGCATGCTCTCGCCCACCAAGGTCGCCGGCCTCTCCGCCTACATTCCCCACCGCGTGCGCCGGAAGTGGAGGGCCACCAAGTCGCGCATCCACAGCCGCCAGTCGGTGACGTCGTCAATCGCATCCCTCGAGACTTCGTGGTCGCCGTCAGACACGATCAAGGCCCTGCGCACGCATCCCTGGAGCATATACGACGCGCAGTACCTGTTCCTGGCTATCATCGCCATCTTCTCACTGTCCGTCAGCGAGGCGCCCGGCCCCTTTGCGAAGACGTTTGCTGCGACTGCGCTCCTGTGTGGTGTTCTGATACCTGCCACACGCCAGTTCCTGCTTCCATTGCTTCCCACATTAACATGGCTGTTCCTATTCAATAGCTGCAAGTACGTCATTTCCCTGCTTGCTTCGGTGTCCTCTTGTCTTCTTGGCAAATTCGAGGTCTGATCAGGCGGCAACACAGCATTTCAAGACCTAGATGCTAACGCCTCACCCCAGATATGTTTCGCCAGAATACCGCCCTGCCATCTGGGTCCGCGTCCTACCCGCACTCGAGAATATCCTCTATGGCGCCAACCTTAGCAACATCATTTCTGCCCACCAGCACACCGTGCTCGACGTGCTCGCATGGTTCCCCTACGGACTTGTTCACTATGTGTCCCCGGTTATTGTCTGCGGCTGCATGTTCATCTGGGGTCCTCCCGGCACGCTTCCCACCTTTGCCCGCGCGTTTGGCTACATGAACATCACAGCCGTCCTGATTCAGATGGTCTTCCCCTGCTCTCCTCCATGGTATGAGAACACCTACGGATTGGCACCGGCCAACTACTCGATTCACGGAGACGCCGCTGGTTTGAAGGCCATGGATAGAATCCTCGGTTTCGACATGTACACTTCTGCGTTCCAGGCTTCGCCTGTGGTCTTCGGCGCTTTCCCTTCCCTGCACTCTGGATGGGCAACTTTGGAGACACTTTTCATGGGACACGTCTTCCCCAGGCTTTTCCCCGTCTACGTGTTCTACACCATGTGGCTGTGGTGGTCGACCATGTACCTTCAGCACCACTACGCCGTTGATCTGGTTGCTGGCAGTCTTCGTAAGTCTTCCCGAACAACCTCCTGCAACATTTTCCTGTAACATTTGTACTAACAGCTATCAGTTGCTGGTATCTGCTACTTCTTCGGCCGTGCCAACTTCCTGCCGCGTGTCCAGCCTGACAAGGAGTTCCGCTGGGACTACGACTACGTCGAGATCGGCGATCCCCAGGACGGCACTGGCTACAGCATGCTGGACATCTACGAGGAGTTCCAGCCTCAGTCTGACTCTGATGACTGGGCCAGCGGCTCTTCCTCATCCTACTCAACCGGTGGCCGTAGCCCATTGGGCGCACGCTCGCCTACAGACGATTCTCAGAGCCTCTGGGACGGCGATACAGTTGCTTCTGACACTGAGCCCTCGAAGCACTGAGCACAGCAACCTTACCACCTCACCCGCCCTCCACCAACAACACATTCCTACGATCGCCCACCAACACCTCCCAGTGATGGCCTTCACGATTTATGCATAACAACGGAGTTTTATTTCTGCTAGCATTTCAGCAACCACATCGATTGAACCACATAGCATAGACCTTGGAAACACACGACCCACGTCTGCGCCCGCCAGCGCGCAGATTGCATGTATTGCATGTTTTGCATTCGGACAGCCCCACAGTAGCCCCTTTCTTCGCTGTGGATGATCCTTGGCTTTGGAAAAGCTCAGTTTTAGTAACATTTTTAATCCCCTGATGACGGGGGCATGGACGATACCCAAGTCGGTCGCTATCGATACAAAGAGTATGAGCGGGAGGCTTTGTACTTGTACACATTCGCTTCAGCTCCAGTCGCCGAGTTCAGATTCTTTGCGCGGCTGGGCTGTTCGGGGTTTGACGAAGATGACGATGGGATGTATGGTGCATGTCACAAGAAGACGGATGGGGAGATGAAGCGTGCGCGGACATTAGATCAGATGGGCGCTCGTTTGGGAGGTCTGGTCGAAGTCGGCATGGTAATCATTATTAGTTAATACTTAATGGATGACATGGTCATGACCCTATCTCATAACCGACGCTGTTTGTACTCCGTGTGACGATGTCTTGCAGCTGTCTAGTTGATCGTGTCTCAGGTACCCCAGATAAGTCCGCCAGTAAGCCACAGGCTCCGGGAGCCTTCAGTGGAGTCAACGGCTTCCTTACATTCTAAGAAATGACAGCTTATTCCCTGCTTTCTTGCCTGAAACATGCTTGGACACCAATTTTATCTGAAGCTGGAAAGGCATCCGCGATGATAATGCAAACTTTTAGTGTCTACTACTACAAACTTTCAGCTGGCTTTCTCACACGTGCTTCCCACTCCCCTGGTTTGCCGGTCTTGTTGGAACGGGTGGTTGTTTGTATTGAATAGCACAACGTTAGCACCAAGATGATCTAGAATAAGACAATCATCTCTTGCATTAAAGACACAGCCTACAGAGAGGCCAATGCTACGAATTTGCTCGAGCTGTCATTTCTCAAGCCACGTAAACCTTTCGTGTGAACACCAAACCTGTTCCCATCGCCTCAACGGCGACGTCTGAAGTCGTCTTCGTCGTCCGAGTCTTCGTCCAATGGCATCTTGTTCTCCCATCGTGTCAACCGGCCGCGGTCCTGTCGCACGATGACATTATCTAGCTTCCCATCCAGGAACAGGATGGCAGCCGTCACGATGTACGAGTTGGTGAAGTATCTCTCGACTTGCCACTCATACCCATCCCAAGGCTGGTCAAAACTGTCGGTAATGTTGAAAACAACACGTACATCTTCATCGCCGGGCACAATACGACTGATCTGGCTCGTCATCGTATATCCGCATTCGCCCGTATTCGATAGGATCATGATAGTGCATGTCAAAGATCAGCCATACCTCGCCTGCACGACCCGGTCTAAGGGCTTCGAGCCGTTCGCAAGTGCTCCAGAACATACGTAACCATTGTCACGCCATTGCATGGTGCGCTTGTTGATCTCAGAATCCTAGACAGAGCCGGTGACTGACTGCACCCTACCGAGAGGTAGGAATGCGAACCCAAGGCCGTTATGGCGTGGCATCGTGTCCACGAGGCCAGCCTACCTAGTTTCGGAGCTTCATCTATGTCGAATTCTGAGAACCGACACTTTCTGTGATGTCAGGGCATGTCTCGCGATGGGCTTTCTTCAGAACGAGCTTGTAGCCTGGACACTAATACGCGGATTGCTTCGTGTTCGTACTGCGCACTACAGTCGACCAGGAAGCGGACGCGAGAGAAATGGCGGAGCCAGAGTCTTAGAAAGTCTAGTGTTTCAATACGGTGGTGGCAAAGTGGTTGTCATCATACCTAAGAGCAGTCAGTGCTAATTGTGACATCCACTTCCAAAAATCATCAGGTTCATCGTTGCTCTTTCCTTATAAACAGTGAGTGACACTTATTTTGTGCTCATCAAAATGAAAAAAAAAATATGGACTTGCTGGGAATCGAACCCAGGACCTTTCCCAAATTATTTGAAGCTGTTCGATCACTGGTAAGGTTAATCGAGATGCTAAGGGAAAATTATACCACTAAACCACAAGCCCATGTGACTTTACATGAAGTTTTGTAAATAAATAAAATATAAATACAGAAAATACAGATCACAGTTGTCAGTTGTTTTGCCTCAGTTGGAATGTCAGTAATATTGGGGCTGGTGAGGCAGTTCGAGACGACAAGATATTGCAGCTGTCACTAATGGTTAAATGCGACACTTTACAGTCGGGCACGTTCGATTGAGTCGGAAATAAGTCGCTGCCCACTACCGGTAGTACTGACTCACGGAGAGATCATTTCTTCAGGCGCTAGGCTGTGAGAAACGCCTCACCTGTTGATGGAGCCAATTCCGATTCGAAGTCGAATTCACAACTCCTGGCATCATCTTGCAAACGCATGTCCCAATTCTGCTGAGCTGAAAGGTTGGCATTGCCGAGCGGAGAATCGTCGCGATAGGCGTCGTTGTAATTAATAACTCAGGCCTGCAAACCACCAATTCGATACTAGTCGAAAGGTGTGAAGAGACAAGTATAGATAAGGTAGGTTGGATGAGTCGGTTGAAACAACTTGAGTACCTCCAGCAATCGTGGTGGGAGGAACTCAGTGCTGCCGATTTTCAGAAGTCTTCCGCAACTCCCAGGTCGATGATACCTGAGTCTTGCAGAGGTACTTTGTAAGTGGTTGTGGGATTTCAAGCCGCCGGAGGTTGTTCGCCCGCTCGCCACTACGACGGTGGAGCAGTTAGTGGTGCTGGCACATCGCCTAGGAACGACGTGGGGAGATCTACAACCAAGTCGAGGATACATTAGACCGAGAGGCAGAGGAAATACCATCAGCAGCACCACTGTTCGAAGATGTGGAGACTGAGATCAGTACACCTTCGACAAATCATATGTTCCATCACATGTAGCACACCCTCACGCTCGCGAATTACACCCTGGTATCATACCTGTGTATCAGGCTTTGAATCTGCCAGATGTTCACGCCGTCTACAGCATCAGCGCTGCGGAGCCGAGTCAGGACATCTATTCCGAGAAGTTGCTACATGCATCCAGCCTTGCAATAGTACGCGGCTAACTTCAATCCACTGGTGTCGCCGAGGAGGTCGTTGAGATCATCACCAAGCAGGACGGGTGGGTGAGGTTAGAACTCATTTGCGATTTACGAAGCATGCACTCACCATTCTTGCCATTACGTGGATCGAGTATTACCACACTGCCCAAAGCGGTGTATGCGGATACCGAATCACTCGCAACTCACTGGGCTCGAATTGTTTTCCGTGGCCGCTTAGAACAATGCATTACCGGCGGCCACTACTCAGCGCATTTGGATTCTCTCCTTGGCCATCTGATCATATTCGCAGCTCGATGGCCGCATTACTTCCATCAGAGTCTCCACTTCCAGATGGGCGCGATGCCCGGCTATCTCATCGATTTTGCACACAATGTGTTTGACGAAACTATCGGCTACTTTCAGAGGCGCAAGGTCGAATGTACGAAGACCTCGCTCTGACCCATCTCTATCTAGGTATCGCAGCATAGGAGAGAGTGTACTCGCTCCAAAGGGACATTTACAGGACCAACCTTCTGCTCATATCAGGATCGCCATCCAATGACATCGTAGAGGCGTTTCATAGCTACGTCGACCAAGAGCGGCTTCAGAAACCAATGAGAGACAAAAACCTTATCATCGAAGCCTGGTTGACGCTGATTGTGCGAGTGATCTTTCATTTCTGTACCTTGCGTTTTCTGCCCGTCCGTACGCAGGTTTTCACCTGTAGCATCTGCGTTTCACCGCAGTAAAACGCCAGCATATTTTACCCGAAAAATGATATGGTCGCCACAACGCAAGCACCCTGCCAGTCAAACACACCGTTCTTCGCTTCGGCGACCCCTGCAGAACGGTGATGCTTGCGCGGATGTGGGTGATAATGCTTAGTTCTTTTCATCTTGTCCTATGAGAGAGGGTATTAAGTATGTACGGAGATAATTTGTTCATCATTTGTCATATGCTGCATGTCACAGCCAGCAGATATGTTGCAATGTGATGAACAGCCAATATGTTCAAAGTCGAAGTTGTCCGAGGACAAGCCTGTTGATTGGTTAAAATCAGGTAGGGCTGATCACTACAAGCGGTCCGTCATCCGGGGCTTCGGCACTATTCTGAAACCACGGCGTCGTGGAGTACATATTCTGGAAGACTGCCATCAAGATAAACCTCCGAGATGGTTGACGTGCAACCCACCTCGGTGTGATTCACATTTTTCCCGCCCTCATGTCGGCGCATACTGACAACTTGTACATGGGCGTGAAGGAACATTGCGTCGAATGCACGACAGCCTGGCGTGCAGCTACTGTACTGGTGCCCAAGTAGCGAATTGGAGAGCTATCAAGCTCGGTACCGCGCCCTAAAGCTAGACACGCCCCGTCAAATGCATTGCCACCGACTTGGACTTGCAGCAGAACTTGCTTGCTTGATCCGGTCTGAAGATCACAGGCTTAACCTCGATGGGCAACCGGAGCTTCGCTGCGGTCAAAGAAGTTCAACGACTCTGGATCCGGTCAAACGGGAAGACTAGATACGCTGTAGTTATCTAATGTGGCTGCCTCCAACCTTCCACCGCTCTTTTCGAACCGATAGCGAGGCTTGACACAGGGAGCTATGAGTGGAAGAATGCCAGGATGGCAGCAGTCATGTGAGCTCCGCATTCTCAGGCTTGGTCTCCATTGGCTTGCTGGCTCATCCTTCACCGCAAGAAATCGTATGCATCGGCACTTGGACTGAAAGCAAGGGACCTATCCTGGTCCGTAGGGACGTTCCAAGAGGACGGTGTGTGGGAGCTAAAGCTCTTTCACCAGGCCACAAATCTCGTGTTGGATGAACATTGGTCGCGGAAAGGTCCTGCAGCCGCACGTGTTCTCCGTCTTACACATGCAGTGCCGTGACGCGGCGCTGAAATCCGCGATGCACTGACGACAGAGGTGCGAGTGTGTCATCGCAAATATATTGCAGTGCTGCTGTTGAGCTGTGATGAGGTGATAAGCTGTTATCGAGGGAGGTGCTTTCCATTGTTGTGAGAAGTTCGGCTCGGCTGTGCCCACCTCTTTGGTTTCTTCCTGCAACAACTGTCGTAGAGGACAACACAGCAATGTCAATCTGCTCGAACCACCTACGTATTTAAGATCGTCGGAGCGCGTACAATGACATGTGCGATGGCCAATCAGATGCATCTCTCACCGCTACAGTGAAAATGACCACCCTCCGGCCAGGGGGAGGCCAATGGAAAACTTACCGCAGGTTACTCCCGCGCCCTGAGTCGCAATACTTGAAAGTATCACGCAAGACAGGTCACCATTTTGTCCGACATGCATCGTGGCCATCGAGATTTGAGATCCATGCTAGGGCCTGCCGCAACTTCCTAACTTCCCGTCATCCTGAAGCAAAAGTTCGGTGATGTGAGATGAAAGTGATGTGTTTCATTCTTTCCGAAACCCTGAGAGATGTGCCCCGACTTCCAAGGCTAACGTCTAATATCAATACCACCACGATCTCTATTCCGTTCCGATTACGGGCATACCACAGTCATGGTTGCAGTGGCATTGCTTGCTGCAGAGACAGGGATGCAAGCTTAACGGCCCCGGCATTCTGGATCATCAACCCTCGCCGTGGGCACCTCTTGGCTCAAGCGCCTCTCCTTCCTACAGGACATCAACCTCCGCTAATGAAAGTACCATGAGCACCACGTAGCCTCCAGGATCTTCCGCTATGCCCAAGCTACTCGGGTCTGCTGCCTTCACTCCCGGACCCTGCCACTTCGAACCTTGGCTCCTCTTCGTACTCAGCTTCGACAGCACGCCTCGCACGTGTCAGTATGCTGTCGAATCTGCAGCTCTGATTGTAAAGGTAGGTCTGCAGTGCATTTCGTAGAACCACTGGCTCTTCCACGGAGGTCTGAAAGCGGTGGAGCCCCTCCGCGTTGTCACTCCAAAGCTTAAAGATGCTCGCGCTCCCTCGCACCGTTCACGAATCCGTATCCCTTCCGTTTCAAGTAACGAGCCCCCGTCGCTTGGGCTGGTGATCCGGCGCCATCGCCGTTAATCTTCTTAGTCTGTGTCCACCTGGGACCCACTAACGTCTATTTCATCCTTCTACCCTCCTTCGACGCCTGTTTGGTCGTCGTTGTCTTCATACTCTCTCCTTACCATACCGATGTTCTAGGACTGGAGGTTGACCATGGGTAGCAACATAGAGTCCAAGACCGCCAGATTGGCCAGTCACACCGTACGCGGCGGTCCCACTCAGCCAACCATTTCCGAAGATAAGAAGCCGGCGCCACAAAAAGGAAGCAACAGTCAGAACATCATGGCAATGATTGCAGATGACGATGACCGTCTGCTTGTACGGATTGGATACACTCCAGTACGTTTCCTGAAGAACCACGCTAGAATAGATGCTCATTTGAGTCCAGGTTCTACAAAGACATTTCTCACGATGGTCTACCGTTTCCTATGCGATCTCTATCCTTGGTGTGCTTGGATCAGTGCCTGCAACATTCGGCGCACCAATGATCTCTGGTGGACCTGCAACATGTGTTTGGGCATGGTTCATTGGCAGTGTGATGGCATACTGCATAGCCAGTTCAGGTATATTTGCCCACTCCAGCCATCGACCAACCCACTAACGAACGTCCAGTGGCCGAGCTGGTGTCAGCGTATCCAACGGCTGGCGGGATGTACTATGTAACTAAGCATGTAGTACCCCCAGAGAACGTCGCAGCGTGGGCTTGGATCATTGGGTGGTGTAACTTCCTTGGTCAAGCAGCAGGTGTTGCAAGCCTGGCGTACACAATCGCGCAAATGATCTTGGCTACAGCTGTCATGCACACCTTCGATGGAGGAGAGGCAACGTTCACACCGTAAGGAACATCGAATCGAAGTGAGCGACATACACTAAACTGCCACTAGGAACGCCCACCAAACCGTTCTTCTAGCAATCTTCGTTTTGTGCCTATTTGGCGCAATTTGCTCTTTCCCCACAGAGTGGCTACATCGCATCATTCTATGGTTCGCTCCTATTAACAGTAAGTTCGGGAAATGTAGCTACATTGCAGCAAATAACAAGATTAGTCGTTGCATCAATCTGCATCTGCATCGCGCTTCTCGTTCTCACACCTGACAAGCAGAGCGCAACATGGGTGTTCACGACGGTCACCGATGGCTCCGGGTGGGGTAGCAAAGGATTCTCGTTCTTGCTCGGGTATGTCAATCCGTAGTATATGGCCAAATTTGTCTGACAAACCTAGTTTCCTATCAGTCGCATGGACAATGACCGACTACGACGGCACCACACAGTGAGCCCCACTCTAGCCTTGCCTTGCATGAACAGCTCGCCTAATCAGCTCGCACAGCATGTCAGAGGAGACGCACGATGCCGCTATTCGCGGCCCAGTTGCCATTCGTGCAGCCATACTGGTGTCTGGCATCACTGGGTGGATGCTCACCATCACGTTTTGCTTCTGCATGTCAGACTACGACAGCATCATGGCCACACCAACCGGTCTGCCAGTCGCACAGATCTTCTTCAACGCTGGTGGTAAGACTGGAGGAACGATAATGTGGTTCTTCGTGATGCTGGTACAGTTCTTCACTGGCTGCAGCGCCATGCTTGCCAACGCCAGAATGGCCTGGGCATTTTCACGCGATGCTGCATTCCCCTTCTCTGAGTAAGTCTTCACATCCTACTTGCCTACATTTGCGACCTTCTACACGTATCAATCAGCGGGCGTTCACTGACTCGTCCAGCTTTTGGTCCAAAGTAAACTCCCGCACCCACACGCCCGTCAACGCCGTCTGGCTCGTCGTTGCCTTCTGCAGCTGTCTCGACCTCATTGGAATCGGCTCAACACTTACCATCACCGCAATTTTCAACATTACCGCGCCCGCGCTCGACATCTCCTACATCGCCGTCATCATCGCGCACCGCTGGTATGAGGACCGCGTCACTTTCCACCCCGGTCCGTACACCATGGGCCGATGGAGTAAGCCTGTCAACCTCGTTGCTGTCACTTGGGTCATCTTCATTAGCGTTGTACTATTCTTCCCGACCACCAATCCCGTCACGGCTACGAACATGAACTACGCCATCTGCGTAGCAGCGTTCATTGGACTCTTCAGTACCGTATGGTGGTACGCTGGTGCGAGGAAGAGTTACACCGGCCCGCGCACCAGCGACACAATTGAAGAGCTTCCGCCAGAGGACATTGAGGATATCCTCAGCGACTACGATGACAGGTACACGCCGTGAGAGGCGTTTGCATCGTATTCCTATAACACATGCTCACGCCACTAACGACTTTACGACTTCAAGTTTCCAAGTAGGGCTAGATGGAATACTCACCGTTGGTGCACTGGGTGTCCTGGACAGGCATTGCTTTCTCCGCATTCGATTCTCACAGCTCGCTCCGCTTACGGCCTATGCAAGATACCCCCAATACAAGTTTCGAGATTGACTATGACATGCAAGCGCAGTCCGCCACAAAGCTGCACGCTATGATTTGCATGCAGTGTTTCTACAGTATCAGCCGTGCACCGTACCTTTCCACGCACGCCAGACTCTACTTCCAATCAGCTCCCCACTGCACATCCAGATCAAAGTTTGTGAAGCAGGAATGCCTCAGGCTTCATACTAGACAGTGGAATTGTGCGAGATGCCGTATCGGCAGCTGTGTTTGACCATGTCGCAACAGCGCGAGGCTTCGTATATCTGATGCATCGCCTTGTTGATCGAGGTGGATTGATGAGACAAATAGGTGTCGGTGGGGGTCCCGTGCTTACGCCGGTGTACATAAACGCACATCGACATTTCTAAGGATGTGGTTGTTTGCCCTCCTTGGTTTAGGTATGACTGCTTATATGCCGGGCGATGAAGTGTGAATGCAAACTTGGGTGGGATATACACCCCACAGCATGGTAGTGGCATTACTGGTCGTGAAGCTGAGCATCTCTCCTAAGTTCCTGAGAAGCGGCGAACATGTGATTAAGTAGTTTGTTCGTATTTGATGCAAGGTGTGAAGGTCTACGTGCAACGCAATGCCGCGCTTTGCCCAAATCAAGGTGTGCCCGTGCATCCAAGGGCAGGGTATTTTATAAACAGGCTAGCTTTAGAAAAGAGAAGTTGTAAAGAACGTAGCGACGTGAAAGAACTTTTCCGTCAAATGCTGTCCCAAGCCATCGAGAAGTCGTGGCCGATGGAGGATGCAGGTGTAGAAGAATGCGCATGCCATGACAAGTCGTTCGAAGTGGGTGCCGCCGTCGCACCTGCTGGCGTGGTCCCGGTATTGATGGCGCCGTTACACCGGACTAGGCTCCGCCCAGCGGCGCGAGTCCCTTGGTGTGTCGGGTGCGACCTCTCGAGAACCGCCGAAAAATCTTCAGTGTCCCCCAAACACATGTCGCCCACGCGCTGGCGGCCGTACGACTCCAGTGTCGTGGTTCCATTGATCTCGGTCTCCCTGCAAGCGACTCCGTCCCTGACATCATCTGCAAACGTCGTGATCGCACTCTTTGAGTTTGGCGATCACGGGCGGGCAGTGCCAGCGCGCGCCAACTCCTTCACCCGCACAGCGGTCATGGAGGGCATTTTGCTGAAGCGGCGCGAGCTGCTTGTGGCGGCCGATTTTGTGGACGAGGAGGGTGACGAGGCGTAGACGTACTCGCCGTCGACGTACTGTGCTTCGCTGATGAAGGTGGAGCGCTTCTCGCGGCGTGTGTAGCGCTGCTCCAGACGGTAGAGCTCGAGGCCTGCGATCGTTGTTAGATCCTGAGGCCCCTACGGCGTATGGAACCGCGGAGTAGGGGCTGACGTACGAGCCTGCAGTTTCTCGATGAGACCCATGGTGAGTGTCGCTGTGTGCCGTGTGTTCCGCCGAGATGGAGGTGTCGCAGTCAAGAGGCTCCAGACAGCGGGCGATGTCTTGGTAGAGGTGGTGCTGGGTGCACCGTGGTAGGAGGGTGCTGGCAGGGAAGCGGCTGTCGCGGTGATGCAGGCAGTGTGTCGTATGAGGTGGATATAGGCTGGGATTGCGGAAGAGTGTGGAGAGCGATCGGCCGAGCAAGGTCAATGCCTCGATTGCGAGCGAGAGAGACGGCAGAACGAGAGACCAGGCAGGACTCAGGAGGCGGGCAGCAGCGAGCGATAGCAGCGAGTGGTAGCAGCGAGCAGACGGGCAGCTGCTGCAGCAGGCAAGGGTGTGAGAGGTTGCCGAAGGTGGTGTAACGACTCGCTTGGGCGTCTCTGGCGTGGTTCTCCAAGTTTGAAGCGTGCTCTCTGCCGTAGTCTCGGCCCCAAACAAGCCGTCGTGCCGGCACCGCGGGACGAGCGATTGACCTTGCCCTGGGCCGCGACTGCGTTTTTTTCGCTGCAAGACGCAGGGTGCCGGCCTTTCGTGGCTATTCACGGTAAGCAGCATGTACTCTTGCCCTCTCGTCACGCAGACCCGCGCCGCTCTTCCCTCTCTTTATCTGCGCCGCCGGGAACCTCAAACGCCAGCCGTCATCCGAGTCAGTGCGCCGCGTGGAGACAGGGGTAAAGGCCCTCAAGCCTCGAGGGCCAAGGCCCTCTTTCGCCCCCGTGCGCGCAATCTCCGGCTTTGGCCCAGCGAGCCAGAATGCCATCGATACCGAAGCACCCGCCAACGCAACGGGCCAGTACCGAGATAGATGTGCAAAGCATTGGACAAGTCTGCAGCCTTACGGCCGCCATCGTTGGGACGTGTTCGTTCACTATCTGATCTTCTGTGACGTCTCGAGTGTAGTACCGCCTGGTCTATGTCCAGATGCTCCTTTGCTCCGTGTCAAATGCTCCACATGCTATTGCCTGTTTCGTTCCTTATTCCACCGAAAGCGACATTCTCTACACCCGGTTCTCTGGAACGTATCCCTCCACAACCGCAACTGCCCCCACATTGCCCGCATCAGCCGAGCCATTGAGCAGCGAGATGACCGAGATAACGTCTGTTGGCTCGACCAAGTGCCAGCTCGCAAGCGTCTGCTTGGAGCTGGCGCCGACCGTGACCGAGAAGACATGGTCGATCGGCAGTTTCGACTGTCGCAGTGAACGGAACATGTCTGTGATCATTAGCTCATGCTTTTTGTTGTTCTTGTCGCAAGTTTCGATTGCTTACCCTCATCCGTGAAGTCGTCGCCCAAGCAGAGGACGAACTCTGGTGGTGCATCGCCGTACTCGAGAACAAGCCTCTTTGCGATTTCACCCTTGTTGACAAACCTTGGGCGGACTTCGAGGTTGGCCTTGCCCGTCATAACTTCGACATCGTGTTTCTTAGCCACGGTCCTTTCGAGCTCCTTCTGGCACTCGCGTGCCTGGAAAGCTCCGAATTCAGGATCCGCCTTTCGGTAATGCCAGGTAAGTGCAATCTTCTTCTGCTCGATGAACGATCCTATGCTGGATCAGTACGGGAACCATTGAAAGAACGTATGACGACTGACCTTGTGTCTTGTCAGTGAACCTCTGGAAGGTATCGATGACCTCTTGCTGCCAGCCCATGTCCTCCTTCTCGGTCAGGTTCACCCACTCGTCACTCAGAGGTTGCCTCATGAAGCTTCCGTGCTCAGCACTGAGACCGAGCTCTGGGATATGACCCATCCACTCATCCAAGAAAGCTTGGTCTCTTCCACTGATGATCCATACAGAGTTGTTCTTGTCTGCCGCCAGCGTCTTCAGAGTCCGGATGACGCGGTCAGATGGAATGGCAGCTGCCGGATCTTTGACAATCGGTGTCAATGTGCCATCGTAGTCAAACATGAAGAGACGTTTCTTGGCGTGTCGATATTGAGACAAGATCTTTGCGCGATCCAGAGCTGGTGTAGCAAAGGACTGGTCGAAGGAAGACAGGTTAGTCAATAATCGCTTGAGGTAGTTATTAGTCCAGGACTGAACGTTGTTGTTGACAACGTGGCTGTACAACTGGTTGTGCTGGTCATCGCGCTCCTTGACAGATATGTTCAGCGCATCGTTGATGGCGTCTGCGACACCGCCCAGATCCCACGGGTTGATGTGGATAGCTCCACTGAGGGATCCGGCTGTTCCGGAGAATTCGGAGAGGATCAACGGACCATGGTTGTCTTTCTGACAAACAACGTACTCCATGCTTGTGGTGTTCATACCATCGCGGACACTGGTGATCAGACCAACATCTGCGATGCGGAGCAAGGCAAAGTACTCCTCCGAGGACAGGTATTGTGGGAAGTGGCGGACTGGGGTGAAGCTGAGAGAGCCGTAGGTACCGTTGATCTTAGCTGCAAGATCTGAGATCTTGTTGACCATCTTCTCTTGGGTGTTGTCGCCTCCGTCAGACACTACAGCGCTAGGGCTGGTGACTTGAATCAGAACAACCTTCTCTTGCCACTCAGGGTACTTCTCGAGGAACATCTCGAAAGCCTGGAGCTTCTGGACAACTCCACGCACTGCGTCCAGCCTGTCGCGACCGACAACCAGCTTCTTGCCAGCGTACATCTCGCGGATTAGCTTGATCCTCTCCTCCACCTCAGGGGCTTCGAAGGCCTGTCGTTTTGTGGAGATAGAATTGATGCCAATTGGGAATACGTCAACTGCAACATGCGCACCGTATGCATCCACACCAGCCGAGGACGAATCGAAACCGAGGATCCTAGTACAGCACGACGAGAAGTGGCGGGAGTAACTGAATGATTGGAAGCCAATCATGTTCGCGCCTAGGACACCTTCTAGGATCTCCTTACGCCTACTCAGACACCTGTAGAACTCGCTACTCGGGAAGGGAACGTGAAGGAAGAAGCCAATATAGATGTTTGGCAAGCGCTGGCGCAACAAGCTAGGGAGGAGCATTAGCTGGTAGTCGTGGACCATGACGATGTCTCCAGGGCTGTAGAGCTCGAGAATTCGATCCGCGAAGAGCTTATTCATGCGATAGTAGTCTGCCCATGACTTGCGTGCCGCCCGCCCATCGGCTGGCTCATTCTGCTTGTAGTGCAGAATTGTGTAGAGCTCATGCTCTGCGTATGTGCGCCAGCGGCTCTGATCCTTCAGGATATATTCGTCTTTTCCGTCGTCAACCTCGTCGACCAGCCACACAGGAACGATCTTGCCGCCGTGGTCTCGCTCCAGCTGCTTCTCCAGTCGGCCACGATCCTCTCGCCCAATGCGAATGCCAGATGGCTGAGACTGTTGTGGCGCAGGCTTCTTGGGGTCTACCGGGATGGGCGCAGCAGCTTTGTTGATGATGGGCTGGAGGGGCTCCTCGACTGTGGCTTTTGCGTGCGAGATCTCGCCCGTCCAGCCAACGAGAGTGTGATTCCAGGGCGAAGACGAAGAGGCGAGATATGAGAATGAGTCGAAGAGAGCTGATGTGCCATGGCGAGGGTTCATCTCCCAGTCATTGCCCTTCGAGTAGCCCAGGTTGTAAGGTACGGCGAAGGTCGCGCTGATCAGCTTGCCGCTGAGATTGAGTCCCGGGTGTGCGGCTCGCGGGTCAACATCAGCCAGGTCATGCTTCTTCGTGGACTCAGAAGAGACACTGAGGCGCTTCAGCAATTCCTCGCCTGTGCGGGCACCGGCCACCTGCTCAGTAGGAGAGCTTGTGCAATCGTCTCCGTTCTGCTTGGGGAAGTAAGAGCCCTTGTCACCCCACGATGGTCCGGGTGACACAGTCTCCGGGTCGAAAGGCAAGCTGTTGTTCTGTTCGCGCACAGGTGGCTTCTCCTCGTTCAAGCCGAACCCAGGAGTGACGGGCACATTGGTAATCGAGGGGTGGAGGGCAGGGTGCTCGCTTTCTTGAGGCTCGAAGGACTCGTCCGCCTCGTCATTGGGCCGTGTGGTTGGTGCCATGGCGCACAAGTTGCTTCCCGGATGTCGCGCTGCACAGCGTCAGAAGGTGATAGGCTGCAGGTGGTTGAGGTTGTAGGAATGATTTAAGTGATAGGCGGGCAGCGCGACACGCGTTGCTACGGCGCATCCGCGTTTGGAGTGCGCGCACGGCAACACTTCCAGGTACTCACCTTTTGTGGTTGTGAGTTGTTGAGGAAGGAGTATTTGCAGACAGCACCTGCCGAAAGTCGTGCACTGGCTGCTCACTTTGGGACAGTCCAAAAGGCGGGATGAGTATGGCAAGCGAAGGGGCCACAAGGGACTGGTCAAGTGACACTACGACAGGTGGAAGCGAGTGCAATCAGAATCAAAGGGTGCTGGGCTGCTGGGCCGCAAGAAAAGCTCAAGGTGCGTATGGTGGGCTGGTTCAACATCCCACTTTCTTCGGTACGTCACGCAGCGGGCCCGTGCCTGATGCGCATATCGAAATCGAAACGCAAGGGAAATGACTACAACATTGCTTTCCACAGTTGCTGGCACGTTCTCCATGCTCCGCCCGCCGCCCGGTCACCGCTTTGTGGAGTTTGTTGAGTTTGCTGTCAATATGATGTAACTCTATTTGGCGCAGCCCACATTGCGTGCACCTCGGCTGGGCTGTGCTGGTCGAGTAACGGGCGGCTGTTGGCAAGTGCACGATAACGGCCTGACAGCGTGTGGCCCGCATAGCACTGACGGATCAACCGCATGCTATGTGCAAGAACTCGACATGGCCTAAGAAGGGCCATTCTCGAAGCAATGATTGTGCAGGAAGTCCGCGGGGATGGTCCGTTCGAGAGGCTAGCTTTGCTTGGCGTGTCAGTCGCGAATTCAGATTCCCTCCAGGGCGGGCTCCCGCTGCAAGCGCGACGGAGCAGCAGAGCAGCATCAACAGACGTCTTGTCGCGGCAGCCACCACCGAGGACCTCACATGCACTCAATTCGCGCCCGGCAGATATGTCGCGCCCATAATACCTTCTCACCCTCACTCGTGCTGTGGCAGCACTTCGTCGCACCAAATCAGCACCTGGCTCGAAGACTGCTCAAGTCCTCGTTTGCAACCGAACCTGTACAACGCCGTGGCGGTGGCAGTGCAGGCTCAATTCATGAGCAGCCAGCCGCAGATTCCGACTCCACGCACTTACGAGACATCGTCCTCACGAGGGCGCCAGTTGGTACCGAGTCCGAAGCCGTGGTCAATCCTCAATCATACACAATTTCCCGCCATGGAAGAAAGCCCCTTTCCCAAGACGGTGGATTAAGGGGTGAGAAGGACAACAGGCCGTATCGCAGAGACAGACGGCAAGACGTGGAGAAGCTCTTGATCGAGAGCCACAATTCCTGCGACGAGTCGCAGGACTATGAGGGGGTGGTCGTCTTACCACTACATACCCAAGAACACTGCACTGAGCACCAATTGCCGTGGAACATCCGTGACGTGGAGAATCTCGCCGCAGAGGAAAGGTCAGCTCCCGATGCGTGAACGCATCAACGGGCACCTGCTAATGTTTCATGTGTAGGTTGAACCTCGAGATACTGAATTTCCACGAATACATCCGACCGAGTCCAGCCGAGAATATCGCTCGCAAGCATGTTATCGAACAGATGCGCCAACATGTTCGAAGATATCTTCCGGAACATACTCTGGAAGTATTCGGTTCGGAAAGGACTGGCCTGTCCTTTGCAACTTCAGACATAGATCTACGACTCGTCCTCGAAAGCCTCTACTCGACTTCCACTGAAGCCCAGTTACCACCGATGCTGAAGCAAAGATACCAAATGAAGGGACATCTGCGCAGGCTGCACGCACGTCTCGCGTCAGGCTGTAGGGACTCTTACCTGCTCCCCACGATGCGATGGGCGCGTTATCCTCTGATTTCGCTGCAAGACCGGAATTCTGGCTTGGACATACAGATTGTGCTGTCAAACGATACGGCCCTTAGCCGGCAGCTCATGCAGCGCTACATGGAGGAGTACCCTTATCTCAGGCAGCTTTACTCAGTCGTGAAGGCAACACTCAATATTCGAGGACTTTCAGACGTCTTTCGAGGAGGCGTAGGCTCCTACTCGCTTTTCATGATGATCGTCGCCAGTCTGAAGCACCACCCGAACCCCCGCCACGATGCAGCAGGCGCACTCGTGAACTTTCTAGGTTTCTGGGGTAGCTTCAAGGCCGACCAGTACAGCCTCTCCATCGAGCCCCCCGAGTATCTGGCCAAGACCAGCCCTATTATGAGCCGTGCGGCCATGGATAACATCGAGGTACGTAGACAGCCAGCATCCCTCACCGCACGCTCACTTATCGTCTCGCAGGAAGGTAAACACGCACCCCTCCCTCCTTGGATGCTCAACCTTCGTGATCCCGCCGATGAAACGAACGACCTCGGTCGCAAAATAGTGGCCTGGAAACATATTCAGACGACCTTCGCGGATCTGTTCAGGTGCTTACACAAGGACCTCGAACAGAATTCGCGGCCCAGTCTGCTGGCACAATTCGTTCGCCCCATCCACGAAGTGCAGAAACTACACCGCCAACGGCTGAGCAAGTACGGGCAGTCGTTGTCCGAGGCAGGCAGACAACATGCGCCGAGTGATGTGGCGAACCGAGCTGTGCAGGGCGCAGACGCCATGACGGAGGGGCGGGCGTTCTCGGACTCTGCCGGACTCGGTGCCATTGCGAAGTTAATCAGGAAGGTGAAGAATAAGCGAGTCGGAGAGGTCATCAGGAAGGTGGAGGCGACGCCAGTCAGAGAAGTCATCGGGAATGTGGAGGCGACGCCAATCAGAGAGGTCATCAGGAAGGTGGAGGGGACGCTAGTCAGAGAGGTCATCAGGAAGGTGGAGGCGATATCAGTCAGAAAGGTTACTGTTGATAAGGGGCGAGCTGCGAATGCTTATGCTTTAAGAGAGGCACACGAAGACGCCAACAAGCAGTCAGTTGCGGATCCTGAGGCTTTGGAACAAGCAAGAGAAGCAGCGCAGATAGACGATGTGCAAGCGGCGAACACATGGCTCAAGGACATCGAGGAGGCCTCTGACCATAAGGAGACTGGGAAGGCCTTCTCCGACATCTTGGGCCTCAATAGGAAGGCAAACAAGTAAAGCCTAGGTCAGTAATGAAAACGTGACATCCTATTTCGCCGTTTCATATCCCTCAGACTTCTGAACATCGAATCGTTTGATTCGGGCGTGGTCTGTGCCAAGGTTCACTTCGCGTCATGTCTCTGTAGGCATTGTAATCACATTGTCATAGGGACGCCATTCAGCCAGAAGTGATGATAGCAAGCACTATGAATCCTGTTCAGCGTGCAAGCCGAATCGCAAAGGTTAACTCCGTCGGTCCGCCATGCCGTGAGAAGTTTGATCTTGATATCCTCCGCCGTAAGTCCGTCAAATGCCATCATGAACCGTAAAGAAACCACCCACGCACATCTGAGCTGACTCTAGATGGCGTACTTGCGAGTCCACTCCCGGGCTGTCGACTCATACCTGGAACGGTCGGTCTTGTAGACGTGTGCAATCTCGGGGACGAGCGGATCATCGGGGTTGGGGTCTGTCAGCATCGAGCAGATACTCAGCAGCACTGTGACAAGTCAACATCTCATTCCTGGAACAAGCTCATTATGGGCATCCTTACCCTTGCTAATGGTGAGCGCCGGGCTCCACTGGTCTCGCAGAATGTCCAAGCAGATGCTTCCGTTCGAGTTGATGTTGGGGTGGTAGATACGGGTGGTGAAGTTGACCTTCGGGGGCTTGAAAGGGTAATCGGTAGGGAAATGAATTGCGAGGAAGAAGACACCGCCCGAGTATGGTGAGTCGCTCTGCCACAGGTTAGTTCTGGTTTGCAGTGTGTCTTGTGAAGATCGAGCGAAGCGATTTAGCGCTGTACGTACAGGGCCCATGATCGTTGCTTGCCAGTGAAACTATCGTCCCGTCAGTATGGCTATTCGTCAAGGCGCGTCAGGGCGGCGGTATCGGCGAAACTGCCTGAGCCGCGGGGATAGTCTCTTCACAAAGAGTGACATACCAGGTCGTCGCCGATGGGACCAGCACTGCAGGAGGAGGGTGGGTCACTGCGCGTATAGAGTCAGCCAAACGTTCCCAGATCATAGCGCAAGAGCGCTGCGCCGCTGCCATGCTCCGCATTCGCAGTTGTCGTGCGAGCAGACGGCGAGGCCCGCCGCTGGTGAGAAGAGGAAAAGGGTCCACGTACCGACCGAGGTCAGTGAGCTCTTTGTTGATACGCTTAAGGGCCATGGTGATGTGTTCTGTGTGGTGCGGTGGTTTGTGTGGTGCGGTGGAGCGGTGTTGCGCAGAGAGTGTGGGTGGGAAGAAGTGATGAAGCCTGTCGACGTTAGTGGGGTCTTCTGGTGGCCCGAAAGGAAGCAAGTGCGGCGTCTCAGCGTGGAAGGACCGCCCACCGCCACATCACTTCAACGCAAACAAACGTACCTGTGGGTAAAGGTGTAGAGAGACGGGGAGCGCGATGGAGGTTTGTGATGTGATATAAGACAAGGTATAGCGGGAGCGGAGGAGGCGCAGTTTGTGTTTATTATGCGTCGAAAGCGCCGCACATGCGAGACAAGCCAGTCACTCCCCAAAGTTTGATTCACCGGCTACTTTCTGCCCAGCGACGCCTGAGTGGCGACTAATAGAACCTTGCAGAACGACCGTCAGGCTGACATTCACATTTGGTCTCTCGCAACGTTCTTCTGGCGATAATCCGACCAATGGATATCTCAGTCACCCTCGTGACCGCCAACGTTCGCCTCTTAGCGGGACGCATCATGTGGAGACGGCGCATGCACGCGGTTTGTTTTAACACTCTTCATGTTGGAGCGAGCATGCAGCATCAGCAATTCGTTTGCGGACGGCGTTTGACACAGTATGCAGGGCCTTCTGAAAGGGCACAAGGCTGAGTCTGAGTTCGACTTCATTGGCTACTCGATCTCCATGTTCGGGCTATTCTATCAGGGTTCTGTCACAACGTTCTCTGTGCTGCCCGCAGGTCTTCCGTGAACTGACGCTGTCTCTTGAAACGTCGTGTTGTACAACTAACAAAATGCCTGAAGGCCCGTGATGGCGCGACCGAGGATCAAAGCTGTAGTTGTTGTCAGTCAAGCGCTTATTGAGATGCATCTAGGTACTCACAGTGGATGTCACTCTGGCCCTCATATGTTTGTGTAACAAATAGGTTCGCCACGTGCCTGCCAATGCCGTACTCATCAGACACTGCATTTCCACCAAACACTTCTTGAAGCCTAAGTTTGGAGTCAGTCAATGAACGGGTGAAACAGACAGCAATACTTACGTGCGGGTGTTGATCAGTGCGCGGTCGCAATTCTGCCTCTTGATCATAGAGATCATCTCGGGGGCGGCCTTGCCCTCATCCTTAAGCCTTCCTACCTGGTAAGCAGCCAAAATACCGTAGGCAGCATCTGTGGTTGCATCTGCCAGCTTCTTTTGCACAAGCTGGTACTTAGCAATTGGATTGCCCTTGAACTGCTTTCTGTCCAAAGCATACTCACGAGTCCTGGCAATGGCATCTTCCAGAGCACCTATGGTTCCCCAAGCAATGCCGTATCTCGCGGAGTTTAGGCAGCTGAATGGTCCCCTTAGACCCTCCACATCTGGGAACATGTTTTCCTTTGGCACGGGAACCTCGTCCATTTGAATCATACCGGTGATAGAAGCCCTCAGACCGTTCTTGTTCTTGATGGCTGGTGTCTCGAGGGTGCCAGGTGGGCAGTCCTTACGTTCGATAGCAAAGCCACGTATCTTGCCTGTCTCCTGCAGCTTGGCCCACACAACGAAGACGTCGGCGATAGGCGAGTTGGTGATCCATGTCTTCGAGCCGGACAAGGAGTAGTAACCTTCCTTAGATGGGTGAGGCTTTGCAATGGACTCCATAGATCCTGGATCTGAGCCGTGGTTGGGCTCGGTCAGACCAAAGCACCCGAGCAGCTTCCCTTTTGCCATTTGGGGGAGAAGACGCTCCTTCAGCTCCTCAGTACCAAACTCTTCGATACCACCCATGGCAAGCGAGCTTTGCACTGAGTAACCAGAGCGGTACCCTGAATCTACCCTTTCGACTGCTCTTGTGATCAAACCAGCAGCTACACTGCTGACCCCAGCGCATTCGTAGCCCTTGATTGATGCACCCAGTAATCCCAACTCTCCCATTTCCTCAATGATCTTTCTGTCAAAATCCTCGTTGCGGTATGCATCTGTGCACTACGTCAGAAAGCTCATAATGTAATTGGACTAAACATACCAAGCACTCTTGGAAGCATACGCTCCTGGCAGTATGACTCCGCTGTCTCCGAGATAGCCTGCTCCTCCTCCGTGAGCAAGCTGTTCGCATTCAGAGGGTCCTTCCAATCGAACGACACAGGTGTGGTCATGTGCCGCCTTCCGATGGTCGCAGAGCGAGCGCTTGACGCCAAAGGCCTGAAGGCATGTCTGTAAATCGGTGTGAGCATGTTGACGAGATGAGCAGATCAATCTCCGCAAAATTGAGTGGTTGAAGTGATGGTTCGGTCGTTGTGAACGGATATAAATCCAGGGCTGAGGTTGGCCCTCGGAACTCACGAAAACAGAAAGGAACCGCGGCTCGTCGGAGCAGACGCCGCAGTGGTGGCGACGCTCTGATCAATCCCAGATTTCATATGCACGGCGATCGATGGTTGCACGTGTCAAAAGCTTGTGTTGTGCCTTTGCATGAAGCAATCCTCACATCGCTGAGACATGCAAGCCCTCGAGTACTTAATTCCAAGACATAGAAGCTGTCCGCCTGCTCTACAGACATGGCATCAATTGCAGCACAACGACAGTAAAGCCCGGATAATTTTCCACGAATGCAGCTGGCCAGACGCCCTGCACGCTGGGGGGCTCATGTTGAAGTTCCTCTGTCCTCACTATGGATTGTGGGGTGGGCTGCTCTCAAAAAAGGGAAGCCGTGACTGCGCGTAACCCCTGCACGCGTTTTGGACGTGACGTAGTCCGTGCGATGTTACTGCCCTCACCAGCCTCCAACCGTTGCCTGTACCCAAACTTTTTTACGCGTAACGACTCCAATCGCTCCAAACTCGCACACACACTTAAGTGCAAGACACAGCCAGAATGGGTATCAAGCACCTCTTCCAGCTCATTCAAGAGCACGCGCCCGGCGCGATTAAGACTGGCGAGATCAAGAACCAGTTCGGTCGCAAAGTAGCTATCGTACGTTTCCCTCATATGGATCTGTTCTGAGCTCTAGCTGAACTATTCAGGATGCGTATGCATGACTCCAGTCCTTAACCACACGCGCAGTCTGACCGTGTCTAGGTCCATGAGCATCTACAGTTTCCTCATCGCCGTACGATCAGATGGCCAGCAACTCATGAGCGACACCGGCGAGACCACATCACATCTCATGGGCCTTTTCTACCGCACACTACGTATGGTCGACAACGGCATCAAGCCCCTCTACGTCTTCGATGGCGCCCCCCCGAAGCTCAAGTCCGGCGAGCTTGCGAAACGTTTCCAGCGCAAGACCGAAGCGCAAGCCGGCATGGAGGAGGCGAAGGAGACTGGTACAGCGGAAGACGTCGAGAAGTTTTCGCGGCGAACAGTCAGAGTTACAAGGGAGCACAATGCGGAATGTCAGCAGCTCCTCAAGCTCATGGGCATTCCTTTCATCATTGCGCCTACCGAGGCTGAGGCACAATGCGCGGTTCTCGCGAGAGGAGGCAAGGTGTATGCTGCTGCTTCGGAAGATATGGATACATTGACATTCAACACACCCATCCTGCTGAGGCACCTCACCTTCAGTGAGCAGCGCAAGGAGCCTATTCTCGAGATCCACCTTGACAAGGTGCTTGAGGGCCTCGACATGGAGCACAAGCAGGTATGACCTTTTCTCTCGCGATCTTGTACTTTCCAGAGCTAATACACCCAAGTTCATCGACCTCTGCATTCTTCTCGGCTGCGATTATCTCGACCCAATCAAGGGCATCGGCCCCAGCACCGCACTGAAGATGCTTCGAGAGCAGAAAGATCTCGAGGGCGTTGTCGAACACATCAAGAAGGGCACAAAGTTCACCATCCCTGACGACTGGCCGTTTGCCGATGCACGCACACTCTTCCTCGAGCCCGACGTACGACCTTCCGACGCGCCCGAATGCGACTTTAAGTGGGAAGCGCCTGATGTGGAGGGTCTCGTCAAGTTCCTAGTCGAGGAGAAGCACTTCAACGAGGACAGGGTACGCAACGGCGTTGCCAAGCTGCAGAAGAACATGAAGACTGCACAGCAAAGCCGCTTGGAGGGCTTCTTCAAGCCTGTTGAGAAAACAGCTGAAGAGAAGGCAAGCTTGAAGCGCAAGGCGGACGAGAAGCTCGAGGCCAAGAAGAAGAAGCAGAAGGAGGATGCGAAGGCGAAGAAGCAAGCGAAGGCGAAACCTAAGGGTGCTGCTTGAGGGAACATTGTCGCTTAGCTTGCTAGTATGTAGCTAGATTTTGGTCATGATGCCGATGACGAGATGGTAGCTGGCGTTTATAAGGCGTTTGGTTTCAACGTTGCGCTATCAGATCTGGCTGGCGTGCCAAAGGACGTCAACAGTGCCCAACGGAGTCCGCTCTCATGACATTGAGGGAAGTCATGCACCTGCAGAGATATACCAAGAGACACCAAAACAGTCAAATGTTCAACTACACATGCTCCCCTGTGTCCGAAGGTTTTGTGAATGTCTCAACTTTTGACAACGAATCTCATTTGGCGCCCGGTACCACTTCTTCTGCCCCCTTGCGTCTATATGGGTGAGCTTTTTTGACAGAGAGATCTTGCCTCAAAACCTTCCATACTGACCTTCAAAATCCAGCCGACCATACACGGTCGGGCCAGAACAGACCTTATGTGCAGCAGAGATATGGACCAAGGCTTCGAGCACTCCTCAAGCAAAGTCGAAGTCTTCACAGGAGGAGCCCAAGAAGTCAGGCCACTATTCATTCCAACATCTTGAAGGACCTTAAACTCCAAACCCAGCAGCACAGCTGCAACAAGCCTTTTTAGGCGCGCTTCACCCCCTTCATTCTGCAACGACTCTGTACTTTTGTTGACCAGCGAGGTTGTCAGTGCGTTTTTACTGATCTTCGGGAATCAGACACGAATATTGGCCGGCGGAGGCGAGATCACCGATGCGCACTCACACTCCGTGAATGGTCATGCTCTGTGTCGCTCACGTTCTTATCGCGCATACCGTTGGTCCTGGCTGCGTTCAAGAATGGATCGAAGCATCACGGATAGCACTATTCGGAATGGTTCTTCACATGCTCAAGAGTGCGACGTCAATGTAGATGTTTTAAGTAGCTTCTGCAACAGCTCGAGAAAGCTGCGGGCTCTGGAGGCATGCTAAGCTTACAGACAAGCAAGTCGCTTTTGCAATGTCTGCATGGGCGTATATCATCAAGGTCCTGACGAGATCGTCCGTTTCAACAGGCCAGTAATTGCTGTGTACAATAATCACAAAAACATGGGCAACACAGGCTAGTTTCTGATTACTCCTCGATCGAGCTTAGCTCATGCGACACAGCCTTTCGCATGCCTGCTTTTAATTCACGTTCGCATATGGCTCACACGCATATAATTTACCCGTGCTGAACCGGCATGGAGACCGTCTTCGATCTACATACCGCTCGTGTCAAAGGCGACAGTGCAATATAAAGGGTTTCGATCTCTTCGGTACCAAAGGTGTTACTCGAATGCGCAATACTGATCGCAACTCTGCGATCTCGAGAGCAAGGTCGTGGCACTGTTCTAGAAGCGATGGCTTCCTCAGATACAAGTTTTACGCTCTCAAATAGCATTCGCTCATCAAAAGCATGTCTCATCGTACCGTCGGCGACTGTAAAGCTTAAGACACCCGCTACCGAATTTGGTGCTTGGGCCAGACCGTTAGTGGGAAGTACGTTGACATCGAAGATCAAACGCGCAAATCCTGGGAAGGTGCGACCATCACTAGCCTTAGGATGCAGTCTTCCGTAGCGACCATGCTAAGCCTCAATGTCGAACTTTGTGATGCTGACACCGAGTCACTTCGAGCCCTGAGGCGACGATGTCCGCTGCGCATGCATGCACGCTTCCTGCAAGTCATCCCGAAGTGGGCCTCCAAATGGCGTTTGAAGATCTGGACACTTTGATTGCAGGGAGTCGCCATATATCAGTCCCGTTCTAGCAATACTGCCAGTCCCTCCCCCTCACGCCGGCTGTCATCGAGCTTTGAGCTACATGACGCGGTGCACACACTACCGCTGAAGCGGCTCTTCCCAAAGATGAGCGGATTTTCCATTCCGGTCCGCAGACCCAAGCGCAAAGCGAAGTACCTGCGATGTTTCAGTGCGGTAGGTGTGGGGATTTCGAGATTTGCATTGTGCCTAGAGGGCGATGCTCCCAGGGTCCAACCATTCAAAGTTCAGACCTGGCGATCGAACATCAAAAGTTACCAAGCGCTAGTGCAAACAAAGTATACATGACGCGAAATTGTTGGGAACCTTATTGTCTGTCTTGAACCTTGCGAGACATTGCGTTACAAAACGTCTTCAATCGTTCCCATTAGGTTGCTTTTGCTGGTATCTGTGCCAGAGATCGTCTAGTGTTGTGGGGAGTTTCAAGAGCTCGACATGCGATTCGCGGTTCGCTACGGCGGAGAGGCGCGGCAAGCACGTGGTGGGGTGCAGATGTCGGCGAAGCGTGCAGGCGCGGGAATAAGCGTTGGGGGGGAAAGTGTCTTTTCTCCCCGCAGGCTAAGCATGCATGCTGTATGGATGCCTGTTAAGAACTCTCAACAGAGGGTCATCGAGATCGCCTGACTTGCTGTATAGGACACGCAGTCGGCTTCATTTGTGCGCCGTCTTTGTAGTGTCGCTGCTTCTTATCATACTGAGGACGCTCCCCTGGGTCTTCTGCGCAAGCTTGAGTGGCGCAAAGCGTGACTCGGGGAGGCGGCGGCCTGCCTTTATTGACTCGAGGACCCTGCATATGTCAGTAAGCTTTACATTGAATGTGCTCAAGACTGGCCGTGACCGGGAATCCATAGCAGCTTGAGTGGACTGAGAAGAATATACCATTCAACAGTAATATACTTGACAGCTTTGCCACCAGTCCTGGCGACTTCCTTCTGGATTTTGGTGGCAGCTAGGCCACCACCGCAACCCCCGTTCGCATTGACTGTTCCCAGTACAACGTGTGTAACAGTCCTTCGACCTAATGCAATCGAATGATGCGCACCGTGCGCTGACAGCATGTGCTTGAGCCTATGATCAGAGACGAGGGGCGCCGTTGAGCCGTTCAAACAAAAGCATAGGCCGTTGAATAGCTGCTTTGCCTGGGGCGCTGAAGGAGACATAAGGGTGCCATCGTAGGCGTCTGATTCGACATCTTGCGAGCAGTTAGTAGACCGAGCTCAAATGAGGCCAAATGGGTTGTAAATGCATAATTTGAGCTCAAACGCAGCTGCGACCCAAAGCGACCAAAACGATCTTTGGAGGTATATAGTGGAAACTTACCTTGTGCTTCTGACAGATCTTGCTCTACTTGCAAGGGTTTCTCCTCGGAAGGGGTTTTCTTGCCAGCCTTGCTGACACTCCACACGTCCGCTAAGTTCTTCTGGCTGCTTGTCCTAAGGCCGTTTGCGCCCTTCTCCCAGCCTCCGTTTTCCTTTCTGCCTCCTTTGCCAAAGTCTTCACTGCCAGCGCCGACTGTATCTGCGACGCGCATGCCGCCACCGCCAATACCGTCCTTGTATTGCTCGCGCAGCTTCAAGCTCCGTGAAGCGCGCCAGGATATTGAGCCTGACAGACGGTTCTCGGCGTGCTGGTGCCCAGTCGAGCTGCTGTTCCAAGGGCCGAAGAAGGTCCGTCTTGCTGGAGCAGCAGCGGTGGGCGAAGCAAGCATGTCGGGCTTGGTTACGGGTTTCGAAGTGCACACTTGAGCTGAGGAAGGAGGGGCGAAGTGGTGGTCGTCATCGCGCGTCGGTTTCAGACCGTTGTCTGGACCTGGAGTGCTCATTGCTATGGCGGCCGTTGAATATGCCGCATTGATGTCAGTTTACGTTGCATAGTGATGAAGAAGCAAGGTTGTATATGCGTTGCTAGGTCATGATGTTGTTTGCAGATCGTCCAGGTTGTTGCTGCAGTGTAGCGGGGCACTTGTACGTACCTGCATATGTGCCCACCGTAATTTGGTCGAGTAGATGGATCAGTAGCTGGCTAGGAATGTTGGTAGCAGTCTCTGCGCTACTGCATTCGCGATCGTAAGGAGGAGAATCAGCGAAGCGTTGCATTGCTACGTGCTGTGCTTGCGAGTTTGGAAAACATTGAGGTGGTTGCCCTTTTCCGTTTCTGGCGCCAACCCGAATGCCAACACGACGCGTTTTCACGAGGCAGGCTCAGTTCTGCTGCAGTGAATTTCGTAACAGTACGTCTTTAGTAACATTGATTACATTTATCTGTACATGGTGATACATGTGATGCTTTATCTCTCGCGACTCCTTAGCTCGTAAGGGCCGTTGAAAAGCAACTACGCCGAGATGATGCATCCGTATGCTGAAACGCCGCGCGGTAAACGGAAAACAGGCCCGCCCAGTGGTATGAACATAGGAAAGCGCAAACATGAAGATCAATCCTTTTCCGACTTGTGAAAGTCCCCCTTGTGGTAACGCCCCTGGACAGAAGGGAATGCGGCAGTGACCGCGTAGTGCAGAACCGGATCATTGACCCCGGTACGATGATAAGCAAACATGGAAAAAGGAAGACCACGTCTTCTGCTACCCGTTGATACGGTCCAGCATTTGTGGTTCGACGTCTACACCGATGGTATCGCGCGACGATAATCAATACATCCGCTTTTGATGCGTTGCGTCGTGAACAAAAGATGCTTGTCGTAATTCGTGAAGAGACTACGTCTCGCAGCATCTGAAGATGCAGGCAGGTGAGACCTCGCTCAGCGAGAGCATCTCGGAGTCCGAGCTGCGAGCACCTTAGTGCTTACTCACGGAGGCGTTGTACATGGCTCGGGCCCTCTTCATCTGCTCGGAGTCGAAGGCCTCGCTCGCGTCGCTACCTTTCCGGCTAGCGAGTGACAAGGTGCTGCTGTTTCCGAACTTGAGACTAGCGAAGGACCGTACCTTCTTGAGCTTGCTTTCCTTGTGCTCAGCCGCTTGTGCAACACAATCGGAGTCGGTAGGAGAGCTAACGCGAACAATCTCATCGACACTCGGGCGAGGCTTGACTCGCATGCGCCTGAACTCTCGGGTAATTCTCTCCAGCTTGGAAGCTCCCTTGGATGTGGGTGCGTAGCTAGGCATCAGCTCTGCAGCAGACTCATATGCTGAATGGCCCACGCTTGGTTGGCGCTCAGAGCCGAAACTGACGCCAGAGTCTGTCTTCTTGCCTTTCCGCTCCTCAATGTAGGCTTTGAACGATTCTGGCCCTGTGGTAGCGAGACAGTCGTCAATCATGTGCTTGGCTACTCTCAGGTACTTGTCAATGGTCTTCTGAACAACAGGCCAACCAGTCTCCTCGTCAGGCCCTGCGTTGTGAGTAATGATAGGATCAAGTACGCTGGGACCATTCTTCTGGACGGCGTTGGTGTAATCAAAGAATGCATCTCGCTCGTCCTTCAGCGTTTGATGATCCATAACAGGCGAAGGGAGCTTGGATGAACCGTGCATGGGCGGTAACAGAGTATTGAGCATGCCCATGCAATTGAGTTTGTTGAAAGGTTCATTCCTGAGCTCCTCGATCATGACCTGGTCCTTGTTAGTTGACGGTACATATGGCAGGTTGTGGTCTGCTTACCCATCGACGTACGCCGAGGTAAACCTGAGCATAGTAGCTCTCAGCCTTCTTGTTCTTGGCTTCAACATTCCTTACCCATAGAGCGATACCGGGGAAAGTCTCAGCCATTGACTCCATGTCATTCTCGAACGACTCAGGATGGATGTGTAACCTCTCAAACGCTGATACCATCTCTTTACGCCGCCTGTTCTCCAGATCTCTCAGGTAGTCGAGGGCGGTCAAGGCTTGGGGAAAGTCGACTAGACCAAGTTCGGGATGGAAACACCGGCTTACAAAGTTGATGATGAATGTGGGCGGTAACGAGCTTTGCTGCGTAGGCAGCTTGTTGAGGTGAGTCACGAGCTCAGATGTGAAGTTCATGGTTGCCGACTCAGTGCCGTTCCAGGCAAATTGTCCTGTGGTCGGTGATGCGCCGCCGGTACTGTTGCTTGGTGTGTGACCGCGGGACTGGTTCTTGGAAGGATGTTGAGTACGGGGCACACAGTTCAGTGTGTACATGGTTCGGAGAGGAATTTCGTAGCTGCCGGGATATTGCAGTACGTGCTCCAGGATGTAAGACATGGAAGTAGCATTTGTGTCATCTGACCCACTGCGAGAGTGCGTCGAAGACATTTTGGTAGCGGTGATGTGGTGAGTCCGCGCTTGATGTTAGAGCAGAGGATCTGCGCCGTTTTTTTTGGCGAGTTCGTGGAAGTAACGCCGCAACGCTCGGGGCACGTGGGCCGTAGAGAAAGGGATGTTCAGCTTTGGTGAAGCGCGAAACGTGGATAGATGTACAGACGAACGGTCCGTGTGTTTTTGGAACTAGCGTGGGGGAGACGCGTGATGGAGAGAAGATGATGACGGTGCGTCCAGAAAGTTGAAAGTGAAGAGAGTGAAGAATGGAGCTGCGGGAGAATGCAACAGTAATGATCGCAACAAGCTCGAGTCTTAAGGTCCGGGGTGGTGGGCGGAAGTTTGAATATCCAGAGCGGTGATCCTGGTGCTTGCCGTTTGGGTCCGGGGGTGCGAGATGCAGGTGGGGGATGCGGACAAACGAAGGACAAACGCGGTTCAAGCAATGTCTAGCAGTGTTTCGGTAGTGGGGGAAGAGAACGGTGGGTTCGAGAGCAGTTCGAGGTTGGTGTGACGAGTGCTTGGGCGAGCAAGTGCATCAATGGCTGTGGAGGGCTTCGAAGGGTTTTCTTCTGCAGATGCTCTGCGCGCGAACCCCTGCAACGCTTCTTCTGGACCTGTCGGTAGCGCTAACGCGACCATCACGGACATCACAGACGCGCATGAGGCGTTGGCGCTATTGCAGGGTTCACGTCGCGGAGCTGGGAAGACTAAACTAAAATGCCTTTCTGCGCCTTTGGGCAACCCCACCGGAAGGCAGGCCTGCAGCCAGCGTGCCGCACAGTCACGTCAGTGAGTTGAGCGCTCGGCTCCGTGAGTGGGCTGCTCCTTTTCGTGCGCTGCAGCTGCCGCGGTTGGGCAGGTGAAGCTGCAGCTGGCGGGGTGTTCGCAAGCCCACATGTTCCTCGTGGACTCGCCCTGCATCTTGTGGGACGCCCACTCGTCCTGTCAAAACAGCCGTACCATGGGCGACAGCTGAAGAGCCGGCTGGTTCCACAGTCGAGCCAACGTCGCGCGAGAAGGGGTCCTGTCGTTCCGGCGCTGGAGGTACCCAGCGACCTTAGCTCAAACCATGGGCGCGACTGTTTGTAGGGCCCACAGAAGTACCGCGAGCGAGGATTTGGAGCTGCTGCACCATCTCAGGAGCTGCACCAGCAACTGCAAGCTAGAGCTGCACCTTGGGAAAAGCCATGTCGCCCGACCACTAGGAAGCGGCACATGCATCCGCGCGCCCAATCACATAATTCTACGCCGTTGATATGCCACTTCGAGAATCAAAAACTGACCAGGTGGCCCTTGCATTTTCGATGCAGCACGCCAGAACGAACGAAAGGGCAATCGGCCATTCCACAGCGCCCGTGCAGTCCTAGAGAAACTCTAACCTCTGCGATGCCTCAGATTCTGTCCCTTGCGTCCCTTGCGTTGCAAGCATGCCATACACAGCTAGCTGCAAACTTTCATGCTCCCTCTGGCAGCCTCGTTGCAAAGTCATTCGCGGCAGACGGCATCTGTAGCGACATTGAAGGTTGACCGTGCTTCTGTGAGCACGCGCATTGCCGTTAGACGAGGATCTCCTTGCAGGCTGTTGGCCAGCACTGTTGCAACGGTTGAGACGGCAGATTCAGATTGCTCATCTTGTGCAACACAATAACAACACAATAACAACACAATAACAACACAAAACAATACCTAACAACAAAACACAACAACACTCAACATCGCGACTTGGCCATGGCGGTCCGGCTTAAGGCCGCAGCCGTACGGGGAGATTGAACTCATAGCCTCGGCCGATGTCCGTGGTAAGCGATTGAACACCGTGCATGGTCAACATAACGGCTGGATAGCTTGATAATGGCTAGAGTTGCAGCTGGAGACGGGTTGCAATGCATCACAGTCAAGTTTGCACACGTGCGATTGTGCTTTTGCAAAAGCTGTCCTCAAAGGATGCACCATGTCAATTGTGCCACAGGAAGATGCAAAATGCGGCTACGCCGTTGACAAGGGCACCTAACCAACTTGAATGACTGAAATGGGATCCCGCACGTTCCAGCCCTGCTGCGAGAAATTAGAGATCGCAGAACCGACGGAGATGACTTCGCGTGGCCGCACGAACACGAATGCGGGTTGACGGAAGAACGCTCACTGTCTTTGGATGCGAATTGCAGATCGACGCGCTTGAGTGGTGCCTGAGGCTATCGGAGCGCCTTCCGCATTTTCCCAAAGATTGTCGCGTAAACACAAGTTCAACGGCAGTGGCCTCAGAGATTCAGGAGCGGGACGCTCAACCATGGAACGCGATATCCTCCGACTCGTGTGGTATCGAGCCCATCCGAACCGTGTCACAAACAGCCAAGCCCAGAGCCCACCAAACAAACGTCGCGCACCGTAATTCGCCGCAGCCCAACTGCTTCCAAATGAGGCAGCAGGAACCCACGCTGCTGCACCGACTCTCCCAGCGCAGATCACTAACCACTTACTCAAGTCGTCGCCGACTGCGAGGTATGGTGGCACCCTCTAGGTTATCGTCAAGGGTTGTGCTGCTGTCCTGAGCTTGCGTGACGACGTGTTTTCCAGAAAAGGAGTACAGTCTTCAGCTCTGTATTCGACACCTGTGGTTACAACGCCGGACGCCGTACTCTCGCATACACGAACGAGCGTTGGGCTCACCCACAGCCACTGGTGTTACTTAAGACAATAGTTTCAGTGTAGCCACCAGTCTCACCTGAATGAGCGGCCGAATGTTGTAATGGCAAGGTTCGAGAATCACTACTGAGAAGGACTCCGGGGCTCCCTGATCAGAAGCTCCTGGGGCACCTCTTACGACACAAACGCCACCTCGTGCCACAACTAAGATGACGTTTGTCATTATTGACGGCGAGGCCGGTCAATGATCCAAGGTGGGTCGCCTCGGGCAAGATAGGCTGAACGCTATCGCAAGGCCCACGGGGAATCTGGGGTGCAAAATTTAACGTCAGACTCATAGGTACTCAGCACCAAAGACTACTACATCGGGGTCTGCTGTGTAAGCAAGTGGAGTATGACCAGCTCGTTGTTCTACGCTCTACACGCCCCGCAGCTTGATGAGTCATGATCATTGAACAACCTCGAAAAGGTCACATACATAACAGATGGTGACAGCACAGAAAAAATTGAAGCAGCAACATGGCGTCTCCTCTCATGCTTGACTTCACCGCCATCGATGTCTTCAAGGACAAGCCTTACGAAGGCAACCCACTCGCCATCATTCGCATCCCTCATGGCGTCAGCGTGACGCAAGAGCGCAGAAGTAAACAATTGCGCGCGAATTCAATCTTTCAGAGTCGACCTTCCTACACGAAAACGCCTCTGGCGCAGTTGAAGATAAATGGACTGTAGACATCATCATGACTACCAAGGAGCTGCCTTTCACCGGCCACCCCACAGTTGGCACCGCTTACTACGTCCTCTCAAGGATTGCTGAAGAGCACGGCCTCAAGGACGGAGTCGTCGAAGTAGGCTTCCAATTGAAGACTGGTCCTATTGGACTGCGATACGATGTAGCGAAGAAGACGGCGAAGGCAGCCATTCATCACGATGTGCATGTGCACAAGAAATGATGGAGCAGAGATGAGCTCTTCAAGCTACAACCTGGTCTTGCTGCGGCTCATGAGAAGGGTGGGGTCAAGACATAGGTGGACTATCCTATTGTGTCTATCGTCAAAGGCATGACGTTTGTTCTGATTGAGCTGGAGAGCGTGGCGGCGCTGGCGAAGGTGTCGCTGGCAGGACAGAGCATCGAAATCCATGGGCTGGATCAAGGCTGGAACGAAAGTTTCATTGGAAAGTACTTCGATGTGCGGACAGGCAAAAGTGAGAGCGGAGCGACGCAAGTCAGCACGAGGATGATCGATGGACTGCTCGAGGACCCCGCTACAGGTTCGGCGGCGAGTGATCTGGCTGCTTATCTTTCGTTGAACGAGGGCGAGGCCGGCAAGACACTCAAGTATGAGCTAGTGCAGGGTGTTGAGATGGGGCGCAGGAGCGAGATCTTCATCGAGGTCGTTATGGCGAAGGACAGTGGTATCCAGATGGTGTACCTTGAAGGTGGTGCTGTAAAAGACATGGAAGATAGGTTGACCGTTTGAATTTAGGACCGACTCTGACAAATTTACGCTTCGAAAGTGATCCGATGATGTCGGCTTGAGGTCTCCCGTTCGTATTTTGTAAGCGATATGAGAGGGGCTGGAGGTCACTATTAAGGCAGCGAGTGCGATATGGAACGTTCTCAAGTTGCTCGAGGCTAACCCGGCCTGTCATCCGTCACAACCGTCTAGCCGTTTGAACAGCTTTGACACATGGTTGAGCAGGAGAGCTTTGATCAACTGCGGGCTTGAGACAGGAACGACAGCCACCGCCGGTGGAACAGTATCCACAAGATCTGTGGAACTCCTTGATTAGGCATCGGGATCGTCTGCACCATTTCCTGCCGTGGATTCGGTTGCTGCCGAGTGCATCGCAAGGCATCACAAAGGTTCAAAGGATCTATCCTCGCAATCGATGTTTTTGTAAGAATGTGGAGGGTGCGACGTTTAGGGTGGGCGGCACAGGGTTCAACGGACCAATGGCGCGCCGGCGCAAACTGATCTCCAACACTGCATGCCTGAGCTTCTTCGAACCTCATACACGACCTGTCTCCAGCACCACTTCTTCATGCCTCACATACTGCCAACCTGATGAGGTTTCTGCGACGGCCTCAGTCAAGCAAGTGGCGCCTGCTGAGGCTGGGCGCTCTGTGCGTTATCCTCAGGCAGGCTTGAATGGCAGGTCCTGACACATGTCGGCCTTCAAGCATGGTTTCGTGCCCCAGGATCCATCACCGACCTTGCCGGGTTACACATCGTCATGTTCGGTCGCCAAGCACATAAGAGTAATGCCTTGGCCGCTCAGGTTATTTGGTCTCACTCCATCTTCAGTCGCTGGTTCATTCACATCTGAGGATTGTCCGCTGAGGGTTACGTTCCTTTCTTCCTTTCCTCTAATTTTCAGATTACGTTGACCGTGTCTGCGTCTTCTCTAATCTACCGCTAGTCGGCAGCCACTCTTTTGTAAACCTTACTTTCTAGTCACGCCCGGATTCTTTTCGCTCCCACAACTCTGATCTCCATCATCATGAGGGTCTCAACGCTCTTCCCAATTCTGCTTGCGGCCGGTGTCGCCAATGCTCAGTTTGGAGGTGGGGGACGCGGCGGTCAAGGCCAGGGTGGTCAAGGTCAAGGAGGCCAGGGCCAGCAAGCCCAGCAGAACAACGGCCAGAATGCACAGAACAACAATGGTGGCGGTGCCGCCGCCGCCTTGGCTTTGAACCCGGCCAACGTCCAGTCGGGAAGTGCGGCCACAGGTCAAGAGGCAGGTGCAGAGGCGGGCCAGGCTGCTTCTGCTACCGATCCCGCCAACTTCATCAACTTCTGTACCGGCAAGACACTCACCAACGGTCTTCAGACCAAAACTGGATCGTGTAACGGTATCCGTAAGTTACGTCCTTCAATCGAGCAGATGCAAATACTAACCTAACACAGCTATGGGAGACATTCCCGCCTCAACCGCCATGGTCTCCTCTGTCTTCACCAGCCCCAAGAACGGCGACGTTGTAGCCCCGAACACTGCGATGACTTTTTCGGTCCAGATCGCCAACCTGCAAGCTGGAACGTTCACCAACCCCAGCAACACTTACTACTCTGCCCCTCAAGCTCTTCAGGGCGGTAAGATCGTCGGTCACACCCACATCACGGTGCAAGACCTTGGCGGCAGCGCCAACCCCACCCAGCCTCTCGACGCCCAAAAGTTTGCTTTCTTCAAGGGTGTCAACGACGATGGCAACGGCAACGGACTCCTGAGCGCAAATCTCGCTGCTGGTCTTCCTGAAGGCTTCTACCGTGTCTGCTGCATGACCGCGGCCGCTAACCATCAGCCTGTAATCATGCCTGTCGCTCAGCGTGGCGCCCAGGACGACTGCGTTCGCTTCCAGGTCGCTGCCAACGGCGGCGGTGGTGGCAACAACCAAGCCCAAAACGGTCAGCAAGCTCAGCAGGGCCAGCAAGCCCAACAGGGCCAGCAAGCTCAGCAAGGCCAGCAAGCCCAACAGGGCCAGCAAGCCCAACAGGGCCAGCAAGCCCAACAGGGCCAGCAAGCCCAACAGGGCCAGCAAGCTCAGCAAGGCCAGCAAGCTCAGCAAGGCCAGCAAGCTCAGCAAGGCCAGCAAGCTCAGCAGGGCCAGCCAGGACAAGGCGGGCGAGGCGGCGGCGGCGGTCGCGGCGGTCGCGGCCGCTTCGGACGCCCCAAATTCGCCGCCCGCGACTTCATTGCCTAAGGCGAACATATCTGACACCGAAGCCGCAGAGTGTCTAGTGGTGGAACGTGGTAATAGTACTTCTTGCCAAGACCAGACAGCTGCTCTCGCCCTCGGGAAGGAATCGAGAGACACAGCTAGTCCTGACGGCATCTTCTCTTTGCATGCATTACGATACCTATCTCTGTAACCATATGATCAATTCCAAATTTGCGCTCCAGTCCATCCGGCTTCATCAAATCCAGCATGTCGAGAATATTCGCACACATGCGGTATCAGCCCTGCCTCAGGCTCCGCCAGCATTTCCACGCAGTGCTTGGTCGGACTTGGTGTGCCTAGCGCAGTCTTGGTGCTCTGAGGCATTCATGCGGCCAGGCATGTCTCAGGAACGTAGATCAGGCGTTAAGGATGCCATCGCATGGCGAGTCTAGCCTCGGCAGGCGCCGTGTGCATCATGCACCGTCAGGTAGTCGATTCTGCGGAAATTTGAATGCGAACTTATGCTTGTGGATTTCGCAGGTACACCGCTGTTTGTTGCGCTTTGCTGCGCGCGGCGACTGCGTGGTGCTAGACCGGGCGGGCACGGACGCTGGTGTGGGTTCACAACATTGAGTCCGTCGAGTCCGTCAACTGATGTATAGACTATGAATAGGTTCAAGTTCGCGAGATAAAGCGATAACTCTGAACGATGTTTTGTTGACGTGCGATGCTCAATGCGAGACTGTGCCACTAGTGAGGCAATCCTTCGGCAATGAGTCAGATGTGACTGGTGATCGTATGCCGGGCATAAGACCGCGCGCCGTTACATTCTGCATTGTTCAAGGCTCGCACTTCGCAAGAGTCCGCCACTTTGATGATCGAGCCGCCGAACCCAACCCAGGATGCTGTCAAAACCGTGAAAATCACACCGGCACGGCCAGCTGAGATATGGCTACAAACCCTGGAGTACGTCGACCATCAGCACCTATGGCTGTCTGTCCGCAATGTCTGTCGCACGCACAAAGACTGCGTTGAGCGCCTCTTTACCTCCAAACATCTGGCCAACTTATCTATCGCACTCTCTCTTCCACGACGCGACCCAGCAACGGTCGTTAAGGATCGGTACACCCAGAAATTCATGGAAGAGCTGAAAGTGAACGGCACTCTGCCAAAGGAGCGGTTGGGAGAGGCGCCCGCCTACCTCAACATGAGCACGTACTCATTCACAGGCATAAAGATTCACATACCGGTCCGGGTAGATTGGGATGAAGCGCGGAAGATATGGACCTGGGATGTTGAATGGCGGAATGTACTAGGTGACTTCTATGATGCGAAAGAAAAGCGTAAAGCAAGGTGACGCAAACCCTGCAGTTCCGGTAGAGTGTGGTCGAAGGCAGCATAGATCTCAGAGAAAGAGGGCTTGAAACCATGATCATGCGCCTGGCGCATTGGGAGCCTGAGTCGACTTAGAGCAGACGACAGACACAGCAGGCTTTGGTGTTGTAATTCATCCATGAGCAGTCTTGCTGATCATCATGCGCTGAGCGACGAGACTGAATCCAGCGATTGACGACATGAATATAACCAGATTGTAGAACTGCTTCGTCAGTACGTGTGATACACCAGATTAGGATTGGGTGAGCATACAGCGTTTCTGGAGTACTCGCTCTCTTCTGCGTCAGTGCGTGCCTCGACAAACAGACGGCGGAGATTCGGTAGGTTAGACGGCTTTGTGGAGTCAGTTGTCATGTCGAGGATGTGTAAAACAATGAACACCGACCATGTTAAAGCTCAATTTGTGTGGTGTGAGCGGCCAGGGATGAGGTTAAGGTTTGAGCTAGAATGACGCACAGACCACGACACATTGTCAACGAGGAAGCCGAACCCAGGCCTCCGTTCAAGTTGAACATCGCCGACAATCCCCCACTTCCACATCTTTCCGAAGCCCGAGACGCCTTTCCCCCGAGACCGACTAAGCCACTGCAACACTCGAACGTATTGCGCCGCGACCGATTTAAACTCCGCGGTCCCTACAGCCCCAAGACAACGGAATCGGTGTATGAGGGGTCCCAGCACAGGAGTGAGCCTTACGACTGAAGCATAATGAGTGCGGTCAACAGAATAAGAGCCGTAATTGCGCCCCCACGGAAGGGAGAGACATTCGAGCTAAGAGCCGGTCTGGTGTATGCTAAACCCCAAGAAACGGCATAGCTGTTCACAACTGACGCCCGCCACAGCTCCCAATATGCATACGAACGGTAAACGAGCCCGCAAGAGCCACTCGCAGTGCCGAAAAACTGAGGTTCAAACAGGAAAGAAGCGATCCAGAAGACCATCATGTCCATGACATTGGGCAAGGATGTGTCTTCCCTGTTTCCTGATGTGCTGAAGAACATCGCAACAGCGGATCTGGACCAGAAGAAGCTGGTATACCTATACCTCATGTAGGCGCTAGATCTGGAACATGGGAACACATCTAAAGTTTGGACAGGAACTACGCCAAGTCGCATCCGGACCTTTGCATCCTAGCCGTCAATACCTTCGTGCAAGATTCTGAAGACCCCAACCCTCTCGTACGAGCGCTTGCGATACGGACAATGGGCTGCATTCGAGTAGACAAGATGGTGGATTACATGGAGGAGCCGCTAAGAAAGACGCTGAGGGACGAGTCGCCATATGTACGGAAGACGGCCGCTCTCTGCGTGGCCAAGCTTTTCGACCTCTCGCCCTTGATGTGCTTGGAGAACGGCTTCCTGGAGCAACTACAGGAGCTTGTTGGCGACCCCAATCCTATGGTGGTGGCCAACTCGGTGACTGCATTGGTGGAAATCATGGAAACATCGCCAGAAACAAAAGCGCTGGTCATCACCCCGCAGACACTGAAAAAGATGCTGTTGGCGCTGAACGAGTGTACAGAATGGGGGCGAGTAACGCTCTTGACAACCCTAGCAGACTACAAGGCCGCGGATATTAAGGAGGCAGAGCACATTTGCGAGCGAGTCGTGCCTCAGTTCCAGCATGTTAACCCGAGTGTTGTTCTCGCTGCGGTCAAGGTAGTCTTCCTGCATATGGCGCACATCTCGCCTGAGCTCCTCAAATCATACTCAAAGAAGATGGCGCCCCCTCTAGGTAAGCATTGCTTCTCACTGGTAAATCTAAGGTCGCTGATCTGTGGCAGTCACACTGGTATCTTCCGCATACGAAGTGCAGTATGTCGCGCTGCGAAACATTGACCTTTTATTGCAGAAACAGCCAGACATTCTCAGCAAGGAAATGCGCGTGTTCTTCTGCAAGTACAATGACCCCAACTACCTCAAGATGCAAAAACTTGAGATCATGGTGCGGATCTCGAACGACAAGAATGTGGACCAGCTACTTGCGGAGTTGAAGGAGTATGCACTCGAAGTCGACATGGACTTTGTTCGCAGAGCAGTAAAGGCCATTGGCCAGGTTGCTATCAAGATCGAAAGCGCCAGCGAGAAGTGTGTCAACACACTGCTGGATCTCATCAATACGAAGGTCAACTACGTTGTTCAAGAGTCAATCGTCGTCATCAAAGATATCTTCCGAAAGTACCCCGGCTACGAAGGAATTATCCCCACCCTGTGTCAGTGCATCGACGAGCTGGATGAGCCCAACGCAAGAGCTGCGCTGATATGGATTGTCGGCGAGTATGCCGAGAAGATCGACAACGCTGGAGAGATCTTGACAAGCTTTGTGGATGCATTCGCGGAAGAGTTCACTCAGGTAAGCTCGACGACATGCTGAACTGTAGATTTTGTACTGACAAAGACTAGACTCAACTGCAAATTCTTACCGCTGTCGTCAAGCTTTTTCTCAAGAAGCCCGACCAGGCGCAGGGTCTTGTACAAAAGGTCTTGCAGGCTGCGACGGCCGAAAATGACAATCCCGACATCAGAGATCGCGCCTATGTCTACTGGCGATTACTCTCAAGCGATCCACAGATCGCGAAGGACATCGTACTGTCGGACAAACCACCAATCACCACAACAATTCGCTCACTCCCACCTCAACTACTCGACAGTCTGCTCAAAGAGCTGTCGACATTGGCTTCTGTGTACCACAAGCCACCGGAGGCTTTTCTCGGCCAAGGCCGTTTCGGTGCCGAAGCTATGCAGCGTGCAGCTATCGAGGAGCAGGAAGAAGATGCAAGGCAGAACCCGATCGCTGCCGCAGCAGTCGCCGCAGCAGTCAGTGGACAGTCAGCGCCCCAATCGAACATGGAGAACTTGCTGGATATCGACTTCGACGGCTCTGCTCCGGCTTCATTACAGAAAGAGCCGTCGCAAGGACAGTCAGGCCTCGAAGGTCTTGCAGGTACACCACAGCGTGTCGTGTCTCCCGCGGTGGGCGGCGCCCCTCAACCACAGTCCAACATGGACGATCTCCTGGGCCTGTTCGGAGACGGCGGAAGCGGTGGGCCACCTGCAGCACCTGCACAGATGAGTAATGACGACATCATGAATGGGTTTGCAAGTATGAGCGTGGGAACACACCAGCCGCCGCCTCCACAACATCAAATGGGGAGTGAGGTGAGCAAAAAGACGAATCAGGATCTATTGGACTTGTTCTAGCCTCTAGGCAAGATGTATAGGAAGCGTCGGAGTTGTCTTAGCGAACAGTATATGCCGGGTGAATCAGGCGGCCGCACGCGCGAAAACCTGTATGATGCAATACGAATAGAAAGATATGATGAACTCAATTTGGTTCTGTCGTTGAGACACCGTTGCCTGTTACCTGCAGCCTGGAGTGGCGCTCCCGCCTCCTAGTGCGTTTGTTTGCTTGGCGTTGGTACCCTGTTTCTTGCGCTACTAGCATCATGGCAATGACTTACAAGTTCAAGCTTCACCTTGGATGAGCACTCACGTGTGAGGTGGCTTTATGCTTAAGTATTGGCCAAGCTCTCTTTGACACGATCGTATCCGTTCCTTAGCACTTCCCGCCATGTTTATGCTCCGCAACCGTATGTTTGTTTGCCCTTGCGCATACCCCTCCCCCGCTGTCGTCACTCTGGAAACTGACATCCGTGTTTAGTGAGCAAATTTGTCTTTGGCGACAGTTCTAAGGAAACCATCGTCGAAATCTCGCAGGGCCAACTTTACCTCGTTCGACCACGATCCGTCAAGGGCTACTCTGAGCTCATTTTCAAGGACGCCGCAGCCACCATCCGTCGCACAGGGCAGGAGTTCCAGTACCAGCTTGTTGTCCAGCGCGCATACGAGGAAGGCGAGGAGGACTTACTTGCAGAAGAAGGCGGTGACGAAGCAACTCTTGACGCTCTTGCAGGCGACAAGGACGAGAAGACATTCCTGCTTGACGAAGGACTTCAGTTCCGCGACGACGTACGCACCACCGGCGAGAAGATCTTCGCTTGGCGCGATCTCAGCGGCGACGTCGACGATCTTTGGGAGTTTGTTTGCGACCCTTCTGTCAAGCCTGAGACTGCTGCTCTATTCGAGCGCGTTGCCCTACAGTGCCAGTACGAACGCAAGTTCAGACGCAGCCACGAGCACGCAACCGAAGAGGACCTCGAGGCCCTAGCATACTACGAAGAGCCCATTCCAGACGCCAGCCCGGTCGCAAGCCCTACCAGCAAAGCTCTCGAAGCGCCCCCGACGGCCGAAGAGCTGTTCCCGAACACTACAAAAGAAGTCATGGCTAGGAAGGCGGAAAGCAAGCCGGCGGTGCCGAAGCCAACAGATGAGGAAGCAACTGCAGCACCGGAATCTGCCGCGCAACCCAGGGCTTTGGACTTGCTGGCAGAGGAGAACGCTGAACTTCACCTGTTCGACTTCCCTACTGGTACATTCAAGCTTCAGGACGCGAATGTGACAGCCACCGTCACCGAGATTGGCGATTGGCAATACTGGCTGCACATCGTTGGTGATGAGCGTGAGTGGCTGGGTCAGCCGATTGTGGACGACATCAATCCTGTTTTCAACTACGAGTTCAAATCGTTCATCTTCAACCACTACCTCGAAGACGGGTCAGCTTACTCTTGGCTGTTGAGGTTCAAGGGCCAAGAGCAGCTGGAGAGCATTCAGAACGGTGTCATGCAAGCGCTGTGGGAGCACTTGAACCAGGTCAAGTGGCAGAAGGCAAAGGACACAGATCGAGAATACGTCCTCGAAGCATTTCAAGACATGACAATGGACGATGCTCCTGAAGAAGATAGGGAAGATGAAGAGGAAGAAGAGGAGTTTGAGGACGCCAACGACCAGCGCAGCGAACACTACGATTCGGACGAGTCTGAAGACGACACTGAAACGGCCCCCAAGGATGGCGACGAGAACTCGCAATTGGCCGTTGGCTACAAGCACGACCGCTCGTTCGTTGTTCGCGGCAACAAAATCGGTGTTTTCAAGCACACTGCGGACAACCAACTGCAGTTCTCGACTACCATTTCTAACGTCATGACACCCAAGGGCAAGGCTTTTAGCCCCAACAAGGTCATGCTGCACCAGCAGGATCAGGATATGATCTTGCAGAACCTCGACAACCCCAACTCGTTGTACCGCATGGACTTGGAAACCGGCAAGGTTGTCGATGAGTGGAAGGTCCACGATGACATTCCAGTCAAGGTTTTCGCCCCGGAGAGCGTAAGTTTCTAAAACGCCAGCCTTTGCAAGTTCCAATTAACTCCATTGTAGAAATTCGCACAAATGAGCGGAGAGCAGACTTTCTTGGGTCTCTCTGGCAATGCACTCTACCGTGTAGATCCTCGTCTGAACGGCAACAAGCTTGTTGATGATCAGCTCAAGCAGTACGTTACCAAAAACGCTTTTTCTGCTGCTGCAACCACCGAGAAGGGTCACATCGCTGTCGCGTCCGAGAAAGGAGACATTCGCCTGTTCGACCGCCTCGGCATCAACGCGAAGACACTCATTCCTGCCCTTGGTGACCCCATCATTGGCATGGACGTGTCTGCCGACGGTCGATGGGTGCTTGCCACTACACGAACCTACCTTCTTCTCATTGATGCGTTGCAGAAGGGTGGCAAGAATGACGGCAAGCTTGGTTTCGAGAAGTCGTTCGCGAAGGACGACAAGCCACAGCCTCGCCGTCTTGCCTTGACCCCTGCTCACGTCGCACAGTTCCAGCACGAAACCAAGGCACCGATCTCGTTTACCACAGCGCGATTCAACACTGGTCTTGACGATAAGGAGACTACCATCATCACTGCCACTGGTCCTTTCATCGTCACATGGAGCATGAAGAAAGTTCTTGCAGGGCGCAGGGATCCATACAACATTAAGCGTTACGCTGAAGAGGTCAAGGCCGATAACTTCAAGTTCGGCTCTGACAAGAATCTCATCGTCGCTCTGCCCAATGAGGTCGACATGGTGGCTCGTCGGGCGTTGCAGAAGCCTACCCGTGAGAGTATTGCTTTCCCTTCGCGCGTTGGTCAGCTGTCCACCCCTAGAAAGGCTGGTCGCGGCAGCTACCTGGGCCGCAACAATATCGTGAACAGCCCTTACTAGGCCAGCAATCGTTCGCTGTGGGATGAGACAGACCTAATGCTAGTGATTTTGAGCGATTTTCCGGCGGTGATTTGACTTTCACAGTAGTGTAGTTCCACCAGGAGGCGTGGGCGATGCGTTTCCTACTTACACATGATTCCCCTAGATCGTCGAAACGAATGATGACTATGCTTTTGAAGAGGCTACCTTCTGTTTGCTCTTTGATCAAAGTTGTTGTGCAAGCGCAGTGTCGCGGCACTAACGAACAAGTCAGATCCTTTTCACCACACCAAGATTAGCGACTACATTGTGTCTCTTCGAGGAGGACTGAGATAACATCGTCAACTGTTCACATATAGCCCCCATTTCTTCGCCATGCAAGAACGCCACCCGTTCAAAGCTACACCAGCTATGTCCAACACTCCAACTGAGCCTGACCAGCATAAGGCCACGTGTTCTTGCCCTCCTGTGTCAGACTTGGAAGCTGAATCGTAAGGTTGATAAGAAGATGAAAGACCGCTTTATACCTCGTGAAGAAGCGGACAGAATCAAGCCTATCTTCGTAGACCATGAATACTATTACGGAAAAGAAAAGAACTAAAAAGATTACAACTTTCTACCCAGAAAACGATGAGACGTTCTCGCAGGAGGTGTACGCATGGCGTCATGATCCCAGTCCAATGCCTCAGTGAATGTCTTGGGTCTCTGTCCGTGCACTATGCTTGTGGACTTTCACTAATTACCTCGCGCCCTCCGTCCCTGTCTCAACCCATGGTACTGCTGTGGGTATACAGTGTCGCATCCAGACACCCCAAACCCCCTTCCCACTACCAACCGCCCCACCCGTTTTGATCAACATGGTCCCTCTCAAGGAAGAAAAGCATCGCAGAATCCCGCGTGGTTAAACAACGGTCCACATCGTAGCTCTTTTGTATCTTGCGTACAAGTCGAACCGCAAAGTTAATGAGAAGGTTGGGAAGCTAAGAGGTCTTAAGCTGAAGGTGTGAGGGGACGAGGAGAGAATGATGCTGCTGGGGAAAGAGGAGCGATGAGATGGATGGAAAGGGGCGAGAGGATCTGAAGTGGAATTTGTACTTGGTATTCCGGACCGTAGACAGGAGTTTCCGCCAAGTGGTGAAGAGGAAATGGAGGACTTGGGCCTTCATGTCCTGGTTCATCCGATCTGGAAGCAATGAACGAGTTGTAAGAGAGGAACACAGACGCAAAATCTTAAGGGTGCGATTGAGGTGCAATCTGAACGGCAAAAGTTCAGCAGAGATCGATCCCGAATGCCACGTCGGAAACGACAAGGAGTATCAGTATCGTTCAGTAGCTCAAGAGATAATCTGGCTGAGCTGTAGACTCATGCCTCGAGTCCAAGGGGATCAGTCTTCAAGGTTGATGTCCTTGATTGAAGCGAACTTCTGTCGAACCGGCTACCAGCTCAATAAACAGCACAGTAGCACGATCTTCCATGATGTATATGCGTGAGCGTAGCACGGCATACGAGGCATACACCAACGAAACCACGCTAGATTCTGTGCAGCCAGATATGCAGACTTTGGCCACCATTTCTGTTCCTCTTATTATCCCAGCCCGCATCCTTCATCGTCAGCACCCTCGCCACCGCATCGCCATACTTGAACGTCTGGCCCTTCTCCCACAATCCGCTGCCCAACTCGATGCACTCCGTGATGGCCATATTCTCACACTCATCGGCGCTTGCATTGTTGTTGCACACCTGGATCAGCCGGTTCAAGCCCGTGCTCGAAGATATGTTGAACATCTCAGTCACGAACTGAGCCCCCGGAGACAGCCAGGGACATACATTGCCTTTGATCTGGATGAACAGCGAGTGCTCGCTGGGTTCGACGTGCGTCGCGCCGGGTGGCACCCCGCCGGGGATTTGTGTCACGTCCTGCTGCTCGGGCTGAGGGGGCGCGCCGCTGTTGCCGTCGATGGCGACAGGTGCTGGACGGTAGCCTGGAAGACCCATACCCATACCCATGCCCATGCCCATACCCATGCCCATGCCCATGCCCATCATGGAAGGCATCATGGGGTTGTATCCGCCTGGGACTGCGGGAACATTTCCGTACGCCAGACCGCTGGACCAAAGTGGTGCTGTGGGTGCGAAAGCAGGGACGACGCCTGTTGCGAGGGCGCCAGGAGGAGGAGGTGGGAAGGGCATGCCGCCAGCTGCGTGGAGACCGAAGCCTATACCGCCATGAGCACCAGGAATAAAGTTACCTGCGTCGGTGTCAGTGCAGGATCACATGTGGTCGTCGTGAGCATGGTTTACCGGTTCGAATGGGCGCCAATGGACCTCCTCCGCCGTACATGAAGGGGTCCATGAAAGGCACAGGAGGGATCATACCTAAGCCGATGCCTGCGCCGAAGAGAGGAGGAGCACCGAATTGAGGTGCGATGCCAATGGGGACTGGAGGACTGTAGATGGGCGCCTGTTGATGTTCAACGATGACTGGACCACCTGCTGCAGCAGGAGCGGTTGTACCGCCCGAGAAGACGTTGAGCGGAGGAGGGGGAGGGTCGCGATTGATGTTGGGGTTGCTGCCGACGTTTGCGCACCAAGGTTGACCGAAAGGAGGGCCGGCAGACATGAAGAAGGGAGTAGAATGGGGCTACTGACCTTGATCAGGACAAGAGCGACGGTCAAGAGCTGACAGTGGCTGTTAGAGGTCCGAGGTCTGTTGCTGGAGGAACAGTGAGTGATGAGAGCGATTCTCTCGAGCAAGGTTGAGTATCGTACTTATGATGGCCACGGTGACAACACTTGAATGGCGAAGCGTGAATACCGAAGTGCTGGTGTGGCAATGTGACAACACGATCCGTGAAGGCAAAAACGCAAGATTTCCAGGAACTCTGCATCAGCAGACCTATGCGCTGTCGCAACTTCATGATACTGTGAACTTGGTTGGTGTCACGAACGGCTCAACGATTGGGCTGCAAGCAAACGATGGAGGACACTCAGAATATAAGCCAGAAGATTGTCAGAACATTCCAAGGATGGATGCAAACAAGTCGGGCAAAGCGGTGCAAACGTAAACTTAATGTTGTTGAATTGTATAGACAGGAAAGGACGAAATATTCGTCATTCACCACCTCAATCTAGCAAGTAGCGACCGCGGGACCGGGCACCTGGCGGATGTTAGTAACGTATCAATGACGTCAAGGCATAGGAGACTTACTGTGTAGTTGTTGAAGTTGTTGTAGATGTTGGCAGTGTAGCCGGGGTCAGTCGCGGTGACGTGTCCAGGGATCTTGGTGGTTGGGGACAGAGTCTTGGAGCCGCTGCCGGTAACCTGGATCTGAGCGCAAGAGATGTAGAACTGAGGGGGAGAGCCGGGGTTGTGGATAGCGAGTTGCTCGATACGGAGGAGGTACTCGCCAGCAGCAAGGCACGAGGGAATGGTGACAGAGTAGTTGTCTGCCTGAGCGTTAACTTTGACTGAAAGACACAATGAATGCACATACCCTTTAGATCCCATGTAGCCTGACCGCCGGAGAAGGTTGGGCCAATCTCCTTGATCTTGACCCAATCAGTAGAGCCGTCAGCAGCAGCAGCGCTGCTGACCTTGGTCGTGTAGAAGGTAACGGGTCCCTGGTGGTAAACAGCCTGGTCAGCTGTGAATGTGACCGAGGAGCCTGCAGCGACGGAGACAGTCGAAGTCGATGCTCCGCTTCCACCGCCGACGTTGCAGCGAAGGTCGGTCGAGGCAAGGTCAGTGACGGGTGAGTTGTTGTTGGTGTTCATGCGGATGTTCTGGTACTGGGCGCCCTTGATACCGTTCGCGGTGAGGTACTGGAAGATGTAGTGACCGTGGGCGACTTCAGCGAGCGCCGCGCAGAGAAGAGTGATTGCTGCGAAAGATTTCATAGCTGCTGTGATCGGGTGGAGCGAGTGTGAATGTCTGAAGGCAGTTGAGGATGCTGAATACCAAGACCAGCGTTCCTCTCGCTTTATATAGCTTCTCGTAAGTGTTGCAGCCAGGCGCATCACGGCATCCATAGTGTAATACTCAAATCTTGCCCAGCCAAATTAGACGTCCAGCCTTGATAGGATCAAGCACTGCCAAACAAATTAATGTACATCGCAATGCTGGCGCATGTCGGTTAATGAGCCGGAACATGAGGCGGAAATGCTATCCCCGTTGCCGGCAGCTGTCAAACATGTGGAGCGGCCGTGGCCTGAAACATCGACCTTTATATATGGCGGGCGTGCGCTGGTAGGACAGGCAATCTAAAATAAATCCTCGAATGTCGCTTCCATGTAATGTCGGCATATTCGAAACATGGACCAGCCGTGAGCATCGAGGAATGTTCCACCCATGCTGAGACATTGATCGGTGATGTTGAGTGTGTTCATGGTCGAACAGACCACGTGCCGGGTAGATTAATATCTGGGGCAATATGCCATATTAAGTTGTGGGTTTGAAGCGGGGTGCAAGGACACCAATGATACAAAACAAACAAGAAACAAACAAACCCTAGGCTGACCAGTCTGGCAGCTGGTTACAAAGGGGCGCCTGTGTGGACATGATGTCAAGCCCGCGTGTTCAATTGACCACCTGCTGCGTCTCTTCCAGCTGGAGGCCAGAAGCCTCTGTCAGCGAGCTTTCATTTGTGTATCTGATGCCTTTGTTGGTGTACTTGCGACCGTCTTGATAGTGCAGACCAAGGGGTCTTTGAGGATCAGAGCCGATTCGCACCAGATGTACGATGTAGCTTGTCGACATGTGTTGAAAGCACAAGTGCAGAAAGCGTAGGCATTGCACCTTTATGTATCTTACAAATGAGCGCAAAATGCCTCAAATCCACTGTCGTTGGCTTGAGCTCTGTGGATTTCTAGCTTCGCTGCGTATTTGGACATGGCAGCCAAGTCGACATTGTGTTGCTTCGCGCTGGACGCAATTGTTGGGTCCGGCAGACCGCGGGGCAAAGGTTCAAGACCGGGAGATGTGGAATTCATGTCTGACAAGCAGAGTATATCTTGCCGTCAATAACGTCTACCATCGTACTGGTACACTCGATGCTGATGACGAAGCCTAGGTGCCCTTGAACGTCGTCACGTATTACAGGGTAGCATCGATACAAACCACTACAATCCTCGCCGGGCTTCAGCACCTCCAGACATGTGGGAGTGGTGCTACAACGACAACGTGCTGTGAAGGTGGTAAGAACAAGGTCTCTGCAAGGCTGACAATGCAGATGGCGAGCGGCGGCTCAACCTCGGCGGTTCGGTCTTGCGCCTTGGAGAAGCGGGGTCTACGCCCCGCAGACCTTCACTCGCATCACACAGGTGACAGAGCAACCCGCTAGCGCTTCTGGGGCAAGTCCATCCGATCTCATCGACGGAGTGGGTGTTTGTGATGGCAGATCCACCTTCTTATCAGGCTGTGGCTGCCGTGTTAGGTAGCTCAAGTGAGACGTGGCAAAGCTACAAATATTCGGCTCGACCGTCTTTTCAACCCATATTTGCCTGTTGCAGCGTGTGTAATAAGACCGTAACCTCAAGATGTCTGCTGAAATCTCCAGCGACGCAGCACAGCAAGCCGCCAAGGCTGTGGCTTCGCATCCACTTGCACCGCTATCGGCTTCAGAGATCACAGCTGCGGCATCGATAGTCAAGGCTTCGTGGCCGGCCCCCACGAATTTGCATTTCAAGGTTGTTACATTGCAGGAGCCACCAAAGGCTGAGGTTCTGCGATATCTGGAGGCCGAGCATGCTGGCAAATCACGACCAGCGGTCAGCAGGAAAGCGTTCCTGAACTACTACATTCGCAACACAGTAAGAGAGGCGCGGAGTTTTCCAAAAAGACGGAGCCTGACTCTGATGGTAGAACAAATTCCACGAAGCAATCGTCGACCTCACATCACGGTGCGTTGAGCGCAATGTACTTCTCGGACCGTTTGTGCACGCGAACGGCGATGGCGATGAGATCGTTGCGATTGAGAAGATTGTCCTCGCTGACGAAGGCGTTCAAGCCGAGATTGCAAAATTGCAGCTACCAGAGGGCACCACTGTGATTTCTGACCCGTGGATCTACGGCAGCGATGGTGTCAACGACGAAGACAGGCTATACCAGTGCTTCTTGTACCTCCGAGATCCTGCCAATTCATTGGAAGCGGACTCTAATCACTATGCTATGCCGATTCCCATCTCGCCAGTGCTCAGCACTGAGACCATGAAGGTCATCCGGATCGATATCATGCCCACTGGAGCCGACAAGACCATCAAGCCAATCGAGAAGTACAAGGTGCAGCCACCAAACGAGTATATCCCAGAAGCGCAGACGCTGCGGACTGACTTGAAGCCATTGAACGTGGTCCAGGCTGAGGGCGCGAGCTTCCAGGTCGCTCAGGAAGGCACTTCGAGTGTCTTGTCGTGGCAAAAGTGGAAGTTCAGAGTCGGCTTCAACCAGCGAGAGGGCATGGTCCTGTACGATGTGCGGTACGACAGCCGACCACTCTTCTACCGACTGAGTTTGAGCGACATGAATATTCCGTATGCGGATCCTCGGGCTCCTTTCCACAAGAAATCCGCTTTCGATTTGGGCGACGCCGGCGCTGGGATCATGGCGAACAACCTCAAGCTTGGGTGCGACTGCTTGGGATCGATCTACTACCTCAGCTCTGTTCTCTCAGACGACAAGGGCGGTGTCGTTGACATGCCAAACGTTGTGTGTATCCACGAGCAAGATGCTGGAATCGGGTGGAAGCACACCAACTACCGCACAGGGCGGGCAGCGGTGGTTCGATCCCGCGAGCTGGTGTTGCAGTCAATCATCACCGTGTCGAACTACGAGTACATTCTCGCCTTCGTCTTCAACCAGGCTGGAGAAGTCACGTACGAGATCCGCGCCACAGGCATCCTCAGCACGCAGCCCATTGACGAGGGCGTCGAGGTTCCCTTCGGCACCGTCGTGCATCCCGGCGTGCTCGCAGTCCACCACCAGCACATCTTCTCGCTGCGCGTCGACCCGATGATCGACGGCTACTCCAACCGGCTCGTCTACGACGAAGCCTTCCCGATGCCGCGCTCCGACCTGAACCCCCACGGCACCGGGTACTACGTGCAAGAAACCATTGTCGACAAGTCCGGCGGCTACGACACGGCGCACGAGCACAACCGCACCTTCAAGATCCAGAACGCGGCCGTGCGCAACCCCATCAACGGCAAGCCCGTCGCGTACAAGATCCAAGCCCCGCCGTTCCAGAAGATCCTCTCGGACAAGGACAGCTTTAACTACAAGCGCGCCGAGTTCTCAGACCACGACGTGTACGTCGTGGCACACCGCGACGGCGAGCTGTACGCGGGCGGGCAGTACACGAATCAGAGCCGCGGCGGGACGGGCGTGCGGTCGTGGGCGCAGCGGGGGGAGAACGTACGGGACGCGGATCTCGTGTTGTACGTGCAGGCGGGCATCAACCACGTGCCGCGCATCGAGGATTTCCCCGTCATGCCGTGCGAGATCCTGAGGATTCACATGAAGCCGGTGAATTTCTTCGACAGGAATCCTGCGCTCGATGTCCCGCCCAGTGAGCAGGGGTTCAATCAGAGCAGCCTCTTGAGCGAGCAGCATCAGCAGCCCAGCGTGGAGGCGAAGATTGGGCAGGATGGGACGTGTTGCGAGCCTAAGTTGTAGTCTGGTGGGTAGGGAGGTTGTGGTCAGGCGGTCAAGGATGTATACTTTGGTCTTGGATCTCGAGTTGTGTAGCTGTCTTGACGACGTGGAGTGCGTTGGACATTTCACTACTTGGTAACGTCCAACAACACAGACAATCGGATTGATGTTCATGCATGTCGAGTATCGCAAGGTATCGTGCCAGCTTTTTTGACGTGATTCACGTATGAAATGGTTCACGTATGAAATGGTTCACGTATGAAATGGTTCACGTATGAAATGGTTCACGTATGAAATGGTTCACGTATGAAATGGTTCACGTATGAACTGATTCACGTATGAACTGATTCACGCATGAACTGATTCTCGCACGAACTGATTCACGCACGAACTGATTCACGTACGAACTGATTCACGTAATTATGAAAGAGAGCGCTGCTTCGTGGAGAGCGCTGTTTCGTGCTGCGAACAGGCACGTGCGTCGGCGCCACCAGTCATGTCGATGCTCGGGGACGTGAGGGCCGGCCCAAGAAACACCAAACGTGCGCCGACTGCATCAACCTCACCACAGGTCGCGCATGTAACCCACACGATACCGGGACTGCTGCTCAAGATGGCGCCAAGCGACAAGGCTGGACGTGTCGTATTTATTGGCAACATTCCCTACGGTACGGAATGCGCGCAAGATGCACAAGACAGGGCTAACGAGCGCAGGCGGCACCGAGGAGCTCATCATCGAAACGCTTGGACGCGTAGGGCAGGTGCTGAACTTTCGATTGGTGTACGACAAGGAGACCGGGCGGCCAAAGGGGTTCGGGTTCGCAGAGTTTGCCGACGCGGATGCCGCAGCGTCGGCGGTGCGCAACCTGAACGACTACGAGATCATGGGCAGAAAGCTGAGGGTCGACTGGTCCAACGACAACGGGTCTGGCGACAACGCGCCCGCGGCGGCCACCAACGGACAGGCGACTGAGATTGCGCAGCCGCAGCCCTCGAGCACACTCGGCCCTCTGCCGCCGGGCGTCGACCTGCCACCCAACCTCACATGCCCCGACGCCATCTCGCGCACGCTCTCGACACTGCCCGCGCCGCAGCTCCTCGACATCCTGTCGCAGATGAAAGGCCTCGTCATGACGGACGCAGCCAAGGCGACCGAGCTGCTCCGCCAGGCGCCGCAGCTGGCGTACGCGATTTTCCAGTCACTCCTCCTGCTCAACCTGGTCGACCCGTCGATGCTGGGCGCGCTGGTTGAGACGGCGCCCGCAGCCGCAGCCGCAGCCGCACCGCCGCCCGCAACCTACAGCATGCCGCCCGGGTACCCGCCACAGGCTGCGCCGACTCGGCCGCAGCCGCAGCCGCAGCCGCAGGCGTATGCGCAGGCGCCGCCGGTGGACAATGCGGCGCTGTATGCGCAGGTCATGGCGCTGGAGCCGCACCAGATTGCGCAGCTGCCGCCGGACCAGCGCGACCAGCTGATGCAGCTCCGCCAGATTTTGATGGCGCAGCAACGGGCGTAGCGTCAGTGTGCATGGCAACGGCTGTGGTGTGCATGGCAACGGCTGTGGTGTGCATGGTAACGGCCGTGGTGTGCATGGTAACGGCTGTGGTGTGCATGGTAACGGCTGTAGTGTGCATGGTAACGGCTGTAGTGTGCATGCATGGTAACGACTGGTATGCATGGAAACGGCTGTAGTATGCACGATAACGACTGTAGTGTGCACGGTAACGACTGTAGTATGGTAACGGCCGTAGTGTGCATGCATGGCAACGGCCGTAGTGTGCATGCACGGTAGCAGCCATAGTGTGCATGGTAGTTTTAGGCAGCTTCGACGACAGAGTGCTTCTCGAAGATGGACATGGACTCGAAAAAGCACCGAGGTCACATGACGGCATAATGAATACAACGACAGCCATTCTCTCATCTGCCCGAAACCGTACTCTGGGTGACATTTCTCTGACACGTCTGGCCACCTCAGCTCAAAGCTAAAGCGGCGAGGTCACCTAGCGGACCCTGCCCCTGATGGATCGCTCCCGCAAATGTGGGCCCAGGCCTTGGGCGCAACATGCCAACAAAGGCGTAAACACGCCGACAGAAGCGGTTGGAAGGGACGGCAGACTTGAAGTGCAGACACAAAGCGCAATGCCCTGGACGACCATGTACTGTGTAGTCGACAAGTGCAAGGATCGCCGGATGCACAGAGCCTCACGGATGGCAGCGTCATGGCCGGGGCTCGACGTGGAGACGTCGGCGCGGACGTGATAGGCCCAGCGCGCGCGCCCCCAGCCACTGCAGATCGTGGACAACACAGCTGAGCGGCTAGCGAGATGACGGCCGCTCGACATGTGCGCTGCGAGCACCGCACAACGACTACACGCGGCGAGCGGCTGCCTTTTTGTCGGTGTAGGATGCTTTTGGCGTCTTCAGCGTTTCCCCTCACTACCTGACGACTCCCACTGCGTGACGGCCGTTTTGCGCGACGGCGCCCGAATGCCTCTCACCCGCCGCGACGATACCCAAGCCCGTTAGGATATCCCCGACATTGAGCGCCCGTTGATTTGCGCCCGTTGATTCGCGCCCAGCGCCCAGCGCCCGCACACCACACCACCCACACCCAACACAGCCATGTGGAGCAGATTCACAGGCAGCTCGTCGGCGAAGAAAGACGACGAGGCGCGCCGCCGCCGCAAGGACGCCGACTCGACTCGCTCCCGCCGCGACCGCGACGCCGACGCCGACTCGACTCGCTCCCGCCGCGACCGCGACGCCGACGCCGACGAGGACACGCGCTCGGTTGTGTCGAGCGCCAGCGCGCGCAGGCCGGCGGGTTCTGCGCGCCGAAGAGACAGCCCGCCCAGCACCATTGCGAGCTTCGCGACCGCCTTTGACCGCCCGCCCGCCGCCGACGACAGAAGGTCCAGCTATGCCGAGTCGAGTGTGTCGCGGCGCGACGGCGAGCTGGTGCAGCGGCGCGAGAAGAAGGACAAGCGCAGCAGCAAGGACAAGGACCGCAACGACCGCAGCGACCGCAGCGACCGCAACGACCGCAGCGACCGCAACGACCGCAACGACGAGAAGCGCAAGGGCTCGCGCTCCGATCGGTCGTCGGTGGGCGGCTACCGGGGCGATATTGTCGAGGAGCCGACGGGCAGCAACGCCTTCTCGCCGCTCCCCGGGCAGGCAGGTGCGCCAATGATGAGCGGCGCACTGCCAGCCGGCCACGCCATGTCGTCGCACGTGCACGACCAGTTCCCCGGCCAGGACCCCGTGCAGTTCGCGACCAGCCACATGCCGGGCCACAACCCCTTCGGCGCCGCCGCCGACTTCTACAACGACGGCGGCCAGAGCGTCGCCAACCAGCCCGGCGTTAGGCCGCAGCCGCCGTCCGTCATCGTCGGCCAGGATACGCCGCACCTGGCCGCCGCCTCGGCCCACGCGAACCCGGCCGCCGACACGGGCGCGGGCTCGGCCGCCGACTTTTACGGCGCCAGCGCCAGCGCCATGCCGGGCGCCTTTGTCGACGACAGCGCTGCGCCCCTGAAGCCGCCGCGCCCCAGCGGCGCCAAGCCCAGCAAGCCCGGCAAGCCCAACAAGCCCGGCAAGTCCAACAGCTTCCCGGCGGCGGCGGGCCTGGCCGGCGGAGCTGCTCTGGGCTATGTCGTGGGCCATGGCTCGTCCAGCACGCAGCACAATGCGCAGCACTCGACCAGCCACAGCATGTCGAGCATGCACCACTCCACCTCGTACAACAACGACAGCAACGACGCCACCTACAACAGCAACAGTGACGCCACCTACAACAATGACGCCACCTACAACAATGACACCACCTACAACAACGACACCACCTACAACAACGACACCACCTACAACAACGCCACCACCTACAACAACGCCACCACCTACAACAGCAACATCCCCCCATCTGTGTACCACCATGGCGACCTGCCGTCCACCGCCGCCATCAACGGCAGCTACACCAACGTCCACGAAACCGCAACAGGCGCACCCCCGCCCAAGCCGCCCCGTCCCGGCCGGCCAGAGAAGCAGCCGAGCGGCTCCAACGCCGGGCTCTACGCCGCTGGCGCCGCTGGCCTCGCAGCCTATGCGCTGCATAATCATAATTCCAACGCCCACGCCCACGCCCACGCCCACGCCATGCCTGGTGCTTTCCCCGGCCAGGGCCCCAACGACATCGGTCCCTCGCCCAGCCCGTACCTGTCTGGCGGCATGGCCCACCAACACCAGCACGTCGGCACCGTCTCCCGGTTCGTCGACTGGTGGAAGGACCACGAGGACGTCCAGAAGATGGAGGAGTACACCGAGTACATTGGCGTCTGCAGGTACTGCTTCGACCCCCGCTCCTCGCCCATGGACGCTCCCCGCAAGCACCACTACTACGACCGCAGCCGCCGCTCAGACGAGTACGACCGTCCTTCTGGCGGCATCGATAAGCGGTCTCGGTACGGGCTGAAGGAAAAGTCGTCTCGCGCCTCGCTGTACGCCTCTGGCGACGACAAGCGCAGGAGCAACAGCACTGGCGCCGGCTGGCTGGCTGCCGGCCTTGGCGGCATAGGCCTGGCTACTGCTGGGAAGGCGCTGTTTGCCTCGGGCCGCCACGACTTTGACGACACGTACAGCATCAAGTCTGGCCGCACGGGCCGTGAAAGCAACACTCGACACTCGCGTCGCAGTCGCAGCCGCGAGTCTACCCACAGCAAACGCTACAGCTACGGCAGCGCTGGCATCCGCCACCAAAGTCGTTCGCAGGACCGAGTCTCTGTCATGTCGACGGGCGTCACCAAGGACAAGAAGGACTACAAGAACAAGAACTACAGGGACTACAAGGACAAGGACTACAAGGACTACAAAGACAACAAGAACAACAAAGACTACAAGAACAACAAGGACTACAAGACCGTGAGGCCCCATGGCTCGCGATCGAGTTCCAGCTCGAGGTCACGCGACCGAAAGTCTGGTCTTGGGACTGCCATTGGCGCTGGACTGGCTGGAGTCGCGCTTGGTGCAGCTGCACGGCGAAAGGGTAGCCGCAGCCGCTCCAGGTCAGCCCACAAGGTCCACGTCCAGCACCCGCAGCGGCGAAACAGCAGCAGTGAAGGCGAGCGCCGACGCCCCAGGTCGCAGCCGTTGCGCCACAAGTCCTCACGGAGCTCAGCCTCTGCCGCCTCTTTCATCGACATCTCTCAAGACCACCAGTCGCAGAGCGGCTTTCTTGGAGGCTTCTTCGCTGCGCCGCCGCCCAAGGAGAAGCGCGCCAAGAGGCCAAGCTCTTTGCACAAGCAGAAAAAAAAGGGCTTCTTCACCTTTGCCAATGGCTCGTCGTCGTCGTCCGAGTCTGACATGGCCTTTGGCAGCGGTTTCGTGCGGAGGACCAAGACCAAGCGTTCGACCCACAACCTCAAGAAGCAGACTTCCGATGAGCGACTCAAGGCTACGCTAGCTGGCCTTGGCGCGACCGCAGCAGCGATCGCAGTGGCCAAGGCCAACCGACGCAACATTGGCAAGCCGGAGCCTGAACTCGTGGCAGTTCGTGAGCGCCGCGGTCCAAGGAGCAGCAATCGCCGTCGTCCTGGCCCTACCTCGCAGTACGGCGACGACGAGTGGGAAGATCTGCCTGACGACGGCACGTCGACTTCTGCCAGCGACAACGATCTGGTGTATGGTGATCTTGACCTCCGCAAGACTCAAAGCCGCGAGTCGCTCAACTCCAATGGCTCTGGCACCAACAAATGGGGCTGGAGATGGGGCTTCGGCAAGAAGAGGACGTCGTCCAACAATCTCTACGACAACATTGCCAGCACGCCTCTTACTCGTCCTGCTGCTGCTGCTGCTGGCGCAATTGGCGTTGCTGCTGCAGGCGTGGCGGCTTCACGTCCATCACACCACGACAGTGAGACGAGCAGCCAGCACACGCTGCAGACCGTCTACCCTGTCGCCTCGAGCGACCCAACCAGCTTTGACGCCAGGCGCACAAGTGTGCTTGACACGCCTCAGGCCATGGTCACCACCGGTCCTGGCGCCATCCGTCTGCAGCAGCCACAGCCCATGCACCAGGTCCCAGGCTCAATATACTCCACCCAACCTACATCTCAGCAAGGCTACACCGCACCCGCGGGCCCTCCCGTCTTCTCGCAAGTCCCCTTTCCCCCTCCCTACCCCCCTCCCTACCCAACGCAGGCCCAGGCGCAGAACATCACCATCAACAACCATCCATATCCGCCTCCTCCAGCGGCGCCTCGTCGCGCCAACTCGTCGCCCATCCAAAAGTCGTCGTGGAAGAAGGATGTCGCTATGGCGGGTCTCGCGGCTACCGCTGGAGCTGCTGCTATTGTCGCTGCCAAGGGCAGTGATAGCGAACGCCCGTCCAGCGCGCAGAGCAATGTCCGCTTCAACTTCACCAAGGAGCAGGCGAAGAAGGATGCCCGCGAGCGCCGCGAGGAGCAGGAGCGCGACGAGGACGAGCGACGGCGCGCGCAACAGCAGGAGGACGAGCGACGGCGCGCGCAACAGCAAGAGGATGATGCTTTGCGCAGAGAGGAAGCAGAGCGCCGACAACGCGAAGATGAACTCCGTGCAGCCGAAGACGAGCGTCGCCGCGAGCAAGTCCGCCGAGAAGATGACGTGCGCCGCGAACAAGACCGTCGTCGCGACGAGGATGAGCGCCGTCGACTCGAGATTCTGCGCCAGCAGGACGAGGCCCGCAAGTTCATCGAGGTGCAGCGCCTTGCGAAGATTGAGACGGACCGTCTCGAGGCCGAGCGACGCCGTCAGCACGATGACATGCTGGCTCGCGAGACCCAGGAGGCTGAGCTTCGAGACCGGAGGGATCGCGAGGCGGGGGCTGAGGTGCTGCGCAGGGAGGCTCTCGAGCGCGAAGAGGAGCAGAGACGGAGAGAGCGTCGCGAAGCTGAAGCCATCGAGGCGGAAAGGCGCGAGGAGGAGATGCGCGCAGATGTGGACCGTCGGCGACGCGAAGACGACCGCTACGACAGTGACCGCGATCGCCGCCGTCTCGAGTACCAACCCACAGGCAGCTCGGCCAGCTCAGTGGCCACTGATGTCCGCCGCAAAGAGCAAGAGCTGCAGGACCGGGAGCGCGACCTTGTCAAGCCGGATGCTTGGAAGTCCACAGCTGCTGGCGCCGTAGCCGCGGGTGCTGTGGCTGCCATCACAAGTGCTGCCATCTCTGCGCACAAGGACAAGGGCAAGGACAAGGACAAGGACAAGGGCAAGGGCAAGGGCAAAGACAAGGACAAGGGCAAGGGCAAAGACAAGGACAAGGACAAGGACAAGGACAAGGAGCGCGAGCAGCGTCGCGACAACTGGCGCGATACCTCGTCCTCCGAGAAGGAGGTCGAGCCGTTGTATCAGGCCTACAAGCCCAGCAAGGCCATCGAGTATCAGCCGAGTAACGTCAGGACTTACGAGCCAAGCTTCGCCCAAGTCGAGCCGAGCAAGATTGCCCAGGACTACGCCGACGAAGACATCTTCGATCCTCACATGTTCAGAAAGAAGGAGACGACCAAGGACGTCTTCAAAGACTGGGAAGACAGATACGCCGAGAAGCCCGTGTCTCAGGCAGACTTCTTTGCTCCAAGAGATCTTCTAGAGAACAACAACCTGCCCAAGGTCCATTCCGTCGATCCCAACGAAGGTGCTCCCGACCTGCATGTCTACGAGTCGATCGCAGACTACGGAGCCAGCCAGCCCAAGACTCCGCCATACCCGACCTCGTACTCGTTTACTGCCACCCGGGACGGCCGCGGTCCTCGCACGCCTGATCCTGTGCCCACTCTCAACTTGATTCAACCAACGCCTCCTGGCAGCAGGGCGCCTTCGGTTCGCAGCGTCTCCATGCCACCCTCTCCCAACATCGAGCCTGTGCAGGAGAAACAGGAGTCAAGACCGAAGAGCGTGCCGTCGAGAGTCAGCTGGGGCGAGAACTCGTTCCACCACTTTGACGTCCCTACTCCTGAGTCGTTCAAAGAGCAGTTTATTTCAGACCGCGAGCTCAGGGAGCACGACAAAAAGTACGCGCAGGAGGAGGTCGTTGTGGAGCGTGATTCGCCCAAGTCGGATAAGAAGACGACGACCTACCAGCCTGACAAACCGAGCGCGTTGTCAAAGTCAGCAGAGCCGAAGGAGATTGCGCCCAGCACCCAGTATGTCCCAGACAAGAAGGATGAATCTGCTTGGGACAGCACTGAAGGCGCCATGTCGAGGAAGTCGAGCAAGAAGGATAAGAAAGCCAAAAAGGCCGCGGCCGCGGCCGCTGTTGCTGCGGGCGCTGCGGGTGCCCTGACTGCCGCGGCGATTGCGCAAAACGACAAACATGACGATCCGAGCGACTGGGATTACAAGCATGCCGACAACCGATCGACCATCAGCAACCCCTTCTCCGACTCGAATGCTGCGCGATCGACCATTGCTGCTTCAATGGTCTCGTCGATTCCTTCCATGGGCGCCGAGTACAAGTCTCCGTCGCCGTACTTTGAGTACATCACCGAGTCCGAGGCTGGCGTGCCTTTGAGTTCGAGCGCAAAGGACGCGGCTTCTGATGAGCGCAATGTCTCGGTGGTCCCCGAGGAGCTGCATATGCCCGGTGGGTTCATCGAGTCGCCTTCGGTCAGCAAGTTCGCGGAGCCTACGAAGAAGGCGGTTCAAGAGGAGGACTTCAGTGCTCCTACGTCCAAGAAGAGCAAGAAAGGTAAGCGGAAGAGCAAGGCTGCTGATGAAGAGGTAGTCACGCACGACGTCCCCCGGCGAGTCGAGCCGGAGCCTCAGCGCACTCCCGAGATTCCACAGGAGGAAGGCCTGCGCGCAATGAGCAAGAAAGAACAGGCCAGAAGAGACAAGGAGGCGAAGCGCATGAGCATGATGAGCGTGCAGAGCTGGGAGATGAGCGACGACAGCCGGCCCTCGAGTCCGACCCTCGAGCGCGATATCAGGGATCTGCAACCTGCGCACACCGCGCCGCCTGCGAAGGATCTGCCGAGTGCATCCGAGGTGTCGAGTTTTGCATGGGGGGCTAGCGACGATACCCAGTCTTCGACGTCGGTCTCCACCGTCGTTCCATACCGCCCGGAGGGCGTCGCCCAAGACCGGCCCCGACATGTCTCTGACGAGAAACCGGTCGCTGTGACGTGGGACACGCCTTCTGCAGACTCGGCCCGCTCAAAGCAGGTCACTCAATCTCGAGACACACCCTCTCGAGACACACTCTCTCGAGACACACCCTCTCGAGACACACCCTCTCGAGACACACCCTCTCGAGACACACCCTCTCGAGACACTCAATCTCGAGACCCTCCTGCACGCGAGAGCAGCAGCAGCAAAGCAGCCACCACCGCAGCGCTCGCCGGCGGCTTCGCCGCACTCATGGGTGCATCTGCGAAGCAGGATCAAGACCGCATATCCGCCGAGCGCGAGCACGCCCGACAAGCCTTGGAGGCTGCGAGCACTCGTGCTCCGCGCCACGAAGAGCCCCGGTCCCCATCCCACGGCACACGGTCACGCGACGACGACGCCAAGTTGGTGACGATCCCCAGCTATGCGTTTGAGGGCGTCGAGGACCCGTCTGATTCCAAGACTACGCGCCGTAAACTCGATAAGAGACACAGCAGCGGCAAGTGGTCGCCGTCGGTTGGCTCGCCGCTTAGGTCTGAGATGAAGAATGAGGATTATCTTGGTAGGACGGCTGCGCAGGCTGCGTCTGGATCTGCGCCTCAAGCTGCCTTTGGATCTGCGCCTCAAGCTGCCTTTGGACCTGCGACTCAAGCTGCCTTTGAGTCTGCGACTCAATCTGCCTTTGTACCGGCGCCTGAGCCCCCGACATCACGCGGCATCCAAGACTCTGGGTACTACGCTCCCGACGACTACCAACGCAAGGGGTCCGCAGAGCGGGATTCAGATGAGTTCTTCTCCGCTGGTTCCGAGGAGCGAGAGCGGGAGAAGTCAGAGAGGGCCCGCGAGCAGGAGAAGTCAGAGAGGGCCCGCGAGCAGCTCATTGAAAACTACAACGCGTACCAGCCCAGAGCGCGCAGCGACTACACTGAAGCCAGCACGTATGTGACGGCATTGAGCCGCCCCGACGACGAGGCAGAGCGCGCGCGCGTCGACATGATCGACAAGCACAACGCCTACGAGCCCTCACGCAGCCAGTACGACCAAGACGACTCGAGCACCTTTGTCTCCGCATTCAGCCGGCCCGACGACGACACGAGCACCATCATTGCCTCGAAGAACAAGTACGACGATGACGATGTAAGGTCGACGGTTTCTTCGCGCAGCAAAGACGATCCTGATCGCGAAGAGCGGCGCCGGAGGAGGAGAGAGGCCCGCGCTGCGCAGGAGGGCAGCCGCGAACAGAGCCGCGAACAGAGCCGCGACCGCGGCTATGACTTCGACGATGGCAGCGAGCGGAGGCGAAGACATGGTCGTAAGGATGCAGACGAGAGCGGATACGCATCTGACGCCAAAAGCACGGTCTCGGAGGCGCGGTCAGAAGCCACCGGCGAGCGCAAGTCGAGTCGCCGAAAGTCGAGGCGCGACGATGACTTTGATGACGGCGCGAGCATGATATCGACTTCTTCGCGCCGCGATGAGACGCGCGAAGAGAGGAGGGCGCGAAAGGAAGAGAAGGAGAAAGAGAGAGAGCGGGAGCGTGACAAGGAGAAGCGCTCAAGCGGGCTCTTTGGTCTTTTCAGCAGCAAGTCCAGGGAGAACCTGGCGGAGGCGAGCAAGTCGTCCAAGTCCAAGAGCCGCGACCGCGACCGCGACCGCGATGGCGAAGAGGACGAGGACCGCAAGCATCGCAGACGCAAGCACAGAAGCGAGCGCGGCTCGACGTATGGCTCGGACGACGATGACGCAAAGTCTACCGTGTCGACGAGCAGCCGCAGTCACCGCGAGAAGAGGGAGAGGAGGGACAGGGACGAAGAAAAGGTACATCGATCTTCCTTGCGATAGCACCACCACGCAGGACGAGACACGTCAGGCCCCGCATCTACGCACCTGCGACTTGTATAACAGCAGACTGTACAGCACCGCGTCCTGCTGGTGGTGACGGCGCTCAAACATGTAATTAAGAATGAATGTTAATGTTGTGATGACAGGATCGCCCCTTCACCCTCTCCTCGACCGCGCCTGCCAAGACAAAGACCGACCCCGAGCGCCGCGACAGATACACCGACCAGCCTTTTTTAGACGATAGGGCGGTGGCCGAAGCCACTCCACTGCCCGAAGATGAGACGGCTGCCCAAACACAAACACTTGCGGACAGGATCATCCCTGGCAATCGGGCCGAGCCACGCGAGCCCCAGCTTCAGCCCCAGCCGCCGTTTCAGCCTCAGCCGGGCGGAAGTGGAAGTGGAAGTGGAAGTGGGAGCGGAAGTGGAAGTGGAAGTGGGAGTGGGAGTGGGAGTGGGAGTGGGAGTGGGAGTGGGAGTGGAAGTGGATCCCATACGTTCCTCACCGTCGATCGCCCCAGGACACCGCCACACCTGTCCATCGAGGACAGCCGGCAGCTGCTCACGCGGCTCACGGGTCTGCAGCCGTGGCAGCTCGAAGCGTTCCCGGACGAGCTCCCGCCGCTGCCGCTCAGCGGCCCTGCGTCGCCCACGAGGAGCCCCGAACATGCGAGGCCGACGGGCTCGTTCAGCGATCGCCGCCTCAGCTCGAGCACTGCGGTGCCGATCCGCTTCCGTAAGCCGCCTGTCAGCCCGGCCGTGAAGCAGACCGAGTTCATATCTCTCGACACGGCATTGCCCGCCGAGGCCGCGGCGCCCGCCCAGACCAGTCCGCTCCGCCCCCGCCACGCCAAGAGCCCCAGCAAAGAGTTCACCACCTCCCGCGAGTTCAGACCCCTGTACCTCGTGGAGCGCAACCGCAAGAGCGACGAGATCGACGCCTACCTCCCTGCGCTCCCGTCTAGCGGGTCCCCCTCGCGCGCGAGCTCGGCGCGCGACAGCGAGACGGAGGATGACTGGGCCAGCGCGCACGAGGCGCAGGCTTACGAGACCGCCGAGGATGGGGATGGAGATGAGTCGGGGCAAGCGACGCCCCGCGCGTCTGACTTCACGGGCCGCAGCGCTACGGAGCCCTCCCACGATGCGCTCGTCGCTGCGCTCGCGCGTGCGCAGGACGAGACCCGCCGTGGGCGGGGCGGCGAGGACAAGGGGGGGTTGGCTGCGAGTCCCTTGTTCGACGACGTGACGCGCGACACGCCCGCTGAGTCCTCGAGGCTGCTGCCGGCTGCGCTCGCCGCGCTTGCTGGGGCGGCTGTCGGGGCGGCTGTACCCTCGTCGTCGTCGGATTCCAAGAAAGCAAAGAGCGATATGCGCGAGGGGAGCGGGACGACGCGTGGAATCGAGGCCGCTGATGCGCCGCACATGCCGGCCCTTGATGATGGAGATGAAAAGCCAACCGCACCTGCGCCGAAGCCTGAGCCGGGGCCTAAGCTTGAGTCTAAACCCGCACCTGAGCCTGAACCTAAGCCGGAGCAGGCGCGATCGTCGTGGGGCGCTGGACTGTGGGGTGCGATTGGCGGGTGGGGTGGGAAGAAGGCGGTTCCTGCTGCACCTGCACCTGTACCTGCACCTGTTGGCACGCCTGGGACTGATATCGCGACGACCTGGGAGAAGTCGACCGTCGACGACCAAGCACCGGTGCCCGTCCGCTTCGCGCCTGAGAGCGAGGGCCCCGCGGCGGAAGATACACGTGCGCTCATCCCTGCGGTGGCGCCCGAGGAGGACAAGTTGGCTGTTGCTGATGAAGCACCTGTCTCCGTGGACTTCGAGCCTGAGATCCACATCCCAGCGCCCGCGGAGCAGGAACATGGCGACGAGGAAGGTTACAAAGCGCTCCCGAGGAGCTACGCGCCGCAAACTGCTATTTTCACTGACGATAGACCACCGTTTGGAGGCGCCGCGGGTGCTGCAGAGGAAGACACGGGTGGGAGTGTTGCTGGTGACATCGCCACGCCAGCTGGGGATGGAGTCGTGGATGCTGCAGACTCGCTCTCCGCCGATGGCAAGATTGAGCCTCCAGCGGTGGAGGAAGATACTCGAGCACCTCCTCCTGTTACTGTTGGCAAGAAAAAGGGCAAGAAGACCAGGAAGAGCAAGAGCGGACTCCAAACGCCAGAGGTACAAGACAAGGCGAGTGACGAAGCGCCAGACGTCTCCGCCCAAGAACCCTCGACGCCGTACACGCACCCGCACACGCCGTACTTCGGTGACGGCGGCGTGCCTGCGTTCAGCTTCCCCCAACCCGCGGCCGCCTCCGCACAGACCGAGCGCTCAATCGAGGGCGGCGTGGCTGGCGTCGAGCAAAAGAACCGAGACCTGCGCACTGACATCGCCGACGCAGTGTCCGCATCTGCGCCGCAGCAGGACGTCGCAGTGCAGCACACATCGTCTGCGTACGTCCCGCCGCGAAATTCGTACTTTGGCGATGCGGGACTCCCCGCGTTTAGATTTCCGGATCCCGCAACGGAGGTCGAACTGCACAGGCATGTTCCCGCCGGTGCAGATCCAGAGGTTGGCGGTCCGGTGTCAGAGCAACGATCACACTCTACTACGGACGTTGAACGCGAGATCGTTGATGATGTGCCGGCCGCCGAAGACGCGATCGACGTGCACAAGCGCGGCGCGCCGGTGGAGCGAGACCCGTCTGCTTCTGCAGAACCCTCTGTGGCGGCGTCGTCTGTCGTTGAGCCAGATGCCGAAGCAGACTTTGTGCCGATTGAGCAATCTTCTCCTGTGGCGCCCCGCAAGAAGAAGAGCAAGAAGAATAAAAAGAAGAGCGAGAGCGCGCAGAGCCAGTCCGAGACTCGAGCGGACGCTCCTACAAGTCATGGTCCTTTGGCAACGAACGCCTCTGCCGGTGTCGATGCGGATGCGCGGCCAGTGCCCGAAGCCCCAGCGCTCGTTGACGCGGAGAATGTGCCGTTGCCGGATACCCAGGACAATCTGCAGGAGCCTGCTTCTGAACCGCCGAGCGTTCTGCCAGTGCTGCAGCGAGATGCACGGGATGATGCTCCTGCTGTGCGGGGAACACGCGACGTCGTTGAATCAGCTGAGGCACCGGCCGAGGACTGGGCATACACGCCCAAGAAGGGCAAGCAGATCAATACGTTGGACGCACAAACCGAGTCGGCCTCCGAGCCTACCGTCGACGTCCTAGATGCCCGTGCAAGGGAGCTTGAAGAAGCAGTCTCCGTGCCTCTCCCGGCGGATGAACTCGATACAGTCGCTGAAGGGGTGTCGGTAGAGACGATGGAATCGCAAGGACCTCGTGTGGTAGAGCCCCCAGTCGCAGAACCTCTGGTTGCGGAAGCTCCATCCACGCCCGCCCAAGCAGCCATCGAGACCGACGCTTGGCTCCAAGGCAAGCCGCTGGGCCACGCGTCGGCGCTGCTGGAGAAGGATGATCCGCTTGATGACGCGGCCGTTGCGGTGCGGAGTGCGGATGTACTTGAGGAGGGTACTGTTGAGGGTGTGGCCGTCGAGACTCCCGTCATCGTCGAAGATCTCGCTGCCACTACCTCGAAGAAAGACACGAAGAGAAAGAAGAAGGACAAGGGCGCTGATGCGCTGCTTGAAGAGATCCAGACGCCTGTTGAAGGGCCAACGCGCGTCAGTGAGTCTACTGCGGTCGAGCCTATTGTCGAGAAGTCTGTGGATGCCAAATATGTCGTTGGAGCTGTTTCTGAAACTGCGCCTACGCCTGTTGAGGGGCGGGCTGATGATGCGGGTGAGCAGGCGAGTAAGTCTGTGCCGGCTGAGCCTGCTAATGCAGTCGAATCGACCGCGGCCCTCGAAAACGTCCAGCCTGCTCCTGAGATCGAGACCGCTGCCACTGCAGAGCCCGCCGTCGAGGCCGACTCCAAGACCGCATTCGAGGAGACGACGCCGGCAGCTGCGGACGAGGCCACGCTGCCCACTTCGACTCCGAAGAAAGACAAGAAAAAGAAGAAGGGCAAGAAGGGGAAGTCTGTTGACGACACCAGCATACCGGTCTCCGAGACTGCGCCTATTACCCTACCTGTAGAAGCCGCACCAGCTGAGAGTGAGCCCGAGACTCGCTCTAGAGACGTACAAGAGTCGGAAATGGCACCAGTGGAAGCATTTGACGAAGTAGACCAGACGCCGTCTGAGCAGGTGTTCACAGCTCCTGCCGGTGTGCCTCTTCTGGCCGAAACCGCAGGCCTCGATGGCTCATCGACCGAGCCACCCGTCGATGCCGTCACGACCCCGGTCCTGGAGCTCTCCAATTCGACTGACAAGCAGCCGATCGAGGCGGTGCAGGAACCCAAGTCAGCTCCAGCACTTAACGAACATCTGTCCGGCACTGCCGTTACCACCGCGCCTGCGCAAGAGGAGCCAGTCGTCGAGTCCAGGAAGAGCAAGAAAAAGAAGGGCAAGAAGGGTAAACCAGTTGACACGGAGCCGAGCACACCTGTGGCTGAAGAGCCCGCTCGGATTCGGGGCGCTGATACACCTGCATTGCCTGCTGATGGCGGCGAACCAAGGTCCGAGCAGCCAACTGAAGTCATTGGGGATGTGCTGGCGAGTAAAAAGCCAACAGTAGATCTATCTGTCCATGATCAGATCACGAGGGATATTCTCGAGCCGGCCTTCCAGCCAACAAACGCGGCTGAAGCAGCACTTGAAGCTCAGGCTGCTGAATCTACGGAACCCGCCCCTGTCGAGAGCGTACCAGCTCCCGAGCCAGCTGCACAAGAAGCTGCTCTCCCCGATGCTGCAGAGCCTACCGCTGAGAAGGCGTCCGCATCCGAGAAGCCGCAGCCCGCCAACCAGGACGTTATTGTCGCAGACACGCCAGCCACCGACTCGTTCGCAGGCCTCAGCAAGAAAGACCGCAAGAGACTTGAAAAGCAACTGAAAGCCGAGGCCGCGCAGAAGGAGGCCGAAGCCGCTCTTTCTGCACACGAGCCTACCCCATCT